CATTGCCGCTGCCAACGGTATTTTTTTTTAACACGAATGAAGTTGATATAGCTGAATTTTCGCAAAAACATTACCTGTTAATTAATTCATCTAAATCGACTTATGTAATCCAGCCTAAATAAAGATATAAAAGCAATTGGGAGTAACGATATTCCATGTACACAACCATGTATGCACCTTGGTTTATTTTCTGATTCAACTTTAAGGTTTAAGCCTCACCCAAGCAAATGCGAATCTAAAAAATCTTTTTCCCCGTAGACATTTTCTTTCGAAAACTCAAAAAAATACTACAGATTTTCTAGTGCTGCAGACAGAATTCAGCGTGTGCAAAAATCTTGTTTAAGATTGGCAAATGGCTTTCTATAGCTGATAGAAGGAAGTTACACTCTGCTTCAATGTTCCATATCATAGTATGTTGCGAAGGTCCCTCGTATTTGTCACGAAAAAAAAAACCCTATTAAAATTTTTTTCTACAACATTATTTCTTTACAACACTGTCCCTGAAGAATTGAAAATATTATCTCCTGATAAAGATTTCAAAGAAATTATAAACATTTATTATTACCTTCCACAATTGTGCCAACCTCAATCATATATAACAGTTGCACAATCTTGTTACTTTCGAAAATCGATTAAATCGAGTTTTTCGAAAGTATCTGCGCTCGTATAAAAATTTTATATCTCGGTAACGGTAAGTCCTATGGGATCGCCGTTGGTACAGAAATGATCGCCGTCGAAAAAAAAAAATTTTTATTAACCGTAAATCAAAATTCGTACAAACAATAGCCAATTCGTTCAAACAGTGTTATAGGCCGTATCAAGGGCTACAATTTTTGTATTTACGGTTTTCGTCTATCATACACTTTGATATATAAAAATGCTGTGTTACAATGAACATAACTAAGTAATCTAAAAATATAAATTAATTCCTCATATGGATTCAACGTTTCGTTTCTTTGAAATGTAATTGAAAACATTATTCCTTAATCCATATTCGAACAATATTCAAGATATGCCGCAACTGCCGTGATGAAGTTGGCCATGATGATCCATGGCCAACTTAGTGACAATTTACTTTTCGACTAAATCCGATCTTATCGCAAAAAGGACCTTCCTTTTTACGAAATGATGATGACAATTTTAAAAAATACAACTTCGGTATATGCTCAGACCAAGAATGGAACTCGTGTTTCCAGAACTCGGGCATATATTGCATTGATACTTTTTTTTTACTCTCGGTTTGGGTTTTCGATTGAAATCAGAGATTAATTTCCCTTTACATCGTTCGGAAGTAATTGAAAATTCCAATACGGGCAACGATATAGGTACTTTTTAATTACCACTGTTCTAGGCCCGCGCACCGATCGATAGGCCTCGTTGGTCATTCTGTGCGCCTTTGGTAGGTATTTTTTATGCCCTCCGTTTCCACGGAAACAAGAATACCAACCGTACACAGAGGACGTTATTTGTAATTTAGGCCGCAGTAAATACAAACTAGGAAATCTTGGGTTTTTACTGAACTTATGTAACTAACTTTGGATATTTTAATTACTTTAATTTTATTATTAAGTTGTATTTCGAATCATACCTAGATGTTTGTAAATATTTGGTATATCTATATCGTAAAATTGGTATTGGTAAGGCGAAACTCACAAAAAATAGACTTTTCTGAGCAATTTTTTGAAAGTGAGGAAGACTCCTGTCACAGCGCAGATTCTACCGCTATGTCTCATTCAAGAAACTTGTTTATGCCGTCGCAATTGGTGCCTACTTTTAGATTTACAGATTTTTTTGGAAATTAAGGATTTATTGAAACATTTAAGACTATTAAATTTCATTGAACTGAGGTGGCCGTTGCTAAATGAAAATCGATTTAACACAATTAAATTAGAACAAAAAATGCGTATACGAGGTGTGTTCAAAAAGTAAGGAGAAGTTTTATCAAAAAGTATTTATTTATTAATCAAAATTGACAAAATTAATATTGTCCCCTTCAGACTGGCCGAAACTGTGAACATATGTTATTGACATATGTATAACAGAAAAAAAAATCGAAGATGGAATGTGCGTAACCAGCCCGATTACAAAAGTCACCTTACTTTTTGAACACACGTCGTATATAGAAACAGGTAGTAATAGATTTTTAATTAACATTGCAGGGTTCTAAATTTAAATTAATTTAAAATCGAATCGAATATCTCATTTTGTTAATCTTAATAGCTTCCAACAAATTTTTTTCTTTTTGATTCATCATGTAAAATATCAAAATTATCAACAAACTTGTGCATTTCTAAATTTAAATGAACGGCATTATTAGAAGCAGAACTTTTATTTTTATACGCTCTCTAATGTTCGTTAATGCGTTGATTAAATCTTCTACCTGTTTGTCCGATATAAATTTTCAAAATTTTAACTTGTGAACTCCGGATTTTTGGTGCTTCAAGTTTTAATCTTAAGATGACAAAAATATAGTGAACTGGAGAGACATCTCGGAGTTTAAAGTTGAAAAGAAAGGCCCTAATAAAACGTTCTACAAGTTATCACGTCGTGATGAATTCTACAGAAGCGTTACCTTAAAAAGGACACGGGAAAATGTTTTAGTTTTACCAGTTCAAAAGCACAATAAGCAAAGGCCTGAAACTTTTTCAGCTCTCGTATACGACAATTTGCTTTCACTGTGCTCTGAAAGCACCCCATTGACCACATGAGGAAAATGTCAAGTTTGTCAATATAGAAATAATTTTATCTTTAACTTTACTTCCTAGCTTATAGTTTTTCGAATGTTTAATCATAAAATATTAGGAATGTTAGGAAATTTATGAACCAATTAATGAAGTTGCAAACGAAAATAAAAGCCCATAGTATATATATTTGTTCTTCTTGTCCCTTGTCTTCTATTTCTTCATCGTGCTCATCCTCTTAATCATCCTCTTCAATCAGAATATTGTTTGATGCAAGTTCAAAATCTTCGATAAAAAAGCATCACTTAAAAGTGGTTACTTTACCATGAGACCAAAGCTAACACTGAGATAAGTTTTACAATATTGCAGACCTTCGTGTGATACTTTTAGCTTCATTGCTTTCAAAAATGGCTAGTTGGAAGAATATTTTTTTATCTGGTAGTCATATTTCCCTGATTGTATTTAACAATTTTTGTTTTAATAGGTAAGTTCTTTTTATGTGTTTTACTTAGATGCGAAAAATTCAGCGTAATGTTCTTCTCCCCTAAACCTAACATTGAACAAGTACCCAAATGTAATTATTAATTAAGGGTAAACGTTTGAATTGTGATAAAAACCTTGTTGTTACATTTGATTGTAAACTGAGCTTCGTGGAATATGTATCTTTGTTGGTGAAAAAGTCTTGTTGGGTTTTGAGCCATTTATACAGGCATAGAACTGTCCTTAATTTCAGTTTACGGAAACTTTTAGGTCAGTCACTTGTCCTTTCGATTATGAGCTATGATTTAGTACTCTATTCCCCATGTCTTGATTTTCTCTTACTCTTTTACCATGCATGTAAACTGCTGTTTGGAATGAAACAAATAAAAATTGATCAAATTTATTTATTTACGTTCCACCGGTTCGATTAACTTATCCCCCGAAAGTATTCTATTGATTCGCGCAGATTCGTATTTACAAACGATTCGTAGGGTCTCTCTTGCTGCGAAGGTCCCCGAGCGATTGAAACTTTCCGCTTGCGGAGTTGTTCGTCAGTTTTCAACGCCGCCACGATGTATTTGCATGTGTGCCGCTCCGAATAATACGGTTAGGCAAATGCGGACACTGCTCCCTTTACGGCACATTCAGATTTACCGACATTGTTTACGCGCTAGACGGCAATCCGTATTGTTCTGACGGCTATCCCCGGAGACAATCGCATAAACGTCATTGACGGATGACAAGCGAATAAAACGTCACTGACGGATACGGAAACGCACGCATGCGACGCCCAATTGATGAGATATAGCTTCATGTTATTTCCGGTCTCAAATCCTCAGATTAAATAATTTTATATATTATCTCGCAGACCATTGAAAGAAACCTCGAAAATGTCTGGTTTTTTTTTCGCACCTGGCGAGGATCGAACCCGGGACCCGTCCGGTGTTGGGCGACAACTTGAACCTTGATCTACGGGCCACGCTGGTGTAAATCGCTAATAATGCCTAATATGATAACGCCATGCAGGCTTTAGGTACAGTTTTGTTGATAAAAAAAATCGTACAACTATTATGATTAGTTTTGGTTCTTACCAGGTAGCATCAAAAACAGTTTTCTGATGGAATTCGTCTGAAGAGTAATCACAGGCCATCATATTCCGTATTTAAGGCTTTGTTATATAAGGCGTTTTCCTATACCTATCTTAGAAATTAATTATAGTAGACCAAAATTTTGGACGTAGCTTAGGGACGTACTGTACACTGTGTCCCATTTTAGTCGCTACTGAGGGGTATGGGTATGCCAGTTGTTAGTTACTTTGCTACTTTTTTGTGAAAGGAAAGATGATGACGTTAATAAAATTTTCATGACTTGCTTAGTTTTTAAAATTTGAAGTTTTGGGGCGTCCCTCATATCTCGCAACCGATATAGATTTTACGTAGAATTCAGTGGCGTAGTCAGTTTTTTTCTAAATTGTTTCGCCTTTTTGAAAAAAAACAAAGTTTTTTTTTAATATGGGGGTTATACAAATAAATGACCCCTCCAAAATGATTTTTTTTAATTTTCATTGAGGTGTTTACGCAAGAACTTTTACAATTTGCGTGAAGCCAACTTAGTTTAATATGAACTTTTTATTTGTAACATTTGACATATCTTATTAAAAAAGATAAACCACGTCGTCGCTCACACCGGACGATCCCGGGTTCGATCCTCGCCAGAAAAGAAAAAAATTAAAACTTTCGTTTAATCTGTTTATAAAAAATTGATAGCTTGACATTTTCTTATGGGAAAAACTGAACGGTGATGGTAAAATAATGAAGGTAAAACCGTTCATTGTTTCAGTGCAAAATCCAGTGTTCGAAGGAGTACCATACCGGGAATGGACGAAGATGACGGGGACTACGCTACACTCAGGGAACTACCCCTGCCCCCCTCCGCGTCCCAAAGGCTAAGTGACGGTGAAGAAACGGCGAGTGAGGAGGGAAAGGTATGTGTAACCTTGATACACATACAGATGATCATAGAAGAAAACATATCTAAAAGTAACTAATAACAAGAACTCCTAAAAAATAACCCCCTATAAATTGATGCAGAGCGGAAATTAAAAAAAAAAACAAATAAAACTTGAACATCCTGTATATTTAAAGCTTGGCAAACATGAAAATACGTGGCAGTAGTAGTTATAGAGTGTTGAATGCTCTGGCGGTGTTTAGTAGTAGCATCCTTTGGTTACTTCTAAGCCACCCGTCCCCCAGTAGAGTTTTTAAGATAACCAAATTACAGATCTTAACTAACCAAAACAACTAACCGAAGACTTCACTTTAACATTGCTCAAGTGTCTACGTGGCCTTGTTATTTTTTTTTTAAGATGAATTGTTCAGCGCTTATGTCTAATAATCACTTTTTTATGTTTGCCACCAATCATGTATGAAGAAGTAAAGTACAGTTCCTGAAACTAAAAACTAGCTAACACTAACTAACTAAGACTAACAACCATAATTAAGGATATCTACAACTTAGCAAAATCTCCACGAAGCTTGTTCGATTCGATTTCATCGATTTTCGAAAGTATCTCGTATACAAATTTTATATCTCGGTAACGGTCATGACGATATAGCCGATACAGGCAGCTTAAACTTTTCTATTTACGGTTTTTAAGTATTGTACAGGGTGTTCGCGATAATCCGTGCAATATAAAAAAACATAATAAGTACTCCAAATTTGCAGCTACGGACGTCAGACTTGGGAGAGAAGTAGGAGTAGAAGAAAATAACGCGAAGTATTTTTTTAATTTTTGTGGTTATTTTGTCATCCAGAAAAACGTCTTTTCCTTCAAGGCCGACCGGAAAAATTTTACATTCGCAGGAGACCCGGCGCTGTATATTTTGTGTCAGACATTATTTTGATTATATACAAGGTGTTTTAGTTATGGTCAAAAATCTATAAATCAAAATCGTACAATCAAAATTCTTAAAAATAATAGCTAATCCGTTCAAACAGTGTTATAAGCTGTATCAAGGGCTATAATTTTTGTATTCACGGTTTTCGTCTATCACATACGCTGTTCGAGATATTTAAAAAAATCCAAATGAAAATCGCTATTTCCCGCCCTCAATCTAGACGCGATGACGTCCTTTACTATTACCACGTATTGCATGGTTTCAGAAAACAAGTAGTTTCTTGAAATTCGTATACCAGGAAACTAAGGAGATCCATACAGCGTACGTCGTTTGTGGGCCAAAAATTCTAATAGATTCCAGAAATTTCTGGTTGGCGGTAAATGAAAAACTTTTGAAGATGTGATAATTTGATATGAACAGTATCGTAAACTGTGCCAAGAGAGAGTTTAAGTCCGCAGGAGACCTATAGAAAAATAATGGGTCCCTCTAGGACAAGAATAAGCGAACCAGCGATTCAGGTTTTATTTCAGAGTTGCAGGGACGTCAACTCTGATACTATTTGTCTGCTTCATCCTGGAGACGGGCTGGATGACAAAGACCTCAGAATAATCAAGAATGTATATTGTAGTCAGTCAGCAGCTGCTAGAATCAAAGAACAACTGACAGGAAATAAAAATACATTACGAAGATTTCCTTCAATAATGATGAGCGAGTGGTTGAATATTGTCAGATACACGTGGATTACGTGGATTACTTGGAGGGGCCTCAGATGCCGATTACACATATCGCAGACTTCAGTAAAGAATTTTAATTTGTAAAAGAAAACAAACATATGATTAGCAGCAAGAGCAATATCGAATTCTCGAGTTGTGGTGTTGGTGACAGAATGCAATGCAGAGCGCACAAGAAATGCGAAGTCCTAAATGACACTGCACTTTAAGAAGAAAAGACTTTTTAGATGATTTAGGCAAGCCTCTATTATCTTATCCGCAAGTCGGTAACTTCATTCGGTGCGAATGCAAGCCACTCAGCCAGCAGGGGCCTAATGAAAAATCGATACACGAAGCCGCATTCACAGACCTGGTCTTAGGCAAATAAATCAGCCCGGGTGCAACGCGCGCTGAAAAATCCCCTGCCATTTTGCAAAAAAATGGGCGTCGTAAGTACAAACTATAAATTTAAATTTGAGTTTTTGACGGAACGGTCTGTGCACAGAATATTTTTTCGTTGACCTGAGTTTAGTAAAAGTCGTGTTTATCCTGTATGTCGAGTACAGAGGAGATATTTCAACTGTAGAAAGCCTTTGACTAATACTATTCATTCTGTAGTGTCCGGAACAGGGTCAAACGGCAACAGCTTTGTGGTAATATATTCGTATATTCATACCATCTATATGACAGAATTCACGTATAAGATCGATAATAAACATATATCGTAAACTGAGGTGCCTTCAAATAATATTATCAAGAAAAGATGGCGTGTCAATCAGTAGCGACGTGGTGACGTGAAACTGGGGTACATCAGGGATGAGCGTATACGAGCCCGAGATCTGGCGTATTTAAATCGAACAAAGCGTTTTCAGAGAAACCCTTCAAAGGCCGTTCGTCAGATATTCGACAGCAAAAAAGGTTTCGTTTAACGGTCCATTAATTCGAATCACGCGAGCTTTCGGTTCCCGATTTTTCCATATCGTTCGACTACTGTGATTCGCGGAAGCAAATAACGGGCGGGGTTTAAAAAGCGAGTACTATTTAAAAAATTATAAAATTTTTAGTTTCTGCCCTTTGCTTAAAGTTGCTGAATAGTCCTCGCCTTAACTTGCAAAAATATTAACAATTATTCTTGGTTTTGACAACCATCTAAGACGTAAGACAACAAATTCTTTCGATTCATCCACCAATTTACAATGCAGTTAATAATAATAATGATAAACTGCCTTCATTGAAAATCAAAATATTATAATATAAAAGTGTATATAATACAAAAGTGGCGACATTCGCAAATTGCGGTCTTTCATGTAACCACAAGAACAGCACCAACACCATAACTGTTAACAAAATACACACCCAATTTACAAAGAAAAAGCAACAATATATAATATAATTAGCAACATGGCAAAACAACAACTTAGATAACAAGCATTTTAAATAACCATATAAAACATATAAGAACCCAAAAACACTAAGAAAAAGTAAACAAACAGTATCACAACTACAATCAACCACCTGTTTCAATTTTGTCTTAAATAGTCGAAGACCGCCAGCAAAGGGATCAAGAGAGCAACTGTTAAATAACCTCAAGGTTCGAGTTAAAGGAGAAAAATAGCCATAGTTGGCGTGATGAAATGGAATACAAAACATTGGGGAGCTCTGACGTCTTTGATAGATGTTAAAATCAATGGACTGGAGGAGAGCCGGACAGTTATATACACCGTTCAAAATTTTATAAAACGTCAAGATATCGGAGTGGGCTCACATACCAGAACATAATTAATGTGAAAGTTACTACGCTCTATATGCTAGGGACCTCAGAAATGCCCTCTGAACAGTCTCCAATCTCTCAATGTGACATCTGTAATGTGGAGACCACACTACTGATGCATACTCCAGTGTAGATCTAACTAAGGAGCCATAAAGGGCTTTAAAACAGTCGGATGAGAGCAGTGTACTATTACGGGTAATAAAACCTAGACGTTTCATGCCCTTGTTAACAATATCCTCCAGCTGATCCAAAAAGGCCAGTTTACTGTCAAAGATTACTCCAAGGTCCCTAACTTTGGTGACACACTCTATCGTTGTATCTATTTTGAAGGGTGTTAGTTAAGCGAGAAAAAAGTAATAACTCTGTCAAACGCCCTCGAAAAGTCCGTGTAGACACTGTCCACTTGTTTAGACCAACAGATCCAGCTGATAAGTCAGCAGGTTAGTCACAGTGGACCTACCCCGAGAAAACCCGTGCTGGTTGTCACACATAATTTTTTTACAATACCAGGAAGAATGCTGACAGAATAGTTTATGAAAAAGTTTGGGAATGACAGATTGTATGCATATCTATAGTTACTAATATTGCTTCTGTCACCATTTTTATGAATTGGCATTAAATAACTGAATTTCCAGTAATCAGGAATCATAAACACAAGAAATAGGCGCACAAACTCATACGCTTTCGCCAGATACTGGCAGGCCTAACAAACATTATTAACGCTTTTTTGAAGGACTTTATTGTGGGGTATGATGTTATAGCATAATGTATTTCATAAAATAATTTAACTGCGTTATAGTTCACCATACATAATGTAGCCTAGGGTTGTGAAATTGACTGAGAAAATGTTATAATGACAATTGACTAACCAATTGATCGAAATAATTTTTAAAATGTCATGAAATTCATATTTATTTATTAAATATTATTATATTTTGTTCCCCGAATCGCCAAGTATCGTATTCGGATATTCCTTGGCAAATCATTATAATTAAATAATTTGCAAAATGTTATATAAAATATTTATTGACTAGTAAATTAAAAAGTGGATAAGTGACCGGTCAATTAATAATGACCACCATCAATTGATCAGTCCAAACACTGCTGTGGTTCCAACCAGAAATCTTGAATATTGATACTTCTCATTTGTAATTCAGTTACCGTAACTGTAACGCCATTTAAAAAATATTCACCAATGACATCAAATTTTACCTTATGGCTGTACAATTCATACGGATTTTCATTCACTCAGTCCCCTTTTTAACTTACGTTTTGCTAATATAATTTTGTGGAATTGCTATGGTTAATCGTAATAAATCGTAGAGTAAATTCTTTCGACGAAAAGTTGAAAATTACGGTATAGGATTCAATTTTGGATCGATTATTTTCAACTTTTCAGGGAATTCAGAGGAAAGGTAGAGATGTCCTAAATAATTATAATCTATTTGCCATGCTCTGTGACGAAATTCAGTTTTAGTTTCTATTTTTTTCATTTATTCTTTTAGCTTCTGGCTTGCGTCCACGACGAACGCATTACATACGCCAGCACCAATCAGGATTTCACGCCCCCGGTAGTCTACGAAGACCCCAACCCTTTGCTTGAACCTGTGGTCGTGCACAACTGCCAGGTATGACGAAACGCCCAATATATCCGCGACATAGAATTTTTCTCCCTTTACCCAAAATCTTTTAATCGTCCAGCTTATCTATTTCGGTGTCAGCGTGAACTCGTTATCGATTACCATGACATACTTACCTAAGTTAGGTATCGGTTCATCCTTTCTGCTTCGTTCACTAACAAAATTTGATAGCTCGATGTTTTAAAAAGTAATGATTATAATTTGGATGAACCGAGACATTTTAAAGACACAATATGAATTTGGTGCTCGATACTAGTAGTGTATTTTTTCGTATCAAGATCGCATCAAGATCTATTGCAGACCTGTATAAACCTGATCGAACGAGACCTGATTAAGATTTTTTCGGGACCTGATCCAAACTTGTCGGTGACACGTTCAAGAACTGTTTTATAGCTGTTTGAGCTTGTTTTTTATTCATGCGAAGATGAAGGTTAGATCTTGAGATATCGCAATTTGCGCTCTTCCATGTAACCACAAGGACAACAGCACCAACACCATAATTGTCAATAAAATATGCACTCGTATATACATCGCAAATACAGGAAAGAGACGCACATCATAAACTCATACGCTTTTGCTAGTTACGGGTATTAAATTAAATTAAATAATTTGACTGCGTTATAGCTAAAAGATCCGTTTTTTTTTTGCAATATCTTCCCTTTCATTTCCAAATAATAACATCTGCGCTTTGTTAGTATTCAATAAGAGGTTGTGGGTTGCAGATACTTCCGCAATTATTGCTATTATTAAAAAGATAAATATACCTGAGCATCATCGGCATATTGAAGAGATTTACACAATTTAGGAAAAGTAAAGAAGTCAGCTGTATAAATTGAGAACAGAATAGGTCCCGGAATATTCCTCTAGTGAACACCCCTCTGCAAAGCAATGGTATCTCTGACCAAGAAAAATTAAAAAAAAAGAAAAAGCAGTACCTTTTATCCGGAAGAATTCCAGTTTAGCTAGGAGAAAGAAATGATCCACGGTGTCAAAGAGTATGAGACAAGAGTTTAATTTAGAATCCGCTGCTCTCAATAAATCATCAGTAACATGAAACAAGGCAGAAGTAGTGCTGTGAAGGGGTCGAAAATCAGATTGAGTGTCTGGGAGGATTTTGTTATCGCATAGGAACTGACGAAGTTGTTTAGCTGCAATTTTTCGATAATCTTTGAGATGGTTTGCAACAAACCGATTGGTTATCTCCGGATAGCGGTGGACGGTAAAGTAACAAACCCACACTACTGATACTGGTCAGAATTGCACATCGAAACTTGCTTGTCAAGAATGGAATGGAATGAAACTTTTTTGGTCTTGTTAACCTTAAATCTTGAGTACTTTCTGGGTTCTTGTTGCGCGAATCGAAAGGTCGACTCGAAAATGTGCGTCTATATTTGGTTATCAGGCTTAATACAGACGCAGCTCACAATTCGGCTACCAACTTTTACTAACTTAGATTAATCGCATCGCAAAGTTTGACGGGTCAAAAGGGTCACGAGAGGCTCGATAATTAATTAGCTATATAAAACGTTTTCGGCCAGAAAATCCGAAACAGCGTTCCAAGTTTCGAGACTCTCTTTCAGTAATCAATTCTCGTAAAATAGTTGAACACGAGAAGAAATTTAACCGTGTGGCGTTGAAGAAAAATATATTGTTTATGTAGACTAGATATTTATTTTTTGTATTTTAAATGAGAATTATAAAAACAGAAATTTTGGCTATCGTTTTATGCACAAGAGTGAAGTAGCCTTAGTTCAAACGAATGAAGCAAAACGTAAGAAAGGTGTTGAAAATATTTTTTGTTCCGAAAATATTAATAATTTTCTCATTAGTGTTTTTCCAATAATTTTTATCGCCATTGCAAATTATTCCCAATCACGTCCATTTAGAAAATGTTTGTTCCAATTCCATCTTATTTGTAAAATTAATTAAAATTTTTAATCTTCTAACAAAATGCCAATTTTACGTGTGTTGCACCAGTATTTAATAATACATAAAAAATATTTTCTTTATAAGGAGGCAACGCAAAATTTTTATTTTAAATTCTTTATAGACAAATGTAAATATGTATTATTATTTACTGATAAACATAAAATTCTACTAAAATAATCACGAACATCAATGACATAAGGAGATGATACTTGAAAGTAAACACTATGATGATGATTGTGGAACTCTGATCTAAAACTCATTTTATGATAAATGTATCGTGGAGATCTTAAATTAATAATTTTGTGGTACGAAGTGAATGAATTAAGTTTCTATGTTGCATACAGAGCCAACCATTTTCATTAATTTTGTGACTAATTCTTTGAGATTTTCTTAATTATCTAAATATAAAATATTTTAGGGCCTGGTAATAAAATGCAACAATCCCGGAGTTTGATGTCAGAAAAACCTATATTATTATATACTGAGATTTTTAGGCTATGATTTTGAGGTAATACTTTATTTTTCTCCAAATACTTTTCAATTTGTTGGTTTAAAAGTTTTTTCAAAAATCCTGCAAATTATTGGCAACCTTTCTGGAAAGAGTGAGTTCATGCCAATGCTTCTCGTCACATTCAAGGCGTCAATTTCATCAAAACAAAGTAAAACATTTTATTTCTAGCTCGGACGTTTGAATAAAAAGTTGATTGTTCAGAATTAGCTCAGAATAGCTGGATCATAACTTCCATGCTTTTTACACCTTCCTACATTCAGTGACTTTAAATTATACCACATAATATAAAACGCTTATTTCCTCCGTCCCTCAGCAACTGTAAATAAATTCTATTCTCTCCAGTTTTTGCATTTTTATTTTTCTTATAATTGCTAAGAGAATTATCGCGATCTTTTTTTATAGTTTCAAAGGCATCAAGCTTTTTAATTTAGATCATTCATGTGGAAAATATTATCCTACGGTAACGAGCGGCGAGATGATCAATCAACTGATGAAATCCAAAGCTATCAAAAAATGCGTTGCTGAATGCAGTCTCGTCAGTGAACAAAATGATGAAAGCAATTTCGATTTTTTCCCAAAATTTGATAACTGCATAAAGATACTTTCAATTGCTCATTACCCTTATTCAGTGCTCACTTTGAACATGAGACGGCCGAAGAGCGTTTTCACTCAAAAGTTCCCCAACTGGAGAGCAAGCAATTCGTTCCTGAGCAGCAAGTTCCCTCGTACTCGTTGACGGGTCAGACTCGACAATCTGAAGTATTCTTTTTTCTCTTGCAGCGGCAATTTTTAACGAATTGTGACAAATTTCATTAAGTCCTGTTGGGTATAATCACGTTTTCAGGTATAATTCGAACCGAGAATGAAAAATCGAGTTGTGGCTAAACGATAACACTGCGTTAAAAATGAAATTAAAAAAAAGAACTTTGACACGGTGTAACTCGGAAAATATTACGAATGACGAATTCGTATGCGGCATCTTTCGTTTTACCAAAAAGCAACTCGGATTGGAGTAAGATCACGTCAAGTGGACCCCCCCATTTACCACTTGATCATAAAAAATTAATCTATATATATATTTCTTATAAGTACTTATGATGGAAAATTGATCCCTCAAACGATTTTTTGAAATTTCGATTTTAACAACATTTTTTTTATAATGAAAATTTTAAGTCAAATGTCTATACTTTAAGAATATTTTAACGTCTTGAAATTATTTTAACTAAGTTAACAAATGAAAATTTAACTGATTTGTTGGTAAAAGAATTCATGTTTTTTTTATCGGTCACATCCTTTACACATTTAAGTTTAATATTTCTACATTGCATTGAAGGTTTTATTAGTGATAATTTGAAACAATAATACAAAGATTATTATAAAACAAATTTTATTATTTATGTTATTTTATTGTAATTGTCATTATAATTTTTTAAAAAATATATATTTTTTTAACAATATTAACAATCATAACATACTGAATAGAACAAACAACAAAAGTTATTTATTAGGATACGCGAAAAACAAATGAAAATCGTAACGGAGCCGTTTTTCTTTTGTTAACTAAAATTGAATAGTAAATTTAAAAATAAAAATTTACTAAATTTAAAGTTGATTATTTTTTTCTAAATTTACGCTGTTTGGTAAAAATAATAAAAAAAATTAATAGTATTAATATATTAATATATTCTTAAAGTATAGATATTTGGCCATGGATGCTGCAAATTTCATGAATTTCTCTCTTACTTACTTATTTTCCATCATAAGTACTTATAAAAAATATGTATAGATTAAATTTTTATGATCAAGTGGTAAATGGGAGGTCCACTTGACGTGATCTTACTCATTGCGTAGATTCGTGGTTTTCCTATGACCTTTTACCTTTGCAATCGCAACCTGGATCAGGCGGGTCAAAGTCACCGTAGCCTCAGACGTACCGATTCCGGAATAATGGCTCACGAGGACTTACCGGGCAGGTCAGATTCGGTAAGCACCGAGTGCTCGGTTTCGCCACCGGAACCGCCGGGCAGCAGCCACAGCGAGACTTCTAGCGGGGTGCATTCGAGCGAAAGCAAAGACACATCTTCCGTCATAAAACAGGTTCATTGACTGATTTTACCAAAACTATTTGGCTACGGCATATTCGATTACAGCCGCTGCCGAAACCGCCAGGCTCGACGTCGTCTTCGACGCAAGACCACGCCCAAAACGGTAACCTGATCAACTTGGACGGTAACGTGGAGCCTCAACCCGAAAGTACCGTCGTCATCAGAAGGAAATCGCTAAGAGCGAATCCCAATGAAGGGGTGAGTATGCGTTCTTTCCTTCTAGACAAGTTTGGACCATGCTTTAGGCTCAATTGACCTGCGGGATGAATGAAAGTTTGCTCTTCACCTAATGTCATGATGTCATGAGTCGCTAGGTCTAAGAGACCACAGATTTTCCGCATTTTCTCTGAAACGCCATGGAAGTTTAGTTTCGTTTTTTTCCAGTTGTGTTAAACTGACCAAACTCTTTTTAAAATGCCTATTTCTATTGCAGCTGTAGAAGGATCAGTGGTAGTTCTTCTCTTGGAATGTCTGATAGATTTGATGATTTGAATAGGGGGCAAAAATTAACAAAAATATTTTTTTTTTCGTCTTTTCTTCTAATAATTATAAATTTCGGTTATTTGTACATTTCGGTACTCGAAAATCCGTTGCAGCTACAGAAAAGCCCACTTCTCCATTGGTTACCGCTTCAATGGCTTTTGCCATAGACCACTCGTCCTATTTCATATTCACATTTTATTTTTATCATTACGCACCATTAATACTGTGCAAATAATTAACGGCAGTGTAACGTAAAGTAAAATAAGTAATTAATGAACGAAAATTGAACAATATTTCAACCCAATACTGCGTGATATACAATCTTAGTATTTCTTTTTAACGATTACAGCGCCACAATTATTTTTAGAACTATTATTAGAGACCATCGATACGCCACTTTTTGGCGGCAATTTAGTGATATATTTGTAAAAAGATCATCACGTTCAATTTTTTTTCTATATAACCAGAAAAACCTTTCCTATCATGTTAAAAATATTTTTTTTGAGCAATATAACAATAAAAAGTCGTCAAAGAGGAACAACTTTTTGACAATGAAAAAAAAATTTTTTTTTCATCATTTTTCACCTTGCCCCAAAAAAAATTCTCCAAAATTTGGGTAAATTTAGTTAAATTTAGTCAAAAATTGATGGGTAAAAACCAGAAAAAATAAAAAGTGGGCCGCCTGGTCCCACCCTTCCCTACAATTCCTTGAGACATCCGATTTTTGCTCGATTTAAGCTAATAATATATATAAAAAAATTATGGTGTTATTTTGACAGCTTGTGATCGTCATTTGTTTTTTATAAGATTTGCATAAGATAATAGAGCAAAAATCTGCAAACTTAAACATAATGAATAACCCGGTACGTGTATGGCCCAGAACTCCCTTTGTTTAGGTTATTCGCTTTATATATCTACTGGTACGAATCTTTCAACAATTCTATCTAGGTTCCGGAGGCGATCCTCAAAGAGGACCCCTACGGACGGGCGACCAACATGAAAATGATTTCGTTCATGGACCAAAAGAACCTGGGATGTCAGTCGTCTTCGGCGACATTGCCCCACTACCCCACCCAGCCGACGGTGCAGAACGCATATCCCAACTGCTCGACGATGCCGCTGCCCCAACACACATCGGGAAATATTCCACAGAACTTAATCAACGGAAATAGGTATTTATAAGCGAAATACGGTTGGCTTAGTAAAAATTTATAGCAGCGTTGTGTGATGGTGTTGGTTATCTCCGAGCCGAAGGAATTAATAGATAAAAACTTGGCGCCGGTGCTGACTCTCACTGACTCTCCTTGACTTATTATAAATAATATAAAACACAAAGCTTTTTACAATTCTTTTGAGAATGATCTAGATTAATACACTAAAATGTTCTCATACAAGTCACAGTTTCATGATCAACCCGTAGTCGTATCTAATAATGTCCCCAGTTTAACATTTGGTCGAGAATTTCTATACCACACCAGCCACGAAATATTCCAGTTCATTCTAGATGGGACTGCGTTCATTACATTACAATTTAAAAACTTTATGACTGCTCTATACCCAATTGGCGTTATTTGCGACATTTTTTCTGGCACGTCTTGTTTAAAATGCTGTCAATAAAAAACCATTTGGCGCAAGACTTCAATTTTTTTTCGCAGCCCACTAAGACAAAGTTTTATCGTGATACTTGAGCTGCATCTATGTCAGGCCGGGAAATTTTGGCGCTAACCTCGTATATTCACTTATTAGAGTATATGAGGCCATTTCAAATATCACCCTGCATGTAATTAATTAATGATAAGAAATTCCGAGCAGAGAACAGAAGTAATCTGCTAAATCTCGGGTGACGTCACATGCCAGTAAATAAGTGTTGTAGTTAACCGTTTGGTACGTTTGACGTTCGATGTTTATTTATTGTCTAGTGACGTGACCAATGGAAAACGTGTACCGACGTTGCTTGTTGTGCGTTCCAGCTGCAACTTGTACTCGAGACAGGCCCATAGCACGATACCGACGCACTTGAACGGGGTGAAACTGGTGACGCAGAACAATCACAACCCTTATTCGAAAAGACTGCACAAACAAGGCGACCAGGTAACCGGCATCACCAAACTGGAGCCGATTTACACGAAAATCAACAGGACCTCGAACGAGATTTGCCACTATACATCGTAAATCCAAGTGGACGATCCCAATAAACATAAAAGAAAATGAAACAGAAATAATAACCGATAAATTATAGGGATCCATATTTGTAAACCTCGCGCGCCCTCTGTGGTGACGTTCGGTTAGCGAACCACGAAGTGGTCTAGCGTTCGGTTCTTTAAATTTAAATAACATCACGAATGTTTTCGACATTACATTTTAAGTTGGTTAATTGACTGAATATTTTCTTTGGTTGGTGATAAAACCAACTTCCTTTATTTTAAACACTAGAGGCATGGAATATTACAGGATATGTGTAGGACTGCCATGTAATGAATGACATAGGAGAAGAAAATCACTAATTTTTGCTAGATTTTCTTCATCTTCTAAGTGCATTTTAACTCAAGATGCCTCAAATTTAACATTGTATGAGATTGAAGAACCGGAGCTACATTATACTTTTCCCTTTTATCTTTACCATTTTGGGTTACGATCGTATCGTGTCGGTATTTCCGAATAATTTTCTTCACTAAAGAAGAAATCGAACGGCATCTTTTTGAGCCGCTCCCCCATACAGGTTGTATTTGCTAGTCGTATACATTTTTAGTGTAAAGGAACGCTTCATATACCAAAGAATAATCTCGCCTAACTGTTGAATATTTATTGTAAATTTATATGCAACTACCCTGTAGCCGGAAAATCTTCTATACGCAGATTTATAACAAAAAAAAAAAAGAGAATCCTATTTAAAGTCTATGTCTTTCCTATGAAAAATATCTCTCTATATGACTGTTATCTTTCGAATCGCTTATAGACGTAAACAAAAGAAGAACGGTTTAGTAAGTATTCAATATTTTATAGATACGTATTTGTGAGTCGATCTGGATGTCGTTGAAACCAAATGCGCTTTGTAATAAAACCTGCTTGCAGGTAGAGCTTTATGTTTTCACGGGTTTTTGCCGAGTTTTCGCAAAATTTGGGTACGAAATGGGCCTTTGTCGTAGGCGTAACTAAGAGGGCGCTTGGGGAAAATCCTTAATACTGATATAATTCACAACAGGTAGTATTAACAATTATTTAGTGGCCGAATATAAACAAGTGGAACAAATGAAAAAGTGGTGGGGTTCAGAGATCTGTTTTAAAACTAACTTTTATATTCCACTTTTGACTCAAGCAACTAACTAAAGTTTAAGCAACTAAAATTTTAACAAGAGTTTTACGTATTCTTGTAATCAAATAAATAAATAAAAGAATAAATATATCAACGCAATTTTCTAGCAACAATCTTGTGTCCAAATTGAATGGGCAAGAAATATAGTGCATAGTAGCACATTTTCATATTTTTTTAACTCTTTATCCTTTAAAATGCCAAAATTTTCATATTAGCACCTAGTTACGTCTACGGATCTTATTTTGACAATATCTGCCACAATGGATTAATTGGAGTTACTTGATGTAAACGTTTTATACGACGCCCCTAGAAAACACTAGCAAAATTTATTCATAGTAAATATTCTCAACATTCTCAACCGTTGTAGACCTTAAGAGGCTACTACGAAACTTCTTGCGGCGTCAAAGCCCCAGTTTTGAGGTGCTGCAATAAAAAAAATCATACATTTCGTGCCAACAAAAAGAAACAGTCGAAAATCAAATGGCCTAAAACTTCTACCCTGATTTCTCTTTGCAAAAATCTTCAATTTTTGTTTGTATTTTTCACATTCACATTCCGAAACTTCAATTTTTTCTTCACATTAGTAGTATAGTAGAGCTGATTCTGAGTCCAGTTCTGGTTAGTGTCAACCAAAAGTGTCTTGGAACCGGCACTGCTGTACTACTTCGTTTTCTACAAAACAAAGGGGACTTTGCCATGTACCGTGAGTTCCCGAAAGAACTATGCGAGTCCCCCTCCGCCGCACTATATCATCGCACAAGAAGCCCGAGAGGGGGTAATATCCTGCCTCGCGGTACGTGGACTTAAAGCCCCGCAATATATGACAAATAATATGCGCAATTACCAAATAGTTTAACCCTTAGCAAGTACTTGTAATACGATATACAATTATATTTTGTAAATCGATGTTGTGCGAAGCAATAGGATATCGTAGCGTATACTTTAATTATTAAATTGGCGGAAGCGTCGGGCGGCCATTTTCTGCTTTTTTCGACGCGTCCGCCAAGACGAAAAACGACCAGTCTCAAAAGGAAAATCATGATAATAATATCCATCGCCCCATATCAAGTATATCGCGTAATACTCAATTTTTATCACGTCAAATTCATGAATAACCAAAGTGATAACAAAATATATAACAATAATCTTGATACGGTAATATTAGCTTTTATATGGAATATCATTTTGTAATATTTATATAACGGTAATCCATTATTATTGTAGTGGTAAATTAATGTGATGCTCACCCGTGATATGCGAATCACTGCATATTCCGGCGCCGATGCATGTCGGGAATAAATAGTTGAAACATTTTCGCTATATACAGGATGTTTAAAAATACCTTTACAGATTTTAAACACTATAAAATTGTTCTAAATGATGCATCTGAAAGTTTTTAAGCATCATCAACAACTTATTTCTGAAAATATAAAAAAATGTCATTTTCAATTTTCTGCAAATGACGGATTTTTCAAAAAAATAAGTACAAACAAACAAAACGAAAAAAATGTACTTATTAGATTTATTAACTAGTGAAAAAATCATGAAAGTGTTTATATAGTATATATATAAGACCAATATGCAGTCTATTTGATTTTATTTAAATTATTTATTATAATTATCAACTGAGGAATTGATTAAACATTCCCATATTTAGCGGATTTGTTTTTTCTTAAATGTGTATAAGTATTCCATTTTCATTTATTCCTAGAAATATAACTTAACATTTGCAAAATTTAAAGTGATTTAATTTTAGGACTCCTGAGGATCGTATCTATCTTAAAACGTAAGATTTTTAATTTGATTTAAAACCTTTTTTCGTTTTTCATAAAATATCAAATTATACATAAATTACCCGAAAAAAAAATTACAAAATAAAATATAAAAACAACTCCTGTATTACTGTTACGCGTGTTTTTTGACTCACCGCAACTTTTGGAAAATGTTTTAACTTGTATCTCGACATGTTTTCGGTGCATACAAAAATAGGTTAGTGACCGAAACTTTAGAGAAGTGAAATCGTATCGAGTTGTGAATTTTGATTTCGACCTTTCCTGATTTTCGCGGCAAATTTTAAGGACGCAGGGTGCGAGATAGAGAGAGAAAAAATAGGCCAGCTTGGGTATTATAATATAATTTGCGACGTAAGGTTGTGAAAAGTAAATCCGCATTGTTATACTAGAAATACGGATGGGTTGTTTAGATTCGTTCAGTGTCCCTCCGTCGCCCCCCAACCCCCGGATGTGTAAACTTTTGTTATTAACTAATGTTGTTTGTGGATTTTTGGGAATTCAGTATTTTTATCACTGTGGATCGAAACTTTCGTATTATACTGGATTTTCTCATATTCCTATTAGTTTATCTGTGTATATATTATAAGTAAACGCAATTTTACTTTAAGTATAAAGTTATGTAGGTCACAGCCAGCTAAGTTTAATAATAATATTAATTGTGTAACGAAACACGTGTTTCCTAACAAAAATCAACTCTTTTAAGTATTTAGTTGTCGATCGAGATATTTTAGACGCATTTATCAAATATACCAAATCGTAAAACTAGTCGTCGCGCTAAAATTAGTATTTAAACACAAGTGAAAGTATCAAAAATAATTCGATACCGGTGTTCTATTTATTTTACTTTGCATCACAAATAAAAAATATTTAAGGTGAACGTTTTTGTTTTTTAATTAGTAGTCGACGTCAGTAGATACTTAATTGCATAAATGCACATACGCCACCATATTCCCTAAAATCTAATGTGTGCTGCCATCTATTGACGAGTGGCGAGACTTAATTGCATAAGTGCAAATACGCCACCATATACCCTACAATCTAATGTGTGCTGTCATCTATACACTTTATTGGTTTGCAATCTCCATGTTGCACTGTCGCCTGTAGTTTCTTGAGCTAGCTAGCTCAAGAAACTACTATTTTGATATCTCAACTTCCCAATCGGGAGACGGAGGATAGTGAAGTGAGCAATCAACACTACTGAGATCCCGATGTCCTATATCTCATGTCCCGTTTGCTCACTTAACCACATTCTACCACTTACCGTTATTGCCAAATATCAAACTTCTCTAAAAACAAAGAACAGACAAGAAACAACCCTGCACTCGTCGAGACTTAACTGCACATCTTCAGCTTACGCCTACAGTAACATATTCGGAGTTGCTAACAGATTTACAGCATCTCGAGTGTGAAGTGGCATATAAGCTCCCCTGGGTTTAAACTAGTTATTAAACCAAAAAAAAATCATCCCCTGACCTTTCTTTTTTCTTTCAGACATTTGCACATCTATCATTCTTCTTTTGAGTAAACTCTCCTACAACTTCTTGGACTTTGTCATTCGGTGATCTTATAGTCCATATCTCAAATCTTACTCATGAGGTCCGCGAAATGAAAACATTGCCAAGAATCGTGAGTAAGACAAGGATAGACAGAATCAACACTGGAGTTATCAGGGATAAGTGCAAGTTTCAGAAAGTTAGCTCACGGATCCACGTATTAAGAATGAATGCAGACTGTTTGGTGAGGAAGATTCACAACATCGTCCCTTTAGGAAAGAGAAATCGTGGTTGACCAAGAAAGAGGTGGAAGGACGCTAAGGATTAAACTGTTCCGACACCTATCAATAATAACAAGAAGTCACCTGAGAGAGCATAAAAAAAAGAATTTACTTTCTTTTTCGGTCATATATTTATATTATTATATGTTTTATTAAGAGTGTGAATGAGTTCTACAATTGATTTTACTGTCAATCAGAGCATTTCACATCACGTATAGGTAGTGCTAGGTTTAGATCATTACGTTTATGTACCTTTCCATATTTTATGAATACATTTGATGCTATTTCGATTGCACTTCTGATTTCCTTATCGTAATTTCAATTTGGCTGCAGCCTACGTCATAAGTGCGTCGAACTTGCATATTGCATGTTGTGGGGCAGACTACATTCTCTTTTATGTGCTTTATTAACTCACAGTTGCTTTTCAAAAATCGTAAATCGCAATGATGACGATGAAATTCAAACCAAATTTTCTCATGTGCAGTAAAAAACCTTTCGAGATTGAAAATATTACTTCTTACTTTAAGAACATTAGTAGATAAACTACGCGGGTTCCGGACCAATTTCATTCGAATTGTTGCCGAACCCCTGTAGCATATCCACTGACGTTTCCGTGCAAAATTATCCTTAAAATAAATCGATCTCGTCCTCGTCGTCGGTCAGATCGTCGGCATCGCTCTCCGCCTGACACACGAGGCAAACCCCGCCCATATCGCGCCAGCATTCCGCGCAGAAGACAAAATGGCAACCCGGGTTCCGACACTCTTCGAAGCCCGCCGCTTTCCTCGGCTCCGGTTCCTCGCAAACCAGACACTTCCTCCTCGCCATCTTGAAAAACCGCAACCACCCGCACCGATTCGGGTGGTTGATCCTTAGGATCTGGCAGACGTTGTAGTTCTCTTCGAGGCGGCGCTCCCTAGCTAGTCTCTCGACCCGCTTCTTCATGAACCTGCGCACAAGTACAAGTACCACCCAGTCAAGGGCTAATTTTTAAATTTCCAGTATATTAAAAGATTTCGGACAAAATACCTCATGAATCCCAACCGCCTCTTCAGGGTCTCGTTGTAGAGGAACAACGTCCTGCGTTTCTCCCTCCTCCGGTAGAAGTACGCGCAGATCAACCTCCTGAGGCGCTGCATGTAGGCTTGGACCCACATGGCCACCCAGATCGCGAAGTAAGTGCCAAAAATTTTAAACAAATAGACGGAGGCCAACAGTTTGGGTCTGGGCAGGCACTGCTCGTTGCTTCTCTGCACCCTTATTCGCTTCTTGATGTTGAAGCCTCTTACCAAGGACCTCAGAACTGAGGCGATCATGCCGGTGCCTGAATGTAAATTAGAAGTGACAGTATGAAGCAAAGAGTCTTAAGTGCGAAATGACGATAGAAAGAATTAAGTGTTGCTAGAGAAAGAGGAGAAAAAGTGTAGATGTAGTGACCGAACAAATTTCAATGCTGTTCGAATCCAATTTTCAGGGACTTTTAGTTCTGGTTAGTTTTGCGAAAACCCCAGATAAACCGGTTTTAGCTCTCGACACGAGCTATATCACGATGTGAAACGAACTGATGATTAAAACACACATATGATATAATACTCACAAATGCCATCCTTCAAGATTTTAACCCTGGATCTCGTGATTCTCCTAATATCGTTCTTTTTCCGACAGATCCAACGGTTTTCAAGAAAAACGATATTTTTTAGACTGCTGAAAAACTATTTTTCAATTTTTAGAAATACTTCTAATTATTTGATTTCATTCGATTTCAGTAGGTCCTATTAGTTAAATGCTAAATCTTGAACTGTATATTTCTGCAGCCTCACAGTGGAACGATTTTATTGGAACAGAAGGACATGAGGTCTTTTACTTGAAACTTTTAATCTGGAAAAGCTATAAATCGATTTTATACACAAGTATATTGTATAAAGAGCAACGTCTTACATAAAACAAAATAGTTACTTTGCATAATTTACAGGGCAACCCAAAAATATAGTGCGTCTTAGAAAAACCTCTTTTTTATTTGCAAATAACTTTGATTAAATGTCATCTTAATTTTTCGTCTTGAATTTTTTGGAATGAAGAAAACATATTTTTTATAAAACAGTATAAAACTAGACCGGGTGTTCAACAAATTATATTGATGTTTTGTTAATTTTGCAGTGACTAGAATATTTAATGCTTCTTCTTCACTAATACACTTTTGTTTGAGCTTGTCTAAGCCTTCACAAAATCCTTTTATACTTTCAGCATGTTCTGGATGTTTTCCTAAAGTGTCTACGATAAACTTTAGATTTAAATGGTTTTCCTGCAGCAAAACGGACATATTTCGTATTTCTCCATTTTTTGCGCCCACTTAGAGTATAAAATTAGATTCTCGGACTAAGGACACCTAATAATATATCTTTTATTTAGAATTGTGGAGATTTTATTTGCTGAAATCTTCCCGATCATAAAAACTTTTCATCATAAAGATTTTTCTCCTTTTACCTTTTTTACCTTTAGGGTGAGTTTTCAAAAATTCAAAGGGGTGGTCTAACCCACAGGATTTGTTTCAATCAAACTCATATTGGAACCACTAAAATAAAAGTTGCCCTTGTTGTCTCGGTAGCAGATCGTAGCAGATAAATGTTATATTTTGTTTCTTGTTTGTCCAATACAATTTTTTTTATTTATTTATATATTAAATTTATATTGGACAAACAGGCAGATCCTTCAAGAAACTTAAACACAGAAAAAAACACATTCTTGACGACAATTTTGATATTTTACATACAGCCACAAAAAGTAGAAAATTAAATTTATTGGATGCCATGGAGACTAACAAAATGAGACATTCAAATGTATTGCTCAACGATCAATTAGATTTAAATCCCTCTCCTTTATTGAACTTAAATTCTCACAACATTAATTTAACGTTTTATGGTCATTTTTCGGTATAGGGTAAAAGTGGGATAGACACCCTTGGAGGATAGACACAGCACCTTAAAAAAAGAGAATTTAAAACCAAGTTCACGCTCTAGTACCAAGTTCCTCGGACAAACCTCGCCCCGCACAGCACAGTCTGCGCACGCGTTTCGACAGGACTGCACGTGTCGCCGCTTGAGTTAACTTTCGTTTTCGAAGGTAAGATTTAAGTGTGTATTGTTATTTAAAATTACGAAATTATTTAAGTATTTTTATTTATTTGCTGGTGCGTCTATCCCTACTAAAAAGGATAGAGGCCCCACTATTGACTAAGTATAGACGCCCTTAGAGGCATATATCCTCTATGACTTATTCACAGGTACTTAGACTATAGGCAACATTTTTTTAAATAACCTATCTAGTTAATATGCAACTTAGTAGGAAAATTGACTTATTTATGAGCTGTTTATACCTTTACATGTCGTACTTCTTTGTACTTGTAAAAAATAATGCATCACCTAATTTCATTTTTTATTTTAGACAAAATGCCGCGAAAATATAAAAGGAAAATAGGGGCACCCGTCCGTGCTGCTTGGTCTGAAGAAGCCCTTTGCAAAACTTTTGGGAAAACTCCAACTCTTAACAACTGTTCACCTATCCCGAAAATTCCTGTTCCATTATACAAAAAAGCCAAGCAAGGTGCTGCCGTTTTAAATTCAGAAGAACATATTAACTCTAAGAAAGCTAAGTTGAAAGATAAAGCTAAGAAGCAAACACCAGACAAACCCAGAAAAAACAACCAAAATTCAGTTCCTAAAAAGAAAAGACCGAGGTTTAGCTCTGAAAGTGAACAAGAGTTCGACGAATCAGATTCTGACCAGACTAAATCTGATAAAGAAAATACTCAATGCAGAGAATGTTTCGATGACTATGCAAGTACCGAGTCCACGGCGGACTGGATTCAGTGCCTGAATGTGTAAACTCTGGTTACACGAAGATTGCACTCTATATGGCGATTACTGTAATAGATGTGGACACAAGAAGAAGCTTGCAGCTCTAAAAGCTAACCTGGCCAAAGTGAATTCAAAGAATAAGTAACCTGGTCAAAGTAAACATATTTCACATATTTTTTAATTATTTGAAAATTTTGATTACTGTTAGTTTTTTTTTAAGAAGGAAGCTCTGTTTTTTTCCAAAGAAGTCCTAAGGGACGGATTTGTTTTAAGTTTTATTATTCCTAAATTTAGTTCGGTAAAGTTTTAAATAATTTTTAATAGACGTTGTTAAGTTGCTAAGTTTACCCAAAGAATGATCGAAAGACTGAGCCATTTGTTCCCTATAAAAGTGCCATTTACTTTAATTTTACGGTATATTTGGATAAGAAAACCTTATAATATATTATTGCAACTAAGAAAACAAATAAACATTTTATTTAATTTTTTACGAATTTTTTTTCTTTATTACGGAGGCATCTATCCCATTGTAGGGCATCTATACTCATGTCGAAATTTTGCCAGGGGCGACTACCCCATACAGTAGGCGTCTCCTCAAACAATAAATTTTTTTTTGAGCCGAATATCTACAAATCTACGGTATGCATTGAATGATGATAGGAGTAGATAGTAAGTATAAGGACTATAGTTGTTACAAATAGTTAACTTTAAAAAAAAAGTTATAGTCAGCTTTCAAAAAGTGGGGCATCTATCCCACTTTTACCCTATATAGTAGCAGGTAGTTTGTAAATATTACATTCGATAAAGACACGGTGTTGTCGAAACAATTTTCATGTCAAAATATATAATTTCGTGAAAATCTGAACTTTTAGTTCTTATTTATGTTGATAAATGGATTTTAATCAAGTAAAAACCACCTCAGTTCGATTTTTCATTACCATTGCATTTAAATAGTAGTAACATTTGTAATTAGACACACTTGTAGCCAAAATTTAACGCATCTATGACCAAAAATTACAATAAAATGATAATAAATGGACTTCTTTTCAAATATGTGCGTGAATTTAATTCTAATATTGATATTATACTAAGCCGTTCCTCTGCGCGTCTATGGTATTTAGTTGCGCAGCGTGAAAATCGACGGAAAGTGAACGAAAAATCGGGGCTTCCGTGGTCGGGCCCGGCTCATATTTCGTACTTTTGTACTTAAAAAGGTGAAAGCTTCAGCCCGGTAGTTCAATCGGATACCCCGAGTTATAGCGTCCAACCCTACCAAAGTGGATCCCATCCGACCTTCTGAAGTTACGTGAAAGGTAACAAGAGAGGAAAAAAAGTATGAACAGTAACATGAAATAGTAATTAAAAAGACCTTTAACTTCTAGCAGAAGGTCGTGCTTTCCGACTGTGAGGTAATCGATTCTAGCGTGTCTCCTCACTATATCCAAAGCCTCGTAGAACAACCTGTCCAGCAGGACGAAAGTGGTGGCCGTGATCATCTCCAACACCAACACCAACGTCTCCTTCGCAAGCTTCTCGCGTTCCGACTTGATAGGTTTCAAAGACCTCGGATCTACCAGTTTCTTACGCTCGACCTTCTTCAGGGGCAGCAGCGTGTGTTTGTCTTGCGACTTTCTTCTCGCGTCGATTTTTCGAAAATATCTAGTGACGTAAACGTTGTCGAACTCCAAATCGCGCAGGTACTTGTCGTGGTACTCCTGCGAGATCAGCACGATCCTGAGGAAGACGAACGCCAGGACTCGTTTGATCACGTTGAGGATCTGCGCGAAGATCGCTTTTTTCTCTTGCACCTGGTGGAGTATCGACACGGCCGTGTCCCTCGCGTCCCTCACGTCTTTGAGGGGCTTGATTTTTCCGATTTTGTACTGCAGCTTCACGTCCTTGAAGTTTTGGGCCAGCGACGAGCGGGACTGTTTGAGGTACGCGTAGCCCTGACCGAACCCGGACTCCATATCTTTGGACGGGTCGCATCTGTGTATAAAACACAAAATTTTGCAAGATATCGACGATAGCTTGAACAGCTCTGGGTCTGTTTTAATATTGATGGTAAGAAGGTCTGCTTGGGAACTCTTTATAGACCTTGTAGTAGACCTAAACGACTGTTTGCAATCACTGAGCCCATTGTAAAGTAAAGACATCTAAATCTAAATCCAAACAACTTTTCAAAATTTATTGCTTTTTTTTTCAAAGAAACTTCCACAGTTTATGCATGTAATCAATTTTTCTACCAACGAAAAACCCGAGAATCTAAAGAAATCTATAAACAACCTAACAATCTTAATCGCGACTCAGGTCTTTACCTGTCAGCGATATGGGAATCAGTCGTCCGGGACGGTGTTTATGCCCTTCATTTAGCTCCGCCCCCTCAAACGATATATAAGCAGGTACAAAGTGAAATACGAGCCAGTTTCAGTCAAGCTCTGAAGAAGCCAACAAGATGATTGGCGAAACGTCAGCAAGCTCGACTCAGGAGGAGGAGCTTTGTAAAAACTAAAGTTTCATCGTGATACTGGAGCTGCATCTATGTCAGGCCGGGAAATTTTGGTTCTAACCCCGTACAGTTCACCTCCACCCCCTTATTTATAGAATACTGCTTATTTATAAACTGAAAGTCATTAAATAGTCAAAAGATTGTTTACTTACAGCAGCTTTTGATATTCGAAAGCTGCACACACTAGGCTTCGATGAGTTTCACGTGTGGCTTGAAATTTTTAGGCTAAATAGTTGTAAAATTTTATTTTTCTGTAGAACAGGCTAGGGCTTAAACGTTCAAACTCAATAAGGACAATTTCAATAGTCCTTATTCAGTTCCAAAACAACAAAAATGCTTAAACGTAAGCTCGTTCTCAGTGTCTTCATTTACTTAGTGGATTTATTGCCAGAGTAGAACTAATAGGCACCTGGTGGACCCGCCCAAAGCCTCGGCTATGTTGCACACGAAGTCGAGCTTCATCGGCCAGCAGAGCAACCAAGCGGCGGCCCACGTGACCGTGTCATAGCACTTGTTGTAACCCGTTTCGAACATTTTGCGGCACCTCATCGCGGCCCTGGTGAACTGGTCCTCGCAACGCATCTCGATCTTCTTCATGTAGAGCTTTTCGTAACGGACAGCCTCCGATTTCTCTCCTTAGAGATAAAAAATGAAAACAATAGAAAAATGATTGTGTCGTCTTCAATTTCGCCCTTGTAATGTTGGCGATAGACCAGATAGTATAAGAAAATCAATCTGGATGCCTTCAAATTGATATTTTTTTACTGACCATTCTTCCTTAGGTGCCTCAAAGAAAAGCGAATCTACGCCATTTTCTACGAAAAAAAAAATCATTTTTGGTTATATATATATATATATATATATATATATATATATATATATATATATATATATATATATATATATATATATATATATATATATATATATATATATATATACATATATATATATATATATATATATATATATATATATATATATATATATATATATATATATATATATATATATATATATATATATATATATATATATATTTAAATTTTTTTTGGCTAATCGTTCTCTCGAAAACAATTAATGTGATTCTTCTAACTATTTATTAACGTTTCGATGGCAAACTCGATCTTTTTCAAAATATTCTTATTTTGTATTGATGACATTTTGCGTTGAATTAATATATTAAAAATAAACATAATTTGTCAGCGAATATTTTATACGAATTGGAATGGCATGCAAAGCAGATACGCATGTTTTTTATTAGTAGATATATTGGATAATTTAGTTTTGTTAGTTTAAAATTGAATGATATATTTTGTCAAAATCTTTAGAATCGGTTTTGTAATTAATTCTTTTTTGTTTTTTTGGATTTTTATACTTTCATAAAGTTCTCTATTTTTGGTGTTAGGTTCTGTTAGTTTGGTGTTTCCGCAATGGGTATGAAGAGCTGTTTTATTTTTTTTGTCATGTCCATTGATTCTATTTTTTAAATATTAGCTTGTCTGTCCTATATATACACTGTCGCAATTAGAGCATAGAATTTCATATACTATACTTTTTTCAACTGGTATTTTTTGCTTTGAGTTTAGTGAAGTGATATGTTTTATGTAAATTATAACTTTTGTGACCTATTTGAATTTTTTGTTCCTTGAAAATGGTTTGGAGTTTTTCTGATAATCCAGGTATATATGGTAGCGACATATATTTTCTTTGAGGATTTTAATGTTGGTTTTTGTTTACGTTATTATAAAATTTGTTGATACGTTTGACCATGGCATTCTGGTAGTGAAGCTCTCAGGGATTGGAATCTTTGGAGACCTTCTAAAGTTACATTTCGGCAGAGACTGTCCCACATTCCTTTTCAATGTTTTCATTAATGACTTAATATTTTTATTAATTTTTATTAATATTTTTCGCTTTTGCCATTTTTTTGCATTTGCGGACGAAGCTCTTTAATGTTGTAGCATCACCTCTTGACCATCATCGATTACAAGAGGATCTTGATAGGTTTTCTTTGTGGTGCAGTCAGAACAATTTAACTCTTAATAGAAACAAGTGCAAAATTGTAAGCTTTAGCATATCCAAAAATCCACTAACTTTCATCTTTCATTTGAACTCTTGATCGCTCGAGAGATTGAACCTTGTTAAAGATCTTGGAGTTTGGCTCAGAGCTATTCGATTGCTTGGCTTTGTTTTTCGGACTTTGAAGGGTTTTGAAAACATCTTTACGTATAAGCAGCTGTACTGTGCACTTGTGAGTTCAACTTTAGAGTATGTTATCTGTCTGGCAACCACACTATGCAATTCACAAGAAAAAAAATAGAGCGTGTGCAGCAATTTGTTCCTTAGAGGGATAGGTTTTAAATTGGGAATGTCATTTGAGGAAATAAACTCCGAGGAGATGAAGCTTTTGAATCTGACATCTTTAGACAGTAGGCGCATATTTTTTGACATTTCTACATTGTACAAAATCCTTAATAACTTGTTGGACGCACCAGATCTTCTGGCATCTGTTGGTTTTCATATTCAAGAAATAAGGCTCTTTTTAACATCGATTTTCATAGGACCAACTATGGCGTTAACTCGCATTTGAATCGAATGCGCAAGCTGACAAATATAAGGTTGTTCGGAAAGTCATTTCGTTTTTTCCCGTCAGAGGACTTAATTACGTTTTTTCGAAACCAACTTCACACTTAAGCCGCATAACCATTATATGTCTTGAGAGCTGATATTGCAAGGCTTGTGTGTGAAAAAGTTCTATTAATTCTACGCAGTAGTTTTTGGTTGGTGCCCTTTTAAATATGGAGAGCAATAAGCAGCATTTTCGTCATATTTTACTTTTTTACTTCAGAAAAGGTAAAAATGCTGTCCAAGCGAGAAAAAAATTGACGGATGTGTATGGAGAAGGCGTGTTAACAGTACGCCAGTGCCAGAACTGGTTTGCAAAATTTCGATCCGGCAATTTTGATGTCGAAGATGCACCACAGTCTGGAAGGCCGGTCGAAGCTGATAAAGATGCGATAAAGGCATTAGTTGATGCAAATCGGCGAATAACCACACGAGAGATCGGTGAGAGATTAAATTTTTCGAATTCGACTGTTTATGGCCATTTGAAAGGCATGGGCTTAACCTCGAAGCTCGATGTGTCGGTGCCCCATGTCCTTACGCAGCGAAATTTGTGTCGTCCCGTTGACGTGTGTGATTCGCTCCTCAAACGTCAAGAAAATGATCCCTTTTTGAAGCGGATTATTACTGGGGACGAAAAATGGGTTGTATACAACAATGTTAAACGCAAGAGGTCATGGAGCAGAAAAGATGAACCGACTCAAAGCGTGTCAAAAGCCAACATTCACCAAAAAAAAGATGATGCTCTCCGTTTGGTGGGATGTCAAAGGAATCGTTTTTTTTTGAGCTTTTGCCGGACAATACAACGATTAATTCAGAAGTCTATTGTCATCAACTGGACAAATTGTCCACCAGGATAATGCGAGACCTCACACAAGTTTGGTCACTCGCCAAAAACTTTTACAGCTTGAATGGAACGTACCGCAACATAGACCATATTCTCCAGATCTGGCGCCTTCCGACTACTATTTGTTCCGGTCCCTGCAAAATTTTTTGGATGGCAAAACCTTTACCTCAAATGAAGATGTCAAAAACCACCTGAACCAGTTTTTTGCCAGCAAGGACCAAAACTTTTATGAGAGGGGAATTATGTTACTGCCAGAAAGATGGCAAAAGGTGTCGCACCAGAATGGCCAATATATAATTTAATAAAATATTTATTCGTTATACGAAAACTGTCTTTCATGTTCCCCAAAAAAAACGAAATGACTTTCCGAACAACCCAATAATATTTTACTCTCAAATAACGAGCGTATTGATTTATTTTCTGACTCTCTCAGTAGTTTTAATTGTAAAGTAAAGAAGACTGTTTTTAATCAACCCGCCGCCTTGTAACTAGGTAGTTTAGCAATTGTAAGTGTTGTTTGGATTGAGTATTATTACCGGAATAACATGTGTGGGTACTATTTTTCTTAGGTTAAACTATATTGTAAATGCTAAATGCGTCAAAAATTTTAATTTTAGTTAGACTCCTAGTCAGAAACAACGCTGGAAAAACTAGAAACCTGGAACAGTCCGGAATTTAAAACGAGTACGGAATAAGTTATCGTACAGTTTGCCGATGTGGACTGCATATTTTTAGGCTTTTTCGCGACAACTTCCCGCTTTCCCATCTACAAAAATTCGTTGTTTTTTAACCTGCTGTTTCGTATTTCTCGTCGATCAACATCGAGCGCTTGGTGTCGCCGATCTTGTCGTCTAGGTAATCGTTTTCTTCTTTGATCTTTTTCATCTCGCTCTCGTCCTCTAATTCGCCGGTTATGGGCGCCGACACGTCCTTCACCGCCCTCAGCGTGTCCTTGACCTCGTTCACTTCCGTTTTCATGCCGAATATCGCCTGAACGAAGGGCTTGAACATCAGCTCAAACCTCGATTTCGTCAAGTTGAATTGCAACGAGGCCGTGCAAGCGAATATCCGCACCTGCAGGCGAATTTACCTTTTTTAACGTGTTTTTGGTAGAAGGAATGTCACAGTAGGTTAAATAATGTCCAATCGCACAATCTAAAACCGCGAACATTGCTAACAAAAATCTGTAATAATTATGATCCTTATTGACCACATTGCACTTGACATCACTTTAGAAGAGCAAAATACTCAACATCGTATAACTTCCGAAAGCTCCAATGCATCGCTCACCAACACAAAATTAAAAGACTAGGTAATAGGAATCCCCAACTTAAACGTCACAACTAGCAACTAGTAGTCAAACTTCATGGACCGGCAGTAACAATCCTGCACAGTTTTTAGAATTTTATCGTTATTCTCTTGACAACGGTTGGAATTCACCTGGTTTAAGATTCTTGTCACAGACCAACGTTTATTTTTTAGCACAGAACCAGTCAGTCTACAGACTACAAATCTAGAAAGATCGGTTTCGCAAATCCTTACGAGACCACAAAGTCTACTTTGTGTTTTGAAACTTTACAATAGAGGTCGTTAATATTGTAACACCTCAAATAGCTATGATATTTTTGTTCATAAATATTTCTCCCGACATTTCAGTTTTAAACGGCAATCTCAAAATGTTACCGCTTAATGTGAAAACTGTCAGCGGCCAAAGTCCGTTGGTTGAGAGCGAGGCTTGAGGTGATGCATAATGTCTCGACATCATTTAGTGTAATTCTTTATTTCTAACGACTTACCACTTCTCTCCCGTTATTCGCCATATTTTCTATGGGGCCTGATATTATAAACGTGAGGACCAACGCTTTCAGTATGCCCCTGCCGACTTTGCCGCCGAAAATGGGAAACGTCAACAGGGTGATGCAGCGGACTTGCGTAGAAAACGCTATACCGCATCTAGTAAAAATTATACCGGCCGCGTGAAAGTCGATTTTGAAAACACGGAAACCTTACGCGAGCAAGACGCATATGGATAAGCTCAAGCCAAAAGCAATTTCTTCCGTGAAACTCAGCTCTGACAAAACGTATCGGTAAAATATTATGCCCAGGAGAAACCCGGAGATTAGTCCCGTAACGCACTTTAGGATCCTGTTCTCTTTTTCTGGGGTACAAAATAGACGATACAACGGTGGCAGTTTCCTGCAGAACCCTTGGAGGCCATTCTCGAGCTCGCCTCTCATTTTACTTCAGCAGCAATAAAGCAACTTCATTATTGTGTCAAAGTAAACGCCAAATCGAAGATATGTAACCATTCCAAACCAAACCAATCTCCTACCCAATGATATCAATAGGATTGCCCAATCCCATAAGACATCCAATATTATCGATCGCACGTGGTCGCTTGTGACGTAAGCGAAGTCCTCTAACGGTTTTTGTGTATTCTGTCAATGCATTTGAAGGCGTATTACACCGTTGTATTTTGTGTTCTTTGAACAGTTAAAATAATTTAAACTAATGAGTAGTGCTCTTATGTTTGTGTTAATTGTATTTCTGTAAAAAAAACCTGGACAAAACAGTGTTTTTAACCTTTAACAAATACTTTAAAATTGTATGTGCTTGAGTGATGAGAACTGAGAAAAACAATATTTTTAACCTTAAACAAAGACTTAAAAGTGATGCTTATTAGCGGTGTTATTAGTTAGGAAGTAAGCTCAAAATATTACACATAATAATATAGGTAAAGTTAAGAAATACATTTATTTTACCTTTTTCTAAAAAAAACTGTTCCCACGCTATTAGTATTTAAGCAGAATGCCACAAGTGAAATTCTACAAAAAAATCCATCTTCGAACCCCAAATAATAAATTATAAAGCTAAGTATATGGATTTGTTGATTTTTGTATATTTAAAATGGTAGAATGCCGTACGTAAAACACCAAGTTTTACAAGTAAATCGTTTTATTCGCTAGTTTAATGTACAACAACAATAGTTAATTAATATATGTATTTGAAGATAATACATATAAGCAAAACTTGATTGCGATAGTATTATTTTTACCCTTCCTGAGAGCCTACCCTACGCTACTTCCCAATATTAAATAAGTACAAAAAGGATTTAATGTTGACATTAAATGAAAATAACGAATGATTATCCAAACAAAATGCTATAAGCTACTCAAAATACTCAAAGTCGATCAAAACTCGGGTCAGTTTCAGATTATTTCCATGTATTTTCATAGTAAACGCGCCATCTACCTCACAGGCAGCGAGAGTTTTCCAATTGCACTTGCGGCAATCCTATTCAGTTTACGATTCTTGCTCCTACCAACTAAAAAACGAAGTGATTTATTAAAGTGTTGAAAAATGACCGCGGGTTCGTCGATTCAAAACAAAAGACAACATTTATCTCTTGTCCTGCCAATTGGGTAAATATTTCTTATCGAAAATTATTATCGAGTACTTATTCAGACGCATACAAGATAACCCGAATGTTAAAATTATCAACTCGCTTCTTGGCATTTCTTCCGATTATAATCATTTTTGCGTAAGATGACCGCGATTTACCACAACATCACCCACAAGCTTCATTTAAAGTCAACCTATTATTACTGGAGCGGTTCGATATACGGCAAAAACTCAAGTAAGTTTTAAAGAGTACCACCTAGTGTTGTTTGTTGTGGTTAAAAATAGAGTTGTGTCAATCGCGATTAATTCGGTCACTTAGATTCAACCACTTCATAGAAGCGAACGACCGAAATCCGCTTGTTCGAATTCGCCCGAATACGATTCATTTGAATGTTTTAAGATTTAAATGCACCACTGAGACAGGTCACGGAAAAAAAAGGGGAGTGTTGTTTTAATTATTCTATAGTATTGCGTTGCGACATCGATTGGTAGATTGAATATTGAATGAAATATCTATTTCAACACAGGTATTTAATTTAAACAAATTAATGTATTACTGTACAACCCAATATGTAGCACCTATTTTGATAAAATCATGATTCAATACAAAGCAGAAGACAGCTAAATATTATACTACCTAGAACAGAAAACATAACATATAGACACAACAATAATTCAAATTCCTTTTCGAAATCGGTCACTGGTTCGTAAAATGAACGATTGACACAACACTAGTTAAAAATACGCATACTTAGTTATGGAAAATATACCGGCTTCTTCTTTTCTAGGAATTCATGACTGGGCGCCTATCATATTCATACCTTTGGTAGCAACGATTATCCTCACCATCAGCATAGTCCTGCTTATAATTTACCGGCAAAGTCCTTTATTTGTCATAACTACAGTGGCCGGATGTCTGATATTTATTAGCGTGTATCTCGTAAATACCGCTATTGAAAACTCGAAAGAAAATTTCTACTGATACGTAGGTACGTCACGAATAGGAATCATTGTATAGAAATTAGATGACGCACTAAAATAAAGCAAAATGCTAATATTTACGGTGTTTTAAAAGTTTATTAACGGTCCTAAATATTATGACAACTTCTTGTAACTTGACCACGTTTCCACGAGATAAAAGAAGAAGAAGAAGGTTAGGTTATGTAATAATCCCTTCAAACAAAACAGTGCTTCGATGTTTTTATATTACACACCTTCGTAAAGTAAATGAGTGAAGCATGAAAGGACCACAACTTATTAGAAAACTGAGCTGTTTCTCGGGGTCAATCACGAAGCCGCACAGACTCACTTATACTCGCACATATCCGACTCTGCTGGTAAATCCGGATGGTTCGACATTTACGATTCGATATCCAGAGCCTCGCCAAATTATTAAATTGCCTTTGAATATTTGGACCTTGAGTGAAGCAGAACGCAAACAAAAACTTGAATTGAGAAAGCCCAAACAAAAAATGGTCATTCAAGAGGATATTGAGGATTCCTTTGACTCATCTAGATATTTAAACTACTTGAAGAAAAAATGAGTCGTTTTCTTATTACATGTTAGTTTTATTTATTTTTTTGATTGAGTTGTGAATAAAAAGTTACAAATCTATTGGATTCATTCGACTACCTATAAAGCAGTTTAACTTAAATAATTTCTTGCTTATTGTGTAATGCTAACACCTCTCCTCTCGTTTTATTTTAATTTCACTATTAAGAAAACGAGCAAATGCAGATTACCCTGATCAAAACAAATTGAAAAAAGTAAGTGAAAAGCTTGCACCCATAGAACATGAGAATCCATGCCTGCTTCAGACGCATTCAACGGATGTAAAAATTACGTTGCCGTTCGCAGTAACTGGGTTTTTGAAAAAATCATCAAATGGGTTTTGAAGTTTTGAATTTAAAGGGCCACGAAAATAGCGACTCTTTTGGAACATCTAAATCATATAAAAACTGAGTTTTCCACAGCAGATCCTGAAATTTCGGCGCGGTTGAACGCGCCCAGTACAGGCCAATTGGCCCCTCAGCCAATTGAGTATTCTATGGTTCCTTCTTGTCAAGAATACGTCAACAATGGTAGGTGTTCGATAAAAATTTGTAAATTTCGCCAAATATTTCTGTGATCCTTGTGCGGAATTTGTTTTATGCGGCAGCAATGTATTGTCCAAAAGGACTGGCTTCGTGTTTCGTGGATATTTTTAGCGTTCTCGCAACGTAACGGTTTCCTAACCCAACAAAGATTTTGATTATCCTGGGGTGAGGAATTTTGAATTAAAAGCGACACTTTTGATTGTAGACGAAAGGAACGTCAAGTTTTGGTAAGCGGCGGAATAAGACCCACACGCTTTGCCGGCGATGTGGAAGATCCTCGTACCATATCCAGAAGTCGCAGTGTGCGCAATGCGGATATCCTTCTGCCAAAATGCGTTCGTGTAAGTGTCATTTTTATTTTAAAGACTTGTTTTTTGGCGATTTGCTCCGTAATCTCAATTACGAGCGTTAATGTAGTTCCGTTTCGGTTCCTAGGTTAAGTTTGACCAATGTTTTCTTTTGTTAGATAATTGGTCGATAAAAGCGAAAAGGAGGAAGACCACCGGTACCGGTCGTCTTCGTCACTTGAAAATTGTAAGGAGGCGTTTTCGCAATGGTTTCCGCGAGGGCGGCAAGCCGGCTAAGAAATCCACTTCTCTGTAGTTATTTTGAATAAATTTATTTCATTTAAGGTGACTTTAAATCGACCTGTAGCAATTTTTGAACAGCAAATTTAAAAACCTTGTTGAAGAGGCAAGTGGTTCAATGCAAGTAGTTCAAATGTACCATCTAAAACAATCGCAGGAGTTTACAAAGAAACGGACATCTTCGCAAAGTGGTTTCAATGTTACGCGTTTTTTTCTTTTAAGCTTTTAAAACGAAAATTGGTAATTAAATTGCGGAAAACATTTTTTACTTTTAACCCTGTATATTTCTATAAAAAAAAAAACTCTATACAAGTAGTTCAAATGTACAATCTAGAACAATTGCACAAGTTTACAAAAAAACGGCCAACTCAGCAAAGTGTTATGCTTATGCCTTATATTTAAACGCGTTTTTCTCTTTTAAGCTCTTAAAACGAAAATTGTGAATCAGGTCACAGCAAACATTTTTTACTTTTAACCTGTATATTTCTGTAAAAAAACAATTTTTCTATACAAGCACTTCAAATGTTCCACCTAAAATAATTTAAGTTTAGGAACAAACGGTTGATTCAGCAAAAATGTGACACTTATGCATTACAGTTAACCGCCATTTTTTCTTTGAAGCTCGCGTTAACAACGGTCAACTGTCGCTTAATTTCGAATGCTAAAACGCCCAATGCGGTGCCAGTGTTTAAACTATCCAATCCGTTGCTCAGTGGTATGTTCAACCGAGCCCCGCCCAATTCGCTCGCCATCTTGTAGGACTCCTCGCTGATACCCTCCGTTTCGCCTCCTATGATTAATACTATATGCGACGCACGCTTAAAGTCGGCGCTGAAATAAGGTACAACTGGTACACTGTCGATCAAGTCCTTCAGTTGTTTTTCCACGCCCACTTCTTGGGTAGATATGGTGTTATTATCGGCTATAAAAATTGTAGAATTAGCAGGTATTTGTTCCCGAATTTTTAGCCAAGTCATTTTGCGGCTTATACGCAGCTTGAAGTGCGCCCCTGATGAACCCCGGAGTACCTTCGTGGCCCATATGTTGACGCAACCTGGAAAAAGAAAACGTTGATGGTTTTAATATTTTCAAAGGGCAAAAACATCGCTTACCTGTGGTTAATAGTATGTTTTCGCAGCCGACGCCGCTGCAAGTTCTCAAAATTGCCCCGAGATTGTTTGGTTCCCGAACATTGTCACAGATCACAGTTAAGGGTAGCGGATTTTTAAGCACGACCAATTCGGAATCAGGTATTTTGAAAACGCCTAGGATTTTAATATCAATACTTTAGAACTGAGAAATTTTTAGCCTTACCCATTATTCCGGGATTCGTGGTTAAGTCAGACCAAACCTGCATTTCCCTGTAGGGCATTTTATACAATTTCGCTCCCAGTTTCGGCAAGTAACGTCTCAAATCTTCAACGTCACTCACGCGGCTAAACAATATATATTCTAATTTACAGCCGCTCAGCAACGCCTCGGTAATCAGTCTCTTTCCTTCCAGAAGCATCAAGTCATTTTTCTCCTTTTCCCGTTTCGATTTGATTTCTGCCATGAGTTTAGCTATCCTAAAATCGTTGTTTCCCATTTTCGTGTAGATGAAATTGCCGTCCCCGTCTATGATAGTTTCCAGCATGTCTGCGGTTCCAGTTGGCTTAGCGCGTGAGCTCGCGCTCGAAACTATAGTCAACGGTTTAACCGATTTGAACTTGCGTCGAGTTTCTTTGACAACATCGTCACTTTTTGCGCTTTTAACAGTGTGTTTCCACTGTATTTTAGAGTAACCAGTGGAACGTTTTTCAACGCTGCTCGTCTGCTGTTGTATATTAATTTCCGCATCGTTTTTGATGTCGTATTCGTCGGCGGCGATTACTTTTACGGGACGTCTATGTGCCCATCTCGGTAAGGATCTAACTTGCTGTTTGCTGACCGAAAACGCCTTGCAAAGAGACAAAGGGAATAATTTCGCCATTTTTCAAACTGCGCGAATAGAGGGTAGTGCCTCACTCGTCCTCTTTTGTGGTGCATAGGCAAGGCACATAGTCCGATCAGTTTCATTGAAAATTTTACTAAAGTAACAAAGGGCCACTGAATTTATGTATCACGGTCGATGTTCTCTTATTAGGATTTATTTATTTATTTTTGAAGTCAAAGTATATTTGATACTTATGTGAATAAGGGCCTGAATGGAAATGGGCGAGTACCCCTACTAAATTTGTTTTTAGGTTATGTCAAATGTTATAAAGTATAAATTAGATTGTCAAAAGTTGTGATTGCTTGTGTTTACATTGTAGTTTGTTTCAACGCTTCTTGTGTGGTAACATTCGCAATGTCCAAGGAGGAGCCTCCGTTAAAGGTAAAATTTTAAATTCAAGTTGCATTAAAGTTACGCACCATGTTTTTTTTAGAGGTACAGACGCGAAGAAAACAAAGGTTCTGATTCAGAGGACGGGAGTTACGTTCCATACGTACCCGTTAAGGAAAGGAAAAAGCAACAGTTACTTAAATTAGGACGTTTGGGTCAAGTAAATGCAAAAATTAAGCATCCTTTTACGTCTATATGAGTTAATGTTGTAAATTTTTAAATTTTAGCTGAAAGAGGCGGAGCAAAACAAAACTAAATCATCAAGCGAAAACGAGACTAACGAAGACGACGAGGAAGATGAAATCTGGGGTAGAAAAAACAACATTCCCTTGTTGGATCAACACACGGAACTCAGAAAACTGGCTGAGGGTATGCAAAGAAAAGCTCTCCATTTTTATTCACTTTTTTTGGCTTCTTTATTTTCTAGCCAAGAAAGTAAGTGCAGTGGAAAGGCAACTGAGGAAGGAGGAGGAGATTTTAGAAATTGTAGCCGAGAAAAAGGCCCTTATGGGAGTTTCCGAACTAGCCAAAGGTATCCAGTACAGTGAGCCAATAAAAACAAGGTGAATAACACCTATAATTTAATAAAAAGCACCCTTTATTCGTTTTATTCTGCAGCTGGAGGCCTCCAAGGTATGTGTTAACCCGGCCACACACTGTCCATGAAAAAATTCGAAATGACCTTAGGATATTGGTGGAAGGGGACGAAATACCGCCTCCACTTAAAACATTCAGAGAAATGAAACTCCATGAGGGCATAATATCGGGCCTCAAGGAAAGGAAAATAAAAAAACCCACTCCCATTCAAGTCCAAGGGATTCCCACTGTGTAAGTTTCCAAACCTGGTGCAGCGAGTCGCTTCTAGTATATACATTTTCAGATTGTCAGGGCGTGATATGATTGGGATAGCTTTTACCGGTTCTGGAAAAACCCTGGTTTTTGTGTTACCTTTGATAATGTTCTGCCTCGAACAGGAGGTTAAAATGCCTTTTATCAGAAATGAAGGACCTTATGGGTTGATTATATGTCCGTCAAGGGAGCTTGCCAAGCAAACCTTCGACATTGTACAACATTACAGCATCAGTTTACGAAAGCACGGTATGCCGGAAATTAGGAGTTGCCTGGCTATAGGCGGGGTGCCAGTGAACGAGGCTATTGAAATCATACAAAAGTATAATCCAACAATAAAAGTGTTTTTTGTTTGATGGTGACTGTTGTAGGGGAGTGCACATAATGGTGGCAACGCCCGGGCGGCTGATGGACATGCTCGAGAAGAAAATCGTCAAACTGTCGGTGTGCAGGTACCTGTGCATGGACGAGGCCGACCGAATGATCGACTTGGGCTTTGAGGAAGACGTCCGGACTATCTTTTCCTACTTTAATGTGAGTTGCATGTATGTTTTTGTTCGTGTCCAACACTGAGCGAGGTATTTTTGCAGGGTCAAAGGCAAACGTTGTTGTTTTCCGCCACCATGCCCAAGAAAATTCAAAATTTCGCTCGATCCGCTCTGGTGAAGCCCATAACGATTAATGTTGGCCGCGCAGGTGCCGCTTCCATGAACGTTGTACAGGTTAGTTTCTTTTAAATTATACACCAAATAAAATCTCTAAAAACTTGCAGCAATAAGGTGCTTTATACTTGTACTGAAACTGGCACTATTCTTAAAAAGTAAATAGCAAATTATACCGAAACATTACATCGGCGTCGCAATATGCCAAAACTATATAAAAATATCAAGTATTACATAAAATACAAGTACTAAAAACGATAAAACATCTTTAAACTTTAATTGTACAGCACCTTGGGCCTTTTGACACAACCACAGATAGCATTTTTGGTCACAGACCGTCACTGATTGTGTGGACGTCTATTCCAAAACCAATATTAAAAAAAAAAGGTCGGAAAGGTAAGCGGTCTGTGACTGGAACATATGGTCCATGCAAATGTTTTTTCTATGACACCTGCTAGCCCTTAGAATCATAGGTTATATACAGCTACATGTAGTTAATTGTATGTGCTTAGGAAGTTGAGTACGTGAAGCAGGAAGCCAAGATCGTGTACCTGTTGGAATGTCTTCAGAAAACTACACCTCCGGTATTGGTTTTTGCGGAAAAAAAACAGGATGTGGATGCGATCCACGAGTACTTGCTATTGAAGGGCGTGGAGGCGGTCGCCATCCATGGAGGCAAAGACCAAGAGGAGCGGTCCCGATCGGTGGAGGCGTTCAGGAAGCAGAAAAAGGACGTGCTGGTCGCTACGGACGTGGCATCGAAAGGATTAGATTTTCCCGATATTCAGCACGTGATAAACTACGATATGCCGGACGACGTGGAGAATTATGGTGAATTATCGGACGCCAACGAAAAAATAAAGTTAAATGATCGCTATTCTTGTGTGCAGTGCATCGGATAGGTCGTACCGGTAGATCCGGCAACAAGGGTCTTGCGACCACTTTCGTGAACAAGTCCAACGATGAAATGGTACTGTTGGACCTGAAGCATCTGCTCATCGAAGCCAAGCAGAAGGTACCCGCGTTTCTGTCAGAGCTTTGTCCCGAGAGCGAAAAGTACCTTGAATTGGGAGGTATGGTGCTGTCTGCGATTGAGAACGGTAATTTCTTCATTTTTGTTTTTCTAGACGAAAGAGGGTGCAGCTATTGCGGCGGTTTGGGACACAGGATCACCGACTGTCCGAAACTCGAGGCGTTGCAAAATAAACAGGCGTCCAACATCGGCCGCCGCGATTATTTATCGAACACCGCCGCCGATTATTAAAAACGAGATCGTTCTGTACATAATTTTTGTTTTTTGTAAAAAAAATGATTGAAATAGAGGTTTTTTTATTCGTTTTTGATTTGGGAGAAAATAGTAGAGAATAAAGTGGTCAGGACTCTTAAATTCATTAGAAACGCATTTCTATCCCTAAAAGTCTGAATTAATTCATCCAGGTGTTGACTATATCTAAAAAAAATAAATCAAAAAAGGCATATCACGCAAACTAGCAACAGGAAACACAACAAAAACTGTTTGAATCATTACTCTTCTTTCTATTTCTCAATACGTTTCACAATATCCGTTAGGCAAAACTGTTTCGTCGAAGATCTGTGACATTTCGATCACAGATGCAACGCATCACTTGTTACTGTCACTCGTTGAAAAAATTTGTTTTATATCGATTCAAAAAAAAAGTGCCCTCATTGTTCCATCTTGGGCTTCTAGGCCCACGTCGCACATTCACAACCAAAACAGCAAATTCTGTAGGCAACGGCCAAGAATCGTAAATCTAATACGATTACCCAATCCTATAAGACATACGTTCGCCAAAATTATCGATTGCACGTGGTCGCTTGTGACGTAAACGAAATCCTCTAACGGTTTTTGTGTATTCTGTCAATACGTTTGAAGTCGTATTAAACCGTTGTTGTATTTTGTGTTCTTTGAACAATTAAAATAATTTAAACTAGTGAGTAGTGCGCTTACGTTTGTGTTAATTGTATTTCTGTAAAAAAAAACTTGGACAAAAAAGTGTTTAAGCTTTAACAAATACTTTAAAATTGTATGTGCTTGAGTGGCGAGAATTGAGAAAACAGTATTTTTAACCTTAAACAAAGATTTAAAAGTTTTGCGTTCGTGCTGCTTATTAGCGGTGTTATTAGTTAGGAGGTAAGCTCAAAATATTACACATAATAATATAGGTAAAGGTAAGAAATACTTTTCTTTTACCTTTTTTAGTGGGATAAGTTACATCAAAAAATAGTTAGGTATGCCCGGAACGAGATGTGCCATGTATGGGTGCACTAACAACTATTTTGTTGAAAAAGCAAGTTCTCGAAAATGTAGTTTTCATCGCTTTCCCAAAGGGAAAGATCTAGTATCCCAAACTATTCGGAACGAGTGGATAGTTCGGTGTAGAAGAGGGGACAAACTTAATCCCGATAAAAGCTATATCTGCTCAGTTCATTTTACTGAAAATGATTACGAAAGAGACTTACAAAATAAGTTATTAGGTATTTGTTTTTGTCTTGAGTAACACATTAAATTCATCACAAAATTTAAATTTTAGGCTTACCTTTAAAAAAGATTCTAAAAAAAACTGCTGTTCCCACCCTATTATTATTTAACCAGAAGCCACCAACAGGAACAGGCGTGTCTAGATCAAAAAGACTTCATTCCAAAAATGCCAAAAAAGAAGCTCAGCAGGTATTGTCTGAGGTTTTAGCAACAACATCGAATGCCACAAGTGAAATTCTACAGAAAAATCCATCTCCAGGACCCATTCCAGAACCCCAGTCAGAACATATCTCCCTTAGTCTAAAAAGAAAATCTTTGCAAGATGATACCCGCAGAAAAAAAATTAGAAAGTATGGTAAAATTGTAAAATAAAGATTTAAGTCTATGTAGTAATATGTATTTTTTATAGTATTATTTACCTACCACCTATACATAGTTGTTATGTATGCCTAATATATTTTTTGTTTTTTAATATGTTCTTTAAGATAATACATATAAGCCATCTTGATTTTACCCTACCTGAGGCCCACCCTACGCTACTTCCCAATAATTATTAAATAAGTACTAAAACTATTTAATGTTGGCATTAAATGAAAATAGAGAATGATTATCCAAACAAAATGCTATATTAGCTACTCAAAATACTCAAAGTCGATCAAAACTCGGGCCAATACAGGACTTCATCTACGTCACAGCCGGCGAGAGTTTTCGCATTGCACTTGCGGACAGATTTGACGGATTAGGCAATCCTATTAGGTTTACGATTCTTGTTCCAGATCCACGTCGCAGATTCACAACGAAAACAGCAGATTCTGTAGGCAGCGGCCAACAATTGACCTGCCACATGCAACGGTATCTACAAATCCTTCTTCATTTTTTAAAATGGACACTCGCCCAACACCGACCGACATTCGTAGAGAATTCTTAACAGACCGCGACTTATTCAATGACTTTTTGTGTTAGTCCCTAATCATATCGTTTGAAACCTAAACCAAAAAATTGGGTGATCGGCAAAAACAGAGGGACCCGGAACACTTAGTCTTTCAAAGCGTTCGCAAAACTCATAAAAAAAAATTACACAATTCAGACTGACATCAATACTTTTAAATCGAATCATTCCCCTCTTTGAATCGTGTTAACCAAAACTATTAATGTCATCTGGCTAGGTCAATTGAAAATATTAAACTTTTCCTAAACAAAAACACAACCGTCTGTCGGCGCAGCGCGAAGGAAAGACCATATCGATAATATTCGGGTGAATTAAAGCGGAATCGAAAAATTCTATTTCGTAAACATTCGCTCACCCTACTGAATAGAAACACCACATGGCCATGGACTACAAAAACCAGTGTTGGAAGTATATTTGGTGACGTCACAAGCTATACTAAAAATTAGTAATAAAATAACAAACGAAAAACGATGAATTGTCTTTCCAACTTTGAAGCCCAGTGGAATTTTTTCACGAGAACGTTTGTGGTCTGCGGATCCGCGAAAAAGTCGATAGGTTCGCTTTTGCGCCGAGATCCGAGTTTCCCGCAATGAAAGGCGATATTTTTTCGAAATAACTAAGTCGCGGCTGCATCGCGAAACCGCCGATAACAAATTCTCCCAAATATCAAAGTTTATCAGCGTGCGGCAAACATCAGGGCAAGGCCGCCCCGATTACTAGCAGCGTGACGTTCGTTTATCGCGATTTTGTCAAATTTATCATACCGATCGGTCAAATCCTCACGAGACGCAAGTTTTTATCGATGGAATGGTCGCGGCTTTGACACGGATAATACGAAAATGAAGTTCTGACAAAATTCAGCGTCGTGCCCTTTTTCCTCGTATAGCCAATAAAGGTACGTTTACTTACACTTAAGAAAATTCTTTTAATCCGTCAGATAACTAGCTAGGTAGAAGTGGGATGTACGTGTTTAGCGTCTTTCATAAATTAAGCAATTAAAACTTGGCTTGGTATTTAGACATAGGCGATGGAAATTTGCGAGAAATCGATAAACCTGGATGAACCGAGGTACGACCAAGATACTTACCTAGGCAGGGCCAGACATTTTTTTCTCACCACCAATCCGCTAAACTTGTTCGTATCCAGTTCCAAACTCGAAGAAGCCAGATGTTTAGTCCAGAAATACAAGTAAGTAAATAGATTAAGACGCTAGAAATCCAACTTAATTTTGGCACTGTTATTATCGACATGATTTTGGAAATACCACGTACACATATATTTCACAAAAATACTCAAGTCGTGCGAATATGAAAATAATTTTAAAAATACGCAGATGTGGCGAAATCGCCCCGGACACACTCACCGAAGATGAACTGTGGCGGGCCAAAACCTTGTACGATTCGGCGTTCCATCCGGACACGGGCGAAAAGATGGTCCTGATCGGTAGAATGTCCGCGCAAGTGAGTTAAAGCGGTAAAAAAAAACAAGTTTCACCCAACCACAGAATCCCAAAAAATAAAAAAAGTATCAAAAATTAAGTTTACTACTTCTGATACCATTTGTTATCGAATTTTCTCTGTATATTTAAATACCTGCAAGTTCTTATAGCTTTAGTGTTAAGGCTGATTAACTAGCCGCCATTTTGTCAACGTTGACACACTAAACGGTTTCTTCTTCTTAAAACTACACAGCCTACTCAGCACCTGCTGAATCAAATTAAAGCATTGATCTTGAATCTGCCAAATTAGAAAAGGTTCCGTAGCAAATCCAAATAAATGTAGTAAATGTCTATTTTTTGTTATTGGTTTTATATTTTATATGACTGAAATTATAAAAAAGCTTATTTAACAATATATTCCATATAAAAACGTAACGGAACTTGTAAGCTTGTCATAATGAAAATCGATGGAAATTGGTGAAATCCTAAACAAACACCAAGACAAAATGACCAACCCAGTGCGTTATGATTGGTACTCAGGCTGGTACAGAGTATAACAGGACCACAGACAACATTATTGACGGTTGGTAAAACTCAAGGGAACGTAGAGGGCGCTAACATCAAAATATGGCGGCTAATCATTCTGCATTGCTAAATTTCGTCGTCATAGGTGCCGATGAACATGCTGATTACCGGCGGGATGATTACGTTTTACAAATCAGCCCCGGCAGTAGTCTTTTGGCAGTGGCTGAATCAGTCGTTTAACGCGCTCGTGAACTATACGAATAGAAGTGGCGACGTAGTTCAGACAGATAAGTAAGGCTGTCTATTCTGTGTCGGTATCCGTTTGTGAATCGTACGATTTTTCGCCGTAGGCAAATCTTGACGTCATACGCTTTGGCGACGACTGCGGCGGTGGGGACGGCTCTGGGTCTCAACAGTTTGGTGAAGGTGAGATTTTTTCTTTCGGTTTATAGGATAATGTTAAAATGTATATACTATGTCATCTTGGATATTTTTGATTTTTGTTTCATTATTTTCCGTTAAAAAATGGGTCAGAATACTACCAAGCAAAACGAATTTTTATATAATTACATTTTTCAAAAATTTTAATACTGGGGGTGAAGTTTTTGACAAACAATTGTAATTTTATTTTTAATGTTTTCCAAGTTAAAAATTAAATAAATTTTGGTTAAATTATTGTCATTTTAACAAGAGCATGTACAAAGTTGTGGAGATCGTTGATAGTTTTTCATTTATAAATACTAGAATCTAAAAATTGCTTAAAATTGTGTGGGGCGAATTTTTTCTAAAATGATTAGTTCTAACCAAAAAAAAAGAAAAGTAAAACTAAACATTTTAGTTAATGTTTCATGAATCGCCATGTTATAACGTCAACATCTTTGACAACATAGCATATTCTTCTTCTTTATATTTCACAGCATGCTGGGCAAGACTGCTCGGACCACTCGCCCATTACCTACTCCTTGGCATGCCATATTGGTTGCTAACTAGACCATAGATAAAAAAGTATCTTATTTTAAGAGCTGTATAAACAGTATAAAAGGCAAATTCGCCAACTTAACAATTTTAAAGTTTTTTTCTTTTAATTTAATATATTTCGTTTTTTTTTTAAATATGTCAAAAATGTGACCCTTGCAAAAGCCGCAAAAATGCAAAAATAACCTTAACTTTTATCTTTAATTAGTGGAAGAAAAAACATTTCTTATAAAATGAACTCCCATTCGATTCGAATCGATGTACGAGAGAAAAAAGTTAGTTAAACACCTCCTCATCCCACCAAGGATATTTTTGTTTTTACCACACGCCACCTAGCGAATTTTGAACGAAATACCTCTTTAGCGTGGCGACACGGCAATGACCGGTGTTGATTTTTTGTGCCCCGCAGAAGATGCCCCCTCTCGTCGGCAGGATGGTCCCCTTCGTGGCAGTGGCGGCGGCCAATTGTGTCAATATACCGCTGATGAGGGCCCAGTAAGTACATATATATATATACCGGGTTAGTAAAAATTACAGGAACGCTTAAATATCCGCAACGTTGGAAAGATAAATTTCAATACCTAACAGCAGTGTTGCCGGATTTACCACTTTTACGTTACACCTCATAATTTTGTTATTTTACATGGAATTCTCGATTTATGTTTGTCGCAATTTTTTGCGCATGTCAAATTTAGTAACGTCTCAAAAATGCTAACAGCAATGTTGTCAGATTTCGCTTCACTTCTAACGTTTCCATGTTTAAACACCTCCAATATTCAGGCAATTTTTTGGTGAATCTGACAACACTGTTAGCATTTTTGGATTCGACATGTTCCAAAACTTAGAAACAACATTGAGACTTTGCTAAATTCGAAATCCGCAAATCGTTGCAACAAAAATAAATGGGATTGTTTCATTTAAAATAAAATTATGACCTGGTACAAATAAAAAAAATGTTAAGTGAAAAGAGCAACAGATAAAGAGCCAAAGTGTATGTGACAGAATACAAACTTTTTAACGTAAAAGTGGTAAATCTGACAACATTGCTGTTAAGTAAATAAGCAATTATTGAAGAAAAAACATTTCAGTAGTGTTTTAAACTTAAAAAAGTGATTTATGTCGATAGAGAAAAATATAACAACATAAACATAGGAATTTAAAAAATTAACTGCCGAGAGTGGTCTAGGTAATAGCTAACCAAATAATGAAAAGAGGAAGTAGCAAGTTTCCCAGACGCAAATTGCTTTTCAGTCCAGTTAATCCTAGACAAGCCAATTTGGGAATCAGTCATCCGAGACGGTGTTGATACCCCTCATTAGCGCCCCCCCCCCCTCAAACGATATATAAGCAGGTACAGAGTAAAATACGATCCAGTTTCTGTCAAGCTCTGAAGAAGCCAACAGGATGATTGGCGAAACGTCAGCAATTTCCACTGAGCAAAAAGTATTACAGTAGCCTGTGGAAGTTTCTTTGAAAAATATATAACATGTTAAAAATTGAGATACAGTAATTTTTTTGTCATTTTTATGGTCGGGTTTGGGGTTCCAGGGAACTTAGACACGGCACCCCCGTATACGACATAAACGGTAACAAATTGGGGTACTCCAAGGTGGCCGCCCAGCATGGTATCGGACAGGTGATCCTCAGCAGGATAGCCATGGCGCTTCCAGGCATGGGTAAACTTAAAAAAATATAAATATATTGCAAAAATTCCCCTAAACTGATTTTCTTCGACGCAGTGGTCACCCCGGTGGTGATGGACTACTTGGAAAAAAGGGGCACCCTGTGCCGGTACCCCTGGCTGGCGTTGCCCGCCTCCGTCGGCATCCTCGGACTCTGTTTGACGTGCGCGACACCATTGGCGTGCGCGTTCTTCAAGCAAAAGGCGTCGATTCCCTTTGCGCACCTCGAGGACGACCTGCAGGTATAAGAAAACCGCCACCGCGTCACCCCGACGATCCCACCCGTTGGTTTTTCAGTGCAGGTTACTGAAAAAATTCCGCTGCTATCCGCCCCCGTACCTATTCTACACGAGAAGGTTCTTCCTGACCCACTGATATCCCGCCGCTCCCATAGCGTCCCCGCCGTCGCCATCTTATATTTCGTAAATAAATTAAGTCGATTTTGGGTCAGGGCGTTTGTTCTTTTCAGGAAGAGGCGAGGAAAAAGCTGGACGTCGGCGGTATCGATAGGGTGTTCTACAACAAAGGGCTCTAAGTTTAAGCGACAATAATTTTTGTGTCTTCCTTATATCGTGTTAGTTGTTACTAAGCTGTTACTCAGGGTCGTTATTTTTTTTATCGAAATACAGGGTGACTCCAAAAGTTATATATCTAAAACCAGCTCTCTGAAAAATCAACTGGAACTTTTAGAAGCACCCCGTATATTTAGGTGGCTAACAACGTACAACAATTTAAAACTATGCAAACGTAGGCGTCAAGTTCGTTAAGAAATGGGCGAACGTCCCTGACAAACTGGCCCACGCCGAAGTAAGAAAGAAGGAAGAAGACTAAAAAAAAACGGGCCTAAAAATTGACGATTTTTTTTTGTTTAACCGGGTGTGTGACGAGTCGGTAATAAAAGTCAAGCTTACAGTGTACGTATTTTATTACCAATCAGTGTGAAATAGATAAGGAGTGATCGGGTATCATCCTCGGCTGACACGATTTCCAGCTAGAATAGAAGACCTCGTCGGGATTCCTGGCCAATTTCACCACGCTCGAAAACTCGGGCAAAGCGTAAACATAACCTAAAAGATTGAATATGCCATAAATCATGTAACAAAAGTACAGTCAACTTGAGTCACGATATACGACATCAAACAAATTCAAAATAATTTATCAAAAATCAATTAATTATTACAGATAACATTCCTTTCATTGATGTAGGCTGATGGAAAGACTAAGAAAGGAACAGATTGGAATTTTTGAAGTGTTAAAAAAATAAAAAAAATGTTCTCAGGATTCGCTAATTCGAGGACCCAATTCTTTGTTTCGCCTGCTTGAAAATGACGCCCAACCCATTTTTTACTTACCGGGGAACCAAGCGGGATGATGGGTACCCCGCAATTGCACCCTCGAAACGTACGGTACCGGGTCGACGTCGACGAAGTACTCGATACCTTTGGTCAGTTCCGTTTCCAATTTTTCCAAATCTGCCAATTCGGAAATATCGATCGGGTCCAAGATCTCGATGGGTTCCGCTCCGACCGTGTTAACTATGGCCTCAATGTCTGACAATTGATCACCGATTAATGTGCGCTCTTAACTTTTTTTCTTTGAATCATTTTCGCGAGGAAACTTTTTAATAAGTGGTGCCATCTGTCGGCGAGTGACAGCCCAAGTAATAACTTCGGATGGTTAGGAATCTGTAATTTTGCTAACTTGGGCACGGGGGATGCACAACTAGCCAATAGCTACTACTGATCTTTCATTTGTTATTTTTAAAAAAGCAAATGTCGGTGGCTAATTTTAGTGACATTCTATGTAGTATAATTGGTTGAGTAGTAAAATTAGAACTCGAGTTCAATTTTAAAAGCAACACCCGCTTTTCGGTACCGCTTCGAATGGCGTAAGTAGTATTTCTAATACGGTTCTGATCGATTGTAATGGTCTCGCAATTCCCTTTTTAGACTTTTTACAATTAGACGTTTACTAAGCAAAAAATATTGAGAAAGATTCAAGCTGGTAGAAACAGTATTTAAAGTACCTTCGTCGCCCCAAGGCGATTCCTCGTCCATAATCGGCTTGAACGGTCTTGTGGTTCTACCTAGAAAATGTCGGATAATTAACATTTATTGTTTGATAATTTGCAGTTATAGTCCAACCCAGTCCAGGGCAAATTATATAAATCAAATCAAAAACACAGAGACTACCAAAATGTTGTGCAGTTGCAAAGGTACCAGCAAAAATAATTTCAATTTTTTATGTAAAGTTGTAATAGCAGTGTTTTTACAAAAAATTATATGTCGGTGTTAAAAAACTAACGTAATTAGCAATAAACTGAATTTTATCTTATTAGTAACAATATTAAGCAGTTCAATTTATTTTAGCAACTATCCAGAATCACTGGTATTTAATACCTGGTAGCGGAAACAGGACTGTATGGAAAATTACATATAAAAACAAAATAATAATAATATATATTTCTTGCGCTTCGTATTTACACTTATCTCTTAGCATCAAACCAAAAGCACAGCTAAAAAAAGGGAGAAAATTCTACTTCGGCTAATTATCTTAGACTAATATTAATTACTAATTAATTTTGCAGTCCCGTAAACAACTAGTCAAATTGCACGTATAGATATTAAACAAGAGACTGAAGTGATTGAAAAACATAAATTTTTCGTGATAAAGCGGAGTATTCTACCAAGACAGAAGTATCATTCCCAAGGTTAATTAATTTATCCACACCCATCGCAATGTTATTTGTCTTTGTTATCAGTCGATCATAAGTTTATTCCTTTAGTTATTGTTTTTGTATTTTTATTGTTGTTGTCTTTTTCTAATTTATTTTGTTCTACAATGGAGGGAGGTAATTTTACAAACGAAGAAAAATGTGATATGCTGTCTTGCTACATCTGATGCCAAAGAAATTGTGTGGAAGCCGAGCGTATGTATTCTAACAAATACCCAGAGCGGAGACAACCTGACAAGAGTATTTTTCGGCGTTTGTTATTTAATCTGAAAGAATATGGATCATTTAAGAAGCCTGCATTATCCCGACAAAAACCTTCCAATGAAGAAAACCAATACATTGTTCTACAATCTGTTATCGAAAATCCACAAACTTCTACCAGAGAAATTGAAGACCAGAATGGGGTAGCTAAATCTACAGCTCAGTTTATTTTAAGGAAAAATGAATTTAAGCCTTACAAATTCAGAATATGTCAAGGATTAAAACCGGGTGACGACGAACGACGTAGACATTTTTGTGAGTGGTATACCAGGATGTGTGATGAGAGTTTTAATTTTCCATATAAAGTGATTTGGTCTGATGAAAGTATGGTGACCAATAACGGTATTTATAACAGGCGCAATACACACTATTGGTCGCAACAAAATCCACGTGTTAATAGACTATCCAGACATCAAGTTCGCTTTGGGTTTAATATTTGGTGTGGGATTTTTGGTAGCAAGATTATAGGCCCTATTTTCTATAATAATTCCTTAACTTCCGAGCGGTACCTTGACATCTTGAGGCACGATTTAGAAGATGCCTTAGATGATTTACCGCTAGGCGCTGTGCAAGGCTGCTGGTTCCAACAAGATGGTGCCCCAGCCCATAACTCCAGAGAAGTTCGCCAATATTTAACTGAACGGTTTGATGGAAAATACATTGGGACTTACAGTGAAACACCTTGGCCTCCAAGGTCCCCGGACTTAACTCCCTTGGACTTTTTCTTATGGGGCTACATAAAAAATGAGGTATTCAAAGAGTTCAGTACGAGCAGCGTTTAATAAAATTACTCCTGAAATGTTAAGTCGTGTTTTGGAGTCTACCGTGAGACGGGCGTACTTATGCCTAGAAAATGGAGGTCATTTATTCGAACATTTGTTATAGAATTTGTTTTTCATTAACTTGTTGGATTTAGTTGTTATGTTAAATGAACAGTTAGAGTTAGTAAATAAATAAACACATTAACTCGAACTTGTCAACCATTTTCTTTTGCCTTTCATCGTTCGGATCTCATGGCCTACTACAATAAAATACTAGAAATGTATTAAAAAGCCATTTTTCTGGATAAAAACATAAGTAACCGTATTGTATCGTACATCGTTGAATTCGCAATGAAAAGCACAACCTAATACTGTGTGTACTTTTTTTCCGTCCCATAAGAAAAATCAAAGTTGATGGTGGTTCCATGGAATCGAAACGCTGTAATGAAAATTTGTTAACGTCAATTTGGAGAGATTAAAAAGTACCAATGGAAAAGTGTTTTCCGTTTTTTCATATCTTTTCAAATAGCTTTAAAAAATAATAAAAACGAAATCGCAATATTTCGGTTTTCCTCGGATATTTCCGGAACGGCTTGGAATTTTCAAATTTGTAAAACGGGATCTTGTTCGGTATCAAAATGCGCAACTTTTGTCTAATTTAACCGACACTGTATCTCTTATAGTTTCCGAGATCCCCATGCTGTGCATCCTTATCTTGGACACACTGTATACTATGGTTGGATCTGACTAATGACTGATATGAATATGCAGATACGAACGCAGTGATAAGGAAGAAGTTTCTTTTTTTGTAAGTATAAGAAAGTTTAAGTTAAGTATAAGAAAGTTTTATATTGTAGTAAAATTATTGCCACGACATAATATAAAAAGTGCTGAGTACAGAAGCCTCGAAACTGACAGCTGTAAATCAAAACTAATTAAGGCCACTTAAATATTTAAGGTGATCCGTTATTTGTCATGTCAAGTTATTTATCGTCGACAATATCGTAAGAAGTGCGGTAAACCTTATTTGAGTCACGAGTTTATTTGACACGAGCGGAGCGAGTTTTTAATAAACGAGTGAGTTAAAAAGTTTACCAAACGTGTTGCATACTATACTTTTTCTATGACCGTTAGTTTTTGGGTACATTTCCGCAAAACAACACGAATACCTTATTACAAATATTACAAATATCTCCGAAAACATTCGATTGCTCCCAAATCCGTGCGGTAAAATCCCGGAGATGTCCGAAGTGGCTCGGATTCATGGGAAACGAAACTGACGTATTAAAGTGACGCTTCCCGCACGCTAGACCGGTGGGTAATTAGGTATTTTACAGACGGGAGTTGAAAAATACCTTTCCCGGGGGTAGAGTCTAAAGCACCTTCCATGACCTTGGTAAATATGTCGACATACGGCAGCTCCTCGATATTGGCTGTATTTCTATACACGTCTGTGAGTTTGTTGAGGTCCGCCGTCATCGCTTCCTTGTGGACGTTCATATCTAGCTCGTGGGGTACGACCACGTCTTGCAGGGGTCCCGGACCCACGGAACTACGACGAAAAAGAGGATGGGGGGGATGTTTAGGTTTTCGAGTGACGCCACCTCAAAGTTATGGCGCGTTCCGGCAATTTGGTTTCGAATAGCGAATTGAAAACTTGATCGGGAGTACATTGGGGCGCCACCCCACTCTCGATGGCGTGCAATATCGTCGCTATAGCTTCCGGCGGTGTTTCGCTTAGGGCTCCGTCCGCTGTCGGCATCGGATTGACCACGGACTTGAAAGATATATCATTGTAGCTATTTCAATTTTTGGGAAAAGTTTTCCGATAAACCTGCTCCAACAAAGCCATCGATTCGGAATTCATTCGCAGCTTGCGGAGCCGCTTTTTAATCCCGTACTTTTCCGGCGACAGCGGCAGCTCCGGCGGCGCCATCTTCAGCGTGTTATCCACGTCTTCCGTTTCCTCTTCGACCAATCGCTCTAGTTCGACGGGGTCCAGGTCTACCGTTAGCTAAAATTTGGATGTCTTTTGTTTTGCGATACTTCCTCCACCAAATACGGTTATAAAGGTATTAGCGCAACGTCGAGTTTTAATTTAACAGTAAAGCACATTGTTTCATCAAAAAAGTGGAATGGACACAATATCCTCGTATAATACGACCAAAAATATAGTGCATTTATTGCTTTGACGTTTTAACTATTTTACAGTCAAACCTAATGACAATTTAGAAGACCAACTACTTCAGCAAATATAAAAACGGATCGATTTGCCTTCGGATGCTAAGCAAACTGTTTTCAATATTTACAATTTTATAAGAGATTCAGAAGGGGAAGTAGGCGCCGCACTAAAAACAAGTGACATGACTAAAGTCCCGGGGTCAACTGTAATTTTGTTTTTTTTAAAGGGCAACAGGCATAGGCGTATAATCTACAGCGATTATAAAGTGCACAGTTTTTAACCCTAAAAGAAATCCATACAAAAGTACCGACAGACTTAAGCATTGGTTGTGTTAAATTGCCAAATTGGGTTTTCAGTTCTAAACAATTAATAAACGTCAAGTACTAATAAATAATAAAAGAAGAAAATATTTATCGAGAACGATTAGTGGCGGAGTTGATCATTGACAGAGCGATAGTAACGATTTTTTAAATGACTGATGCTTTATTATTATTATATTTAATATGTTGTATATTAATAATGATATTATATAGAAATGTAATGAAATAGAACGTAATAAATTGTGACTTTGTACTATTTTTTTTTTGACGTACATGTTTCAAGAATTGCTCGTCGAAAAAGATGGCAAACATACTTATATCCCACTTGTTAATGTAGGTAAATAAATTCCTGGGACGGTCCTGGAATGGTTATGGTAGTAGGCAAAGTTAAGCACGGGGTCGGTTGTAAAAGCACTATATTTCTGGTCGAAGTATATGTCGCATTGGAGGCTTTTTATAATAAAAGAGAACTCCATTACAAGTCTTTTGTTTAATTTGCGTAATGAGGTTCGGACATAAGCGCGCGAGATGCCAGGCAGAGAGTCCCACATTCTAACCTCTCAAGACCACAGACCACCGAACAACCCTGATGCAACAGTATACACACCCTTGTAACTTCTCTGGTGACGTCCCTCGCTGTGGTCGTGTAGCTCGGTGTTACCGCGATAGTTTCTTTTACACTAGTCACATCCCTTCCCTAGATACGATAACCATTTAAGTTAAGAGAATGACGTATGAGGTAGAAATCTACCTGTGATGGCAGTCCGTAGTCCGGATCTCTGGGAAAAAAAGCGTCACTTACTGCATGAGTGGATCGATTTATCTCCGGAATCGTTTAGTTTTTTCCGCGTCAAATCGACCCACGTCACAAACAAAAACAGATAAACAAAACTCACTTAGGAGTGTGACTCGACACCACACGCGAAAGCTTCATTAATGAGACTTTACCCTAGCGTGATCAACTCTCAACTTCTCTATGGCTGACAAGAGCAATAACAAGAAATTGATGAGAAAGATATTGATTGATTGGACAGTTTCGGGAGTCGAAAACATAACGGAACCTCCAATAGACCCCCAAATCGTTGAGAGACGGGAGAAGTATATGAGCACAGACACAGCTAGACAAACTGTGGTGCGCAGGTGCCAGACCAAAACCGGTCTCAATTTTGACGTTGAAAATATGGAGAAATTGCATTTTGGAGGTCGAAGAAAAATGACATATCGCATATAAAACCATCACCATTATAAACCAAAAAAGTGAAGTTAGACTGTTACGTATCGACTGCTAGGGCTTAAAAAGGACAGTGTTCTGTTAGTCTTCCGAAAAGATTTTTTTCCTTAGATATAAAATAAGCGTACATTTGTTGGGCGCTCATGGTGACTCTGACTGCTTGACCTGTCGTTTCGTCAATTTCGACGACTGAGATGTTCCGGACAATCTTCTCCGCGTCTCGTTGTTTGTCCACCCTTTTCTCCGTGTAGGTTTGTTGGAGGATGGGCTCTAAGCCGCTGGGGGTACGTATCGTTTGCTGGGGTATTTCTTGGACGTCGTGCCCTCTAGTGTACACCGTGGCACCCGGGTCTTGCATCGACATGTTTATGAGGTCCGTTTCCGCTCGATCTTCGACTAAATCGAAATATAATCTTACCAGTTAAGCTAATTGAGGTGTTAATTTTCTTTTAATAAAAATCACTTTCTGTTATTTTTTTTGAAAATTGATATCCTGATTACAAGTGCTCTATACCAAAATAGTCACTTCACAATAAGATCGTGATCCTTAACAGTGCGATTTATATCATTATATTTTCATTAAATTAAATTTCACTTTTAATTGAGTTTGAATTATCCAACAAAACAAAAAGGGTCAACAAGATGGCAAATTCTACAAATCCAATAGTCCTAAATGGACGGCACGAACTTGTCACTCGTATTTGTCATATACATGTCAATGTCACCATAGTACCAGAATAGTAGTAACTAAAATTATTTTCTGTTTAAAAATTTTCTTTTCGTTTATTTTTCATTCCAAGCAATAGATAATAAATGTTTATTTCTTTTAAAAAATTGGAATAATAATTGATTATCGGTACAACTATATTCGCAATTTCTTCCAAGTTCTAAATAAAAAATCAGAAATAAACGAAATACAAATCTAGTCATATCTTATGTAGAGTCGAGTCTTCAACTAACCTCATGTCTCTTGGAACCGACTGTATTTTTTAAAACGATCTACTTGTAATTAATAAGTAATAATTTAATTGATCTTCCGAAAACATCTTTTGTTATGTTGTTTGACATTTCACGATATTTGCCTAGTTCGTATTTTTAATGGTCAATTATCAGCAAGTAAATTAAAAAGAAGGGTTGGTTAGGTTCGTTATTGGCGTAACCATGCTTTGACTAGTGAGTAAGAAAGAGTTGACGTTTTATCAAATATTCGATGGTCTGATTCGTACCAACATCAGTTCTATTGATTGATTTTATCAATCCAGGATAGCGAAACATTCGTTAGGTCTTTGGTTGCTTAGGAATCTGTAATTTTGTAATCTAAAGATGATTCCCGACCTCCCTCCCACGGTGGATGCAGAAGTAACCTATAAAGACTACTGATCTTTGATTCGTTATTCGAAGAAAAAAGGTGGAGGCGTCTTTTAGGGACATCCCGTGCAATGTAATTGGTTAAATGAGCAAATGAAGTAGTGCTACAGTTCGATTTTTAGAAGCAACATCCGCATTTCGGTGTCCCTTCGAATCGCGTAAGTAGTATATCTAACGCGGTTCTGGGTCAACTGGGTCGAAAGTGTTATGGATTTATTGAAAGTGCAAAATTTCAACACAATATGTAAATCAGTTTCCCTAAAGACGAGGAGAACCGTTTTTTTTCTTTCAACACACATTTCGTCTCCTTAAGGGTCAGCATCTTATTCTGAAACCCTCTGCATGCTTACCGACAGATACGTCCGCTGCAGACATGCCGAAAAGTTCAGCCACCAATTCCGGATCGACCTGCAAAGGATTCAATTTGCTTTTTATAAATATTGTCAATTAAAGGAACATTGCGATGCGTTTGTAAAATTCCTTGTGACGCTCTTAACCCGGACATCGAAATCAGGTACGTAGTCAAACGTTAATTAACCCTAAATTAACCTAACCTAATGAATTATCGTTGTGAAGAGACTGGATAAAGTTTTTCGCTAGTTGTCGTTCTTTCACTGCTCTCTTCGAAGAAGGTTCAACTAGCAATTCGGTATTTATTTTATTTTTTTAGTTTTTTTATTTATTTTTTTATTGTATTAATAATTCTTTTTTGCGTTGCAATTCTGAGGTAGCCATTATTGACATATCGGTTGCAGTTTTATATCCATCATAATCTTGTAGGGCGTAAGCCATCGACAGTAAAAAGTGCTGTAATTGATTTGGTATATTGGGTGACCCTCTGCTGTCTTAGATATTGCCTTGATTTTCTATCGTTGCCAATCTCGGTACATATCTTTTGTGTCGTATTGCCTTCATTCCGCGTCACAGTTTCGTTTTTGGTACCGAAAACTGTAATTATTATCTTCTCGCTTCATTTTTTCTTTAAAATTTATAATCGAACGCTGATACTGCCGCTCCAATTTTAGCGTATAGCCAAGAATAATTCATATCTTTCTGTTGTGATTTACCACGAGGCGAATTTCTGGGCGCATTGCTGGAATTATTGTGGACCCCTTGGTTAAACGAAAACCACACAAGTTTGACGTTTCTATCAGAATCTTAAGCGAGGATACCTTTAGTTAAGTGGTTATTTTTATCTTTATTTGATATTAATTGTTAAGTGGCCACTTTTAAAATACCTGCACGTATATTTTACTTCCAATTTGTGGGCTGAAGAATCTCTTCGCTCAGGTGCGGTTTTCGATAGCTATTTTCATCTATTATATGCCGTACTTTTTACTGTCCCTCCTTTTTTTTACTTTAAAAACTCCAATTGCTTTTGACAGTATGAAATTTGATATTTTAACTCTTATTACCTTTGCTATTATTATTATTTTGCCGTCTTCCCTCTTACTTTTTCATTAATACCCCCCAGTCGATTATGGATTTCGACGGGATCAGCAAAATATCATCAGTCGCCGCGGTTAAAACATCGGGAAGGTGGGCTTGTCTTTTTTTCCAACTTCCATTATCCACGCCCACGCCCTTCCCGCATTCAACTGAGCAGCCCAAAGGCACAAGTTAAGTTAGCACTATTCATCAATTTTAAGTCATATTGCTACGCTTAATAATCGTCAATGGCGTAACCGAACAAAAAACGGCAACGTTGCCCCTGAAACGTCAACGAGGCGCGTCGCAAACGCAACGCACCCCGCGCCTGACCCAATGGCCCGCCTCCTCCTCCGACCGCATCAGCACCGACGTTACGTAATTCCCCGACCCGCCCCTAGAGGTCGCCGTCCGAAAAACGAAGCACTCGAATTTCTCGGCCCCCGCCGTCGGTCTAAACGTCACCGGCGGCATTTCCCAATACCGTCCCGGCAGCTCGATCAACGCGCCGCGCTCGGGGTCGATCCGCGCGCCCACCAAGTGCAAACCCACGACGACGACGCCGTCGTCGACGGCGCCGAGCTCGCATTCCACCGCTACCCGTTCGTATTCGACGCCGGTGTCTCTCGAATATTTCAACTTGACGTCCGCTATCACCGCTCGCGGGTAAAAAAATGCCCCCAGGTTGTAGCAGGGTCGGGTGCGCGCGTTGAAAGTTCTAAAAAACTCCGCGCCGTCTCTCAGATGCTTCAAGAACGTCGGCAGGTTGACGTCGGTGGCGTAGCAGCTGCGTCTCCACGCCAGCGGCACCTGGTTCTCGGCCAGACTCTCGGCGACGCTCTCCACGTTCTCCGACCCCAAGAGCCGTCCGTCTAACCACCGTCGCAGGTCGTCCAGGGACGATCTCGCCACGTTTAGTAATCGGTTGTAGAGACGCGTTTCCCTGACGATCGCGTCGCCGAAATTCCACTCCTCGGCGACGATGTCCTCGGGAATTACGGCGGAAACGTCTTCCACGATGCGGGACAACGAGGCTTCGTCTAACCGGCTCCGGGGGGCGGGGTTTAACTTCATCAGCGACCGCGCCCACGTCTTCAAGTTGGGCTCCAGGTACCGTTCGCTGTCCGGGATTCCTAGCACGTGTTTCACGTGGTCCTCCCTGTCGTGCTTCCACGGTTCTTGCTTCGCCCCCGTCGCCACGCAGCTGGCAAACATCTCGGTCGCGAAACGTCGATCCCATCGCGACTCCAGGTACCCCGCGTACTGGCACTCGCCAATAAAGAACGTCAGTTTCTTCGAAAACAAGGCGTCGTCATCGTCGTTGACAAAGGTCCGCAGCTGCTCCAACGCGAATGTCCGATCGGGGGTGGTGAACGCGTACATTTCTCGCCGCTCTTCGAACATCTGGCGAGAGCGCAGGGCCCAATGGAACTCGCAGATACGGTACAGAGTGCGGGCGAATCGGTCCTGCTTGCCTGGACATCCGTAGAAGAAATCGTCGGCGACGACGGGGACGTCGCGGTACGCGTCGAGCAAGCCGGCTTTTCGGGTATCGGGAGTGTCGTCGACGATCTTGACCGAGTCCCGGATCAGACTCGCGGGTAAGTCGGCGTCCTCGTTCGCCGAGAGGAACAGTCGGAAGTTCTCGTGGACTTCGTCGTCTCGGGTGCCCCAGGTCTGGTCGAGGCGATCGAGCCAGCGCCGGGCGAGATGGCAATTTTCGAGCAAAATCCAGAAACCTTCGCTGCGACCGGCGGCGAGGAGCGCGTCGACGGCGCCGTCGTCGCCGCCCATACTCATCGAACGGAACTTGTGCAGCATGTTCTTCGCGGCCGCCAGATGGCGCGTCGAGCGCAACGCGTCGCGCCCTCGCGTCGAGATCATCAGTATCGGCGACCGGGGGTGGGATTCTACGTACACGTCTCGGATCGTGTGGATCGAAGGATTCGCGTATCCCTCGCCGAGAACGTCTTCGACGAACCGCGCCATCTGGCAGGGCACCGTTCGCGGATCCGACGCGGCGGCTTCGATTATTCCCTTGAAGGGGATCGGCGGGTCCGATCCGAGCTCCTCCGGGAGCTGCAGCAGCAGTTTGACGAAGGCGCGGTAGTCCGCCTCGTCGAACAGTCCCCTGCTTATCGCGACACGCGTGGCCAACCAAAACTTGAACGCCATCTTGTGCCGGGCGAACAGACCCCTGTCTATGCCGCGGTAGACGTCGCAGACGAACGCGGCGTAAACGTTCTCGCACCTACGCTCCACGTCTTTCGATCGGCCGGCGTTGAGCAGGGATCCGCGGTACTTCTCGAGGAACCACTCCAACGAGTACCGGTAGAAACGGTGCAGGTGCTTCGTCGCGTCGACGGCGTGGAATAGGTCGGCCAACGCGCCCGCCAATCGGGCGTAACGCGACCTCGTTTCCGCGACGGCGTTTTCGATCGTCTTCGCCTCCGCACGTCTCCGAGCCGCCCTGCTCTCCAACTCCTTCGACTCGTCGAGCTCGACGATCGAGCGCCGATCCTCCAAAATGTCCGGCTCCGACTCGCACACGGTGTCCAAAATTTTCTCGCCCAATCGTCTCAATTCCGACTCGTTTCTTTTGTCCGACGTGATCGTCGCCGTAGGCTCCTCGAACGATACCGTCACCGTGAGCAGGTCTTCGAGCAAAGCGCGTCGAGTCAGGCCGAAATTGATGACGTTCAGTCTGCTACGCAGGTCGGCGCCGAGCCGATGCTCCGTGGTGTCGCAGGTCACGTAGAGTCTGAAGCGTTTGTGGAGCTTCAACGATTCCCCGTCGATTTCAACGTAAGTCTCGTCGTTCTCCGTGTAAGTGTGACCGAAGATGAGGTCGTAGAGGCACGGCGGTACCGTACCGTCGGCGCCGCCGATCAGCGTCGATTTTCCCGCCACGGCGTTTCGTTTGAGTTTCGTCAGCCAATCGTCGTGGCTGAATTTGGTCGGGGTCAGATCGTTCGCGCCTACCGTGCGCGCGATCCACGCGTGCGCCACGCCCTGCGGGTCGAGCGATACGCAAAAGTGGCGCGAGTGCTTGTGGATGACGGCGTTCTGTTCGAAGAAAGGGTCCCCGAATAGCCACGACTTCGCTTCGTCGTCTCGGGCGAGGACCTCGACCATATCGAAGTCTTCCGAGCACGGGATCCCCGATTCCGTCACGTAGCGGTGCCAATTATCCAGGACGCGCTTCCTGGCGTCGGCATCCGACGATCCCAGGTACGCCACGGCCGCGCAAGACAGCACCAGATCGCCCGGCAGGAGGTCGTATCGGCGTCGAAGCTCCGAAGAGGCTCTCGTCCATTTCTCCTTCTCCCCGCTTAGTCGGTCCATCAATTTCTGCGCCCTCTCGAGTTTCGCGGCGCACGCGTCCACTTCCGTCTGCAGTCTCGTCTGTTTCGCGTTCGCCGCCCTCAGCGTCTCGTTCAACGTCGCCAGCTTCTCCTCGATCCTCGCCACTTCCTCCTTCTTCTCGTTTAGCACGGCCACCGTCTGGCCGTACTCCTTCTCCGCCTTGTTCAGCTTCTCCTTTTTCGGGGCCACCTCCTTCGCCACCCTGTCGTACATGTCCATCGCGATGATCCACTTGCACAGACCCTCCGCGGCGCTCGACGCTTTCGCCACCACTTGGGGTTTAAAGTCCTTGTGCGGCAGATACTCCTTGCGTATTTTCACCATGATCTCCGGCCTGATGCGGTCCTTGTCGAAGTCTTTCAGACTTTGGAGGAAGTTCATGTCGCCGAGGATCCGCTTGCTCGGTCCCCAATAATCGAACGTTTTCCTCCCGGTACTCGGATCGGGGATCCTGTCGGGCCGGACGTCTTTAATCACGCACACCGACGCCATCACCAGTTTGATGGCGTCGGGCGGGTTCTTCATCGACTTGACCAGCGTAATGTCGGACGGTTTCAGCGTGTTCAGCGCGGATATCGCGTCCTCGAGGATCGGTATGGCCTGCGCGAGTTCCGCCTCGCATTCAGACTTAAGAGTTTGCGCGACGGCCGCCTGTTTACCGGCGACGGCCTCGTCTTTTCGCACCAACTCCGACGCTTTTTCTGCCTCGATCGTCTCCGAGGCGATCTGCTCGGTCATCCGCGTGGCGTTTCGCGTCATTTCCTCCAGCTGGGGTCGGTATTCGGTCAACGCACGTCGCATGTCGACGATTTGGGCGGATGCGCTAGACAGCTTGGCGAGACCTCGGTCGTATCGCTTCTTCTTCGAAGATAGGCGGCGCTGTTCTTCGACCGTGAGCTTCGAGAAAAGTTCGACGAGGTGGACGTACGGTTTCGAGCTGACGGAATCGAGAGAGCGGTGAAAATGGACGCTAGCGGCGGCGGCGCGACGTCTGACGTCTTCGTCTAGGTCCAGGTGATCGGTCCAGGCTTCGGCGACGGCCAGTAGGGCGCTATCCGGCCACCTGTCCCAATAAACCACGTTCGAACGCGTCACCACCGAAGGGTACACCGACGCCACCTTCCGTAGGTACTCGCCGGCGGGATTCAGGCAAAGCAGCAGGTGGAAGTTCCGTTTGCATCGCGCGTTGAAGAAACCAAACACCCGCTCGGCGCTGACGTCGACGTTCTTGTTGCCCCCCTGGGCGGCGATTCTCGTGACCTCGAGTATCTTCTGGCGCTCGTCCGCGTCGTACAGGTCGACGAGTTGACAACCCCGCAAGACGTAGTCGACGATCTCGAAGAAAGCCAGGGTAGGCACGTGCACCTGTACGTGAAGATGAGATCAAGAATTAAGTACGAATAGCAATTAACAAGAACGCGAGAATTGCCAACTGCCATAAGAATCCGCTTATTATGTGCCTTAACGAGACCCACGTAACTGAAGACTTTCAAATATATGAGCTCGAGATTTCTGGATACAGACGTTTCGCGTGTCGTACTCGTCGGGCGTACGGGCGGGGTCATTACTTACGCATGAAATAGCGAAATAGCGTGTCACCTATGGCACTAAAAAATATTGCTTCTCCCGGTAACTATTCGGCTCTTTTTGTGAATATTGGAATAGGAAGTGAAAATGTTGTTGCGTTTCTTTGAGGAAATCCTTGAGGAGGGATTTGTCGTTGCTAATAAAATATGAAGTCAGATTATGATAAAAGTACACTTGCACGTGAAGATAAGGTCAAGAATTAAGTACGAATAGCAATTAACAAAAACGCGAGAATTGCGAAAGACTTTTTCACCAACAAAGATACGTATGCCACGAATCTAAGTCTACAATCAAATATAACACCAAGGTTTTTATTACAATTCACAATTTGCAAACGTTCACCGTTAATAAATTATTTATTTATTATTGTTTAGGAGAAAAGAACATTGCACTGCATTTTTTAAAATTAAGTTGAAGATTGTGCCTGGAAGAATCTAGAAATAAGTTATGCAAATCCAAATTCATATAAATTGAAGCAATATCAAATAACTTAGGATCGAACGAGTAAAATAGCTGAGTGTCATCAGCAAATGATTGAAAATTCAAATATTCGACGGATGTATAAATATCATCGAAGCCCTAGTAACCCAATTTGGCGCACATAAATTTATGGTCAAGCCGATCAAAGGCTTTAGAGTAATCTAAAGATATAAGTGCGGAACTAATAATGTGATCGTGGATGTGTAAAAGTAGACTAATAGTACTAAAACCTTTACGAAATCCAGATTGACTGTTAGTGACAATATGATTCGAAATAACATAATCATAAATTTATGACTTTCCCCAAAACTTTAGATAAGATTTTTGCCAATGGTAGTGATCAAAGCAAACTTCCAAACTTAAAGTTAAAGTTTCTTTTGAAATAATTGGGTTGCGAGTTTAAATGCAAATGATATGCGATTTTTATAGAAAAAAGTGTTTTCGGGGCAATTGTTAATATTGCTAAAGACAGAAATAAAATAATGATTACAAATTTAAAGTTTTCCATAACTTGCAACAACATTCCTTATTTCTTTATATTCGAATATGTAAGCGTAGTTTTGGTAATGTTTGTGCGTAACAGCGTGTATGCTAATGACAATTGATTTCACCTCAGACGCCACGATGGCGCGTTTCCGGTCCGTGGCGCCGCACTCTCGCAGCGCGTCCTTCAGTTCGCGGCTCCACGAGGTCTCGTCGTACGACGTCGTCACCGTCGGTTCGCGGTAGTCGTGCGCGTGCGCGAAACAAGCCAACTTGGCGAGCGTCCTGCGGCCGGAGCCGGCGGCACCGAGGAGGAGGGCGTTCGCCCCCGGCACCGACAAGATACGGCCGAGGATGGCGAACTTCTTCAGCGCGTAGTCGAAGAACACCAAGTTCAGTTTCCTCTTGTGACGCGCGTTGTATTGGGCGCACAATTCCGCCTCTTCGATGCCTTTGGGGTGAGCGTCGTCGCCGTCGCAGTTGTCGGGGAAGCATTCGGCGGCGACGCTTTTCATTTCGGCGCGTAGCCAATCGTAGTCGGGACCGTAGAGTCTGTCGCCGAAGACGCGCAGACACTCGCCCGACCACACCTTCGCGTAGATCTGCTTGTTCGCGTCGTAGGCCTCGCGTTTCAAACGGGCGCAACCTTTGACAGCTTCGGAGAAGCTGGCCAGGTCGAACGCGTAGTGGCACCTGCTCGGGGTGGGCGTCAAGCGCGCGCTTGCCGCTCGGTAGAGTCGCAGGGTGGCTCGGGCGATTTGGTTCGCGGCGACGACGACTACGTCGCTCGGGAACCCGGACTTTTTCCACGCGTAAAGCAACGTCTGCGCGTAGATCTTGACGATCACGTCCGAGCTGGACTCGTCGACGCAGAAGACGTCCAAGTGGCTCAGCAATCGCGACATCCGGGCGGAGCTCGGCGGGCCGGACGTGCAGATGAAGTTGCAACCCTCGAGGCGGATCGTCTTCAGAGTGTTCCGGTCGAAGTGCGACCTCAGCAGCTCGATGGGTGACGGGTCTCGCGCCATGTGCAAGTCGTCCACGAAGAAGATCAAACGTTTGGAGGCGGGCGGAGCCCACGACCCGGCAGCGGTCTTGTTCAGCTTGGAGAGCACCAGGTGCCGGAGGCGGGCCGATACGAGGTCGCGTCCGAAGTTGATTAGGGCTTTGGAATCGGCCGGCGGCGATTCCGCGTTGAAGCGGTTCCTCAAAATGGCGGATTTGCCGGTTCCCGGGGGGCCGACGATAAGGAACCGTTTCCCGTATTTGACGTGGAGGTCGAGGAAGTGGCCGCAGCGGACGGCGTCGACCGTCGGCGCGAAGACGTCGTCTTCGTCGTATAGCGGCGCGGAGATTTTCTCGTTTTTCAGCAAATCGGACCACAGTTTCCACGCGCCACGCTGCCTGTAGACGTAGGCGTAGTCGAAAAGGGTCGCCTCGTGAGGCACGGTCACTTCCAGACGTTCGACGGTACTCGGATACGGGCGAGAATCGTCGTGACCGCGGCACAAACGTTTGAACGAATCGTCGAACTTTAAACGATCGTCGGTGTTTAGGCAGCCTCCGAAACTCCACAGACCGGATTGGAGAAGGGCGGCGTGGATCCAAGCCGCCACGTTTTTCGGGTCCTCGTCTTTTTTGTTGGTTTTCGAAAACGCGTCTTCCAAGAGCATTTCGAACAGGCCCAGAGCGGATTTGACCAAGCAATTGGGGTTAAGTCCGTAGGGGATCGAGACGGAGTCTTTCGTAAGGGCCAGGCAAGCCGGCAGGAACCAACGGAGGAGCGGGGAAACGTGCTGTTGGAAGTCGACGAACCAGTCGAATTTCGTTGAGTTTATCCAGGAGTTGATCAGGCAAAGGGGTTCGATTGTCGTTGGAGGGAAGTAGATGATTCTGCAGTGGGATACCTTAAAGAAGGATGACATAATTGAAGATGCATCGATGAAAATTAAAAATAGAATAATACGTTCGAAGAGTGGCTTCTTTTGTTTGATTTTAAATTATTTTCACTTTTGAATAACAAAGTCATATTATTACTATTTTATTAAACAACTTCTACAGGAAACTACGAACATATGACCTACTGAAACCGGTTGAAGTGAATAAACTAAACTCACTATGAAATTTCAATTCGAACTACGGGACTAGACTGGAATATTATGGTTGATGCGAATAATCCACGCTTCGCAAGATAAGTAAGACTTCGTGATGGGATCATATTTTTTTTTAAATTTTAGTACCTTAAGATACTTTCGTTTAAAAACTCATCAAATTTTCATTAGATCTACAGGAAATTAGGAATATATGAACTACTAACCTATCGAATGATAACTGGGAATAATACGGTTAACATGACTTTTACGTATAGTAATGGATGAACAATTTAGTTATCGAAAATAAATAATTTTTTTCTAATTTTATAAACCATTAAAATAGTAATAAAATAGTAGTTTCCAAACACAAAATTTCCAATCAATCTAGAATAAAACCGTGGAAAATAAGTGATATTTCTAAGGGGGGCATATGAATTACTCATCTATGTTTTATATAAAATTATCACGTAACGATTATTTTTCAAAAATAAATAACATATTTTTTGAGATTTTATTAATCTCTAGATTACTTCCGTTACGTTTCGATTTGGTCTACAGGAAGTTAAGAACATATGAACTACTAAGCTGTATAATGATTAGAATAAAACCGTGGAAAATAAGTCAGATTTCTAAGGGAGACATATGAACTACTCATCCGTGTTTTATATAAAACTATCACGTAACGATTATTTTTCAAAAAAAGGTAATACAGTTTTTGAGATTTTATTAATCTCTGGGTTGCTTCCGTTACGTTTCGATTTGGTCTACAGGAAGTTAGGAACATATGAACTACTGAACTACTAAACTCTCTCATGATTAGAATAAAACCGTGGAAAATAAGTCAGATTTCTAAGGGAGACATATGAACTACTCATCCGTGTTTTATATAAAACTATCACGTAACGATTATTTTTCAAAAAAAGGTAATACAGTTTTTGAGATTTTATTAATCTCTGGGTTGCTTCCGTTACGTTTCGATTTGGTCTACAGGAAGTTAAGAACATATGAACTACTGAACTACTAAACTCTCTCATGATTAGAATAAAACCGTGGAAAATAAGTCAGATTTCTAAGGGAGACATATGAACTACTCATCCGTGTTTTATATAAAACTATCACGTAACGATTATTTTTCAAAAAAAGGTAATACAGTTTTTGAGATTTTATTAATCTCTGGGTTGCTTCCGTTACGTTTCGATTTGGTCTACAGGAAGTTAGGAACATATGAACTACTGAACTACTAAACTCTCTCATGATTAGAATAATACCGTGGAAAATAAGTCAGATTTCTAAGGGAGACATATGAACTACTCATCCGTGTTTTATATAAAACTATCACGTAACGATTATTTTTCAAAAAAAGGTAATACAGTTTTTGAGATTTTATTAATCTCTGGGTTGCATCCGTTACGTTTCGATTTGGTCTACAGGAAGTTAGGACCATATGAACTTTTAAGCTGTCTAATAACTAGAATAAAACGGTGGAAAATAAGTGATATTTCTAAGGAGGGCATATGAACTAAGCATCTATGTTTAATATGTTTTTTATTTTTCAAAAATAAATAACATATTTTTTGAGATTTTATTAATCTCTAGATTACTTCCGTTCCGTTTCGATTTGGTCCACAGGAAGTTAGGAGCATATGAACTATTGACCAAATAGAACCGTCAACGTAACATTAAAAAAAAAATGACGAGGACTTCGACGTCTTCCGATGATTAATAAAGTGGTATTGATTATTACGTCTTAAAAATGTCGATAAAAAATGGTCCAAAAATCTGACTGCTGGCGTAACGATACAAAAAAACCCTCACCAGAGAGGGCGACGCGTCCTTCAAATCTCCTCCTTCGAATATAAACCTGACGCGGTCGTCCACGCTCCTGCTGCCCAAGCAATCCGTCACAGCGTCGACCCACCCTGCACTCCCGAGCTCGTCCAAGACGATCCACGTGGACCTTCGACCGGCGAGAAAGTCGTCCGTTCCGAATATCTCCGAGCAGTCGAAACAACTGGGGTTCAGCACCTTCACGTTTATTTCCGCTCCGATTTCCGTCCCAATCAACCGCTCGCAAACTTTAAGGGCTGAAGTTTTCCCTACGAAAGCGTCGCCGACGAGCACGACTCCCGGAGCTGTCCGGACGGCGTCCAAAGTCCGGCGAACTCTGTCGACGAAAACTTCACCGGCGCTGAATCCCAGCTCGGAGCACGCGACGGAGACGTCGGCCGGGCGTCCGGACGCGACCACGTCGGGGAAGAGGCCGTCGACGACGTCGTCGAAGCGACGACGGTCCTCCGGAGCGACGCCCGCTCCCAACGCTTCTTCGATGGAACCGCGCAAGATCTCCAATTCGTTGGACGCCGGTTCCAAGTGTTTCGCTTCCGCGCACCGCTTCACTATCGACGCCAGCGTCCTCAGGGAGTAACGGCGAAGAGACGGCACCACGTCCTCTAAGATAGAGAAACAATTCGCGAGTTTCGAAGCCGAAGTTTGCCACCGTTCGAAGCCCTCGCTCAGCAGCATCGCCTCGGCCACCACCCTCAGGTCGGGCCTGGACACCGTGTAAGTCCTGAAAGCGGCCTTTAAATTGTCGGGGAGCTTTCGGAGCGCCGCGACGTCGTCCGTCGCGGCGCAAATAAAACCGGTGGACTTTAGGGCGACCCTGGCCCCGCCCACGTCGACCTCCGCGCGTCCCCGCCTACGCGCGTCGACGATGGACACCAGCGCCTGCGAGATCACCGACAGAGTGCGCTGGGTGAGCGAATCGATGCGCGCGAGGTACAGCCAACAGCCGCAGAGGGCGCCACCTTTCGCTAACTGCATCAGAACTCGGGGTGTGGTCGCGTGGGAGCAGCCGAAACGGTAGAAGAGGAAGCCCAGGGCCCGGGCCAAGCCGGAGACGATCTCCAACTTGCCCGTGCCGCTAACGCCTCTCACCGCGCCGTGGTAGTTGAAAAAGTAAGCGTTGAGGAGAGCCAAGTGGCATTTGTAGGTGGTAGGCGTGGTGACGGAAAGTGAGCCGTCTCCCAGGTACTCGTAGCCATAATCGAGCGTGTGCTTCAGCACGGTGATTCTGCAGGCAGAATTCTCGAACGTATAGCGCATCTGCGTCAGCCAACGAAAGCTGCGCCCGTCGGGCATGCCCTCGGCCAAGATGGCGTCCAGCGAGTTGCGATTGTCGATGTCTGTCAGGATCCAGTTGCGGATCGAGCACTTTTCGGCCGCGCTGACGTCGCTCGCGTCGAGCAGCGACACCTGGCGCGGAAACGGCACGTTAAGGTAGTGCGACTTCTTTAAACACCACCGATTATTACAGACAATGGGTTTCTTTTATGTAAGTGTTTTATATTTCGGGACACTTCACGACCCCCCTCAATTTCAATAGGTTGAAAAATTTGAAATCGATAGCTTCAAATTATATATATAATAATATAATTATATATTTATCGTCTATGAAAATTTTCAGCTCTATGCGAATTTTGCCTAAGTTTTAACCTATTTTTGTCTATTTTGACTGGACTAAAAGATTTTAGTGCTTTTTTGAGACATCTATCCAACCAAAAAAAAATATATATCAAAATCAAACCGCAATCAAAGATTTTCCATTGATGCCAATTAATTATACATTTTCAACAAAAAAAATCATTAAAATCGATCCATAGACAAGTGGGACACACTGTATACCTTCACGTCGATGGCTTCAGCGATCTTCTTCCTCAGCAGCAGCAGCCTGACGTTGCGGGACGAGCCCAAACCGGCAGCCACGTCTCGAGTCCACGCGACGCGGCTCAGTACTTGCAGCACCTGCTGCGGGTATTCCCGCACCAGCTCCCCGACGCCGCTCTTCCCGAACACCCTGTAGCACTTGTCCGTCTTCGATTTCAAAGAGGAAACTAGTCTCTCCTCCAACGTCTTCGTCAACTCGTCGAAGCCGACCTCCGCGCAGCACTCGACCACCATCCTCTCTAGACGAGCGACGCCGAACACCTCGACGGTGCGTTCGTCCACCGGGTCGACGCTGGAGACGCCGGGAAAGATTCTGGGCAGCGTCTCGTTCGCGTTGCGACGTTTGCCAAGCAACGCGATCAGCTCGGGATCCGATACGAAGTAAAGTCGGGGACATTTCAGTCGCACCTCCTCGAGGAAGGTGCCCACGCCTCGGGAAGCGTCTTCGAGGAGGCGCGCGCACTCCTCCACGTCCGTCGCCAAGTCCGTCGCGCGCACGACGTTTCGGACGATCGGGTCGTCCGATATCAGTCGCATATAGCGCGCGATGATGTCGTCCGCGAGCAAGAACGAGGTCTTCGCCGAGTGAATGCTGGATAAAATGAGATTACGTGAACGGCTGGATTAAAAACGCGTTAAAACCCGTCATATAATGAATAACTTGGTGCCATCTTTTAAAAAAGAGCGAATATAGTCGAAACTCTATATAGCGAAATTGAAAGGACTGTTTTTTTTAGTTATTAAGAGTTATAGCCACGCGTATGTATTTTGTAATAAGTAATATACGGAGTTAGCGTCAAAATTTCCCTTCCTGACATAGATGCAGCTCCAGTATCACCATAAAACTTTGTCTTCTTTAGCATTTTAAACAAGACGTGTCCGAAAAAATGTCGCAAATAACGCCAATTGAGTATAGAGCAGTCATAAAGTTTTTGGAAAAAGAAGGTTCAGCAGCTAAAATTATTAAAGAAAGGCTGGAGGGTGTGCACGGCCAAAGTTCTCCTTCGTATTCTGTAGTGAAAGAATGGGCACAACGTTTTCCAATGGGGCAGGAGTCTCTTGAAGATGATTCAAGAACTGGTCGACCAGTGGAGGTCATAACGGAAGATATTGTTGCGATTGTGGAAGAGGTGGCATTGAGTGATCGACATTTAAAGGTCAAGGAAACTTCAGAAATTACTAAGGTTTCTGATACAAGTGTTCATCGAATCCTGCATGATCATTTAGGTATGCATAAGGTTAGTGCAAGATGGGTTCCGAGTGTGTGCGGTCTTTTTTGGAACTCTGTGGGTCGGAACCGAAGCCAGTGATAGAAACTATTGTGACGGGAGATGAAACTATGGTTCTCTATCGAAAAAAGAATCAATGGAGTGGCGTCGTAAGGGTCAAGCACCTCCAAGAATATTCAGAGTCTGCCAGTCAACAAAAAAGGTAATGCCCACGATCTTTTAGGATTGCGAAGGAATTCTTTTGATAGACTTTAAAGAAACTAATACCACTGTCAATGGTAAATATTACGCAACATTATTGCATAAATTACGAGACTGCATATTTGTAAAACGTCGAGGAAAACTGACCAGAGGCGTGCGTCTTTTACACCATAATGTACCTGTGGGTTCCAACAGATAGATCATCCTCCCTATAGTCCAGATATGACCCCCAGCGACTATTATTTGTTCGGATATTTGAAAAAGGACTTACGTGGACGGCGTTTTAACGACGAAGTTGAGTTAAAAGAGGTTGTTTTAGCTCATTTTTCAGACAAACCAAAAGAATATATTTTTAAAGAGATTGAGTTGTTAATAAAGAGATGTAATAAGTATATTCTTCTTCTTCTTCTTCCTACTTTAGTCTAGGCAAATTGCCTGTTCATTTTCGTCGTCTCTGCCTATCCCACTGCCAGGTTGTCACTCCATCGTTTTCGGGGGCGACCTAAGCTCCTGCGACCCAATGGTGATTTGTCGCGTGCAATTCTGACTATTCTTCTGTTGTCCATTCTACTAATATGCTCGTTCCATTCTTTCTTTCTACGCAATACCCACGCATTAACGTTTTCCACCCTGCATGTTCGTCTTATATTTTCGCTCCTCTCTCTGTCCAAGAGCGTTTTTCCAGTTATTCTACGAAGTATCCTCATTTCGGTTGTCTCTAGTAATTGTTTAGTTTTCGCTGTGTTTGGTCGGGTTTCTGCGGTGTATGTCATGGTTGGTCTTACTATTGCCTTGTAAATTCTCGATTTGGTTTCGATTTTAATGTTTTTATTTCGCCAAATTGTGTCGCTTAAGCATCCTGCTATTCTTGTTGCCCTTGTTGTTTGCTCTCTGACCTCTGCCTCCACATCACCATAACCCGAGATTTCTATGCCCAAATATTTAAATTTCATTACCTGCTGGATGATTTTGCCTTCAACTTCTAATTTGCATCTTAATGGTGTTTTTGATGTTGTCATGCATTTAGTTTTTTGGGCCGATATTATCATATTAAGTGATTTGGCAGTGCACTTAAATCGATGTAATAGTCGTTGCAGATCGTCTTCACTTTCAGCCACCAGTACGGCGTCATCAGCGTAGCACAGAATATTGATTTCACGGTCGCCCATTCTGTATCCTCTCAGTAATCGTACATTTCTTATTACTTCGTCCATGATAATGTTGAAGAGAAGGGGACTCAGGGAGTCTCCCTGTCGGATACCTCGGCCCACTGCTATTGGTTCAGTCAGGATCCCATTTATTTTTGCTTCGATCTGGTTTGCTTCATATATATTTACTATCGTTTTGATGAGTTTGTGTGGAGTTTGTCTGTTGTAAAGGAGGTGTAAAACGTCTCTTAATCGCACTCGATCGAACGCTTTTTGCAAATCAATAAAACACATGTATGCCGGTCTGTTGTATTCAATTGATTTTTCTGTTATCTATATAAGTATAAGTATATTGAAGGATTATATTGAAAATTAATAAAAAATTCTAACTCTACTTCGTTTCTTTCATATTCAGGCTGGGAAATTTTGGCGCCGCCCTCGTACGTATGAAAAGTACAGGGGAAAAAAGATGAGGGTCCATTTTTTTGCCCAAATAAGATTAACAGTTATTTCGTATAATATATCGGCTATAGAATACCATCCACCTACAAGAAATGGCTAAAAAGGTGACAGTATAAAGATAAAGAGAACTTCCGGATGTGCGTGTATCTGAAACTTGGTGTACATATATGCATAAGTTCAACCACAATTACGACGAGATAACCCTACTTCATATTAACATCAAATTTTTTTGTAAAAATCTTCGAGAGGCGTGGTGTGGCTATATATGCTCGCAATGGTTTGAATTTTGTTTCAAGAAGGGTGACAGTGGCCAGTGTTGAAAAACAATTGGAATGGAAGCTCTTTCTGAAACTGAATCTTTTTTCTACAAAAGTTGTTTTAAAAGTGAAAGTAACATAAATGAATTTCAGGTTGAAGTATCTGGGGTGGACTGGCAGTTTTTTTTTTCGACTGTGTTAGTACTAGCTGAAGAGAAATTTGACTTATTCTATAAAAAATTTCAGGAATTGTTTGACTCGTCTTTTCCATATCAAAGATGCATGCACAGGGCCAACAAAGGGTGGCTCTACGTAATGAACGTAATGAAATTTTAACCAAATATAGAATTATAAAAAAGTACCATGAAAAACTTCCTACAACCTCTGTTAACAAATCTCAAACGGCGTGGACGATTATAAAAAATTAACCTATGTAAACATAAAAAGTTTCCAGATTACTATAACTGGGGTGCGATAAACCAGACTTTAAGATGCCTCTAAGAAAAAGTCCAAACTATTTAAATCTGGAGACCTAGGAGGCCATGGTTGAGGTCCGCCGCGACCTACCCAACCCATTCTCCTGCTGCAACACTAAAATGAATAGGCGCGCCGTCATGCATGAACCACATTCGATTCCAATTAAATATGGTACTTCTTCTAACAATATTGGTAAATCCTCCTCTAAAAACCGACAACAATTAGGACCATTTATCCTTTGTTGTAGGAAAAAAGGTACCATTAACTAATAAACAAAATTGCACATTATCTCTTGTTTGACCAAGAAATACTATTTACAGATGAAGCTAACTTTTCCAGAAATGCAACCAGAAATTTCCACGATGACCATATTTGGGCCAGTGAAAACCCACATGCAGTTGTCGAATTTAAACATCAAGAACAAGAACAGTTTTTGGTAAATGTTTGTGCTGAAATTGTTGGATATTACTTAATTGGACCCTTTTTCCTACCAGAAAGGCTAAATGGCCATAATTGTCGCAGGTATTTAGAAAAGGATATATCAAATGTGGTTCATACATGATGGCTAGTGATGACCGCTTTATCGTGTCAACAATACTAAAACATCGTCACCTTAATGCGGTTCAAGTGCAACAACAGCTCCATGAAGTACGAAGAGAAGACTGACCCCAAAAACAACTGCAATTGGTCCAAATTTTCATCGGAATTGGACATTGAACCAAAAAGTGTACCGAAGACCAGGAGAGCGATTTGCAGAATGCTGCATTGAAGAGCGGAGCCCTTATGGGGGTGGTTCCTGCATGATATGGGGTGCAATTTCTATCGACTCACGAACCGACCCTGTTTTCCTCCGTAAGGGCGGCCGTGGTCAAGAGGCAGCAGGTTTAACAGGTGTTAGATACATTAAGGATATTTTATCAGATCACGTGGTACCATATGTCGACTATATTGGCGAAGAATTCATTTCTATGCATGACAATGCTAGGTGGAACACAGCAAGGATCGTGCAAGATCGGTTTTCGAGCTATGAAGTGGCCAGCATGCAGTCCCGACCTCGATCCGATGGAACGTTTATGGGATGAGCTAAAACGGAGAATTTGAGCTAGACTTCCTACCCCAACCTCGATCCCTGAGCTTATTGTTGCAGTAGAGGAAGAGTGGCTTAACATTCCACAAGGAACAATAGCGAACTTGGTTAGATCTAAGCTTAATGGAGTAAGAGATGTTATTAGGGCAAGAAAGGGTCATGCCCATCAAGTATAATGGTATATTTAACGTCTTATTCAGGACTACATAAAACCTAACTATACTAATTTCCATGAAGTTCCCCTCAGCCAATTTTGCCTACGTTTTGACATATTTCTGTCTACTTTGACTGGATTATTTTCCTGGCAGAAAGGCCAAAGGGCCATAATTACGCCGGTTTTTAGAAGAGAATTTGCCAATATTGCCATAGTTAAAGGAATAGAATGTGTTAGTGTTAGTGTGTGTAGTTTTAGTGTTGCAAGACCTCAACACCCCAACAACCCCACCCAAGTGCCCAGGTTTAAGTAGTTTGGACTTTTTCTTATGGGAGCATCTTAAAAGTCTGGTTTACCGTCTCCCAGTTAATCCTATAGAAGAGCTGAAGGTGGAGGACACTTTCAACAACCTACCTAGGTTCTACTGTCTACTTTTACTCAAAAGGGTTTATTAAAAATTACTAACAGTAGGTAGTGTTTTTTTTTTAATAAAAATCATTTATTTAATCTAATTAGTTATTTCCTTTTTCTTACTAGTTGGTAACTAAAAACTAGATATTGTTTTAGATAGATATTTCATAAAAAAAGTTCTCGATTTAACCGGCGACCTAATTAACATCAGTGGCAGGCCACTGATGTCCTTAAACAAAAATAACGATATTTGCATTTTTTGGTTTTGAAACTTGAAAATGAAAAAACTAATTTCTCTGCGATATTGTTATGACCATGCGGCGAAGAGGTTTCTATTTTTTATTTTTTCAGCGAAAACCCTATCGGTCGATTCGATGCTTTTTACAAACACAGCTAGATGAAGGAAATACCTGTCTGTGCGTCGCCGCAGGTCTTCGATAGTAAAAAGGGGGCGGAGCTCGAGCCACAGGCGCTGCGCGACGCGCCAGCGCGTCACCGCGCGGCTTGTTTTCGCGAGGAACGCTTGAAACTCGAGGACCTCTTCGTCGTGGGCCTGGACGAAGGCGGAGCAGCGCATCGCGCCCACGCCCACCAGGTGGTCTTCGATCGCGACCTCCACGGTCTCTAAACGGTCGAGGATCGTCGCGCCTTCCGCGTCGACGACGTCGAAACGGATGCTCCGCCACTGGGCTTTGAGCGAATTCAAACGCTCGAGCAGTTCGAGCTCCTTGGTCGCGCCGACGCTGACGAGCTCGTATTCGGCGATGTCGACGCGCAGGTCGATTTCCATGAGCTTCCTCAGCGTGGTGCCCGCGTTAGGGGTGAGGTCAAGGCCGCCGGCCAATTCGGACATGGTGCGCCAGTGGCGCGCGCGCAGCGCCGGGTTGCACATGATCTTCATCACGCGCAGGCACGGCTTGAAATCGTCGAGGATCCTGACGGCGGTCGCGCAGAGTTTGAGGGGGGCGGGCCAATTGAGCAGGTCGGGATCGTCGACGGTGCCCTTGAACCTGGACGTCGTCGCAAACGCGTAAAATGCGTGATGTAAATATATCCTTTGTCTACCTTATGGGTAGATTCTCGTCTTGAGCTTGTCTGAGACGTTTCCGGTAGCTCTTCTGAGCGTCGCTCAGCTCGCGACAGTACTTGGTCACCGTAGCGTCGGTCGTTTCGTAGCTGAGCGAGTCGAACTGGCCGTGCTCCCAAACTGAGACGCGTCTCTGAACGTCCAGGCACAGTTTGATCAGGCGATAGAACGGGTAAACGTAACCCTTCAAATGTTCGAATTCCTGATACGACGACTTCGGAAAGCTCAGGCACAACTCCTCCTTGTTGATCCACTCGATTTGATTTTGAATTCCCTTCAAGAGTTGAAAGTGTGTCATTGGTCAGCAAAGGCTTTACAAATGTCAGCAATAAGTGATCAGTTATTTAGACAAATTGTACAGGAATAAAGTCTCCTGAGCCAGCAGATTCTCTTGACTGCTGTTTTTGGGGGTAGAATCCATCAGATTTCGTCTACCAGATCTAGTTTCTGGAATACATTTTTGCCATTTTGTATTTTTAACATAAACACATAACCAAGTATTGCGTAGCTAGGATCAGACCGCTCGGTACATTTGAACTACGCCGTAAGCCTGATATATGCTTCTATAAATATCCTAACATATATGGAGGTGTAGAAAAGGTATAGTTGTCGTGTTACGCTGGTTTCAAATAACATATCTCTCATATTATTGATATTGTCGCAGTAAAGGCACAAATCCTCCTTGTTGGTCCACTAGATCTGATTGTGAATCCCCTTCAAGAGCAAGTCAGCAAAGAGTATGCAAATGTCAGCAATTCATAATTACGAATAACAAAAGTGATCAGTTATTCAGACAAATTGTACAGGCATAAAGTCTCCTGAGCCAGCAGATACTCTTGACTGTATCTCTCGGGCAGGTTTTTGGGGGTAGAATCCATCAGATCATTTTGTATTTTTAACATAAACACATAAGCAGGTCTTGCGTAGCTAGGATCAGATAGTTCAGTACAGAGAGAAATATGGAGATATAGAAGATGTGTATGAAGACGGAAGAGTGGTATATCGAGGTATAATTGGGTATGGATGGAAGTTCATGCCAGGCGTCTGGAGTAATTCAACCTACCATTTTTTCTTTTTGTTGTTTTTCCTTCTAGTATTATTATTTATTCATCTCCATTGTTAATTCTGCGTTTCTATTTGTCAGCTTGTATTTTGTTTTACCAATAAAGACCATTTACTATTATTATTGCTTTTTACAAAACTTATATAAAGTAAAGTATAAAATTATTTCATAATTTTTGTACTTTATCGCAACTAATATAAACTAGAGTCGATAGAAACAATATGGCGGCATTTTTGGAATCAGGACATTGAAAAACAGTTGTTGGAATTCCAGCATCAATTTCTTTTTTATAATAAATATACAAAGTAAAATTTCTCGTATTGATTCAACATTTCCGTTATTTTTTTGGGGTTTGTCAATTTTCGGGGCCTGATCGAGCTGGTATCTTTTGGACTCTTGAACGTCGTATACGCGTACCTTGATCTTTTCCATGTGCAACGTGATATCGTTCAGGTAGTGCTTGGCCCTTCTGACGTCGTCCATCTCGTCCAAAACGACCAGCAACGGGTGGACCTCGTGGACCATCGCGTTCACGTCCTCGATCACCTTTTGCAGTTTTTCTTCGGCCTCGAATTTCAGCTGCTCGAAATCGACGGTGTGCCGCTCGATAATCGGCGGGATTTGTTCTAGCCATTTAATGGCCCCGGCGTTGAGAGCGACGTGCCGCTCAGTTAGAGATCCCAAAACGATTATTTTTGATAGAGACGATGTCGAAGCGTGCACTCTGCGAACCAACTCGTCCAGCTGATGATCCTTCACGTTCGCCATGAAGTTACCTTAAAGCGAAGAAAAAATACTAGGCGGTCAATAAAAACGGGTAGTAGGACAGCCTGAACTCTACACATCTGTCAAATTTTAAGTTAATAGCTTCAATTTTCGGACACTTATCGCGTTTCATCGCGAAGTCCAAAAAACAGTCGAAGATCAAAAAAAGAAAAAAGAGGGACGCCAAGGTCCGATCGCGGCCATTTTGCATGTGGACGATAAAAAAGGAGCCAAATCTCAACCCCCTACCTTAATCCATTCGAAAGTTACGGTTATAAATAGGTTCAGTCTACAGAGAACAGACATTTTTTTTTTAATTTTTTTGACTTACCAATCTCAATAAGCTCGTCGGTAGTGGTAGGCTTCCGTTTGGCCATAGTCCGGATCAGTTCGAAGCTGTCGCATATATCGTTCACCTCGCGCAGATGTTCCGCGCAGATTATTCGAAAAATGTCATCGTCAATGGCGGTTAACCGATCGCGAAGGGCGTCGCGATAATGCGACAAAACGAGCTGACCTATTTGAAAGTACTCGTTGTCCGGTATACGAGCCACTTGCTGTAGGTGCCTGGAAACCCGCGGAATTTATGCGAAAGGGTAGATGCAGCGCCCTCTACAAGTTATATTAAAAACTAACTCGAATTTCGTATTTCAAAATCTGTGAAATAGTGATCTTCTTCAAAACTCAAACGCCACAAAAATATCTCGAAGGAAGTGCCTTATCATCTGTTAATGCCTTTTTAAAATCAATGAAGCTCTTTGGATAAATACTTGAATTCCAAATAATGCTTCTCTGGTAAAGTCTGTTCATAGATATAAGAAAGTTACCAACTGATACGAATTAAGGAAAGACCCGGGCAAGCTGTAAGAATGAAATAAGGTCCGTACTTTGCTTAGAATTTAATTATTTGGGGTTTTGTTAGGAAAGATACTAAACAATATTTATTTATTTATTTATGTTTAGATCGAAAATAAAATTACAAATTATTTTTATTTCTGAGAAAAAGTGTATACTATTATATACTTTCGAAAAAGTAAAAAAATATATATATATGTTCCATAGATATGCCGTAATTTTTTGAACTGACCTGTAAACAATTCCGAAGGAGGGAAAAGTTATATAAGAGACAGTTTCCTCATTTTCGTAAAGTCATCTGAGAGTGCCTCAAAATGCAACATTTTCAATTTAGCTAATAGGGCTATGGAAATTTTGTTAACGACATCTATCGCGAAATCCCAACTTTATATCTATAAAAATAACGAAGATACTCCGCACTCACCGTTTGTAACGCTCGATCAGACGACAGCCGTCGTCGAACGAAACGTCGGGACCTAATTCCGAAGTAACGTCCGCGTAGATATCGGCGAATTCCGCCCCCAAATCGTCCAGGTACCGCCAGACAGGCCGAAATGACTCCTCGACGTTGCCAGCGATCGCCGTCTTGCAACTGCCGACGAATTCGTCCGTCAGACAGAGGAACATGCCTTTAGTTCTTCCGCGAACCGATGGGGGCGCCAAGTACAGGTCACCGCCGCCTCCGATCGCCATCAACGCGTCCAAACACCGCCAAAAGACGTCGATGACGTCACAGGCTCGAGGTTTGAGTACTAAGGCGCCGGCGTCGAAGTAGGCGTGGAGTTTCAAGTACGGTACCGTGCGCTCGGTAAAATTCATTATGCGGAACATCGTGCGCTGTAGGCAGTCGCCTACGTGCACGGAGGCCAAACCGGCACAGACCGCGGAGTAGTTGTCAGGCAGCGTGGAAGCTCGAATGCGGAAATCCCGAAGCTGAGACGCCGCCTTCCCGACATTCTGAGAAATTAGCGATTGCCATTGGGAATTCAAATTGAGATTGCAGCGCCCGAAAGGACCATAGCTGAACTACTTTCTACAACAACAATTTTTAACCTTACTTTTATTCCGTGCTTTGTTTTATGGTTTTAACTTTCTTTTTTTAACGTTTCAGGTTTTCGGCTTTCTTTTTGGTTAGTCAAAAAGCGGTGAAGGTTTTTTTATCATATCTAAATATTTCGAAAGTAGAATTAAGCCTAATAGAAAAATAAATATAGATAATTATATAGATAAATAAGAAAAATCTAATTTGTTTTGCGTTTTCGTAATAGTCTAAAAAATTAATAGAGTTATCCTGTTCATTCTCGATAGTGAATTTTATACGATTATGTAATGAGTTAATGTACCATAGCAAACTTTTACTTAAAGGATGTTCTAGTAAAAATCTCGGCTACCAAAGGACTAAGTGGGTTTCCCATAATCAAATCAATCAAGATATAAATCTATCCATTAAATTCAAAATAATTTTGGTCTAAAGATACTATTAAGCAATCTAATAAATCTTGTTTCACCAATGGGTTAACCTGTTTCCGAGTTAGGGTGAAATCTACTGTTGTCGAAACAATTGTCATGTAAAAATATATAATTTCGTGAAAATCTGAACTTTTAGTTCTTATTTATTTTGATAAATGGATTTTCATCAAGTAAAAGCCACCTCAGTTCAATATTTCAGCATTGTTAATGTTAAATTTATTTATGTTAACCACATTTTTTTTCTTCAGAAAAACCTTGGCCAATCTGGAAGAACTTTTTAAAACTAATCTGTGAAAGTAAAATACCCCACAGATGTGGAGGAAAACGAATTGCCAGGATTTTCTGATTCTGATCTTCAGTTTTTGTGTCAAACTTGCCTGAGTCAGCAATAACAAAATGCAGGTATGTATGTATCTTAGTAGGCTGCGAAAAAAAAAATTGAAGTCTTGCGTCAAATAGTCAAAAATGTCGCAAATAACGCAAATTGAGTATAGAGCAGTCATAAATTTTTTGACAAAAGAAGGGTTAGCGCTTAAAATTATTAAAGAAAGGCTGGATGGTGTGAACGGACAAAGTTCTTCTCTGTAGTGAAAGAATGGGCAAAACGTTTTCGAATGGGGCAGGAGTCCCTTGAAGATGATTCAAGAACTGTTCGACCAGTGGAGGTCATAACGGAAGATATTGTTGCGATTGTGGAAGAGGTGGTATTGAGTGATCGACGTTTAAAGGTCACGGAGATCTCAGAAATTACTAAGCTTTTTGATAGAAGTGTTTGTAGAATCCTGCATGATCATTTAGGTTTGCATAAGGTTAGTGCAAGATGGGTTCCTAAAAACCTTTCGGCGGAGTGATGGTGATGACCCCTATCTTTTGGGATTGTGAAGGAATACTTTTCACAGATTTTAAAGAAACTAATACCACTGTCAATGGGAAATATTACGCAACATTATTATATAAATTTCGAGACTGCATACGTGTAAAATGTCGAGGAAAACTGACCAGAGGCGTGCGTCTTTTGGACGATAATGCACCTGTCCATACTGCTAGTGTTGCACAAGCCGCCATTTCAGAGTGTGGGTTCCAAAAGAAAGATCATCCTCCCTATAGTCTGGATATGGTCCCCAGCGACTATTATTTGTTTGGATATTTGAAAAAGGACTTACGTGGACAGCGGTTTAACGGCGAAGTCGAGTTAAAAGGGGCTGTTTTAGCTCATTTTGCAAACAAACCAAAAGAATATTTTTTACGCATGAGGTGACAAAATAATCCTAAATCCTACATCTGAATAAATATGCTCATTTTTTCAACCAGGGTATATTTCAAACAACTTGACACTGACTTTTAGTTTTTTTTTACCCAACGTAACGGTATTTATCATTACAATGGACGTCCAACTTTAAACAAAACGGAGCAAAAATATTTAAAATATTGCAAAAAAAAGTATGTTCGAAGTGTTATATATATGCGCCATTGGGTCGAATTGCATTTGTACAAAATGTCACAAGAATTTTCAACCTAACCTAACATTCATTGAGCCAATTGATTCAGAATTTAACGCGCTCACCTCGTCGAGCCAGTGGCGTGCCAAGTGATCCAGGTCCGCGACGCCGCTGTCGCCGTCGAAAGCGAAAAGCTCGCGCGGCAACTCGTCCGCGCATGCGCGCAGCAGGTGCCTGATCGGTCGACGGTGCAGCGTCCAGCGGATCTCGAACTGTCGCCTGACGGTGACGAACCTTTGGTATTTTTCCGTCCTACCGAGATATTTGAATGGGGCGACGCCCGCGCGGTGACGCGTGGCGTCTTTCACCGTCGCGGCGGCCGCGTGCGTCACCGCCACGTATTCCGCCTTCACTTCTCGCATCATTTCGTCTACTATGCGGCACTTCGTCCGCCCCGAAACGCCGCCACTGACCACCGCCCGGATACGTTTCTCCAAGCGTCTCGACATTTGGGTGGCGGGCCGTCTGTCCGCGAAAACCGCGAGTTCTTGGGGGAGGGCGGGCCGCACCGGGAGTCCGAGGTCCGTGGACGTCGTCTCCGTCGGTTTCATCTTCGACGCCGACTTCCGCAGCGATTCCGCCACGCGACGGTTTTTTACGCGACGCGGGGGCGTCGCGGCGCGTTTTTCCCCGTTTCTCGCGAGCCCCGGAACGTTCATCATGGCGGACAAAGTTTGGTCGATGGCGCGAACGCTCCGGAAACGTCCAAACGAGGAAGAGTATCGGGCGCGAAGGAGGGGAGCGGGGGAGAGGAAGAATGCATATAGCTAAAGTCTGTTTGTAGTTATAAGAAAGTGACTAACTGATACGAATTAAGGAAAGACCCGGGCAAGCTGTAAGAATGAAATATGGCCGAACAGGAGCGTACTTTGCTTAGAATTTAATTATTTGGGGTTTGATTAGGAAAGATACTAAACAATATTTTTATTATCTACTTAAATTTCTTCAAATTATTCACAATTTTATATATCAGTATCATTATCGTATTATTTGCAATATGGATATACGATTGTTCTGCTTTTTCTATATGTATAAGAGAATTTTCCAAACTAACTGGTAACTGGTAAATTTTATTTTAAATTTACTTTTATTTAAATTTTTTATTGCAATTTTCGTCAATGTGGCCATTTCTTCTAGAGATACTTGCTTGCTGGCATCACGTTCAATAAACATTGTTTATAACTTCCTTAGTCTCAATAGAATAGTGTTTTCTACGTTTGGGCGGGAGCATCTCCTGAGATACACTAAACTCGCACATATTTTGCATAATTCGCACACGATTCAACACACGCTGTGAATGATTACTAAAAAACTTATACTAAGTAGTATACCAAACCAAAGAATATTAAACACAGGTAGGTATAAAATTATTTTCTATTACGGACCACAATTTTACCTGAATTTAAATTCCGAAACTTTAGGTAATAATCTTGTTGCGTTGTATGTTAATGACCGCCCTTGGATAATCCCATTCAAAAGCAATTGGTCACTTTCTTATATCTATGACCAGACCATACCAGACATATAGAGGCCCTGCCTAATCCAGATAAAAGCTACGTCTGCTCAGTTCATTTTACTGAAAATGATTACGAAAGAGACTTACAAAATGAGTTATTAGGTTTTTTTTTTGTCTTGAGTAACACATTAAATTCACCACAAAATTTAAATTTTAGGTTTACCTTTAAAAAAGATTATAACAAAAATTGCTGTTCCCAGAAGCCACGGACAGAAGCAAGATTATCTAGATCAAAAAGACTTTATTTCAAAAATGCCAAAAAAGAAGCCCAGCGGGTATTGTCTGAGGTTTTAGCAACAACATCGAATGCCACAAGTGAAATTCTAGAGAAAAATCCATCTCCAGGACCCCGGTCAGAACATATCTCCCTTAGTCTAAAAAGAAAATCTTTGCAAGATGATACCCTCAGAAAAAAATTAGAAAGTATGGTAAAATTGTAAAATAAAGATTTAAGTCTATGTAGTAATATGTATTTTTTATATTATTATTTACCTGCCACCTATACATAGTTGTTATGTATGCCTAATATATTTTTTGTTTTTTAATATGTTCTTTAAGATAATACATATAAGCCATCTTGATTTTACCCTACCTGAGGCCCACCCTACGCTACTTCTAAGTACTAAAACTATTTAATGTTGGCATTAAATGAAAATAGAGAATGATTATCCAAACAAAATGCTATATTAGCTACTCAAAATACTCAAAGTTGATCAAAACTCGGGCCAATACAGGACTTCATCTACGTCACAGCCGGCGAGAGTTTTCGCATTGCACTTGCCGACAGATTTGGCGGATTAGGCAATCCTATTAGGTTTACGGTTCTTGGTTTTCAGTTAAGGGTCAAAAAAATACGGGCAAAACGAGGGGCGTCGTTACCTGTTGTTCCAGCACGTCGGGATCTTCGAAAGGAATGCCCGACGGGTCATGTCTAGGGGGTCCACGCTCGTAGACGTGGAAACTTCCCGAAAACAGATCTTCGAGTTGCGTGGACTAAAAAGCGATTCGCCAGTGGCGTCCGGTTTAGAAAACTAGTAACAAAGCGTAATACCTGTAGGGCCCTTCTGTCCATGAACCCGTGCGGCGGTTTGGAGGTCGAATATTTGAGGTGTTTAGGTAGGGCGGCCTCCATTTGCCCCCGCAGCGATTGCGGGCTGGAGTACGTCATCCCCATGCCTTTAACGGTTCGCGGCCCATACTCGGCCGGCACGACGTACCGACCTGGCCGGGCTGACATTTTGTATTAACTTTTTTTTTTTTTTTCAAAGAAACTTCCACAATCAATCAATAAATCACAATTACGAAACCGGATATAAAATTTTATTCGATAAAACTAAAATTCTTCTACCAACGAAAAATCCGAGAGTATATAGAAATCTATAAGCAAACTAACAATCTTAACTGCAACCTGTCACCAATACGGGAATCAGTCATCCGAGACGGTGTTTATGCCCCTCATTTAGCTCCTCAAACAATATATAAACATGTACAGAGTAAAATGCAAGCCAGTTTCATTCAAGCTCTGAAGGAGCCAACAGGATAATTGGCGAAACGTCATCAAGTTCGACTCAGCAAAAACCGACGAAGTTTTGTAAAAAGTATTAACATTTTTGTTATCTTTAAAAGCAGCGAACGTTAAAAAGAACACATTGATATTTTTTAGCAAATTAAAACTTTTAGAAAATATTTCGAAAAAAATGATTGAAAATTCCTTTGTATTTTTGAGGTTAAAACATTTTTAGAACTTATTTTCATTGAATTAATAATGTTTGAAAAACGTTTGTTGAAACGCATTTTCTGAATATATATTTCAGTATAGTCTGTCTCAATCTGTTGGTCTGGTAGGTATTAAACGACACAACATTAGGGACGGACTCTCAAATCAACCGTAAGAGACAAATTTATGAAATTTCCAGCATCTATGGTCAAATGTCTATACTACTATGTAACTGATTTCTTGGTAAAAAAAATCATGTTTTTTTATCGGTTCCATATTTACAAATTTAAGTTTAAGATTTCGGAAGAAAATTTCACTGCTCGTCATTAGTTTAAACAAAATGAATTTATTTATGAAATCGCGGAATAAATAACCTGCTAAGGATTCGGGCAGTGGCGTAGCGACTCCGTCCGGTCTTTGCGCGCGTGTCGCCAGTGGCGTAGAGGTAACTTGGGGAGTTCTAAGCTGACGAACTCGCGAACCAATTCTGTCGAAATAAAATCGGCTTTTATTTTCACACTTTTTCTGGTTATGATCTTTTTTTGTTCACCTCGAATACGTTTCCGGTCTTGTACTGGATTGCGGCGCGCAGGGATCGCATAGCGACTCGTGTTGGAAGTAAGAGGAACGATCTGCGGATTTGAAATTGACAAATATTTCGTAAGTCTTGGTAATGTATGATTGTCGATATTGACAAGGCAAATAACCTGGGATCGTCCTGCTGGTGCTAGCAGCAGCCCGTCCAGATCTATCTCCACCAAATTTTGGAATCCTGGACATTCTTCAAACAAAAAATTTAGCGCAACCCCAACAAAAGACCTGTCGAAAAGAGATTTTTGACGGCCTAAATCATAGCCGTCCCTACAAAAGCAGCTGACACAGGGCGTGACGTCAAACGTAATTGCAGATGTTTAGCTTAGTGGTCTGTGATCCACACCTTTAAGCAACATGTTTTCCGTGTTTGGGCGAGTGATCATTGTAATATTGTCCAACTCTTTGTGACAACATAATAACTATTATTTCTACGATATGGGCGAATGATCGTAGCAATCGTGCCCAACTGTAAAACGAATTATTGAATTGAATTGAACTTCTACGATACTCTGGTGGATTCTGTGGTGGAGCATTGCACGCGGCGGTTTAACCTCCGTTCGCTCCCGACAGAATCCCCCAATCGTCCAAAAATTTTTGAAATTGGTTTCCACTTGGTGGATTTAGTGTTTTTAGTGTCTAGTGATTGTTTTAAAGTGATTGCTGATTGTTTTTCCCTGTTCACGTCGGTATGGAGGCCGGATGGGCCCGGATGGTCTGCGGTGGAAGCGGGAGGAAGTCGATTTTTTTGGTATCGGTCAGAATCGTTTTTTGCTACCTGAGCAAATTTTCTTTCTTCTTTGTACGTGTTGGTCATTGCCAAAAGCGAAAATCCTCGACGGATGTCGGAAATGGGCAAATGATCCTAGCAGTCTTGCCCAACAGTGTTTGTTAATCGTATAATTAACTTAACTTAACGATACTCTGGTCTCTCGTCAAAGCGAATAAATCTTTTGGCTTTTATTACTACTACTACTTCTACGATGTGCGACATCCGTGAATATTCTGCCAATGTAGTAAAAAAGCAAAGAAAATTTTTTATTGTTTTCTATTGACATATAAAAGTGCCACCTTCAAATTTTACCTGATGTAAATCAAAGGCTAGATCTATAGAAATGCTGTCTAGTGCCGTTAATCCAAAAACTTACGAAGCAACTATGAAAAACATTGGTTTTTAACCAATAACAATATGGCCACTGACAGATTGTCAATAGATTTGGATGGGACAATTTTACGGCAGTTTTTTGTCAAAATATGCCTAGATTTCTTTAAATATTCTAGGAAAACGAGTTGGATATGTTTAAATCGTTGTTTAGAAAGTTATTGAATGAAACGTAGAAGTATCTTCTCCACGAAAATATTAATATACTGCCAGCGCCGGATCTATTTTTACCGCAGTAGGCCCGCTATATTCGGTTGATTATGTTGTTATATTTAGCGGTCCAGTGACAGCTATTGTGCAGTTACGTCATAGCATGACCTCTTTATCTAGATCATTGCGGGATGTGGTAAATTGACACAGGAATTTCGTTTGTCGTTCCGCGCCAGGTTCATTTTTTTTAAAGACATTTTGCAAAACTGCCCTGACTGGGATTTAGTCATATAGAAAGAAACGCAAAAGAGGGAAATTAAAGGTAATTTTTTTTTGGAAATAACGTCTTTGTTGACCTTCTTTATCGCGTTTTTTCTATTGTGGTGTGTCCCCGTACCTCTTAAACCATGAATCCGGCGCATATTCGTAACGCAAGTAAAATAAAACGAAACGTTTATGTAACATTTAATAATTATATTTCAATACTTATACAAAAAAAAAAAAATGAAATAAAAAAAAATACATTAAAATCGTACTGAGTGGGCGATGATAGTGACAAGGACCCTTATCACCGAAACAAAACTTACATTGCGCGCGCGGCGCGGAGGGGGTATCGTTCCGGGTGCGTTTCACGTATTTTTGAACCTCCCCTCCTCGCCCCGCGCACCAACAAAAACAAATATGATAGTACCCCCATCTGAACGAAGTCAATATCATACCTAACATAGTTGATAAGGACTTTATCACAGCTTTTACAAACGGTCATCCGAATGATGACAATAAAAAATATATATATATAGTTACTTCCGACTACAATGTACAGTAAGATGTCTCCTCCCCGCCCCTCCCTCCGTCCGCGACGAACCCAAACGTACGCCAATCTCTAACGCCTCAGCGAAGATACTCAGCAACATTTTACGTTATTTTAATAATTATATTCGAACTTGGGTGTCTTTTATTGAACAATAACGATAACGAACGATACCTACTGAACGATTACTGTGTTGCTCAGTACCTCAAGTGAGGAGGCGATGTCCCAGTCTAATTCAAACGGTAAAGTTTTTTGTAAAAAAAAAAAACATGCTTCTATGAAAATATAAATACATCTTTGTCTTTCGAAATGCGAATGGCGAATACCGAACACAATCGTTGAGAAAACAACTCCGGAAATCTAATTAATACATGGAAGACTAGTGAGGGAACTTTTAGTACCCGAGCACTCATTGTAAGGCAGCCGATTACAGCGCCAAAAATTTTGATTTAATTGGTGGGCGTTATGTTTCATTTTTAAAAGCATTTTATGAAGTTTTTAATGGGCAATTTTGTTTTAATAATGGGTGTTGCGTGTCTAGGTTAAATAAACATACAAAAAAGTGCATAATCTCGAAAACTGTTCCTCAAGATCAATCACAATATATGTACGAGTGTTTGGAGAAAAACTGCAATGCAATAGTTAAGGCAAAGGAATTTTCAGCACGTCAAGGATCAAATCAAATCAAACTAGGTTGACAAAGACAACTTTACAAAAAATAAGATTTATTATTGAGTAAGATCACGTCAAGTGGAACCCCATTTACCACTTGATCATAAAAATTAAAGATTATATCATCCAGCAAAGAGAGTTTGTCGGGATTTGGAAAACAGTTTCGAACACATTCATACAAGAGATTAAGAAATCACAAAACAAAAACCAACCAATGTTAATAATAAGATAAATGCTAAAACGGCGATACGCCACTATATTGTGGATACTGTTGTTTACAGTCCATCGAAGGGTGGATCGCATGCTGTGTATTTTAAAAGTGGTCTCACAAATCCTGTCCTGGTGTGGATGAAAATGACCTGTTGATCTTCACCTGTAACTAGTGCAAGCCATAACTGCCCTGCTTGTTTTTTTAGAATTTTTGTAAATGTTTTGTTCTTTGTATATTGCATTTCATCAATGATAAATGGTTCCCAAATTTTTGGATAGTGTTTGTGCCAATTAAGCGCATTTTGTATTGTTTATTTCTTTCAACTACTTCTTAATTCCTTAAACTTTCTTAATTGGCGACCCGGTACATAATATTACGAGTACAAAAACTGAGATAACACCTTCTATATGAATAATCGTTTCTTTTGAGCACTAGTTATACATGGAACATTTTAATTATAAACATGAAAAGCAAAATAAACTTTTACGCGCACGTCATACATGTCAACCTAGTTCGACTGAGGCGAGGGGGACCGAGAAATCGCGAAGTAACAATTCCGGCGGAACGCCATAGGCAAAAATAATTTCGAATAGAATCTCAATCGAGTCAAAATCACCCTCGGGAACGTACAAAACAATATGAGGAAACAACATGGCGGCGACGCGTGATGAATTCTTTGCGGGCGGGCGGGCGCGGGGAAATAATCCAAATCCTCTGCCGCGGTCGTCACCGTCACTTTAATTTCTAACCTAAATAATTTACAGCGTGGAACACTTTTCCCTACGTTTTTACAAAAAAAGGCGCCATCTGATGGCCCTCCCGTTCACGACGACTATTTACAATATGTTCGGAGTCTTTTTTATGTTCGTCTTTTTTTTTTCGCACCGCTGGCGAGTGCTCTGGTATTGTCTCGCGACGTTACACGCACGGACGACGACCGGAAGCCCGCCATTTTGCCATTTTTAAAGAACGTCGGTAGCCCCTCCTCCTTCGTAGTCGTCGTAGTCGTCGTCGGTGTAACAAGGTAATACTTACATCGTGTGGCGACGTATCGCGCAACTAGGTACGGATGATGTCCAGCACCGAGTCTTTCTGCCTGTAGTCGGCTTTGTGCATCGTGTTAAACGATATGGACCCGTATAGACCCGCCCCTAAGAAATTTAGAAGATTAGGAATTGGGTTTTTACGAGGAAATGGTAAATTTTCAAGGTTAACTTTTTTAAATTTACATTATTTTTTTTAAAAAAAGTGATAGGGTTTCATGTACAGATTTGGGATTACACTTATATCTATTATTTCATAAAAAAGGATCTTTTACCCCGATATTAAAAATGTGTACCGTGCTATAGCTACTTTTTGCATTTTTTGCAAGGCCCGATGGCCCCCCGCCACCCCGGACGGCCCGTGCAAAAAATGTTGATTATGGTTTCTTCTTATGTGTTGGTCTGTAACCAACCAGTATTCTTGCCCGATTTTTTGTAAAAAACAAAGAAGAAGAAGAAGAAATGCCCTTTCACTTATTGTGGTGTATATCGTAACCACAAATATATAATTTCTGGTTTCTCTCTCATGATAGTATTACGTTACAATGGAGCCGACTCAGGTACTTTACTGCTTTTGTTATATATGAATAGACCCACACTATAGGGTATTCCGAGTAAAGGCAAAAGGTTCTGTGTTAAATAAAAGAAATAATATTACAAATAGAATCCGATTGAAAAAGTTATTGAAGAATTAAACGACTCATCTCTTCTATTTCTTCTAACCCAACAAAAACAAATTCTTCTTTTGTACCTACAGCACTCTCAAAATTCTAGGCGACCTCGGTTTGTTCGACAGTTAATGGGTTTAATAAAACAATTTGAGGTAAATTGCAAAAAAAATTCAGGTGCTGTTGGGGCTGCTGTTATAAGAAAAAAATATGTCAGTAATTGAAAATATCACAGGCTTCAAATTCCTAAAAAAATATTTGAGAAGAACTAACCAAAACTACAACACTAACTGATAACTTCTGTACATGTTAAGCAAAGCAAAAAAGGCACAATTTTCTTTTGGGAAATTTTGGAAACCATTGAACTCTCAATTGTTTTTATAACTGCAAAAAATAGATTGTTAATTTACGAATTGTATGTTGTATCCATGTATTGTATTACAATTTTGTTTAATCGCAAACAATAATTTGTAATTTTTATGTTTTAGATTTTATGCTTTGCAATTTGCTATGCAAGTATTTATTAAAGAAAAAATTTTTATCATAACTTGGTCCTATTTCCATTTTTGAACAATCATAATGCCAGATATGCTACGATTATCACAACTGAACACTTTATTTTTGGTTAGTTAATGTAACTTTTAGGATTAGCGTAAAAGGACCTTTCCATTTATGAAATAATATACATACAACTTCCGATATACTATACATTTTTATAAAATAAAATTATAGAGAGGCGGGTAACATTTATAATAGGTCACCAGTTGCTATAAAAAGTACAGTACAATGCCTCACATTTTAAAAGAAAAATTAGAATGATCTTTTACGTTATTTTGATGTCATATTTATTGTTTTTTTTTTTTAAATACAAAATATCGTTTGTGACGCCATAAAATTAAGTTTAAACATGTCCGCCAAAAGGGGAATTTTCGGTGCAAAGATAATTTTTGAATAATAAAAATACTCCCCCCGACCCCGGCCTTACCCGACATCGCAGGCAACTCCCTGGGCGAGGTGTCCCGCGTCTTGTGGGTCGATTTCTCGCTATGCGCTTGAGCGTGATCCCCCTTAGCGTCGCCGTCCTCCGCCAGGACGGTGGACGTCGCGGAAGCCAACCGGACGTCCTGCGTCGCGCCCAAAATATACTTGAAAAACTCGTAGGTCGACCAACAAATCGCTGTCGACGGCATTTGGTACATCACCCTACGGACATAAATACCAAGTTGACGATACGCGTCTAACTTTGACCACTCTGTACGTGTACACAAGTCAAAGTTTTTATTATAAAAAAAAAAACGATTTTATATTAAATATTCAAAAACCTTATACTGGTTTCGTTAAAATTTGACATTTTTGTTAACAGTCATAAGGGGCTTCTAATTAGAAAAAAAGATTAAATCGAGAGGCGTCACAGAGGATAATCTAATTGCAGTTTAAAAAAATCAATCTACGCCACTACTTTTTGGCATGTTTAATTTGTTTTCGAAAATAAAAATGAAAACCATTTCCCCGCATCTCACTGGACATTAAAAATATGACAAAAATCTTATTAATCTTTACTAAAATGTGCACCGCACTAAAATAAATAAAATAACCCCGTTTTTTTCCAACAAATGTTGATGTTGAAATAAGAGCCGAGTTGCGTTATCTGTCGGAAATGATTTTACCTCGCTTTAATGCGGGAGGTAAAACGGGGAGAAAAGAAAAGTGATGTGGGACGTCGATTCGGACTTACACCGTCGACTGTATCCACGATTTGGAAGTGCAAAGAAAAAATCATTCACGCTCAAGCGGCAGGCAGTGCTAGTAAAAAACTAAGAAAGCTAAAATCTGAAGATTTGGATCGGGCAATGTTGCAGTGGTTCCAACAGCAACGTCTTAAAAATGTACCACTCTCTGAACCCATCGTAAAACTAAAAGCAGAAAAGGGTGAGGAAGAGCACCAAGAGGAAGACGAAGATGAAGAAGTTGATCTGGGACCACCACCAACCATTCAACAAGCCCTATATTCAGTTAAGCTGCTAGGGAAAATGCCCGTCTCGAAGAAATGGTGAAAGTACGGGCCAAAGTACGAGGTCATACTAAAAAAATTCAAAAGAAAATGACCGATTATTTGAAAAAAATATGTTTGTAAAATAATTAAATACATGCGTATTGTTATTTTTCAAGTGCCCATAACATTTTATAACAAGGGGCAGTCCACTAAATTTCCCTAAATAGAGTTTCGACCGTATATAAATTTTGAATGTATGTACTATGGCAGCTTGTGCTGGCCAGTCTATTTTGTCAACTTTTTTTTGGCGCCGTTCTATTTAGACTTTCAAAAAAATGGTCTTCCTTGATTACGACACCTGCTCATGTCACACACCGAAGTAATAATAGCTTGGTAACTTTTAAAACGTCAAGTAGATATCTAAAAAACTAAAAATCACACTTTATCACTAGAGCACTACTTCAACTGGCGGATTAACCCCAACAAATAACGAAAATAGAAAAGGCGACGCTTTTTTCAAACTTCTACAAGTCACCATGCGCCTCTAAAACATGAGGTGTCCGGGGTTTATGCAGAAGTTAACGTCATCAAGTGACACCTGGTTTAAAATTAATGAAAATCCATTCGACTCGCCTGGCTTGTAGGCCCCTGAAATAGCCAGCCGGTCCCCTGAGCTGGTAGATGAGTTTCATGCCCTGCACGAGACCCCTGGCCTGCGCGGTCTGCTGGGTATTGAGCAGCGTCTTGCAGACGTCGAGGGGCGTGGTTATGGCGGCGGCGAATGCGCCAGCGACCGCGCCGCTCAGCATATGCGCCGGTGGGTTGTATTTCCTTTCGGCGTTGGTGAGCTAACGACGAAGCGAGACTACGATTATTACCGAAAGGTGGCGGTAGTGAAAGAAACGGCATCACCTTTTGACCAAACTCGTAAACCATGAAGTGGATACTCTGGAATGGCACGTTCATCGTCAGTTGCGTCACGTAGGACCTGTAGAACGCCCTCAGGCCTTCGGTACGGTAGACGTCGTTGACGCAGTTGAGCACCGTCTTGTAGGGCGAGTTGAACATCTGCATCCTCTGTTTGACCACTGTGAATTGTAGATTTCGGTACAATAGGGGGCGAAAATGCCGAGTTTGACTAGCATCTAATCGAAATCGACAAAGAAAGGCAACTATTTTACCCAGAAACTGTGGTTTCAGTTTGCTGTGGTTTGGTTTATTTATCTACCAACAGTAAACAAAACATTTCTGGCAAGTCAAAAGAAAATAAACAAATTCATAACAGGGTACACCACAGGTTTAAAGTTTGAAATTTAGGTATTTAGCAGTACTGTAGATGCTTGAAAGACCTCTTAAAAGAATTGTTACAAGGTAATTTATTGTAAAAGTCCATGACAAAGTCATAGTACGAATACTGCGAAAATGGATTCTACAGGATTCTCTATAGTCCAAACCAAGAAGAATCTGGAAGGTTTTTTTTTACAGTTAAATAAAGCGAAATACACACACCTCATAACTTGAGTATTAAGAGATTATTACGCTTTCGCAGTATGACAGTGAGTTAGACGGAGTCAATATGAACAGACCAATTCGTTGCCTGCTTTTCTTGCATATCTTGCATATAATTAAGTATGTAATATTAAATCTACCCATTAAAAATAAATGTAAAATAAAGAAATAGGGGGTATTGATAACGGATCACTCTAATACGTGACGCCAAGAACTCACCTTCTGCGGGGTTCATCACTCCGTCATGCAACAATGTCGCCAGACAGCCGGAAACCCCTGAAAAGAGGGAAAAAAATTGGCGATAATTCACAACGCTTATGGCTGTGGCTTAAAATAAGGAATACCCACGATCCATTTTTAAGATTAAAAATAACATTAAGTTACATATAAAATAAGTTCTGAATTCTCCGTAGCCTACCTTTGGCCTGAACATCAAGCAAAGAACCACGGACAACATCAGCATAATTACAATATGAAAGAACAAAAGACTTTCATGGCTATAAAGTATATCCTTGTTTTTATATAAATTTTATATTCGAAACCCGAAAGGGATCCGTTTGAATAACCAAATATCTCTCATTCCCAATCTACTCTCGGGTTTTCTCAAAATCGGCAATGATAATAACAAGTCAGTACACACAAGTTGGCTAGGGCCTTCCATTATTAGTACGGTTTTGGGTGGATATTAATTTAGTAGAAAAACTGCAAATAAGCACAAAACAAAAAAAACAAATTTATAGGTTATAATCTTGACGTTCTTCCTATCTGCAAACACTTAACTTTTTAGGAACACACGCCCAATTTTGGATATTTATCCAGAACATTCTTCATTCTCTAAAATTCAAACTAACCAAATACGATGTCATTTTGGAGGAATCAGCGGTTTTATACAAAATACCAAGTTTACCAGGTGGTTTAAAACTAGCTGGCGTGCAAAACTATATGCATTGGATAATGTACAGATTTTTCGTTTGCCAACTGTGTTTAGTTAATAAAAAATCTACGTAACTTATCCGTATAGACGCGCGTGTTCTGTAGTCTGTGACCAAAACAAGCAAGCCGGCTGGCATAAAATAATATAGTAATAAACTTAAAGTTCAAATCAGTTTAAATCGACACTTAACGCATATATGTGGAAAAATAAGTGACAACGAACAAAATTGCCAAAAATTAGCCAAAAACAAATTGATTGACGATCAATTACGAGTGCCAAATAAACTCGACACTGAAACTTCAGCTTCAAGTACTCAACACGAGATAATAAAACGTTAGAAAATTAGATATTTTCTTAAATCTAGTAACCTGACGTTTCTATAAGGTGGAACGACAGTTTCGGACGAAAATTCTTGAATTAAAAAAAAAACAGGGTTATTTATTTCCATATTAAGAAGAAAATGAAAAATACGGTACTGGTTTAGAAGACATCGAAGATATTCAATATAAAAAATTCAACGTTTTCTGTGTACAATTTATTTCGCGACCAGGCGAGTTGGAGTGGTGGGGGGAGGGTATTATATAAATACGATAAAATCGAATATGGCGCAATTTTTAGAAACAAATGAATCGATATCAAGTAGGCGAGCGCGTGTAACATCGACAACAAGTTATATTATAACTCGGCGGGATTTCTTAATTATATGACGTTTCCCGATTACATTGTATGTATTTGTTTTCCCATCGTATCCAATCAACTACAAACCACTAGAAAATCTCCATGTCGCGTTTTGACGAACGCAAGAGAATAACGTTTGGTAGTTAAAGGCGTTAAATGTTCGATCGTTGATGGTACAACTTGGCAACAAAAATTTACCCTCAGACCATATGCAATGATCAAAGAAACGACTTCTTTGGTATGACGAAATTAGATATCGGCGAAGCAAGTTCTTTAGGATAAACAAGAAAGAAACTAGTCAAACGAAAATATTTAGAAGGTGCAATGATATAAAAGCGATTTTTTTTTCTTCCACAGGCTACTGTAATACTTTTTACAAAACTTCTGGATTCCTCCTGCGTCGGGTTTTGCTGAGTCGAACTTGCTGACGTTTCGCCAATCATCCTATTGGCTTTTTCGGGGCTTGAGCAGGAGGAATGCAGAAGTTTTGTAAAAGAAAGCGAATCTTTGTTTTCTAAATTCAAAACCCCAATATTTGTAATTTTCGAAACTTATTTTTCTTAGCGTAAATCATAAGACAGTAAACAAATATAGAAGTGAGTTATTATTCATCAAAATTCGTAAAAGATAAAGGCTATGAAATGATACAGAATTGAACCCCAAACCCAATAAAAGTGCCAGATGCAAGTTGTTCATTTTTTTTTAATGAGAAATTATTTTGATATTTGTGACCACCCCAATTTTAGTTTTCAAGTATAAAAAACACCCATTTTCATCCAAAAAAAATGGAAAGGTTCATTTTTGCTCAAAAGCTACTCAAAGTTTCGTATGCTATGTTATGACAGAAAAAATCTCAAAATCATGCGAATAATTAGAATTTTTAAAAATATTCATAGCATTCCGTTAAAAAAAATAAATATACTATAAATAAAATATATATGTATTTAACTTTTTTTCTTCAGTGTCGTAACTATTTCTAAAAAATAAATAAAATAAAAAGCTTCGAGGAGACGACACTTTTCTTGGTCCTCTGCCTATACACGGAAAACTACAGCGCGTTTGCATTTTTGCGAGTCCAAAGTTCGCCGTCATTCATTGTTTCATAGCGCATTTAATTCGGTATGGGAATTCAAGGTGGGGAAGTCCGAATTACGCGCGCGGCATTTTTCTTTTGTCCCGCGGTTTTAATTGGATAATTTTCGTGACGGTGTGATCTCGCGATTCCGTCCACTCACCAGAAATTTATGCCGGTAATGCGTCAAGATCGAACTGACGTGACGCGGTCAAAAACCATTTCAGCGCGTACATTTATTTTTTAGCATTTTTAATAATTTACTCCGTTTTAAGAACGGTACGTACTTTTAAAGAAATTATTCGAAAGATATTGAATACCATCTCTGCTATGCCCTGTTGCCATATCATTATTGAACTGTGCAACTGTATTGCACAGGGCACCTACGATGATTGTCAAGGGTCCCGTGAGTGGCATGGAGACGGATGGGTTTATAATATTATCAAATATTTTCCAAAAAATAAAAAAAATATTTAAAAATAATAAATTATGGTTATTTCCTCCTCTATTTTGAATAAAAATTTTAGCTTTGGTACAAGTTGGACAATATCTCCAATAAGCCCATTCCAACTGTTAGGGGTGTTTTATGGTCTTCAAAAAGGCCTGCAGATCATTTCCCAAGCATTCTCAATTGGGATTAGATCAGTACTGGCTGCTGGCCAATCCATAGTTTCAATTCCAAACTCATGAAGAAAATTTCGCACAATCTGAGCAACAAGCGGTCTATTTGCTATTAAACTGCCATTACTAATAATCACAAAGTCGGCACGAGCAGCTAAAGAGATTCCTCCCCAAAATATAAGGGACCCTTCACCAAATAATCTGGTGTTTTGGAGGTTACATTGGGCGTATTTGTTTAGAGCACAGTGCGACAGAAACAATCTCATTTTACTGAGCATAAGAAAACCGAGAAAGTTTAAAAACGAGGCTAGAATGTAGGTTATGTTTGCCGCATTCTTCTTCTTTAGTTCAATAAGCAATTGGCAATGACATCAGCGATGTTGGTTAGTTTTGGTTAGTCTTGTTTCATAGCCGTTCTTGTTAAGATGAAAGAAACAGCAGTGTCAACAATATTTTTATTTAACCATGATCGTAATAATGTAAAAACCAAATAGATCCTTGGAATTTAATGACTATAGTTTAACTCACTATTCGGACCATTCTTCAACATAAGTTTTTATTTACTTGGACTTACAATAATTAATATCTCCATTATCAGCTTATCTCTGTAATAATAATCAAGTATAATTATCAAGATTATTATTCTGTAGTCACGCCGCTGTTGCACTACTTTAATTCAATAAATTCGGGAACGAAAACTATCATGGGAATTAACCTGAATTTTACGACATAACCTCTAAGTTACTGATCCCTGCAACTGCAACTGCAAATTTACATTTTATTCTTTTCCCGCATCAAGAAACGAAACATAAAAAACACTGCCAGCCAAAAGAACGTAATTTTTTTGGCAAACGTCGACAATACAACAAAAACGATAAGAAAAATAACAACCAAATCTTCGTTGTAAAACGTTAAGTGCGAGAAAAATATTTTATTTAACACCAATCAAAGCTCGCCGCGGTTGTTGCTGACGTCACGAAATCCTTATGTCCACCGATTTTTATCAATACGCGTGACGACGGTGACAATTGCAAAGGTAAAAGGCCCACGCGTGGCAATCACAAGTGCAACGCGCTCGTACCGGGTGTCCAAAAAAAAACGATAAAACTACTACATATATAATTGCGACACCCCGTAACTTCGATTCGCATCTGCATTTTCGCCCCCTCTAGCTCCGCCATCGCGCGAATCGATCATGTCACCGTTTAGTTCGAGTCGGCTACGCGTGGTGGCGCCACTCGCATCCTCCATTCCAACAACTATTTCTGCAATTTCTCCAAGCTCCTGCACAATCCTCCCGTCGACAATGCGTTCTACGCCACTGGCGAATTACGTTCGACAATACTGTCGTCGGAATTGCAGTATGATATTCGAACAAAACAATGCGAATTTAAAACATTAATTAATATACAGGGTGGCGCCGGATTAGTAAAAACTACGCTTAAACATCTGTAAAATTGCCGAAGCTGGAACGATAACATTCAACAACGTGAGGCTTTTTGAACAGCCATGTAGTCGGATTTACTACTTTTACGTCACACGTCATAATTTGGTATTTTATTATCATTATCAGCCGTTAGAGAGCTAAATACAGTTATTTGTAAAATGGGATTTCAGCCACCATATTCACTTGATATAGCCCCCTACGACTTTTTCCTGTTCCCAAAACTCAAGAAACCCACGGAAGGATGGATTGAGATAAAGCAAAAATGGCTGGAAGAACTCAATGCTATACCAGAACTGGTTCGAGGATTGGAAAAACTAATAAATAAATACTTTTTAATAAAACTCCAAGGACTCCAAGGGTCAGAATTAAATTATAAATAAAGCCGTTCTTATTTACGTAATTAGGATTTGTATATGTCAGCAAGCTATTTCGATAAGTGACGTCATACAGCCAGACGACATAGTTTGAGACAAAGTATACCAATTTTTTGTTCGTCGAATTAAGGAAAGACCCGGGCAAGCTGGAGGAATGAAATATGGCCGAACAGGTCCGTACTTTGCTTAGAATTTAATAATTGGGGGTTTTGTTAGGAAAAATATTGTATTTATGTTCAAATCTAAAATAAAATATCGAGGTTCACTACTTTTTAGGGCTACACTTGATCTTAAAAGAGTTTTCATGTTCAAGGTGCGACACAGTAAATATTAAAGATTACCAATTTATAATTAAATATTTTTCCGAGACGGAAAATCCTCGATAAAAAAAAACATTCCCGCGCGTACCGGTATATCCCCCGCAACAAAACAAAACGTTATTATCGTACGATACCCCGTCGTGCAATTGACTACTACTCGCTGATACCGGCAAACGCGGCGTATTAATAGAATATCAGTTTATTGGCCTAGATTTTTTTCTGCCCCAACGGTGCCAAGAAAAAACGAGCCACGAACCGATCGAACCACTTTCTCCTGCCAAGCATGGCGGATAAGTACCAAAGATTTAGAAAAAAAAAAAGGAGGGCGGGGGAGGTCTGAGTTGGTGTTGCACAATCGGTTGCAAAAAAATAATGGGGCTCCATGCCCGAAATACCGTTACCGCATTCGCTAGGTGCTCGGTTTGACGTAATAATGAGGTAGCGATTCGTCGATGACCTTGCAGGTTTTCACGATGATACAATATATCCACACACACACACGCGCGCCCGCGCACACACGATCAGTAAACAACAGCCAGAGTCGTCCGCGAATGCAGAGTGTTCCAAAAACATGACAAAAGAAAAGTCTTCATAAACATAGAGGCTTAGTTTTAACTCCAGTGACGTGGGCACTTTATCGAATATTATCGGAAAAACAATATTACGCAACTACTTTTTTTATAACTTTAATGTTTTTTGTTTCGTTAAGCATCTAAAGAACTCCTTTGACTTTTAACTGCAATGTCGCCACCAGAAGCAATTTTCTTGAATATTGTTTTCGATGATTATTAATATATTTAAGGTTTGGGAAAAAAACGTCAAATACAAAAGTTGTTGAAAATATTCCCATAATTACCTACACACATTTACAGTTGGAAATTGAAATTGCCTGTAGCAATGAGGATTTACTATGGTCCACTGTCTGATTGAAAACGACGTCTCGTTTTTATCGAGAAAACTCTCCTTTCAGGTTTTCCGATGTTTTTTTTAATGGAACTATTGGGATTTTCTTCGACTTTTAGTAAAATCGTTGAATTTCTATCGCGATCTATTTTCAATGGTCTTTTCTTTCTGACTAGGCTGGATGTGTGTTGAAATTTTTCATAGATTCGATTAAAGGTTTTTTGCCTCGAACGGGCATTCGGGTGCTCCTTCTGAGCCAATTAGGCCCTCTTATTTGCTTTACCAGACGTTTCAAAAATTATTTGTTTTTATCATTCAGAATTTTACTACATCTTTACACGGTAACTGTCACTGTCAGTTGGTTTTTGGTGACGACCACACCACAACCACCTAAGGTACAAATTATAAATTCTCGAACATTTTATTTTCGAATATTGTTTTTATGTTAAACGCGAATATATACCAAAAAAAATGTTGATTTGAGAATTTCAGTTTAAATCTCATTGATAGTTAAGCAATACATTTGAATGTCTCATTTTGCTATTCTCCATGGCTTCCAATAAATTTAATTTCCTACTTTAATTAACTGGAAGCCATGGAGATTAATAAAATGAGACATTCAAATGTCAAACGATCAATTAGATTTAAATACCCCTCCATTATTAAAATTAAATTCTCACAACATTAAAGTTTTAGTATCATTTTTCGGTATATATAGTAACAGGTAGTTTGTAAATATTACATTTGATAAAGACACGGTGTTGTCGAAACAATTGTCATGCGAATTTATATAATGTCGTGAAAATCTGAACTTTTAGTTCTTATTTATTTTGTTAAATGGATTTTCATCAAGTAAAAGCCACCTCAATTCAACTCTTATCTGTGGATAACTTCTGCAACACCCCGCTTTTTTATTATTTTAGTATACCTGTCAGAACTCATCTGAATTGGATCGGAAGCAGTGGATCAGTACACTTGCCCCAATGTTAAAAAAAATAAAGGCAGCGTAATCGAAAAAGAGTTAAATGCTTGAGAAAAATTAAGAAGCAGACATTTCCAACATTTGTTGCAGTATAGTTTAAGTTATAAATGTCATTGGACTTAACAATTTTAATCTAATAGCCTATTAATACACCAAATAATTAATATCTCCCACTATTTATCAAAGCTCCCATACATCTCCTATCAATTAAGTCGAATAAAACGCAGCTTTTCTTAAAACCCGAGAGTTCCGGTTTCATTTATAACGTGGAGATGTTGAAGTAATTAACGCCATATTAACAAGTTCGAATCCAACTGCTATTGTTACATTCTGTTTACTGGTAGAATTTTACATTTTGTTGAAAATACCACCACTGATAAAACGGTCTTGAGATAACGCGCGAGGTAATTCAGCACGCCGAACCATAAAATCTCTTGAGTAAACAAAAACAGTTACACGAGCGGTTACAAAAAAATCCAATAGGACCGATTTTAGTCATTCGCTTACCGCGCTACAGACGGACAAACACTTACCGTAAACTGCCGTGTGATACCTGGCAGATGGTACATAATCTTTAAACGTCTCCTTCAGGAATTCGTAAGAACTAAAATAAAGAGCGTGGGACGGCCCCGCGCCCAAAACCATCGCCGACATGCCTCTTATGGGCCTCAAAATGCCCTCCTGCCGCACCATTTTTATCAAGGTGCCCCCTATACCTTCCGTGCTCGAAGTCGTCAAAGACTGCATCCTCGTCTAAAAAAAGAAGAGGAAAAGTCAAGGAGGTAAACAGAATCGCATTAGCCTTGAACCGGCCCGAGCTTTGAATTTCAATCTCTAAACGGAAACGTGTTATAATTAAAAATTATTTTCAATTAAAATGTAAGCGTTTGCCTTAAAATGAACGACTATTACGCTGGCGATTCAATTGTCACAAATAACACGGCACGATACAGGTTTCCAAGAGATTAGATTTTGTTGCACGTTAAACACGATACAGTTCGGATATAATTAACGAAAGTCGATGCGAACCACGAATTATAGCTAGATTTCGTTGTAAATTCCATGGACGTCGAATTTTTCACTTTCTTTCAGTCAATAATGCAAGTGTAATAGATTGAAAGTGATTTGTCTCGAACATAACCTCACATTTAAAGCGGCATTAATAAACGGATCTCGGAGATTGAACCGTGATTGCGCAACAATGGGGACCGATTCGCATCTCGGCTGCCATTAAACGAAAACGCAAACTTCTATAATTACCTAAACCCCCTATTTCCAAACTCTTTTGAATTTTCGCCAATATTTTTATGTCTGTTCTAAATAGCTACTTTACTAAACTGAACCATGATATTACTGAAATCTACTTCAATCGCGAACCGAATAGGAATTTAGCATTGGCCACTTTTGGTTACCGTATTTTAAAGTGATATAACCTCAAAATTATGGCCACCCAGCAACGTCTTTCTGGAATCGTTTTCACCAGTCGGAAAAGTTTATTTTCACTTACTTTCACCGAATCTAGGGGATACATTATGCAATGCTCCATTATCCCGGCAATCGCTCCTGCTATCATATGTGTTCCAACGTTGTCTGTCGGTAGCGTTTCATAATCGTCGGGATTCATAGTTTGCGTCCGATTCGCTATTTTTCGGAGACAACGAGAATGGGGATTTTGTAATTTCCGGTTGTCAGTGCCTCTTAAGCTTGTCCGATGTTAAAATAAAAATCCACAGCAATTTCGAAGAAATCAAGTGCACAAACGCACCACGTTCGGCGAAAAACGACACTGACCTGTCCTCCTACCCCTCGATGGTTAAAAGACAATTGCGCGCGACGTTGCCGCCATTACACCGCAAGTTTTCCCCACAGGTTCGGAGTGTGAAGCGTTTAAAAAACGTTGTTTATATTTTGTGTGCTTTAACAAAATCCCGTGCCTATTTTGTTAACGTTGAATCTAACACCGCGTCCGTCTAAATTTTCTAGAACATTGATTAAATGATTATTCTGTCGTTTGGAGTTGCAATAATAAAAATGAAAGACATCTGGCATCAAGGATCCGTCCCCCACCTCATGTGCTTGGTGTGCGCGGATGTCGTGCGCAACAACTGTCGCCACGCGCAAATCCTAATTATACAGTGTCTCGAAAAATTCCAAGTAAATAAAATTAATTAATTCAGATAAGCTGTGTGGGTCGGCGCGTTGATAACATGCCCCGGAATGAATAACTGCAGCGATTATTAGCATCCCCGGGATCGCGTAACAGCAGAAACTTACTTTAAATATAGTCCGATAAGACGATTTTGATCGCGGCAAGATGTGGTCGGCGTAAATGAAGTGAAAACTTGAATTTGTTTTCCAACCTAACACCCGAATTATGTAACACGTGATTTCAAATTAGGAAGCAGTCATATTTTGAGCTATTATTTTTGCACGTTTGGCGATTCTACAATTTAAATGAAACCAATATCTTATTGTGAACGTAGGTCGTTGTTTCTTTTATTACTTTTACTTATTGCAGATTCAATAAGTTGCGTTAGACAGGGTACAAATTAAAATACTCAAATTATTAAGTTAATCCATTTATTTCAAACGTTTTAAAAACGAAATTAGATATTTTGGCAGACTGGTGAACATTGTAGGAGTCTTAAAAAAATTAAAGTGATAATTTTCAAGACTTGATGTTGCGCAAATAAGGAAGAATCTGGTAACTGTAAAGTGGATAGCTCAGGCTGTCGATCCACTCCTTATGCCATGAGCTTTCCATTTGGTCTTGGATTCGGGTTTTCGTTGCCTTGTGAATATGATCTTCCAAATATAAGTGTTTCGATCCGACTACCGCACTTTCCAGAAAATACACATAGTTCCTTAGTGGTATTTCCACCTGGTCTATAATTTGTGCCGTCTTGGTCAGCCAATTCATTATCGGAACATTCCACCAATCCCAACTCATAGACTGATGGTTACTCTTGAATTCCGCACTGGTGGTGTTATCAACTGTGTCAGAAATGTCCGCTTTTATCGACGCTAATAATATTCCGGTTTTTAGAAGCTTAACGATATTCCATGAACCAGAGTTATTGGTTAGGTCAGTCTTATTTTCGTGTAAATCGAGTGTAAAATTCGTTTTCTCTTCGGGTTTTACGATGCAGCTTTCGATCGGAAGTAGATAATCCATTTTCCGTAAGTACAGGCTAGTGCCGGGTATGTGACTCGCTAAAAACACAGAACCTGTCAGTGTCATCAGTCCTGCGGTGTATGTGGCTGCCAAAATAAGGGAAACGGCAAAAATGCAATGGATTATGTTTTGAATATCCAAAACTGCCGCTAAAACTTGCAGCTCTGTGTATGTGAAGTGTCCCCTTGGCATTGCTTGCCTTTTAGCTAGTTCAGTTTCAACTTCTCCTAGCTTCTTCCAGAATGCTAGCTCATTGACATAAATTTCCCAATCCTAAAATTGTTTTAAAAAATTACTGCTAATGATCAGATAAATGACAGCAATTGTTTACTATGGCTTTAAGAAATTCCTTTTCCAAAGAAACGAGTTGCTTGCACGTTATGCCACCAGAGTTAGCCCACCTTTTCATAAAAACCTCATTGCATTCCCCATCGTCAAACAAATATTTAGAAGACACCATCTAAAAATCACAAATTTGTGAAAATCATTCTCACCTGTAAAAAGCAGACTCACCAAAGAAACCAAGAATAAGTCGGCAGGGGCGGTCCTTTCTAAATATTCAGGTTTACAATTCTTGAGTCTATCAAAATACAACATTGCCAGAACTAGAGAACAAGGTGAAACAGAAGCATTGCGTGAAATCTGTGCCGCAGTATCCCAGTGGAGTCTATCCAGTGATTTCCCCTTTTGCACTTCAGAAAACATTTCTACTGCCAATTCTAACCAATAACGTAAAAAAATAAGTTTAGTTTATGCACAATGTGCCTGCTTTTCGTTAAAGTTCTCCCTACCTGTTACTGGAAAACTTAATACATCAGATCTAGGCAATTTTCCATAGTAGAGAGTCTTGGTTATTCTGGATAGGTACTTTTGGTGACTGTCGACTCCCTGAAATATCGATCAATGTGCACTATACTACTTTTGTATATGCTCAGCTATTTAAGTTATCCCTAGTTCCCCTTATATGGCATTTAGAATATAGTCATCAATTTTAGTAATTTAACTGTATTACCTACCTTTGAATAGGGCGTCTTCTTGCATATTTTTGACATGTCACTTTTATTCTACCACACTAACTCAATTTATCGTATACAATATAAATTTCTTCAAGTAAAAACAAAATTATCTAAGCAGTTAAAACAGCAGCACCACCCCCTTGTAAAGGAACTGGAACGCACAATGTTGCACACGGACCATAGAATAAATTCTATTCCATGTAAATTCTATGGCATCGTTAAAGTGGTTAGCTATGTTGATAAACACGCTGAAAATGTTAGCGACCCAGTGAAATGTATAACTTTAACATTGGGGAAACCGACACGTGATTTTTGCTACTCATGTTTCATTTCGTTGATTTCAACAACGTACCCAGAGCACCGGCCTCTTTATGCATTTTTTTCCGACCAAATCATAAACCACAGAACAATAAACCATTTCCTTGAGAATAAATCCGTAGTATGGTGCTGCTACAGAATACTGCGGCGCCTGCACGAACTGTCCCAATTCGGACTCGCCCATTGTTTAGTTTGACGTTTGTTGTCAATTTCGTTGAGTTTATGTGATAAAATCGTTAATATATTTGATATTACGGGAGGTATGCAGTGAATGTGCGACTAGTGTTTCGGTGCGGTCCCAACAATTGGAAAACACTTCATCTGACCATGGGTAAGTACATAGATATCGTACAAAGTTTACCGGTGAATTCGGTTGTCGTTAAAATTTGCATAAGCGATTACACTTTGCCCTCCGGGCAATAATAAAATTGTAATTGGAATATTTATTTATACGTAAGGGGGGGCCGCGTGAATTAATTGTTGGCGGAAGTGTGTTGTTTTTTTATAATTTTTCTAATGGAACCCTAAAAAATGTAGGTAATAAATGGGACCCATCCATTCATTATCTTATCAAAAATGTTTGATGTGATTAAATAACGAAGATAAGGAATATGTACTGAAATAGCCGAACGAGTAAAAGAACAAACACGTTTCGTAAACGCTGATGGCGATTTTTTATTAGATAATAAAATATTAGGGTGGCCTTTGCCGCCCTACTTAGTAACGCTGAGGGTTTTCATCCTATTTGGTTGGGTTGATTTGTTAGATTTCTCGTCCGTTACAATACGACTTTAGTCAGGATGTGTTGGAAATTAAATTAAGCCCAAAATTAACGCAATTTTTTTTCTTTTATTTAAATTTATTTAAAGTAGGTGGCGCAAAAAAAAACTCGTTTCCGAAAAGAAAGGCATCATTAACGGTCCACGCACGTACCTCTCCTATAAATCATTACATAACGACGGTAATAGTCTCGTTATGGTCGCGTATGGTCATTTCTATTTTTAGAATTCAAGAAAACCCACGGCAATTAAACGTTTCAAATAACAAAACGCCGCACGAATCCGAAATTTAAAGCAAAAGACCGGCAATCCTTATCCGCCGCTGGCCGCGAAATTAACGCAGATAATTTAAATTTTGCGACATCATTTTCGCTTTTGTAGGTTAAAGGCCGCGGATACGGCAACATCGCCAAAATCGCACAAACGGCAACTTTAGGGTGACAAAATTATGCCCATTTGTCATACTCGTTGCCAATAACTTATATTCAGGTTGCTAATTGACAGTGCCATTTTTATTATGCGGTTTTACCCTGAGAACATTGATGCAGAGGTTTAAGCGCACATTTTCAATTTCGTTTCTAAATGTACCAATACAATTAAAATTATCAATCGATTGTACCTTTTTGTCGTCATTATTTAAAACTTTTCGAAATCACTTTCAATTGTTTTCCCATACGGATGCTGAAGTTACAGGATATTATGTTTTCTAATCCATTTTTTTTATTGATTTTGATTATATGAAGGACAAATTGAGCGTCAATAGACTCCCAAATGGTAAAAGTGATTTAACAAAATGGAGACAAAGAAAAGTTCTTAAAAAATTGAATTAAAGAAGACATAAACACATATTTACATATGCTTTGGATTTTTTTTTTTGATAATTTTACCTTATTTTTATACAATCGATGTTAAAATAAATAACGAAAATGTTTTTGTCGTATATACTCTAATTTAATGTGTTTCCTATGATATGGGTTAAATCTAAAAATTTTGAGCAATCCTTTGCAGTCAAAATATTTCAAATTATTAATGAATTATTCTGTATTATTAATACGTTAAAATGCAATTATTTTATTTATATAAAATAAAGCAGCGATTTGCCTTTCGAGTATCCAATTTTGATAAGAAAATGTCGAGTCATATAGTAGATGCTGTCATGCATATTTTTGAAAATTTTTTAATGTTTAATAGATTTACGCTTTTTAAGAAAAATCTCGGTTAGAACGCGGCGCCTCTAGCGGCAATTTTAAGAAGCTCGGTCGACAACAACACGAATTTGTAAATTGTTTGGCTCCTTTTTTATAGTCCACCGTTACGGTTGCAATTAATGTGAAAATTTGCGAAACATGGCGGTCAAAATAAAGCCAAAAATCGACAATCTGGACAATTGGCTGTACAGCGGAGGCAGATGTTGATCAAGGTTATGCGGGTATTCAAGGTACCTGTTCTTTTGATGGTATACATTGGCAGAATTATACATTTCATACATATATTATATATTAAGTGCAGGACTGTATGTAGTCCGTCTTAATAATCATCGTGTTGGCTCTCGACTGACGCTCCCCAATAAAACCTTAACGATGTTATATATAACAAAAAATTTATTTATTCGTACTTCAGTGACAAAGCAGGAGTGGGTTTTCTTTCTGATATATTTCCAGATGTTGACCATTTGCTGTTGAAGCTTTAAAAGAAACCTGTCTACTTAGAAAAACGCCAATATCATCAGTAAGGGATATTATTAATAGTGGAGAATTGAGGAAAAGAAATAAACACAGTTATTTTCAAACTCACCGTGTAGACAATGGAGATCAGGACCCAATAAGAAGGAAACTATATTGTCTTTATCAAGGTGCAGTTGTCCTACTTTCCCTCCATAGATTTGTTTGTAAAATAGGATGAGGGTACAGCAAAATATACAGATTATGCATTTGGAGATTTAACTAACTTTAGCAAATTAAAAGATATAGATTAGACAACATATCCATAATATATGTTTCAATACACAGGACAGGACTGTATTCAAAGTATGGGTTGATTCCACTCAAAACTCTCAAACAAAACCTTTGAGAGTCCGTCGCTAATGTTCTGCTCTGCGATATATTAGGGATGGCGATTTCTAGGAAAAAAGTATGTAGATCATTTTTGTAGATAATTTTACGATCCACAGTTTACGTCTGATATCCTTTCTTGATAAAACTTGCCGTTTTCGAGGAACAAATGAAAATTCTTGCTTGTGACATTGGAAAACCATTTTTATGGCACACTCTGTCCATGGGCACTTTGGTATACAAATATGAATACTTTATTAATGTTACCCCAAACAAAAAGGAATAAAATAACATGGATTTTTCTTTATAGATAGTAGAGTTTCTAAGATAAACAATGAGGGCAATGTAAGAATTTCCAAGTCTAGATAAGCATTTTTACAGTCGGTGCCTGCCAGCAGCATGGCCCCATATTAAGAATGTGCAAAATATGCAGTCCTTAACATACCGAGAGAGACATTTTCGGCGAAGCGTCGAAGCAAATACAAATTTTTTATTAGTTTCTGAGCAACAAAATTTATATGAGAGTTCCACTGATGTTTTAGGTCAAAGAAATCTGGTATTTATTTTATTAAAATTTACTGCCTCTCGGTTTTATCATTATCTAAAACTAATTTTTTTGCACTGAACCCGTGTTCAACCTTTTCCTGTGCGATCGTGGAACTCTCCAACGTGTCCACTAATGAATCCACAGAAACAAACACGGTGGTGTGATCAGCAAAAAGTGTGTAAACAGATGTAGCATCCACAAGGGCAAGGTCATTTATATATAATAATAATAATATGGGGCCCAAAATTGAGCCTCGGGGCACTCCCATGTTCACCTCACCCTTCGCTGATGTCACTCCAGAGTACTTAGGGTAAGATTGCATCAAACTAAGACTACTATTTCAAAAATTATAAGCCTTTAACTTGCGCAGAAGAATTTCATGATCGACACAGTCGAAGGCTTTAGTGAGATCACAAAATAACACAGTGTTATAAATTAAGAATGATTGAAACAGTGTTTTTATTTCTTCTAGAACCAAAGTCATATACATACATTTCTCTACAATCTTGGAAACAATTAGAAATAGAGATGTAGGTCTATAATTTTCAACAATATCAGGGTTACCTTTTTCAAATATTTGTATTACTAGACCTTTTTTTAAAAAGTGTTGGCTCGAATACTTAAATTTATAAGTTTTGTGAGAGGCAGTAATATTTCATTCTTGGCAGGCTTTATTATTTTTATTTTTCAGACTCCTTATGATTTCCCTAACTTCATTAAAACTAAGTTCAGCAAGCGTAAAATGAGATGATAGATCAATGTTATCCAAATGTGAACTTTAAATAAGAAACAAAGTCACACTCAGAGTCCTTTAAGCGTGTGCCGATGAGCTGCCCGTTTTGGGACGTGGCTTTCACTTTTTTGTCGGTCCGTTTTTCCGCAACCACGGGCGGTTGCCGTCCTTTCACTCGACCATCTCGTCCGCCATGTTGGTTAAAATCGCGGCCGCTTGTCGTTGCATAACGGTGTTAGATTCCCACATCGATCTGGTTTGATACGACTGTCGGGGTTTTTATAACAAAAAAACTAAATAATAGATAAGGATAAGAGATATTTGTTTCTATATGTTCATTGCTTTCCTTTAAGAGGCAGATAAAAGCGAATTGAGTCACGCGGGAAGCGATTATAGATCCTCCACGAGTTTTAACATTTTTAGACTTTTCACCCATATGAATGGAGTTAGTGTAGTGAACAATATAGCGACCAGCTACCAGCACGTATTTAAGCAGTAATTGCCAGCAAGCAGATACCAGAAAAGCATCATCAGAAGAAAACAACCCAGAAGAAGATTAAAAAGCTTCCTCAAATATTTTTACGTCTTTAAATTCTTCTTTGGACCGAAAAACTATGAAAACTTTTTTATATCTTAGTTTCTTTATCGCGAATTTTTCTACTTCTATCGCGAAGTTAACTAACCCAGTCATGCAATTATTTTTTGAAATTTTTTCGAAGAAACGTATCGAATTCTGGCATTGTTTTTATTGAAAACCTGTCATTCACATGTTATGTGTGTATTAAGCATTAAGAAACAAAATGGATTTCACATGTTACGTGTTTTCGTTCTTCAATCGATAAATACTAACCGTTGTAATGAATGCGGTTCTTAATGGTAATATTTCTTTTCATTTTGCTTATTGCTGTCATTATTTCGTCGACCGTTTTTTATTCGGCAAGAGCGCTAAACTCTCCCCCGGTCGGATCGTTGGCGTTAGAACCGGGAAAGTTCGTTGCACTTTGCACGAGCAAAAGAAAACACGGGCCAGATCGGAGGAGACGAAAATATACTGTCGCCGAATTAGTCATAAAAACGGCATAAATTTAGATGGCGGTATTGGTTACGGCGCAAAAATGAATCTCGGATCTCCGCAAGGTCGGCGGGTCCCAAATCGAAGCCCGACAACTGCAAACCGCAGCGGCGACGTCACCCGGCCCACTCGAAACATGTTTAGGCTTTCGACGCTACTACTGCACCTCGTAATGCAGTGAATTTCGCAAATTTCCTGTGAAACTCATTACCATTCATTAATATTCGATTCATTCTTATGCCGAATACTTAATTTCCAAGAGCTCACTTTTTTTATAACTCTATTCACTTAGTTTTTATATTCCGATTTTGCATAATTTCATTTTGATGACTGTGACCTTGAACCTATATTCAAAAATTCCGCCCAGTGTTTAAGACCCAACCGTTCCGCCCCTTTATGCTGCTGTTCTAAATCTTCTAGAAGAATCGGACCTTCATTTGAAACAACATTGCGTTCAGGCTTTAGATTTTTAAGGCTTTTTGCGGTTTTAAAACAAATTTAATTAGCTGTTTGAGCGTTCTATCACAAAATAGACTTCACCAAAGACAGTGAGCCCGAAAGCAACTCCGCACTTGCCACTGGTGTCCCTTGTTAAATTCAAAACATCACTGACCACATATCACAGGTTTTTAAAAAATATAACGTCAAAACTAGATGTACCACTTGTCCAGATATCCCTCATCATCTTCGATCTGTCAAAAACCTGATTCCGTTTGAGGTACCAGGGAGTTTACAGCAATCCATGCATGTGCGCCAAAGAATACAGGAGAGATAGGACGAGAAATTTCAACTAGACTCAAAGATCTTGAAACAGTCTTAAGACTGCGACAAATAAACTCATCAGCTGTTGCCGAACACAATCACGAAACCGGACATAAAATTTTATTCGATAAAACTAAAACTCTTGCATGTAATCAATTCTTCTACCAAAGAAAAATGCGAGATTTCATAGAAATCGATAAGCAACCAGGCAATCTTAACCGCGATTTGGGTCTTTACCTTGCACCAATATGACAGTCACTCATCCGTACCAAAACTAACCACTTTCATGTATGTCAATAATTAATTGGCGCTTCGTTTCATAGTGAGTGCTTATAATTTTCCCATGGGAAAATGTAAAAATGTCCTTTGAATTATCGGTTTCTACAATGTGCAATGTTTTGATTTGATTTCATCCTAAGAAAACTAAAAACCAAAGGTCCAAAGTTGTCTTGTCAACAAATTGGTAGGCAATAGTCACAGACCTAAGAAAGACGTCTATTTCTGTCACTGTTTTTATGTGTTCACAGTAAATTTTGTGTCATTACTCCAATCTCATATTGAATTGGACCCAATTGTTTGTCTCTCCAGCCTCCGTGCAAACCCACAATCGTAGCTTTAACATCTTCAATTTATAGACACGAATGACATTCCGGTCTTTTTAAAATCGTTCCTGGCCGCGGCCTCCTCGATGTTGAACGGCCGTTCCACCTCGCTGGTGCATCCGCAAAAAATGAACATGAAAACCACGCGGTGACTCAAGATCGCCGCCAACTGGATCCGCGGCCCGTTCTGCGACGTGCAACGCGTCGAAAATGCTTTTCAGTTGGGCTCTAGCGCTCGCGGTTAGACGAGCGTGGTCGCGTATCTAATTTATCGCGGGAATCTAGTGTGCGACGCGTAGTGATTTGTGAGAGTTGGCGCTCTGTGCGGTCGAGTTTTCGATTGTTAGTAAAATGCTTCGACGTCAGCCCCGAAAAACAAGTTTATCGCCTTAAAAATTTTCTGTTCCTCCAAGCTTCACACATATCCTTGCGTCCGTTTGAGATTTTCGTCCGTTTCAATTTGTACGGCCGAGATAATAACAGGTCGCGAACCGTAATAGCCGGGCGGAAACGCGAGGAAGTCGTTTGTTGCCCAAAAAGAAAATAAACCTTCGATTAATAGCCGTTCAAGCGTATTTCCATTGTCCTTTTTCGCATTCGGGTATATTGACTTTTGTGATTTGATATTTGAGTTAATGCCATTTTTCCGAACCTTAGCCCACGTAACCAAAAGAAGAAGTTTATAGCCTCTAAAGTAATTGTGATGTGAAAGTCGGTGATGATTCAAACCAAGAAATTGGAACATATTTTTTTATTTAATAAATAAATTAACACAAAAAAAAGAAAATGAAGGAAACTGGAGTAATCAGTATTAATATACGACTGGGATCAGCCGACCAGCCCGTGCAACAGTATGAACTCGGAAATAGACGCAATTTAATCAAGCCGGAGAGTTGCTTAAACCTTTTTTTTTAATCGAAGAAATTGTTATTATTTTGGGTTTTTTCTGTCTATGACAAATTTATCGGGCAGCAAACAAAACAACCGAAACGAAACGAATATGGCGGCGCGTCTCTTAAATAGAACCCAAGCATTTTAACGTTCTTTGTATCGCGTTGGATTTCGTTCGAGGATATGCCGACGAAATATTTTGGCAGTGCGCGATTTTAGAGCCGACGCGTCGGATCCCACACACGCGCCTGACGCGTGCTGTTATTTTTATCGGTTTTGTTCGAGCTGCGTGTACAGTGTGGTCGTTTTTCATTGTTATTGCATCCAGAACCTCAATTTAACGATCATCATGGAAGTCGCTACCATACCACAAATTTACAAAAGATATACAGGGTTTTTCACTTAAAACTCCGCACGCCAATAAGTCCAAATCGAAAAGAAATATTTAATTTATGTAAAAACTAGTCAAAGTGTGGGGTCAAGTAGATATTTCCTAAAGTTTAAAAAATTCGACGCCTGCAAAGAGCTGGGCGTCGCGACGCGTCGAAAAATTATTCGATTGCAGAGACTTTGGAAATACGCGCATACAAAAGTACATATTATTTAAAAACTTTTTTGTTATTTACTCAAACTTATTTACTTTACCCGTTTCTAAGTTATACCGATTTAAAGTAAACATTTCTTGATTAATAAAAAATGTGATTAACGCTTATTTTTACAAGTATGCCATGAATGTAGTTACTATGGCAACCATTGTTATCGCAGTTGTTTTAAGTGCAATTACAAACGTAAGTTGTTATTGCTGTATCAAAAAATTGTCACAAGAAATATCCAAATTTGTTCGGTTTTAAAAAAAACTAAGAATTATTATGTGAAAATGGTGCAATTTAGCAATGAGGAAAAAGTAGACATGTTACTGGTGTTTGGAGAATGCAGATGCAATTGTAGAGAAGCAAAAAGAGTTTACGCACGGCGTTATCCGCATAGAAGAGTCCCCGATGCAAAAACCTTTTCAAGTTTATGTAAAAACTTAAGAGAATATGGCAGCTTCATAAAACCTAAAAGAGATAGGAACAGGACGGCTACAAATGATGAAAATACTGCTGCTGTAATTCAGCAGGTTGATAATAACCCCAAGATATCCCTATCAGAGATAAAAGAAAATACCGGTGTTACCATAAGTTCTTCGTGGAGAATTCTACATAGAAACTCTTTTCACCCGTACAAAAGTAAACTAGTTCATAAACTAGAACCAGGCGATTATGCTAGAAGAATGTATTTCTTAGCGTCATTGTCCGATTTGTATAGCCAAGATGCAAATTTTCTCTCGAAAATTTTATGGGGCGACGAAAGTCGATTTCAAAATAATGGAATCGTTAATAGACACAACTGTCGTTTTTGGTCCGAAAACCACCCTCGTTGGATTACAGAAAGAGGTAACCGACGAATTTTTAGTATCAATGTTTGGTGCGGCATATTAAATGGATTCCTTATTGGACCTTACTTTTACGAAGGAACTTTAAATGCAGATCGCTATTTAAGATTTCTTCAAACTACACTTCCGGAACTATTAGAAGAAGTGCCTCTTGACACTAGAATGAATATGTGGCTACAGCAGAATGGAGCGCCTGCACATAATGCCCAAATAGTAACGAGGTATTTGAACCGAGAATATCCCAATAGATGGTTTGGTACTAGTGGACCGGTAAGGTGGCCGGCGAGGTCCCCGGACATTACACCACCAGATTATTTTCTTTGGGGCTACCTAAAAAACGTTATCTATGAAGAACCTATCGAAAATATGGCCGATCTCATTACCAAAATTAGTGCAGCGTGTGCCGCTATCACAAGGACTCTCCTACAAGTGACCCAAGCTCACCTGTTAAAAGTTTTTGATAGTGTTCGAGCAGATGGACATAATTTTGAACAAAATTTTTGAAATGTCTTATTATGTGGTTAATTGCAATAATAATTTTGGTTATTAACTTGTAGGTATTTTACTGTTTTTTCATTTATTTATCATGTTATCAGAACTAAATCGATAAAAAATAATAAATAAAATCATACTAAAATAGTTGAAATCTATTGTTTGTAATTGCACTTAAAACAACTGCGACAACAATGGTTGTCATAATAACTAACATTCATGGCATACTTGTAAAAATAAGCGTTAATCACATTTTTTATTAATCAAAAAATGTTTACTTTAAATCGGTATAACTTAGAGACGGGTAAAGTAAATAAGTTTGAGTAAATAACAAAAAAGTTTTTAAATAATATGTACTTTTGTATGCGCGTATTTCCAAAGTCTCTGCAATCGAATAATTTTTCGACCCGTCGCGACGCCCAGCTCTTTGCAGGCGTCGAATTTTTTAAACTTTAGGAAATATCTACTTGACCCCACACTTTGACTACTTTTTACATAAATTAAATATTTCTTTTCGTTTTGGAGTTATTGGCGTGCGGAGTTTTAAATGAAAAACCCTGTATAGTGGGTCTAACTGACTGAAAAGTACAATTTTACCTATTTTTATAACATTGCGAAATTCTTCGAGATTCCATTAGCATTTGACGTTTATTAATTGTTTGCAAATGAAAATCAATTTCCTTCAAAAAAAGTACTCAACTAATTTAGCACAACTATTTTTATATTGCGCGGTTGGCCTGTTGATAAATAAATAAATAAAAATCGAGTTTCTAGTTTTTTTTTGTCGACCCATGAATAATGTAACGGTCCGCCGGATCGCGAGAAATTTTTGGCAGAAAGTGCGGCAGCGTCCTTAAAATGGCGTTTTATGTTTTGCCGGTGACGCCTATTACCCGCACTCGTTAGAATGTCGGTTACGTAAAAAAAAAGCGAGAGTTACGATCGAACACATGTCGGTGCAATTTTGTTTTCTACCCAATTAGCGCATTGAAACTTGTAAAAAATTCAAATAATTCACTTTTTTAACCGACCGTATAACAGGCGATCGGTATTTTTTTAATGCCTTTAATTTAGGTCGATTGCCAGTACAGTGCGTTCACTTCAAAATTTTACCTGCATCTCAAAAAAAACTTCTTATTTTTTATTCCAATTATGGATGTGATAGATTTAGTAGATTTCTCGGTTAACCCATTGGTGAAACAAGATTTATTAGATTGCTTAATAGTATCTTTAGACCAAGATTATTTTGAATTTAATGGACAGATTACATGGAAAGGTTTGATTATGGCAAACCCACTTTTGTTTTTAAATAGACATAATGAGAGTAATAATTTTTTGAAAAACATTTTATAGACTAATGAAAGTTCGTTCAGTACAAGTATACTACTTTAATTTGTTAATAATTATGGTTGTTGCAGTCAGTCATGGCACTCTTTGCAATTATATAAAAATTTCCTATTTTTGCCGATTTGTGAAAAACTAGTGGACTAAAATATAAAGTGTGTGGCATCAGTGTAATCGGAATAAGATATTCTATTAAACACATGTAATATACAGGGTGTTCCATTAAAAAAATGTGATGTACGCTTCTAGGTCAGAAAATTGATACTCTTTTGTTTTATACGTCACTTGAAAAAAAAAACTTGGCAATTAACCCTACGTTACGTTTTTTTGTTTGTTTACCTCGACATCTAGTAGTTCAAAACTGGGACACCCTGTAGACAAAACTTCGAACAGCTTGAAATAAACTGCGCGCCAGGAATTTCTTACTTAAATTTTGCTGCCTTCATGTTATTACGCATCTAAATATACAAATTTTATCATATTTAACCATATATCGTAACGTTTCCATTGTCAAAATTAGCGTGCGCCAGTGAATTTATTTAAGAATTTTTCGTTGCCAAACCCGTCAATTAGCGCAAATTACCTCGGCAATTATTTGCGAACAGCTAAAATTAAGCGACCAAGACTAACCCAAATTAGGGTTAATTATGGCGGCCGACACAATATATATTTTTAACTTATAACTCGATTACGGACCCACGTAATTAACGGTATTAAATTACTTCGGGAAAATTTGGTAGAAGTTTTTTTAATTAGGTATCGTTTAGTGTTTGACCGAGCTCTCGCGCGTCAAAAGCTCGAAAGTGGTGGGTGCGGGTGACTTTAAAATAGCCCGAAAGTTATCGGCAAAGTGAGAAACTGTCTTAGTTTCGCTCGCCGACATGAAAAACAAAAACAAATCGAACAGTGACGCGAAACTGGCCAGCGGTCAGCTGATCATAACGGAACGGCTGAAGCAAACGGACACGAAGCCGCCGCTGGACAAGAAAAAGCTCGAAAAATTGGAGAAGGAGAGGGCGAAAGCGGAAAAGAAGTTTCAAGAGAAATTGAAGAAAGGTAAACGGCCTCACTTCAATCATAACTTGCTTCCTTGAAGTTTTGAACATTTTCCATTAATTGAAACAAATTGGAATTCAAAAATGCCGATTGTAGATTTGGGTATACAGAGTGGTTGGACCGTAACCAATTTCGAGAAATGCTATTGTTAAATTAACAGAACTTTGCTTAATAATTATCAAATGGTTTTGCTAAATGTTTTAAAGGTGCCGTTTTCTATAAAAAAAATGATACATAATTAATGTTGTGGAGATAAATAATTTGATATTATCAAAATTTCAATGATCAAACGAACTTACCTGGTAAGTGAAGTTCGATCGTAATTATATGTTACACCTCTTCGTAGAAATCAATATACGTAGTCCCCCTTCTAGTCGCTAGGTGGCACCACATCTTTAAAGCAGAGCCAAAAAACTGTGGAATAACTTACCATGGACGGTATATTCGCCATCTATGGTCTTAACCTCATTCTATTTTAAAGCCCGTTTATAATAAATTTGCCAAAGGGCATTTTAGTACTGTTCAGAACAGTAAATTGGGCGGGAATGGGTGATTTCTACGAAGAGGTGTAACATATAATTACGATCGAACTTCACTTACCAGGTAAGTTCGTTTGATCATTGAATTATATGTTACACCTCTTCTATGAAATCAATATACGTAGACTTTCAAAGGCAACTCAGCAAATTTGTTATAAAACGATTTTATTCGGCTATATAAGGAAATCCAGGAAGTTTATGAAAGCCTCGAGTACAAATACAAAATAAATGGCTATCCGAGAAAACAAACCTTCTGAAAAATTCTATGTCCCAAATGTGGCATTAACAAAAAGGCCTGCACTTGCTGTACAAATAGGTCTATTATAAAAAAGGGGAAACATTTAGAGCATTCTCACCAATCTGCCGTTTTTCCAATCATATCAATTGAAACACCTTTACAAAACGCAGACGATGTTGAGGCATGTCAAGTTCTGTGAACAGTAAAAATAAAAGTGTAGACACCACTATCTTCTAAAGTTTTCTTTATTCATCTACTTTTGTTGGGTATAGTTGCTGCCCTACAAGGCTTTTTAAATGTAATGAGTAAACGAGATTCACTGCCTCTTAAAGCACTGGCCCTCTCAATAATATATTTGAAACCACACAAAGATTTACATCTTCATATTTATGCAAAATTAAAAAACAGGTCGAGTCTTATTTATAGCTGAAATTTTAATTTGATTCGTTATTCTAATTTCTAATCCATTTGGAAATGATTTTATGTTGACCAATTCTATAAGAGAGAGCGTTTGGACTCTATGTACAATCGTTAACTTCAGTAGGAGAAACTAATTTAATTGTTTTAATGACAGTTAATTGCTTTAATGACAAGTCATTAGAACGTAACCCTTTTACAAAGTCAGGGACATAACTAGGGCCCCAAGTGCTGTTATATCTTGGTTTACTTGGCCTTAGATTATAAACACCTTAAAAAACCTAGTTAGATTTGCATTGTTAAATAAATCTGATCCAAAAATAAGGCCGTGCTGCACTGAAAGAACTCAATGAGCCATAGGACTTGCCTTGTCTAAAATGAATAGTAAGGAAATCTAATACAGCCTAGGTGAGAAGTAATAACACTCCACTCCCCTCCTTTCGTAGAAGCTCCACCAAAGTTTAAATGCATGCAGGTATTAAATGCCTCAAGGTAGCGCTCTGAACAGATGATAGAAAAATATCCAGCAAATCTTCTGGAATGCTTGCCTGACAAAATCCCTGCAGCCAGGGTAAGGGATTTCCACAAAGGGTGACCTCTCCTGTCAAAAGAAGAAGGTAATTTGTCTGGAATTAGAAACAATAAATAACTACAACGCCTCCCATGAAAAAAAAAGCAAACCAATGCTGGCTGTGCCCGTAAGGGATTACTGCGATCCCTGTAGCTCAATCAGCCTTGATTTTTCGTAAAACAAGTGGCAACAAGCAAAACGGGGGGAAAACATAGAAGAAACTGTCACTCCACAAAACAGTAAACGCGTCTTCATTAGATGCCTCCGGATCTGGAAATTAGGAAATAAACTTTCCGCATTTCTTACTTAGGCGAGAAGCAAACAGTTCGATTTATGGGAATCCAAATTTGCTTGTTATTTTAGTAAAAGCATTGTCCGAAAGGTACCATTCACCATCAAAATTCAAATTCGTGGGTTCCTTATGCGCTTCAAAATTATCGGAAGATCGAATGTAAGATGCTTTAACCCATAACCTCCTTTCTTCACACCAACCCCAAGGCGCCTCGAAATTTCGTTTAAAACAGGAAATTTTACTCACCCTATTCTATTTACATACAAAATAGCAGTTGTGTTATCAATCCTCAAAAGTGTCTCGCAGTTAGTCAAATACGAGGCGAAGCATTAGAGACCAAATGAGGCCGCAGTTAATTCTAGTGCATTAATATGAAACTGAGCTTCCGTAGGACTCCAAAGTCCTCTGGCACAATTCCCCAACCTAAAGGAGTACCATCTGAGAAAATCTCAAGTTTGTAACATTGCTGCCTTACAGGGCATTCAGGATTCTGTAAACTTTTTAGCCATCACATAAAATCCCTCCGTAAATTACAAGGAATTATCATCCAAATATCATAATTATCGACAGAGTCTTGAAGGGCTAGATATTTGATTCTCTCAAAAATTCTTAGTATATACCCAACTGTAACAAACTGCTGGGCAAACTGAAAACTAGCACAGCACAAAGCTCGTCAAAGACTCTTATTTCGCAACGGTTCAAATTGCAAAACTTACTTACTCATCAGAAAAACAAGTGGTGGGATTCAAAAAAACAAAACCTAAAAATTTACGGGATTTCGAAGGATGTAAAACATTCTTATAATTAATAACATAACCCAACCTAATCAGTGTGTTGCAAGTTACTTGAACATTTTTTAAGGATAGCTAACTATCACCAAATAGTAAAGTTATCTAAATAAACTATTGAGGGAAAAGCCTTGGCAGGGAGATAAGAAACCACAGATTTCATTAATTCTGTAAAGGCCCACGGGGCGGTGCATAAACCAAAGGGTAACACGTTAAACTGATAACAGAGAGCATCAAAATAAAATCTTAGAAAATTCTTTTGATTTTCAATTATTGGGACTAGAAAGTAAGCTTCTTTCAAGTCCAGGTGGTCATAAAGGACTTCCCTGTGAAGAGTGTTTCTACTAATTTTCTGTCTTCCAGTTTAAAATGACAAGTGTCAATAAAAGCATTCAGTTTCTTTAAATTTAAAACTAATCAAACCGAACCATCCAATTTTGAAACCAAAAAGATCTGTAAAATAAATTGATTCTTACAAGGTTCGCAAACTGCAATTGCACCTATCTCTAACAGGTGTTTGACCACATTACAAATTGAATCTTTTTCTTGTTGGGACCAAACAGGATCTGTCGTAATCAAGTCCTGTATAACTGGCCTCGCAAATGGAATTTTATTTCCATCTAACCAAGGTAGAATCTGTGCATCTTGAGTTCTAGAGTTCCAAATGTCCCGAAACTCGTGCAATCTTTCAACAAAAGTACTTACTATTTTTTCCTGGGGACACAACTCCACCCCCTTTCCTCTCGAACCTTCCTGTATTCCCTCTTTTGAGGGTACAATGACTTTCACCCACTTCAGCCTTGCAACTTCCGGGAACGAAGTGGGACGGTCAAGTTTAAATTTGTATGCTATAAAAGCCTTGTTCCGGATGCACCTGACTTTAACTCGGCCACTAATCTGCAGCTAATCTGATTGATTTGAGCCTATCAGCCAAATCTTCTCCATATAAACAAGAGTGCAAAGAAGCACCAACGAGCACTTCCTTCATACAAGGCTGCATTTCATTTTAGACCAGCGAAAGGCTTAACGCGGCTGAACTTCTATATACTGAACCTAAATGGTGTATTTTGCTTAAAACAAATATTGCATTACTCAACATTTCGATGAGAAGTAAGTACTACTCATCCTTAACCGGTTTCAAAAGCAAGGTCAAGAGCGCCCTACCAACCACCATCAAAGCACCCCTTGTTGCAGTCAGTCTCTCATCCCTTTTCTTTCCACCTTTGTTGATGGCAGATTTCATCTGCACATTCAATTTAGGAGAGTTATTGAGCGGGCAATTCTTCGGCACAGGATATCAACGCAAAAGGTCACTGAGACAATCTTCGGACACACCGGATTTCAAAAAGGTATTAATCTGACTTGCCAAAATGTCATGACACATCAAACTTTGTGTTGGGACTATCGACCCCATAGCTTAAAGGCCATTTTGCTTTAAATCCGTCTCAAGGGGTTCAACAATGACATCAGAATTAATTGAAGGGCCTAAAAAATGTACTTACGATGGAGTAAATGCATTCCAACAGCCATAAAAAATTGTTCATTATGTCCCAGTATCCCGGGCGCCTCATCCATAGCCGGACGAGCCAGAAAACTCTATTTTTTCGATGTCGAAAAAATATAAAACCATATGTATGTCCGACCCCCTCACAAAAGGATTGCTTCCAATTGTGAAACACTTACATACGACTGCTGTCGTATAAGTGGGAAAGATGGAGGGTCTTTCGAGTTCTGGGGATTCCGATCGGAACCCGGACGATGAAGAAATCGTCTCCCAATTGTAAGAAAATCTCGTTGATGGGAACCACGCCACTAGCGATTATGTAATCGCGGATGGAAAGATTTAATCTTTCGTCGTACGTAGGTTCTTTCTTCATCCGATAAGGAATAACGTAAATCTCACTTGTACTTCTCCATTTAACTTCCAAAAACGCTGAAAAAAGCTGAAAACACCGACGCCGAATAAAAATGAACATGTGCCACCAAAGCACAAAAAGAGGAATGAGGTTAAGACCATAGATGGCGAATATACCGTCCATGGTAAGTTATTCCACAGTTTTTTGGCTCTGCTTTAAAGCTGTGGTGCCACCTAGCGACTAGAAGGGGGACTACATATATTGATTTCATAGAAGAGGTGTAACATATAATGATCTATTTAAAATAACTGCGTCTATATCCTAAAACTATCACATATAGAGTATAACCTAAAATATTCAAATTTATGTTAGTTATAGTCGCTATGGTTTCCAAAATCTGAAGAAAAAGAAAAGATAAAGTGAACAGATTTTTCAAATTGGTTTATTTACGTATTTAATAACAATTTTAATTTTTGTTTTAATAGTGACACTGAGAGTATTATAAAAAAATAGTGTAAAACTTTTATTAATTTGTAATTGATTAATTATTTTTCAAAGTCAGTAAAATTCGTAAAAATCATTTGAAAATCCATAAAAATGCGGCGAAATCCGTAAATCCTGGGATCCATTAAATCTTTGTGAAAGCCGTGAACTCTGTGACATCGTATGGTTACATTAAATCTGGCGTATCAATTTTGTTTTAATTAGTTTTGGTTAGAAATTCAGTTTGATTTCATCTCAATGACGACTTTGATAGTGAAACAGAATTAGATTTAGACATTTTGAATAAAAATGGAATTATGTATAAATATTCCTATGAATTTGTTATATATATATATATATATATATATATATATATATATATATATATATATATATATATATATATATATATATATATATGTATATATGTATATATGTATATATGTATATATGTATATATGTATATATGTATATATGTATATATATATATATATATATATATATATATATATATATATATATATATATATATATATATATATATATATTTAATGTCATTGTTTTTTCTTAGTGTGATTTAATCAAATTATACCCGCCTAAGTATACAAAAAAAATTATATTATTATCAAAACCTTTGGGAATCCGTCAGTAATGTTCGGTCCAGCACGTTGAACATTGAAACAAATTATACGTCATATTTCACACAACCATAAGATTTTACAGATTTTACGAATTTCACAAAGATTTCAGGTTTCACAGATTTTACGCAATTTTACCCCTTTTTGAAAAATAATTTTTGGATTTGTGGATTATTGATTGTTATTAAAAAAAACTACTAAAATATAAAAATACATAAAAGATAATGAAAAATAAAACACAATTTCCAATGAGGGAGAATATTGTCAGTATTCAGTGTTGCATGAATAATTATAAATTTTATAAAAATCGTAAATCTTCAAAAAAGGCATTAAAATTGCATTTTTGAATTAAAAAAAATTGCCTGTTATATTTTTTATTTCTCTAAACACACAAGTAGTTTTCTTCATAGGAAGGATCACGGATTTCACGGTGCTCTTACAGGCGTTATAAGTTATTTTTTCTTAAACCTTTAACAATATTTAATATCGGCACTCGCTTATTGAACACCCGGTATTATTGGCCTTTCCTGCTGACCACTTAGCTCCGTACGGGCACCTATTAACCCCAATTATAAGCACCACGAGTCAGAGTTCAGTGGTTCGGGTTAAAAAGGAATCGTAATATCAATGAACGCGAGGCAGTAGCGTGCAGGTATGCATAACCCGATTTCGGTCAAATTCAAGTCGCTTTTTCCGAATCAACATTAAAAATAACAACCGCTCGTGATGGGGCACCGCATGCGCTACATTAACGTACTCTAAATTCAGATCGATGAGGTCAGGTTCTATTAGCGGCACGCATTAGATAAAATTCATCAAAAACTGTAAAGTAACGCCTTAAAACTCGACCTCGATAACGCCCAGAGGCGTCCAAAAAAAGGCGACCGCAAAAATTGCTGCTGTAATGACAATACACTGCAACCTCTTTAATAGGAACAGGTAGTTATATCGATCTATTCCAATTGGCGAATAAATAGACTATAACATTTATTTAATATACAGTCGAAACTCTATATAGCGAAATTGAAGGGACTGCTTTTTTTTTTCGTTGTAAAAAGTTATAGGAATTTGAAAAATAACAATACGTATTATTTAACTTATATACATATTTTAACATCTACTTTTAATGTTTCAAATATTCGTCATTTTCTTTTGGATTTTTTTAGTATGCCAATACGCATCTCGTACTTTGACTTGTATTTTAACCATTTCTTCAAGAGGGGCAATATAGGGCTTGTTGAATGGTTGGTGGTGGTTCCAGATCAACTTCATCTTCTTCTTCCTCTTGGCGCTCTTCCTCACCCTTTCTTGCTTGTTGTAATATGGCTTCCTCTGTCAAGTCTGCTGTTGTAGGCAAATCCTTATCAATCACCATAAAATCTTTCAACTCCTCACTTGTAAACGTAGTTGTTGTTTGAAACTGCTTTATCCAATCGCTTAGTGAATTCACTCAGTAAGCGATGGAAAGATATTTTGCAATATATCCGGGCACTGAATAATTCGTCCCATCGCCGGAAAACATAAAAAATTGTTTAAAAAAATGCACAAACTTGTGACTGTGTTAAAATCAAATACTAGCAGGTCCGTTGTTTTTTCGTTGCGACGTTGCCAGACCGTTCCGGATTTCCCTTAACATACGGACAATTACAGCCAGGCCAGTGTTGAAAAAACCCTGTTTTTTTAGCAAAACATAAAAATCATGATTTGCTACTGAATCGTATTATTATTTCCATATCAAAAAACGCAATTGTGTTGATATTAACTTCCATTACAAATTTACGGTTCCGATAAATTACCTTTATTCGGTTGCGGCGTTGCCAGGCCGTGCGAGATTTCCCTAAATTGAGAATCGAGTCAGTAGCGTGCGCGCGTTTGTTGCAGGCAAAACGTACTGCCAGGCGTGCAAAAAGAAATGCTCGGGCGAGGTGCTCCGCGTCCAAGACAAGTACTTTCACACGGGATGCTTCAAGTGCAAAGCTTGCGGCTCGTCGCTGGCCCAGGGCGGGTTCTTCAGCAAAGATGGCGCTTACTACTGCACCGCCGACTACCAACGCAGTTTCGGCACGAAATGCGCCGCGTGTCAGGATTATGTCGAAGGAGAGGTGAGGAGCTATATACTTCAAAATCAAAGTTTCATATAAAAAAAACGTACTCGCTACTGAGATGGTACCGAGGTGCTGCAAGTGCATATTTGACTTTGCTCCAATGAATCCAAAGAAATTAAATTTCAAAAATATCAATTATACAGGATGTTTCATAAAAGCGTGGCAAGGTGTTCGGACATTAGCCTAAGCAAGTTTCGATTACACTTACACAACTAGATTTGTTTTTTTTTTAAACGTTTACGTTTAAACAACCGTAATCTTGCAACATTCTTAAAGCACAATATAACTTACAGTTAATGTTGCGGTGTTCAGGCATTTTAGAGAAAGTTATTTCAGCAACGCAACAGTAGTTATAAAAGATTCTAATAAAACTTTTGTTGAAAAGTTAATTTTGCTATAAAAAAAACTGTTATAGTGAAAAAAAATGACAAAAAGGCAGCGTTGTCCCTGGTTGGACCTTTTTTCACAGAAAAATGTGCTCCGCTGACTTTAATTTAACTTCTACTTGTTTCCGTAATAGCGCAAATAAAACTAGCACCTTTTTCCAACATATTTAAACAAAATCTGTGAAATATTTTTGAAAAAATATTATTTAAAGAAAACAAACTTTCTTGTGTAATTGCGTAAATTTCTTTAACAAAAGCGAAATGTTCAAAACAATCCCATTCTACAAAGAAAAGGGAAAAATGAAGATTTTTATTAGACAAGAAGTCAGAAACAATTACTGAGAAACACAAAATTTTAACGTACCACTTACAAGAAACGTCAACATTGAACTGAAAGATTTCCGAAAATAAAGAATAAACTACGACTTGATAACATGTGCTTTTCTCCGAAATTCGCCTCCTTGTGTCACAAAAAGTCAGAAAGAATTATTGAAAAACTGTAATTTTTAGCGTAGCACTTACAAGAAATGTCAAATTTGAACTGAAATATTTCCGAAACTATTCAGAATGAACTAGGAGTCGACAACTTGTAATTTTATCCGGGATTTCTCCGAAATTCGCCTCCTTGTGTCAAAAAAAATCAGAAAGAATTATTGAAAAACTATAATTTTTAGTGTAGCACTTACAAGAAATGTCAAATTTGAACTGAAATATTTCCGAAACTATTCAGAATAAACTAGGAGTCGACAACTTGTAATTTTATCCAGGATTTCTCCGAAATTCGCCTCCTTGTGACACAAAAAGTCAGAAAGAATTATTGAAAAACTGTAATTTGTAGCGTAGCACTTACAAGAAATGTCAAATTTGAACTGAAATATTTCCGAAACTATTCAGAATAAACTAGGAGTCGATAACTTGTAATTTTATCCGGGATTTCTCCGAAATTCGCCTCCTTGTGGCACAAAAAGTCAGAAAGAATTATTGAAAAACTGTAATTTGTAGCGTAGCACTTACAAGAAATGTCAAATTTGAACTGAAATATTTCCGAAACTATTCAGAATAAACTAGGAGTCGATAACTTGTAATTTTATCCGGGATTTCTCCGAAATTCGCCTCCTTGTGGCACAAAAAGTCAGAAAGAATTATTGAAAAACTGTAATTTGTAGCGTAGCACTTACAAGAAATGTCAAATTTGAACTGAAATATTTCCGAAACTATTCAGAATAAACTAGGAGTCGACAACTTGTAATTTTATCCGGGATTTCTCCGAAATTCGCCCCCTTGTGGCACAAAAAGTCAGAAAGAATTATTGAAAAACTGTAATTTGTAGCGTAGCACTTACAAGAAATGTCAAATTTGAACTGAAATATTTCCGAAACTATTCAGAATAAACTAGGAGTCGACAACTTGTAATTTTATCCGGGATTTCTCCGAAATTCGCCTCCTTGTGGCACAAAAAGTCAGAAAGAATTATTGAAAAACTGTAATTTGTAGCGTAGCACTTACAAGAAATGTCAAATTTGAACTGAAATATTTCCGAAACTATTCAGAATAAACTAGGAGTTGACAACTTGTAATTTTATCCAGGATTTCTCCGAAATTCGCCTCCTTGTGTCACAAAAAGTCAGAAAGAATTATTGAAAACTGTAATTTTTAGCGTAGCACTTACAAGAAATGTCAAATTTGAACTGAAATATTTCCGAAACTATTCAGAATAAACTAGGAGTCGACAACTTGTAATTTTATCCAGGATTTCTCCGAAATTCGCCTCCTTGTGGCACAAAAAGTCAGAAAGAATTATTGAAAAACTGTAATTTGTAGCGTAGCACTTACAAGAAATGTCAAATTTGAACTGAAATATTTCCGAAACTATTCAGAATAAACTAGGAGTCGACAACTTGTAATTTTATCCGGGATTTCTCCGAAATTCGCCTCCTTGTGTCACAAAAAGTCAGAAACAATGATTGAAAAACAGTAATTTCTAACGTACCACTTACAAGAAATGTCAACTTTGAACTGAAATTTTTCCGAAACTATTCAGAATAAACTAGGAGTTGACAACTTGTAATTTTATCCCGGATTTCTCCGAAATTCGCCTCCTTGTGTCACAAAAAGTCAGAAAGAATTATTGAAAAACTGTAATTTGTAGCGTAGCACTTACAAGAAATGTCAAATTTGAACTGAAATATTTCCGAAACTATTCAGAATAAACTAGGAGTTGACAACTTGTAATTTTATCCAGGATTTCTCCGAAATTCGCCTCCTTGTGTCACAAAAAGTCAGAAAGAATTATTGAAAACTGTAATTTTAGCGTAGCACTTACAAGAAATGTCAAATTTGAACTGAAATATTTCCGAAACTATTCAGAATAAACTAGGAGTCGACAACTTGTAATTTTATCCAGGATTTCTCCGAAATTCGCCTCCTTGTGGCACAAAAAGTCAGAAAGAATTATTGAAAAACTGTAATTTGTAGTGTAGCACTTACAAGAAATGTCAAATTTGAACTGAAATATTTCCGAAACTATTCAGAATAAACTAGGAGTTGACAACTTGTAATTTTATCCGGGATTTCTCCGAAATTCGCCTCCTTGTGTCACAAAAAGTCAGAAACAATGATTGAAAAACAGTAATTTCTAACGTACCACTTACAAGAAATGTCAACTTTGAACTGAAATTTTTCCGAAACTATTCAGAATAAACTAGGAGTTGACAACTTGTAATTTTATCCCGGATTTCTCCGAAATTCGCCTCCTTGTGTCACAAAAAGTCAGAAAGAATTATTGAAAAACTGTAATTTTTAGCGTAGCACTTACAAGAAATGTCAAATTTGAACTGATATATTTTTCCGAAACTACTCAGAATAAACCAATAACTAGGGGTTTGCCTGTAATTCTCAGGGTTGATATTTTTGATTTTGGTTTAGAATTTCCCAGAAATTCGTCTCCGCGTGTCACAAAAAGTCAGAAAGAATTATTGAACAACTGTACTTGCAACTTACTTACAAAACTTACAAGAAATGTCAAATTTCAGAATAAATCAATAATTAGGGGTTTGTCTGTAATTCCCAAAGTTGATTTTTTGATTTTGGTTTAGGATTTCCCCGAAATTGGCCTCCGTGTGTCACAAAAAGTCAGAAACAATGATTGAAAAACAGTAATTTCTAACGTACCACTTACAAGAAATGTCAACTTTGAACTGAAACATTTCTGAAAATAGTCAAAATAAACCAGTAACTGGGGGTTTGCCTGTAATACCCAGATTTTACGTTTTTAATTTTTATCCAGGATTTTTCGGAAATTCGCCTCCATCTGTCACGAAAAGTTAAAAATAATTATTGAAAAACACGAATTTTTAACGCGCCACTCAACTTTGAACTGAAATAACTAACGGTTTTCCCCGAAATTTATTTCTGTGCCACTTCGCTAATATTGTGATGGAAGAAAAAAATAATATCAGAAATTTCAAAAACATACAAGACCAACAAAAAATATACGTAGTAGTTGACCTTGAATTTTTGAATTTTTCAAGGTCGTTACCGCGCTCGGCAAAACCTACCACCAGAAATGCTTCACTTGCGCGCGGTGCAGGCAGCCTTTCCCGTCAGGCGAGAAGGTCACCTACACCGGCAAAGAGGTGCTGTGCCAGAAGTGTGTTCAGATCCCTGTAAGGGACGCCACCCCCAAGTCCAGCCCCACAGCTAACAGCGTCGGCGCCAACGGTGAGTAGTCAATTGTCGCCGTATTTTTTGTTATTTTATATTTTTCTCAATTCGTTAATTAATTATGCCGATTAATGTCCGATTAATAATTTAGTTATTCGGTCAGCCGGTAAACTAATTAAATTACCGCAATAGTGAATTTCGTAAACATATTTGTTGCCCTGGAACTTTATTAAATGATAATTAATAATTCCTCTTTTTGTGTTAATTTGCAATTCGCCTGATGTAATTTTGCCCTATATCTATTTTATCACTTGTGCTGTATGTTTCTCAGTTAATTAATTAAATCTACTACTTAAATTCCGACTATTTATTTAGTAAATTGGCCAGCTGATGAATTAATTAAATTAATAAATAAATGGGTAGCACAAACAAACCGTGCTGGGACTTTCTAAAAATCCTCTTTTTTTATTGCAGGTCGCTTTTTTAAGTGTTACTTTTTTTGTATCTTCATAGCTGCACATTTTGCTTACAACTCGCCTGATGTAATATTGCAATATATCCATTTCCAAAAACCGCTTAAAAACGTCGGTATTTAATTATTGAATATAAATTTTTCTTGTCCCTATATGTTTTTCTTGTATATTTTTCTGATTTCATTAATTAAATTTATTAAATTAATTTAATTAAATTAACTTAGGACAATAATTAAGGGCAGGAACAAACTTGTTGACCATATTGGAACTTTCTTAATTGGTAATTAATGATCCTCATTTTTATTAAAGGTCATCTTTTTAAGTGTTACTTTTTCGTATCTTTAGAGTTGCATGTTTTACTTACAAGCTCACCTGATGTAATATTGTAAATTTTAAAATATCGCTTAAAAACGTCAGTAATTAATTATTAAAATTAAATTTTTCTTGCCGCTATATGTTTTGTTTTATATTTTTCTGAATTCGTTAATTCAATCTACTAATTATTTTAGGATTATTCAGTTAATTAATTGGCCAGCCGATGAATTAATTAAATGAGGACAATAATTAATGGCACGAACAAATGTGTGTACCATATTATTTTATATTATATTATATATATTATATTATTTTTATATTATTTATTTATTATTTTATTATTTTTTATTAATGGTCCGTTTTTTTTAAGTGTTACTTTTTCGTATTTTTATAGTTGCACATTTTACTTACAACTCACCCGATGTAATTTTGCAAATATATCCATTTTAAAATATTTTTTACAATTCTATAATTAAATCGACGACGACGTTAATTGGTGGTCAGTCGTTAAATTAATTAACTTAGGGCAATAATTAATGGCACTAACAAATTTGTTAGCCATATTGGAACTTTCTTAATTGATAATTAATGAAACCTTTTTCTTTTATTAAAGGTCGCTTTTTTTAAGCGTTTCTTTTTCGTATCTTTGTAGTCGCACATTTTACTTACAACTCAGCTGATGTAATATTGCAATATATCCATTTCCAAATACCGCTTCAAAACGTCGTTAATTAATTATTTAATTTAAATTTTTCTTGTCCCTATATATTTTTTTGTATATTTTTCTGAATTCATTAATTAAATCGGCTAATTTTTTTAGGGTTAATCGGTTAGTCAATCGGCCAGCCGATTAATTAATAACTAAATTACGGCAGGAATTAATTTAATTTTAATTAAATTAATTTAATTAAATATTAAATAATAAATAAATAATTAAAATTTAATTAAATAAAGAAATTTATTGACCATATTGTTAATTGTTAATTAATGATATGATGAGTAATTTATATATTTTTTTAAGAAATTTTCCAAAGAAAAATAGAGAAGGGTTCGCTTATTTCGAATTCGCATATTTGAAAAAAAGAAAAATTATAAGCTATTATATATTGTTGGTCTCAATAATACTAAAAATTCTTAAAAACACAGATTTCGGAAAATTGAACCTAAAATTTTGTGTAAAAAAGTTTTTTATTTAGTAAATATTACTTAAAGGGACTAAAAGAAAGAAAGGAAGTTTTTTTTTACCTTGGTTTAAAAATAATTTCTTTTGTGTAAAATGTATTTAAAAAAAGGAAGACAAATTTTGGGTGTTATAAAAAAAGTTTTAATGCTAAAGTTGTTTCTAGTAAAATTATGTTTAATTTTTTTGTCTTATTTCAATTGTCACGCATTCACATACAGGGTGGTCAAATAAAGTTTTTGAACACCCCTTTAAAAGGTTTTCTGTTAAAAACTTTGAGAACAATTGCTTCTATATTGCTAATATATCTTTAGTTAGTGTTATGCTGTATTAAAATGCAAAATAGAAATTTTTAATATAAAACGGTATTCAGAAACTAGGAGCGAAGCTCACAAATCGAAATTTAAACAATACATGACGTCTTAAAAGTCTTTTAAATTTATTAAGAGTATCAAAGTTTTTTTTAGGTCCTTATGTAGCAGTTCGGATGTGTCTCTAATACATTTTCTTTGAACGAAATACACATGAAAAGATAATATCACTTTTCGCATATTCGAAAACAAGAATAATTATAAGCTATTATATATAGTTGGTCTCAACATTATTAAAAATTCTTAAAAACACAGAGTTCGGAAAATGGAAACTTAAAATTTTGTGCATTTAGGCATATAAAAAAGTTTTTTAGTTAGTAAACATTACTTAAAGGAACTAAAAGAAAGAAAGGAAGTTGTTTCTTACCTTGGTTTAAAAATAATTTGTTTCGCGTAAAATATATAAAAAAAAGTAAGACAAATTTTGATGTTGTTTATTATTGTTTTTTATATTTTTCGTATTTTCAAAATCACAATGTTATAAGTTTCCCAGCAAATCTTTACTTCAAGCGGTGTTGCAATATTTTTATTTATAAAAGGATCATTCTACAGCGTGCCCGGTTTAAGCGAGAGTTTAAGAAATATCTCTAAGTCTACGAGTGTTATGAAAAAAGTTTGAACAGTACATGACGTCTTAAAAACTCTTTTAAATTTATTAAGAGTATCGTTTTTTTTTGGAACACGCCGTTGTTTAATTTTGAATATAAATACATAGACATTAAACATTACTTTTTGTTTTACAGACAAGAAATTAACTATACTCGATATGTTTTGCAGTGGCGTATATCTGTTACATTGTAATATATTTCTTCATACAAACATGCACATACTTACATACTTCCTAATGAAGTCAGCGATGCATACCAGAAGATATAGAAACAAATATTTAATTACAACAAATGTGCGAATACGAAAATCATACGAACAAAATAAAAAAGTTTCTTAATTCGTGTTTTTTATACATTTTTGTATTTATAATTTTTAAAAATATTTATTCGTTTACCGACGTGACTTTCGTTTATTATACCACCGCTAGGGGGCCGGAAAAAACGGATAATTTTCTAATTTTTGTTTATATTGTATCTTTTTTTTTTTGTAAATCGGTTGAAATAAATAAAGAAATTGAACGTACAATGTCGGTGCGCTATTGAAATTGTGTCAATCCTAACGACTCTCGTTTTGCAGTGTACTCGATATACCACTTCTTTGCATATTTATTTCATTTAAATTCGTCACTTACGGTGCCAAGGTAAACGAGCGTTTTTTTTTTTTAATCATCGCCCAAGACGTTTAGATTAGGATTTATCGACGCCTGGACTTGACACGATTTTTTTTCACTTACACACACACACGCACGCGCGTAACTGTTTCGGCATGTTTTTTATCGCCTCTTTTTCCCAAAATCCGTATTTTTCAAATTGGTCCGTAAAAAAAAATTCTAATTATCGACGGAAGACTGTCGTCTTCGTCGAGCTCCGTTAAAATCTAGGGTGGATATTTTTAATTAAAAAAAAAATCGAACTGAAGTTCCTATTCCTGAAACTCTCAACATTATTTTAGATATATTAAAATCCGAGAAGAATGAAGAAGAAGAAATCACCCGAGACCTTCCATCTATAACCAAAATTATGGAAAAGCTACGTTGTTCCATACAAAATACCGGGCGGCACAAGAAAGTGGGAAAACTCCATAACTTTTAAACGCATTGAGATAGCGATTTGAAATGTTTAAGAGTTAGTATAGGCCGAATGTCCAATTTTTTGACAATATGTAGTCACTTCTCTTCCGGTTTGAGCGGAAACGACGGTAGTTTTTTTTTTTTTTTTTTTAAATTGTGTCTGTGACATAAATACTATTTATCGGGTCACCAGGTCATTGGCAAAAATTGTAAATGAAACTTTTCTTCGCTTGGCTCATGGCACAAATAGCAACAAAAACAATAGGAATAAAAACTTTTTAAAACCGGCACTTTTTTGCAACATTTTGACACCAAAATTTTCAAAATTAGTTAAAAAAAAATGCTCACAGGAAGGAAAAAAACAGATAAGTAAATACATTTTTATAAAAACAAAATATTGCTTAGGTGGCTTTTCTTCTATTCATCATCGAGTCAACATGAGCTTGTCGAGAGTTTCTTCTACGTTTTTTATCTTACCGACTTGACAATTAATAAAAGCAACAATTTTGGTGTCAAAATGTTGCAATGTTATTCAAAAAAAATTATGGTTACATTAAATGCTAATTGCCATTAGATAAGTAAAGAAAAGTTTCATTTATAATTTTTCCCGTGATCGGGTGGTATTTGTGATGCTCACAGCCACCTAGACACAACTTTCAAAAATTAAATAAAAATTTAAAAAAAAAAAGAGATAAAAACCTACGTAGAATGATCTCAAAAACTCAAAAACTGGAAGTGCAACCATTGACTACTTATGGTCAAAAAATTGGACATTCGGCCTATATTGACCCTACCAAATTTCAAATTATAGAGTGTTCCCACTTCTATTGGTTTTACGTTATACCACGTTACATTCTATTTGAAATTAATCAACTATAAATCTCTTGGAATGTCTTTTTAACAAAATGACTTTGTTGACGGTGTTGTGTTGTGGGGTGGGGTAAGATACTCGGAAAAAGCCTTTCGTTTGCAAATGAAGGCCATGCGGCTACTTCACAGATTAGGAGTTTATGACGCTCTACCGACATCTACACATCTGTTTTATACGTTCATGATAATACTAATTCTTATCGCATACTAACTAGTAGGCATGAGTATAACACCAGGCAAGCTGACTCGATCGCCCTACCGTACTAAAGACTGACAATGTTGAACTGAGGTTGCTTTTACTTGATGAAAATCCATTTATCAAAATAAATAGGAACTAAAAGTTCAGATTTCCACGAAATTATATATTTTGACATGACAATTGTTTCGACAACACCGTGTCTTTATCAAATGTAATATTTACAAACTACCTACTACTATATATACCGATCCGCATTTCAACCTGTAGACACCTAATTTTTGAGATTTTGAACATTTCATTTTATTGTTTTTCAAATATTTATAAATTTTATGTTTCCTATTTATTTTGACTGACAATGTTCTTCCGAGCAGCCTTAAAAAATCAACCATCCAGACAGTTTAAGCAGAAAATGATTTTTTTTTTCATAGAGAATCCCTTTTATAGCACCGATGAATATTTTGAGCCGCTTAAGCATACGAGTATTAAGTAGTTTGCGACTTTGTTATCTATATGTTTACTTTCCACTTTATGTGTATTACTTACATCTTATCTATTATCTATAACTGTTTTGTATAATTTAGTACAATGTGTTTGTACTTTATTAATGTTAATTTTATATATTTTTTCCACTGCGATAACCATTGTAATTGCCATACTCTTGACGTACCTCTCTCCCTCCCTCTCCCCCTCTCTACCTCTCCCCTCTCCCCCTTTCTCAATATCTCTCCCTCCCCTCCCTCACTCCCTCTCTATCTCGCCCCCCTCATCGCCTCTCGACACCATCACAACCTCGCCCCCTCTCTTTCTCCCTCTCACCCCTCTCTCTCTCTTTCCCTCTCTGTGAATGTTATTAGAATGTGTTTGGTATTGTGTTAATTCATTTTCATGCATCGATGTGACTTGCCATTTGTTGTTTTTGGAATGATCAATGAAATAAAAATAAAAAATAAATTAAGTCTATTATTATTATTATTATTATTATTATTATTATTATTATTATTATTATTATTATTATTATTATTATTATTATTATTATGTATTGTATTTTGTGTTGCAGAATGTGCCGGGTGCAAAGAGGACCTGAAAGAGGGCCAGGTGCTGGTGGCTTTGGACAAGAGCTGGCACATATGGTGCTTCAAGTGCCATACCTGCGGCACGGTGCTCCACGGGGAATACATGGGCAAGGACGGAGTTCCGTTTTGCGAAAGGGACTACCAGAAGCAGTTCGGGGTCAAGTGCGCCTACTGCAACCGCTACATCAGCGGGAAAGTGCTTCAGGTAATGACGTGAATGTCGTTTTCATTGCTTATCATTTCCGGTTGTTCGTGGTCCAACGGAATAATGTGGATTATACGGCGACCGTCCGTTAGAAATTAAAATAGATATTTGGACGCCGAAAAAATGCACTTTCGAAAGAAATGTGATAATTATAAAAAACCTTTTTTTTTTTTAAGCATACGTACATATTAGGCCAACAAACTATCTACAGAATTATTATACTATATCTATCTCTTACCGTTGAAGGTTTGTAGAGTTTGAATGACGGTAAGATTATGCAATATGCAAGATGGTTACAATTAGTGAGTGAAGGTTGTTTAAATTTTTATGTTGAATTTTAAAATGCAAAAAAAAAGATATGTTCCATTTGATTATTTCGATGTCGCCAGTGATTTTTTCGTATAGAACCGGCAACATTGCAAAGGCGAAAAGATTTTCAAATTGTATATCAAGGTCTATTTTCGTTCTAAGAAAATTTCTAATATCGAATAATGACCCCGTTTTTATACGTAGAACGGTCAATCAAAAGCGTCTTTTTATATCTTTTCAATTTTACAAAAAATATTCAAAAACATCTCGAAATCACCCGAAAATGGTTGTTGCAAAGTTGAAATCGTGAACCTTCAGCTGTTTTCACGATTCTCTTTTCTTCTCGCCTCTTCCTTACCATGACTACATCTTTTGTCTTTCGTTAATGAATGTCGATGTAATAAAGGTCGGTTACCTTTTCTATACCGATAAAGATGACCAACGCGTATATACCGGCGAAAGTAATAACCACTAGGAAATCTCATTTTACATTCCCCTTCGGCCACACGATCACCGTTACGCGTTATTACGTATTATTATTGCCGGATGCATTCATCGGCGAATCAATGGGCAGAAATGTGAGGCGCGCCTCTCATAATTGTCGCGTGTTAAATGGGTACGACGCGTTTCACTCGCTCATCGGAAAAGTAAAATTTGACGTTGTTGGCGTTTTTTTTTTTTATTTTCGCAAAATTCAGTGGCGCACTAATTTTTGACGAAAAAAATTAATTTTCCTAATTTTTATTTAACCTAAAATAAATATATATATTTTTAGATCCCCAATATGCAAAAGAAAAATCTTAAATTGATGGCTTATGGCACTCCTCCCTCTCCCTCCCTTCCTACCTCCCTCGCTCCCTTACTCCCTTCCTCTCTTTCTCCCTCCCCCCTCTTCATCACCCTCTCTTTCCTCCACTCACTCCTCTCCCCCCTTCTCCCCCTCCCCGTCACCATCAATGTTTTTCGCAAATTTTAAGCCAATGACGTCATCGCAGTATAATACGCATTCAAATGGATAAATATAATGGTTGAAAGATCATAAGAGACTTATTTTTGTCATTTTGTAAACGCCATTGCGACTAATTCTGCCTTTCTTTTTTCGCATCTGATTAAGTGTAAAACAAAAATAATTCCGTGATCGATTTCGATTCGACGATAATTAATCATAATCCGTAATGACACGGCGACGTCACCCACACACGTGGCCGTTAAAATTTATGCTAAACAGGTTTTATTTAAAACCCAAACAATGACGTCATCGACCTTGGGCGCTTTTTCGGGTTCATCTCGAGCCTTGAAACATGCGTTCCACATGTATTGCGGTTTAAACCATGATGCAAAACTTAATATGTACATTTTGAAATCGTTGTTTTGATTGTGAGCCGCTGTCAGTAACTAAAAATAAGCACGAGCTCCGAAAAAGGGATAAAACGTTCAACTAAATGAGACCGCAAAGTCATAAGTCATTAATAAAATTACTATTGTTGTGATGACTAGGAAGCGGGATTTTTTTTTCAGAATATATGCATCGAGATAAACAACAAAACTGCAAATATTCATTTTTATTATATGAAAAATTATGAATATTAATATTGTTTTAAATAAAGCCAGAACTATTTCTTTATACTTAAAACCGCTCATTTTTTTTCCCATACCACAGACTGGTTCATAAATACACACAATATGCGCAACATTCAATTGACAAACTGTTCTTTGCGGTTATAAAAACAGTTGATAACTAATCATTTTTCAAAATTTCCCCCAAAAAGAAATTTGTCTTTTATCTGTAAACATATATTTAAAAATGGATAAAATTTGACTACGGTTGTTAAATTTATAATATTTTGCCAAAAATGATCTTGGGGTTGCCCAATTTTGAAAGTGGCTTTAATGAACGCCTTACATAAGTCCTCGTCGACTTGTTCGATGTATTGTTTGCTGGGAGGGTTATCTTTATTAATGTGTAAAATCCAAAGTGGCAATAATTAATCTGGGTTTACATTCGTTTCTGTCTCAAAAAAAGAGTAGACGTGCAAACGGGCTGAAACTGTTATATGTTAGGGGCATGTGTACCCATATAACAAAAAAATATCTTAGATCGAATGTACTGGGTTATTCATTACATTTTTACACCCACCTACATGGTCAATTTGGAAAGATTGAAAAAAACGTTTTTTTTTTTAATTTAATGCCCTATATATTATTAGCTCGTAGATCCTTTTTTTCCCGATTTCAAAAACATATAGTTTATTGACATTTGCTTTATCATTCCATTTCTGGCCAATAGCCATCTTGTTTAAAAATGATCGATGATAGCAACCATATCATATCATCTATGTTTGTAATAGTTTTAACAACTCTTCTACCCTGATATATTTATCAATATTCCCTTTTAACCCTTGTAACATTATGTCCGTTTCAATAATATAATTCGATTCGATATTCGAAGGAAATTGAAATTTTCCCTGGGGTACCGCCAGGTTCCATTTTGAAGCACACCTTCCACCTGAAACGAAACTTGTGGAAACGCTACGTTGGTTTATTATTATTAGTATTTATTTCCAGGCGGGAGACAACCACCATTTCCACCCTACTTGCGCGCGGTGCTCCAAATGCGGCGACCCTTTCGGCGACGGCGAAGAGATGTACCTGCAGGGCGGAGCCGTGTGGCACCCCAGGTGCGGCCCGGGGCCTCAGACCGAGGACGGACGGGTACTGAACGGTCCCAGTGATGGCCAAACCAACGGCCACGCCACCGACACCGACGTCTCCACCAGAGATTACGACAGGCACAGCACCAGCGGCGCCAGCGAGCTGCAGGTAGCCGCCGATAGAGTACTGTCCCTCGCAATTTTTGAGGTGTTTGCGAGAATTTCCCCGTTCGATTTGTGTCGTAAATAAAATGCCACAAAAAACTTTTTGAAAATTAAAATATGAGGTGTTTGTTTTCATAAAGACAAACTTCAATTAAAAAAAAAAGTAATAAATTTGGGATTCAAGGTTTCAGAAAAAGGTCAATAACAGCAATGCTATATGCTATATATGAGAATTTTTTGTTGTTGTTTGATGAGGTTTTACTGACGAAAAAAGTTTGATGAAAAAATCGTCGTTAACGTGTAAAAACACCTTCAGTAAAGACAAATTTCAATCTAAAAAAAAGCGAAGTAAAAATGTTGGGATTCGAGGCTTCAGAAAAGAATTAATATGAACAATAGCGACGGCCTTTTTTATATGAGGTTTTATATGTATGAGGCCTCCTTTTGGAATTGGAAATGAAAAATACAAACATTTTTGGAGAAATAAATGATTTGATGATTGAATTATTTCAGGCGCTACAGAGCTAGAGCATGAAAAAATCTTTTTAACCTTTGAAAACAGCACCAATAAAGCCAAATTTTAATTCAAAAAAAGGGAATTAAAAATGTTGGAATTCAAGGTTTCAGAAAATGGTTAATATGAACAACAATGAGGTATAATAGATTTTTTATATGAGCTTTTTGTTTTGTTTTTATGTGAGGTTTTATTGATAAAAAAATCTTTTTAAACATGTTAAAAACAGCTTCAATAAAGACAAATGTCAATCATTCAAGGTTTCAGAAAAGGATTGAAATTTATATGTTTATATAAAATTAAGGCCACCGTAGAAGTCTTTCAAATGTTCAAAAGTGCCAATATTTTTGAAGAAATGAATAAATTAATGAAGTATTTTTTTGATGATTTAATTATCTTAGGCGCTACAGAACTAGAACATGAAAAAATCTTATTTAACGTGTTGAAAACAGGTTCGATAAAGACAAATTTCAATTTAAAAAAAAGTGAAGTAAAAATGTTGGAATTCAAGATTTCAGAAAAGGTTTATATGAACAACAATGCTGTATAGCGACTTTTTTATATGAGGTTTTTGTTTTGTTTTATATATGAGGTTTGTATATATGAGGCTTTTGGAATTAAGAGCACAGCAAAAGTCTTTCAAATGAAAAATACAAACATTTTTGGAGAAATGGAAAAATCTTATTTAACGTGTGGAAACCAACACCAATAAAGACAAATTTCAATTAAAAAAAGTGAAGTAATAATATTGCATCAAGATTTTAGGAAAAGGAGTAGAAATTGACAAAAGTAGAATAGATTCCAAAAAAAAAAACTGATTGTTAGACCTCTAAAATATTTGGCAAAAATTTTCGCTAACCTTCCCTAAATTGCTGGTATTCTAAGAAACTTACCAACTTTTTACGGCTAATTGAGTATAACCGATTCAAAATTTTGATTTTAATCTTAATTGAAATTGAAAATGGTCGATTAGAATCCTTTCAACCCCAGATGCTACTGTTACGTCACCCGATTTTATTATCTTATCGCCGAACGAAATATCTTTTTAAACGATATTCGTGATCGTAGAGCGCCGTTAGTGTAGTCTCGTTTTGCTCGTATTCTTTTTTTTTTTTTTCGTTTATTTTTGATTATTTTTTTCTGCACGTTTTGTTATTTCAGTTTTCAATGCGGTCCCGTACCCCTAGCTTGAACGGTTCGCTGTATAGTCCCACGAGCATGTCTAGAAAGGTTTGTCTTCCCCATTATTTTTTTGTTTTTATTTTTCTGTTCGCTTTTTAACGCTACTTTTTAAAAAAAAATTAAGTCGTGTGTTTTCGCTTTGCTCTGCGTGTGCTCGTATAATCAAACCAAACTAGTTTTGTTTTGCTATGCACTTTTTCGGGGTTGTTTTTTGACAAACTTGCATATGCATAGTTACATATACTGTTTCTGACGTAATTGTAGCACTAGACACGATTTGTATAGGACTCAAGACTTTATCGTGTAAGACTGAATAAAATATAAAGATGTTATTTGTTAGACTGTGACCTAGATCGGGCATCATATTTATCTGTGTAGGGCTTGACACTATACCATTCTATGGCAATGACTTCATAGAATAAAGACATAGTCTGTAGGACTCTGACCTAGATTCGCATACTACTGGATATAGTACTTGCTGGACACAATTGTGTAACACTGAGTAGGATATAAAAATGTTATTTTTTAGACTGTGACCTAGTTCAGAATACACAGACACTATGTAGGGCTTGACGCTATAACATTCTACAGCTATAATTTTATAGAATAGAATAGTCTTTGGGATACTGAAGGTAGTACTAGACAAACAAAATTATACATATGTGTATGGAGCTCAATATTATATACATATCTATGTCAAATACATGAGTAAGACTCAGTAGAATATAAAAATGTTATTTATTAGACTATGATCTAGATTCAGCATACACTATGTAGGGCTTGGCACTATAACATTCTACAGCTATAATTTTATAGAATAGGATAGTCTGTAGCATACTGACCTTGATTCGGCATATTGAATGAAGGTACTAGACATAATTACACAGATTATGTCTACATACTATGTGTAAGACTCAATAGATTATAAATTTATTGTGCGTCTAGGGCTCGACTTACTAAGCATAATACTCAATAGGATATAAAGCTGTCACCTATGTTCAGCATACACTGTGTGGTGCTTGACACTAATGGTTAAGATTTTATAGAATGTATGCCTAGTGTGCAGGACTCTGACGCATACTGAGTGTAGTACTGAACACAATTCGGCATGTGGCTTGATATATGTGCTGAATGTAGGAGTCAGTATGCATACTGTGTGTAAAGCTCGACTCTGTATACGATCTTGTGTTGGACGGTATCGCTTTGTAACTGCTTTTGTACTTAATGCTTAAGGCCTTCTTATAGAACTTTCCGTGTGGTATGACGTGCGGTTGTTAGGATGTTGGTGAGGGCGGTGAGGGGGGAGGGACTTTATTAAGCTTTTTTTTTTTCGACGAATTACAGCATTACCATTACTCGTACCGCACCCCGTCGCCGGGATTGATCCTGCGGGAGCACAACAAGTCCGGCACCCTGGTGGACGACATCTCACGCATATACACCTACAGTTACCTGACCGAGGAACCGTCCCTCGGTTACCTGCGCAGGCCCATCGACCCTTACGACAAGGCCCCGACATCGCCTCACTTCCACAGACCGACTTGTAAGCCTGCGGGGATGGTTGATACCGTTACTAACTTCTGTATAATTGTGTGAGGTTGCGGTATCATCTCTTGCTTCCTCTTCTTCGCAACTCTAATAACCGAAACAAGTTTTCAACTAGGGCAGGGGGTGGATTGAAAAAGAATACGAAGAAGTTTTCTTCGACTAGTTTATTTTTGGTAACCAAAACTTACCAAAACTTTTGGGATACTGCCTGTAAAACAATTCAAGCGCTTCACTTGTAATTTTTCCAAACTTTCCACGCATTTTAAGTTTTTCCTTAAGAGGTAGATAAAACATTCTGTAAGAAAAAATATTGTTTTTCCGTGTTCTAAGAAATCCCAAACCGCCTCGATGATTACTTTTAATGTTTGATTAACTTTCGGACTTTTCCGCCCATTTTCCGGCTCACCGTTACGAAACGGAGTAAACCTTATGTGACAAAAAATGATAGTTTCGACCTATTTTATACTTCGACCAGAAATATAGTGCTTTTACAACCGACTCCGTGATTAACATTTCCTACTGTTACTCCAAACTGCCGAACAGACCCTTACCCGTAACCATTCCAGGACCGTCCTAGGAATTTATTTACCTACACTAACAAGGGGTATATAAGTAAATATGTTTTCAATCTTTTTCGCCGAACAGTTCTTGAAACATGTACATAAAAAATTAGTACAAAGCGACAATTTATTACGTTCTACTACAAAATATTAAATATGATAATAATAAAGTATCTTAAAAAATCGTCACTATCGCTACTGTCATCTGTCGTTATAAGTTGTTTTTCCTCTTGACTAACCCATTTGCAACAATTTTTCTGACAGTTGACTTCGGAACTTTGGTGATGTCACTTGTCACATGTCACAGACCTGCTTAATGCAAAATAAACATCTATTGGGATGGGTTTTACCACGGTCCTGCCAAGGTCTGCGGTTAAGGTACTGTAAAATACCCAAAACGTCAAAGCAATAAATGCACTACATTTTTGGTCGTATTATAACCGCCTGCAAAATGCAAATTTTTGGTTATTTTTTTTTCTGCTTTTTCGCGCATTTTCCCTATTCGCTTTATTAGCGGTGCTGTGAAAACTGAACTTTGTGATATTCGCCCAGCTCAAAATTCCCTACGGAGCTCGTCCGGGGCGGGTGGCAAACGGTACGGCTCGCGGTCCGCCATGAAGGTGCTGGTCGATTCCATACGGAGCGAGACGCCCAGACCGAAATCGCCCCATATGAACAACGAGGAGCCCATCGAGTTGGCCCACTTTCCAGGGGCGAAACCGCCCAAGCCCGGCGAGCCGCCCAAAATCGAACGAGACGACTTCCCCGCCCCGCCGTATCCCTACACGGATCCAGGTAATTACAGGGTGGTGCGGTAGTGTCTGACGAAGTACCGGGTGGCGAATTAAGAAAAGAAGTAATTGTAAAAATTTGTGGTGAAATAACTGAAATTTTGTCTAGTTCTAGAATTGGCCGCCAGGTGGCGCAATCGCACTCTTGAATTGAAAATCCCGTTTTGTGAGAGATAATCTTATATTGCTACAGTGCTTCTTCGTTAAATGATTTTTGCCCTACCTCCCTTTCTGAAATATATGGTCATTTACTTTTTTGTCGTTGAAAAGCACTTTTAGATAGGCCGATGTCAATATAGCATGTAGTGAAAACCATATTTCGATATGATTTTTTTGTTAACATATCATATCAGTAAGAGGAGTGAAAACCCGAAATAATTTCTCATGTTTGAGACGCCTACCATTGTCAAATAGTAATTTTCAACTAAAGAGACTAAAAACTGAGAGGTACGGAAAAAAAATCATTATTTATAAAAAATTTCGCACATGGATATATCACATCACCATCCGGCCCAAAAATCATCGGTTATCAACTCTATTGTATACAGAGCCGTAAAACTATCTCAACCCGAGTCGCGGAACCTAGAATTAAAACACCTTACATTTGCTTTTATCTCTGATAATTTCTACATTACAAATATAAAGCGTTCCATCACAAAATTCACTTCACCACAACCTTCCAAAGACACTGGTGTCCGTTGTCCAAAAATCTGTCAACATTTTCAAGGAGTTTACATCATCTCTAAGCAATCAAACAATCTTAACCGCGCCTCAGGTCTTTACCTTTCACCAATATGCCCGCCCTTTAGCTCCGCCCCCCTCAAACAATATATCAGCAGGTATGGTCTGTTCATGGATATAAGAAAGTGATCGATTGCTTTTGAATGGGATTATCCAAGGGTGGTCATTAACATACAATGCAACAAGATTATTACCTAAAGTTTCTGAATTTAAATTCAGGTAAAATTGTGGTCCGTATTAGAAAATAATTTTATACCTACCTGTGTTTAATATTCTTTGGTTTGGTATACTGCTTAGTTTAAGGTTATTAGTAATCATTCTTATTTATGCAAAATATGTGCGAGTCTAGTGTATCTCAGGAGATGCTCCCGCCCAAATGTAGAAAATTGAGACTAAGGAAGTTATAAGAAATGTTTATATGACTCTCATTGAACGTGATGCCAGCAAGCAAGCATCTTTAGAAGAAACGGCCACATTGACGAAAATTCCAACATCAACTGTATAGAAAATTGTGAATAATCCCGTTTCAGCGAGGAAAAAAAGGAGCGATGCTGACATTTTCTCGAGTGTAGATAAAAGTGATCAAGATATAATACGGCGTAAAATTTACCAGTTATACAAAGCGTGCCTACATCAGATATCTTAATTAGGAGGCTTGAAAAAGATGAAACCGGTGTTAAATGTGGCAGAACTACCTTATGGAAGTGTATTCAACACATGGGTTTTAGATTTAAAAAAATTGACAAAAGGCAAGTTTTAACGGAATCTTTTAGAATTCGGAAATGGCGACTGGAATATCTAGAACAAATTAGGATTTACAGAGAACAACAAAGGCTAATTATTTACTTGGATGAAACCTGGTTCGACACTTATGATACCCCGGAAAAGAGGTGGGTTGACTCAACTGATAAGTGTAAAACAAACGTGCCATCAAAAAGAGATAAAAGAATAATTATTTTGCATGCTGGCTCCAAAGATCGTTGGATTCCAAATGCGAAAAATATTAAAGATTCTTCTCTGGATTACCATGAAGACACCACCGCTGATTTATTTGAAAGTTGGTTTAAAAACAAACTAGTTCCAAACATTCCTCCTAATAGCGTATTTGTAATGGACAATGCACAGTAGACAGTTGACTAAAACCCCTTCCTCATGTGGCACAAAAGCAACAATCCAAAACTATATGTGTAATAACGACATTTATTTTCACCAAGATTATACCAAAAAGCAATTAATTGAGGTTCTACAAAGCTTGAACCTACAAGAGGAATACGTCTGTGATAATCATGCAAAAAATCTAGGGCATACAGTTTTAAGGCTTCCACCTTATCACTGTATATTTAATCCCATTGAACATGTTTGGCACCAACTGAAATCTGCCATTCGTCGTAACAATGTTTTTCCCCGTGTTAACTCCAATCTCCTCAAACTTATAGAAACCGAAGGTTTTAATATCCTTCCATAAAGTTGGGCAAATTCTGTTAAACATATAGAAAAAGCAGAACAATTGTATAACCATATTGCAAATAATATAGAACAAATAATAATTAGAACAGGCGATGATAGTGATAGTGATACTAAAATATTAAGTGAATAATTTTAAGTAATTTAAGTAGGTAATAAAAATAAGTTGTAATTCTATTTTAGATTTAAACATAAATAAATAAATAAATATTATTTAGTATCTTTCCTAACAAAATCCCCAATAATTAAATTCTAAGCAAAGTACGGACCTGTTCAGTTAGTGACTTTCTTATATCTATGAACAGACTTTACACAGTAGATTGGGAACCAGTTTCAGTCAAGCTCTGTAGGAGCCAACAGGATGATTAGCGAAATGTCAGAAGATTTGTAAATAATATTTATGTTCCGTTTATATTATTTCGTAGAAATTGAAATAAAAGACGTAATAGTTTAACATTTATTGAGAAAACAAATGTTAAAAATACATAAAGCAATACCGACTGAAAATTTTTATTTAGGCACATTAGGTTCGCTACTTTGTATTATATATTAATCATACATATGTGGGCCTTACAATTTTAAAGGTTTTTAAATTTGTTAAAATAGTTTTGATGATTTTAAATTTTCTTACCTGCGCGAAGTTTAATTGGATCAAACGTATTTCATACAATTGAATTAATATTGTCGATCCAAACTAATAAATTAATTTACTGACACAATTGAAGTTAGGTTATGTTTATCACATGAGAATATATCTTCTTTGCAATAAATGGTTAAAACGAGTTGGAAAACCATCGGATATATTTTGACAATCACTAAATCCCTACGACATTCTTTCCATGCTTTTATCCTTTGTTAATTTGTTTTATGAACAAATCCACAACCCACTTTGGGAAACAAAGTAGCATGCTACGTGTTTATTTTCATAACGTTAAAAACATTTTTGAAAAAATGCGTTTCGTCATTCCGAAGTGAATCAAAGATACTTCTTTCCCTGTAGAGACAGAGCAGTTGTTTCTCATAAAACGGGATTTAAACTTTCGGTTTGCGAGACGTAAATTGATTAACCTAAAAATATATTTTTGGTACTCCACGTCCTGTATAATCGGAAATAATTTTGAAATTTACTTCTTTAAAACAATTTTTCGAAATTGTGCTAAATAAATAATAAATAAATTGTTGTTGCAGAGAGAAGGAAGAGGTGGTCGGACTCTTATAAGGGCGTGCCCGATTCGGATGAAGACGATCTGGACGGGATGACCGAGAAGGAGATAGAGGACAGGAAACTAAAGAAGGAGGAGGAGGAGTTGACGAAGATAGCGAGCGGTATCGGGAAGGTATTTTTGAAGAACGTCAAGGAGCGGGAGAAATTCAAGCAGTGGAAGGCGGCGAATTTGGACCCCCGGAATGCGTCGAGGTGCGTGTCGAATTTTTCAAAATACCAGTTTGGCCGTTCTGTTTAGTTTTGGTTAGAAATGCGTTAACGGCGAGTAGTTCATATGTCCCGTTGAAAGTGATCCTTACTTCCCAAAGCGTGGCACATCACCCGTATTATTCTAGTCACGCTTATCTTTCAACAAGTCAGTAGTTCATATGTACCTCGTTTCCTGTAGATCTATTCGCAATCAGACGAGCTTGAAAACGAAAGTGCCGTAGATGTAAATAAAATTTTAAGTAATTTTATTAAGGTATGGGAAAAAATGTTTCATATATTATCAGTTATATGTAAAGCACACGCTAACCGCGAGTAGTTCTTACGGCTCTGCCTAGAAATCTCAATTATTTGGCGAAGCGTAGTTTATTCAACCGTATTATTCCAACGTCAATTATTGGATAGGTCAGTAGTTAATATGTTTCAAGTTTTCTGTACAGAAAATCGAAATTTGATGAGTTTGAAAACGAAAATGCCTTAAAGGTCTATAAAATTTTAAAAAATATTGCCTAGTTTCGAAGAAAAAAGTAGTTTCATACGTTACATTTTGCGCAAAACACAGTAGTTCATATGTTCCTAGTTTCCTGTAGATCTGACAACAGTTGGACAAGCTTGGAGATGAAGGTAACTAAAGTTTTTTTTTGAAAGTATTGCTCATTTTCGAAAAAAATATATAGTTGTTTCATATCTTGCCGGTTTTATATGAAATATAAGTTAACGATGGGTAGTTGATCCATTTTAAAGTCAAAAATTAAAAACTTGTTCTGTTGTACTTGTTTCCATATTGGAGCAAGTCCTGCTGTGACAATTAATGCATAGTGGCGGACAAAATTGACATTTACAGAAAACAACTTTGTTTATTCAAAAATAAGCAACTTTTTTAAAACTTTAGTTACTTTTACCTAACTAGGAGTATATGAACTATTGAACGCGGTCGAAGATAATAAACTACGAGACTTCTAATCGGAGGCATATGAACTACTCACCGTAAACGTATGTTTTAAATACTGACTAGATGTGAAACGAAAAATAAGCGATATTTTTTAAAAACTTTAGTTACTTCGAAGTTACACAGGAACATATGAACTACTCAATACGGTTTTTTGATTTGACTAGATTATGGTTTTCGATAGCACCTCGATAGTTCGCGGCCTTTTTAAAAAAGTTTTCGTGGTTGTTTTATCTCCCCAGAACGCCGTCGGCGAACAAGGAGCCGACCTACAGGCTGCGGTACGACAATCCGATCGGCGCGAGCCCATCGCGAAACTTAGACCACCCGAAGCCGTTCGACGAGGACGACTTCGACCGTTCCCTGAGCTGTCGATCGTCGTCGATGAGCCGTCCGTCCGGCTGGAACTATAACGGTAAACGTCTATCTATTTTTTTTTTAATAAATTAAAAAATTACCGTTATATAAAATACTACGAGAATCGATTATATACCGCTTACGCAACGATAATAGACGCGCGAGTGGAATCTTTAACCCGAAGGTGAGAGAGAACGCGCGTGCATGGAGTGTGTCTCCCCCCCCCCCTTCCCCGAAATTAACTATAACTGGGCGGCGGTCTAAGAAAAGGCACCACCCTCGAACCGCGTAGTCCGTTCGTTAGAGACAACAGTTGTTGAGATTCACTTCTTTGAAATACTTAGTAACGCAGCTTTTATGCGCGTTCGAAGTGATGTCTTAACTTTACTACTAACAAAAGGGAACATTCACCCAAATATAATGAGGGTTATCGAAAAACTTAACACCGAAAATTGTGCTTTTGTGAGAAAGGCAAACAAATTAGGGAATAAAATACTTGTTGCAACGAAGTATAGCGAGGCATAGAAATAAAAATAATATGCTATGCTGACGGCGCAGCTCCTATATGAATTCCAACAAATGGCGGAAGCGTGCAATATGCAACGATCCACAAAAAAGAGAAAAACGAAATCTCTTACGATGTTCAAAGAACCGAGGAGATTCACATTAGCGATTTACGATCAGAGTGTAGAACAAGTGATGTCTTTCAAATATCTAAGGACAAACATAATTTCAAAAGGAAGCCAATTGCGGACCACTATGGACCTTTCGCAAAATCGACGTTATTTTATTGTGTATACACCCTGTATAAAGCGTCTGTCACCTATAAAAAATTTTACAGTCACTACAAACTTTGATAAATATAAAAAATAAATTTACAAGTAATAACGATTTCCAATGATATTATTCCAAGTACCTCGTGCACTCTGTATGATAGACGAAACCAGAAATTCTCTCTCAAGGCTATATGGCTGCCAAATTTGAGGTCGATAGCTTCAAATTTCGGACACTTATCGTGTTTCATAGGATCGTCCAAAAAACAGTTGAAAATCGAAAAAAAAAAGGTGAACGCCGAGCCTTAAACGCAGCCATTTTTACATATCATGTGTACCCCGTGGACGGTTAAAAAGGTGCCAAATTTGAAGCATGTAGCTCGAACCGTTCGGAAGTTATCGTCGGAGAACCCTGAAATAGAGAACGGAGAACTGACAGACAAAAAAAAAGTTTTTTTTTTTCGATGCTGATTCGAAATGTACCAAGAAGAAGAAGAAAATACTATACAAGCTGATCTAAATTAAGTGTTTGCATCTTCTCGGTTCTTTAAATACTGTAAGAGATTTGGTTTATTTTGTTGTAGGTTTTCGCTATTTGTTGGAATTTGTATAGGAGCTTCGCTTTCCGAAATAATTACTGCGTCATCACCATAGCATATTATTATTAATTTTGTTGTGAGTAGAGATACAAAGTCGGTTAAATTAGCATTGAATCTACGGTTTATCAACTGTACTCTTTTGAAACAGAACACCCTATATATTCTTTGCTCTAACGTTCGTAAATAGTTCGTAAGTGTAAGGGACATGGAAATCAAAAAAATGATGATTAACGATTGAAGTTATTTTAGGAGGTGTTCAAAAACAGCACCTTCTTTTATTTCATTCTTTAATGATAGTTTTTGATCAGAATGGCTATATTTCCGGTTAAAATATCAACACATACCACCAAATCCTCTGCTATAACAACCACGTAACAAAGGCTTTCAGTCGGAATAATCGTAGATAAATTTTGAACTACACAGGTCACTTTTGACGTAATTTCAAAATATCTCAGAACCAGTAAGATTCGCGTATAGAATAATATTAATACGAAATATATATAATAAAAAAAGGCGTGGTTATATGTCCACGAAAGTACCAAATATCCTGTATATATAACAATGTAATATTACAATAGTATACAGCGGCTGCCAGCAAATTAAAAACGATTCACCATATTTGGTAAAATACGTTCAGTATATTTTTTATTTATACATAAATGTTGCTATTACTTCATCATCATAAGTCTTCACTACATGTAAAAATTAATAATTATTGTTTAGTTTGAGTCCTGGCTTTGTAATCAATCGAAATTGAAAGTTTAATATTATCTAACATTTTATTAATATTTTGTTTAAGTAGCTTAACTTTATTTTTATTTCCAAATATCATTAAATGCGATTTTGATGGGTTTAGGTTTACATTATGGGCACGAAAAACTTAATTAATTGTGTAAACGTCTTTATTTATAAATACCTCTGTATCCATGCTACTCTTAAAATCAAAACAGCAATACAATTGAGCATCGTCGGCATATGCCTGAACTTTGCAAAAATGTAAAGATTTTAAAATGTCAGACGTGTAAATAAAAAAAAATAACGGCCCTAAAATGGAGCCTTGCGGCACCCCAGAGAAAATTTCAATTTCTTTAGAATTCAGCTTGGAAATCAATAGGTCATGGTTCACAGTATCGAATGCCTTCGAAAAATCAAAAAATATTAAGGCACTCATTAGTTTTTTGTCAGTGGCTCGGACAATATCATCAATGACACTTATAACAGCATTCGCAGTACTCGAACTTCGTTTAAAACCGCAATGACTTTTTGGTACTATTCTATTATCCATTATATAGGTATACGTTTGATCATAAAGAACTTTTTCGTATATTTTTGATAGTGCCGGTAATATGCCTATCGATTTTTACAAATTTTCGGGAAATTGTGTAACCTGTGGAAGTCTCTTTGAAAAAAAAAAGATACTAAATACTGATTTTTGAAAAAAAAAACTTTGTTAAGTTCTTTACATATATCTAGCCACCACATACCACACACACCACACACCACATGTAAAACCACAAAAGTTTTCTGGGCACAATAAATGTTGGATCGTTTTTATTTTGCTGGCGCCGCCCATGGGGGTGAATCCAAACTGTTGTCTTCATTTTTTTTTGTATTGTACCTCTGACTCGCATTTTTTCCGATTCTTGAACACCTGACAATTGACTAAAGAGGCTGAACTTAACCAAAATTGAAATTCCTCCGGTGACAAGGGTGGCGGGCGAGTCGTGGGTGAGGCCTCTATTCGCAATAGTGTCACGTGACGCGAATCGGCCCCGCCCATTTCGCGTTTCTCTGCATGTTCACTCGTTTGGAGGTGGTCCGGCGATGCATCCCAAATTAAAATTGACGAACTAAATGGCGTCGAGTTTGCAGCGCCCTGTATAACAAAGTCAACTCGGGATAACGTTACCTATTTTTTGCACTGCTACATTTTCACTTGCATGCCTCTCTCTCTCTCTCTCGCTAAGTCGCCTTAATTTTTTTTATTTTACGGTTCTGTTTGGCACTTTTTTTTTTGTTTTTGGCCGTGTGTACAGTAGTGTCTTCTTCGTTGAGGGCGGTCCCTAGACCAGGTTACGGATTAAAGTCGAGCACGTTGCCGAATAGAAACGGATACGTAAGTAAACGTAGATAGACGGGCGAGGTGCGGTGGTATCCCCGACGAAGTAGTTGGAACGAACCGGACGGGATGCGACCGACCGTTGCGACGGAAACACACATGTCCAAGTGACGTAGGGACGGAACACACCGTTCGGTTTAGTATAGGGTTTCGGGTGCGCAAAAGAAACCTACCGATACGTTAAAACGGTTCTTGGTTGATTCTTGGTTGTCCGAAACTTTTCTTACGAAGATTTTACCTCAGCACTTTCTTCTTTTTCACCATTGACATTTCCTCAATATCAATTGGAGGTTATGTGCTTTGATGGGACAATACAGGAGGATGTCCTTGTTTTGACTCTTCGTTAAACTTGCAGACTTGCTTTTGGCATCCAGAGGAAGATAATTGGATTTAGCTATCATTCTAATTTTTCAAATGATGTGCATTAAGGCAGACCGAAAAAATAAATTGCTTTGCTGATGTTATCGAAACCAATCCAATTTTATGGCTAAAGCAACAGCAGAAATCTCAACCGAATACTTCTCGAGCAATCGGAATATCGTTCTCGCGCAGAAAACTCCAATATTTTCACTTGGCGCCCATCTTTTTACTTTCATACCATTTTCCAACTGACGTGGTAAAGTGACGCTTCCCGCACGCTAGATCGGTGGGTAATGAAGTATTTTACAGACGGGAGTAGAAAAAATATTTTGAATGTCAGTACCACAGTTAGAATGGCAAATGATTAACAGCAACTCCATCTGTTTAGCTAGCCAACTAACCAAAACGTGCTTTGGTGGTTCAAAATTTTTCGTTTTTTCTTTTCTGGCAAAACATTGATGAGAGATAAAATACGAATCTCAGTTGCAATTTACCAAGGCCACTCGAACTGTGCCTGTGCATTGGTGGCTTTACATTGGCTTCCAATGACAGCGTTGTCAGTTTTATGGAATACTTCGAAGCTTTTAAGGAATTTCAGTTGGAAGTTGTGAAGGTCACTGAAATTGATAAAATTTGTGGTTTTTCCTGCAAAATGTTAAGTTGGAGATAAAGTATTTATATGCTTTGAATGACAGGCTTAAGTCGAAAATTCTGAACTGTGCTTTGGTGGTTTAAATTTTCAATGATAATTTTGTTTCGCTTCCACCCAAAACCGGAAGAAGTGAACTTTGCGAGATATCAACCAAGAACGCGGGCCATAATGGTCACGGCCTTGTCTTTTATATCATTATTATTACTACAATTATTCCGGTTTCACAGTGGTGAGCGCTTTGAGGCACGTGCCCAAACCCGGCTACGGGCTAGCGCCTAGATCCCACACATTCTCGTCGTCGGCCGGTAGTTATCCCCAAATTCCCGTAAGTTTTTGCCCCTCCCCTCGCACCCTTCGACGTTTCGTGGTTGCGATTTTTTTTTTTCAATGTATGCAAATTAGGTGTTCGTTATTAATTCGTTTTTTTTTTTGCGTGTTTTTTTTTAATACGGTTTCCCAACGAGCATGCGGGTAAAACACGAAATTTAAACGTTTCCAAACTTTTATTTAATTATTTTTGTAATTTGGGGCATGCGGCTTGTCGTGTGTGTTTTCTTCTTTTTTAAGTATAAATTAGTGATGAACTTAATAGTCTAGCGGAAGTTTTTTGTTGCTGTAATTGTCGGTAGTTATACTTTGGGGAACTTTTTGGTCGAGATTTAACTATTCTGTGGTCCAATGTTTAACCTAACCCAAAACTTTTCTATGTCTGTCATTATCACGGAGAACCGAAAAAAATATTTTTTCATCGTAAGGGTTTTTATTTCGTGTTACTCTAAATGAAATATTTCATTTCAGTGGCGTCCCATTGGGTGATTGAATTGGATGATTTTTTGAAGATTTACATTTCCTCTACTTCGCCACAAGGTAGTATCTTGATTCTACTCTAGTTGGAAGGATAATAGTTAAAGTAAAAAGTAAATAATCGAAAAAAACCTTTGGTTAACGAAAATTTATGTTCTATGTCTATTTTAGGCTTCAAGTTAGATCTAAATTTTGCGAATATTTCTATTAAATCTTCAAAACATCAGTGGCGTATTCGATTTCACCTATAAATAGCAATTATACCATCCTCTCGTTTTTGAGTAATTTTATTTTAATTACACCAAATAAAGGCCCTCATGGAGACAAGCTTGCCAGGTTTTGTCAAAATCAGATTTTTAACCTGATTTTTTTCTAAAAATTTCGAAAGCAGACTTATTTTTTCATTGAATTTTGAAACAGGCTGTGTATAAACTAATAAACTCATTTTTTTTGGATTTTAATACCGCACTTACTTAAAAAAAATAAATTCGATCAAATTCAATATCACACACCTATTGCTCGGTTTCAACTATTTTTACAATTAGTGGCCTTTATTTTTATAATTATTAATTTATTTTTGTTTTGCGTTACGTAGAGAAATAACAAAATTTTGAAAGTCTTAAGAACATTAAGTTTTTGGAACATGACGATTATAAAAAAAACAGGAACACTAAAATTTAGGATCATTGTTAACTATAAGTTTTTTTGTCGAAAAATACCTTATTACCCACTATGGGACATGCCCAAACTGAATCCGCCATTGCAATAATTAATTATAATTTTAAAATAACATTTATATCAATATTTATAGTTGAGTTAAAATCCCCACCTTTTACAGTGGTATCGAAATATACGCTTCCCTAGTATAGCCACTCGTTTAACAGACAGCAAAAAGCTTCCAGATTGAGGCTGGAGGTATCCAACTCGCGTTTTTAATCCGCCGCACCTTTTTCGCAAAAAAGTGAGGTTAGATTCGATTTTTTTTTTGCCGCGAATGAAACGTTCACAGTTGGGTAATCTTCCTCGCCGCGTAGCAGGTAGCGAAAGCGAACGCTTGCCTTTAACGAAGTGTTTTTCTTTTCCCCAAACGAATTTCGCAGGGTGACTATTCGTTTAGCGTTAGCGGTATGGGGGCGAAAACTCACAGTACCGACTTCAGTTGCGGCAAATCGGACAGTAAGTATCTTTTCGGCTCACGCTCGATCGTTTTTTTTTTTTTTCATTTTTCGCCGTAGCTTTTACGTATCGGGGGACTTTTTGCACCGCTTATTTTATCAATGTTTTACTTTATCCCCTACTTGAATCGCGTGTGTGAATTGTTTACCAGAAAACGTCAAACAAAGAAACAACACGAGATTTGAAAAGCTGACTGCTGCGGCTGCTGGTACGGGTTAAGTTAACTTCTATGTACAGAAAAAACAATTTAGCCACAGACCACAGAAAGCTTTTACATAACCTTTTTCTAGAGTTTGGGTGAAGTTTTGGTGCCATAGAAACAAAAGAAGAAGAACAACATTTCTTTTGTTTTCGTTTAAGTTTGTGTGTGTGTTTTCTAACCGTAGTATTTTGTTTATGTGTATATTTTAATTTTTTTAAAGTTGCATGATAGCTTAATAACGACTAAAGGACTCGTTGAGGTTATCAGCCACAAAGTTGACCATAGAAATAATGAAAGCAGCTGCCTTTTATAAGATTCAGGTACACTTTGTTTGCGATAGGCACCTTTTTTTTAAGAAAGAAATTTTTAAGTGCAAAAAGTCCCCAAAAATTTGCGTCTTAAAATTGCGCAAAGGCATTTTTTTTTCATCGTTAGTATTAGACATTTGAATTGATTGTGCTTTTTTTTTGCATCGAACCGGGATGAAGTGGGACACGTTTGGGGAGCAAACATATTTTCTACGGCATACTATGCATGACCGATCGTTGCACGGCATTTTATTTCTCGAAAAATTTCAAAAGTGGGTATAATAAAATCGCATTATTAGCGCAAGTGAAACTGTCGATATTTGATATTACTCCCTTGTAATTCTGGGGCGACTATACGAGCATTCTATCGGGCGGGTATTGACTTGGAAACTAATCGGCAAACACTGAAGGTCAACTCTTGCCTTACTAATTACTAATTTTCACTTAACTTACAGAAAGGTAAATGTTAACGCTTAGTAGAGGGGGGTGTTTTAGTATACAATTTTTTAAATTATACTTATCCACCCGTCTTTGTAAAATTATACCTACTAATTCAATTGTTAAAGACCACAAGCTGAATCGATGCGATGCCAAATTTCTGTTTTTTTTTTTAGTTTCTGCTACAAAATGTTTCAATAATTTTAAAATAATTCTGTTGTTGTTCTTCTGTATTGAATGCAAATTTCAAAGACGAGACTACCGCGATTCTGACATATTTCAAACGGAATGCGGCGTTGCCAAGCTAGTGAATTGAAATTGAATGACTTGTCGAATCTCCCCTGTGTTGTGGTTTAATACTCTTGTTCGTCGTGTGACATGATGTGATATATTTATCGGCGTTTTCTTTCGTAATTACCGAAAATTATTTTAATCCTTTTCTCTTCAGTTTCCACGGGATCCATCACGGATGTTGAAACACGCGCCCTGGTATGTAAATAACGCTTCTCGTATCTGTAACATCAAACCCTGTCTGATGAAGTTGTGGCGTCCACGGCCATGCAATATTAATTAAAAACAAAATGGAGCCACAACTTTTAATAATTAACTATAATTATACTAACTTATACATAATAATAATCAAATTGGCATAAATTGAAACTATGTATAATTATTAGTAATTGCTGGTAAATTAATAATTAGTGGTAATTAATTATCGCTAATCAAAACTAACAATTATTAACCCTGCCCAATTGTATTTCATTATAATTATTCGCAATGGTTATCGATCTATGATAATTAAGTGTAAATGTTTACTTTAAAAATTATTTGCCGTTAATAGGAATTATTTATAATGAATTACAATTTATAAAAAATAATTATAATTAACCAAAATTAATTGTAATTTTTCGCAATTCATTAGTTCACCACAATTGTAATTAACAATAATTATTTATAATTTTCCGTAATTTATATAATTATTCCAAATTAATCATAATTATTTATAATTAATCGCAATTAATTATCAATAATTATAATTAATTCGAAATAATGGCGATGGCCTTATAATTAATGGTAGTGAATTTAAAGCGAAGGATCATTAATTATAGTTAATAGCAATTAACCGTAATTAATCATAAAATTAGTCTGAAATATTTGCGATTATAAAAAATTAATGTAAATTGTAATTAACTTACCATTAACAGTTGTCAGCTATTAATTCTAATTAGTAGCGTTCTATATTTGCAATTAATTCTTGCTTTTCTGTGTATAGAACTCGGAACTTGGTGCTGCGTACGCGGTGGGGAGGTACGCGGGCGGCCCGACGGGTTACGGCTCGCAGGTGCGCAGGTCGCTGCCCAACATGGCGCACACAATGCTGATCAACGAGCCCGCCAAAATATACCCGTACCACTTGCTGGTGATCACCAACTACCGGTTGCCGGCCGACGTTGATCGACTCAATCTCGAGGTGAGCGCTCCCTCCCACCCCCCAAACGGTAGTTCAAATGTAACTTACGCAAATTTGATAGAAAATGACTTTTTTTACGTATGCAGGTAGTAGTTCAAAAGTACTTAACAAAATCGCCAGTTTTAGTCATTAAACGGGGCATAAACCTGAATTTATAAATTTATAACTTAATCATTTGCCCATTTGAGAGTAATTTGTTAAATTAAATCGAATATACCAAAATTAAACCACGAATTAAGCAGATTACCGACGTTAATCAATTAAACCTCAAGGTGAGCGTGTCCTTCGCCCGAAAGCCCGGTAGTTCAAATATAACCAGCGCAAATTTGATGTTTTTTTTCAACGTATGCAGGTAGTAATTTAAAAGTACTTAACAAATTTACGGGTGTGTGCAATTACACGGGGCATTATGAACGTTTGCTCATTTGTGAGTAATTTGTCAAATTAAATCAAATATATCATTATGCAGTTTACTGATGTCTCGAGCTGAACGTTTTCTTCACCGCAAAGCCTGGTAGTTCAAATATAACTTACGCAAATTTGATAAATAATGGTTTTTTTCAACCTATGCAGGTACTAGTTCAAAAGTACTTAACATATTTACCGGTTTATGCAATTACACGGGGCCTTATGAACTAATGCACTTAATTGTTTGCTGATACGAGAGTTATTTGATAAATTAAATGTTGATGAATTAAGTAGTAGTTTACCGACGTCAGTCGACCTAGTCTCGAGGTAAGCGTTTTCGTTCACCCGTTAGATACTGATGTGCCAGTCCGGTAGTTAGTAACAAGATCAAACCGCGAATTACGTAATTTCCAATTAAACCGTTAATTTAAAATGAAAGTTTTGGTTTGTTTTTATATCGTGTTCGGTGGCGACGCTCGAACGCGTCGGTAGGTCACATGTACTGATATTAAACGTCAATCGCCCCTTACATTCCTGACGTATTATAAATCGGACGTTTTTGTTGCAGCGCCATCTTTCCGATCAGGAGTTCGAGGCGATATTCCAGATAGCGAGGCCGGACTTTTACCGGCTGCCGCAGTGGCGTAGGAGCGAGCTGAAACGGAGGGCGAGACTTTTCTAAAAAAAATATATATATATATATATATATATATATATATATATATATATATTTATATAAATAGGCAGCGTTCGGTCAAAATCAAATGCCGCAGCTTTCGCAACGTAATCACGCTTCGTCATGGCCGCAGCCACTCGAGAAAAGTGACGACAATATCGGGACAGTTTATGATTCTTCTCGCGTCTCGCTTACACTTTCACCACCGCCGGGTTTAGTTCCTCGTTTTGTTTTTTTTTTACGTTATTGTTTTGGTGTTTTAATATTTTTGCCATAATTTTTAAGCATTACCGTCAGCGTGAATAGTTCGGCAGCGAGTCGCGAGCGGCGCTGATCGCCAGTCGTTTTAAGTTTCGACATTCGGACGGTATCAGAGTACTTGACCTAGTGTAATCTGCGACGTTTGCTTTTCTAGTATCTCTGGCATCGCGTGAATTTTATTCGTAAACTTTAGTAGTATGGTATCAAAGCCGCCTATATTGTCTTCGATAAGCCGGGAAGTTAAAACGGCAACACTGCAGTTAGACTCTGAAGCACACGCATCATTTTTAATATAACCAAAATTGACGCAAAATTTCCTGATCCACATAGTCTATAGTCTATATTCTTTGGCGACCAAATAGAAAACTTGTATCTAGCCAGTTGTGACCATCGATTTAGCTTCTGGTCATCAAAATAACCCCAACGCAGTCATCGTAACAAAAAAAAAAGAAAACTTTTTCTTCTTTAACCCTAAAATGCCACATTTCCAAGCGCCCTTGTTTAAAAAATTTCTAGACTATTCATTTCATCACTTTATTTTCTAAAGCGCTTCGTTTAGAATTTTTTTCTCCTCTTGCTTGTGGGTCAACCCTGGAACTTGTCGGGTTAATTAGGAAAAATGTGGGGCACCGCACCCTTCACGTAATCGACACAATCGGTAGTTCAAATGTGTCCTGCCCAAATCTGATAGATAATGGCTTTTTTCAACTTATGCAGGTAGTAGTTCGAAAGTACTTAACGAATTTACGAGTTTGTGCAGTTAAACGGAGCATGGGTGAATCGGTTATTTCAATTAGTTGTCCATATGTATTAAACGGATCCAATGCCGTCTAGTGATATCCACTTTTGGAAAAGAAAATTTGCTTTTTCATGGCACTCGCATTCTTTGAGGTACTTTCAGGAATGCAGCAACTTTTTATATAAATTATACACAATGTTTACTGAGATGTTTACTCACCGCGACTTTGTTTTCTACGTTGTGTTAAAGTAAAAATAATGTAGAAACGTCCAAAGATTAACATGAATAACTGCACGTTGCCAAGTTGTGCACTTCACGGCTTGTCATTTATAGATGGTGTTGATAGTACCGATAGTAGGTCAAACGCCTCCCATTGCAGGGCTCCCATTAATGGAAAAGCCCGAACACTAAACTATCGAATCTGGAATTTATCTATCATTTTCATTTTTTTTATTTTATGCTCTAACATGGTACTGGCCATTTTTTTCTTTCCTCATTTTCAAGTGTTAACCCCAATTCTGCGGTAGAAATTTTATGTTAAAGGAGATTCCGTGGGAGCCCTGCGTTGGTAACCGAAAGAATATTTCGTATATTTTATTAAAGTGACAGGTCATCGGAAGTTTGAAGGAATCAAAAGTGTAAGCGATTCAAAAAATAATATTTTTTTTAAGTTACATAAATGTATCCCTAGTTAGTTAAGGTAGACGAAAAGGTTTAAATAATATATTATAATGAAGAAGTTAAAAATTCGTGTTACATATTTTTGCTTAAAAGTAGGAGTGCTTATTCGTTACCGTGAAAAGTGTCGTTCAGAACCAAACCAGGCCGGACGAGAAGGTTTTCCTTCCGGCCATCACATTGAACTACAACCATAAACTCATACACCCACACACAACACACACACAAAAAGGCGTATCTATTTTTATATCTTTTTTAAAACTGCGTTTCCTTTCAGGCAGCCACAAAAAACAACCTCGTGTGTATTTATTTTGCTGTAATTATTAGTAGTGGTCTTACATTATATACACACCTTGAAATAAAGGGAGGGAAACTCTTCTTATTTATTCGGGAGGTTGATTTGCCGGCGTGCCCTGTCGCTTCGGATTCCAAATATTACATAATTGCATTGCTCTCCCAAATAAAGAGTTTTATGATAAAACTGTTGTTTTTGTCACTCCTCCCGTTTCATTTTTCCTAGAAAATTCCAATACTCTAACCCTTTTGACATCACAGCGTATCCTCGTCACACATTAATCACAAAACAGTTCTACAATATGGATTTGTTCCATCTCATGTTAACTCTAAACCCCTGTCTATCTCATGCGTTATTTGATTGTCCTTTCCATTGGGGCAATTTGCAAGTTTCATTGGATTTACTTAGTAACTCTCCATCCAACCCGACTTGAATTTGTAGCTAGAAATATTGCCCGCTTTGAAATAGTAGTTAGCTAAATGATTTCTTACCCTTCCTTTATCTCGGACAGTCACCCTGAAGCTGACTAAATTGCCTGTGTTGCAGGGTCACAAATAGTTTTAAAGAAAAACTAACCAAAGTAAAAGTTGGATTTGGTAAGTTTTATAACTTTTGCAAGAAGTTCTGGCTCCCAATAACAGACGGCGTTAAATGTTTGGCCATTGTTGCGAACGAAGTTGTACTCTCTCTCATGTACGTATTTTTAAGTTATGGCCTCTCTTCTCTATCAACCCAACAAGGGATTAACATAAACTGACCAAATATTTGCTTATTTCAATACAACTGCAATGTTCTTTCCTCAAATCAAATGAAACAATATTTGTTGAAGTTGCCACCTAACCTTAGGAGCTTTCTCAAAAGAAATGGCCGAATGATCCTGGAAAACTTGGTCAATAGCAGTAATAAAGACGGCAGTAGCTATTCTATGATTGACAGCTTTCGTTGGCATTTGTCGTAGTTCTCGAGCATCGCCTTCTGTTGTGTGAACTTTCGAAGAAAATTGCGATATGCCCATCGCCGAAGAAGTTAAATCTAGCTGGGCCGACGAGGTCGAATTGGAAGGCGGCTCGTTGCCGCCGTCTACCGAGGTGATAGAAAACAACCTCAAAATCGTCACAGAGTACAAGTACGAGGACGACAAGAAAGTTAAGATCGTCCGCACCTACAAAATCGAGAAGATGCTCGTGTCAAAGACAGTCGCCATGAGGAAAGCGTGGAAGAAGTTCGGCGAAGCGGCGAATGATAAACCCGGACCCAATCCCCACTCAACCATAGTGGGTGAGGATGTGTACATGCAATACATAACGAGCAAGGAGGAAGACAACAAGCCGGAAGATGAAGGGATCGACAAACTCAAAGGTAATAAATGTTTAATCGTGTGTACGAGTTAAGAGTGCCTAATATTTCAACAGGCATGCTGGACAAAACCATGTTCAAGTGTCGCACGTGTAGCGGGGACCACTGGACTTCAAAATGTCCATGGAAAGACACCATGGTCGCTGGAGGTAAAATACCAGATGACAAGAAGCCAGCCGCTACTACGTCGACTGGCGAGGCGGCTAAAGCAGGCTCCAAGTATGTGCCTCCCAGTTTAAGGGAAGGGGCTTCGAAAAGAACAGATTCAACTATGGGTAGACGTGATGACTCTTTTGCCGCTATTCGCATAGCAAACTTGAGTGGATCAACCACGGAAATGGATCTGGAAGAGCTGGTTAAACCATTTGGGCCTATTCACAAGTTGTTTGTGGCTAAAGATAAAGTGACAGGTGTCTGTAAAGGGTTCGCTTATATTCACTTTAAGTTCAAGAACGATGCAGCCAATGCTATAAACAGGCTAAATGGCCACGGTTATGATCATCTTATCCTCAGTGTGGATTGGTCCAGGCCACAGAATAACTAATTTTTTTGATTTTAGTTCCATCTTAAGCTAATAAATGGAAATTTTATTATTTGCGATTATTCTTGGTTACCTGCAATTCTGATTTGATCAAAGTGTAGTTACGAACAAATAAGTTCTGTCAAGGTTTCTGATATGGGGTTTAGAGTCCTGCATGAGCATGGGCAAATTTCTCCCAAAGCAAAAAACAAATTTAAAGGTTATTTTTAAGATAAGATTCATCTAAAATTAATATAAGACTTCTTGACTGCATTTTAATTGCCTAGAAGTAAACAATTATTTGGTTATTTTCTCTTGTTAAGTTGACAAAAAGGAGAGAAGAGATAATTAACAATATGTGCTTGATAGAGAGCCGATTTAAACATTTGTAATAACGTCATGCATTTTGTCAAAAAAAAAGTACGTTCGCTGATTTTGCTAGTGGTCAAAGTAATTTTTTGCAAGCTGAGAAGAAATGTTGGTAACAGTTTCTTTTTTATATGTTAATATGTGGCCAAGAATTCCTACAGACGTAGATAATGGGCGAATGGCCATAGTAAACTTTACTTCTCTGAAAAGCAAAAAAGAAGATTTTCTCCGATTATTACATATTAAACGTTAATAAGTCGGTTGGTGAAGCGTTAGACCTGCCAACTCAACTTACCGGAAGTTGTGGGTTCGATTCCCACCGGGTATCTTGGGTGTTGTAATCGTTAAATAAAAATTTGTTTATAAGTTATAACTTGGTTGTAACCTGGCCGAATTTCCTTATGAAGCGGTCGCCAAATAAAACGTAATTTAAAAAAAACGTTGCTAATTAACAGTGACAATTTCATTACACTGTGTTGAACAAAAATATCATGTTATCTTGAGAATATTAATTCAATGTTCGCTGCTGCTTAAAGTTTTAATTTCATTTTTAAGGGTAACATTATTTAAAAAATATTGTAATTTACAATCTATTTACCTGTTGTATCTTTTCTCGGAATTCATTAAAGCTTTTCGAAATAATTCTGGGGGAGAAAACAAATCAATGTTTTCGACCCACAGTGATGGATTTTTCACAACACCTGAAATTAAGCTATATAAAAAATGTAACTTGTAAAAATTAGAATCAAACTTAACTTAAAAAAGTTCGTTTGATTTGTAATTATCGCCCTGGTTTACCGACTCGTCACGATTTTCGTTCATCAATCTATGTTCGGTGATATATAATAATGATTGTTAATAATCTGTGATCCCGTGTTTCGTCTATAATCCGTGCTTTCATTTTTCAAAAACATCGCAACAATCGTGGTGGTTAACAAAGAAATAAGTTTGCAATATGTCGATGCGCCCGGATGATTACGGAAGAAAATTGGACCGCGAGGAATGCGAGAAACTGTCCGAAGAGCGCAAAAGGGCCGAGAAGGATTTAAAGGAAGAGTCCGAAAACAAGAAAAAAGGGACCAATCCCCATTCAACCATAGTGGGTGAGGATGTGTACATGCAATACATAACGAGCAAGGAGGAAGACAACAAGCCGGAAGATGATGGGATCGACAAACTCAAAGGTAATAAATGTTTAATCTTTGTACAAGTCACGAGTGTCCAATATTTCACCAGGCATGCTGGGCAAAACCATGTTCAAGTGTCGCACGTGCAGCGGGGACCACTGGACTTCAAAATGTCCATGGAAAGACACCATGGTCGCTGGAGGTAAAATACCAGATGACAAGAAGCCAGCCGCTACTATGTGCGCTGGCGAGGCGGCTAAAGCAGGCTCCAAGTATGTGCCTCCCAGTTTAAGGGAAGGGGCTTCGAAAAGAACAGATTCAACTATGGGTAGACGTGCCGTTATTCGCATAGCAAACTTAAGTGGATCAACCACGGAAACGGATCTGCAAGAGCTGGTTAAACTATTTGGGCCTATTCACAAGTTCTTTATGGCTAAAGATAAAGTGACTGGTGTCTGTAAAGGGTTCGCTTATATTCACTTTAAGTTCAGGAATGATGCAGCCCTTGCTATAAACAGTCTAGATGGCCGCAGTTACGATCATCGTATCCTCAATGTGAATTGGTCCAGGCCACAGAATAACTAATTTTTTTGATTTTAATTCCATCTTAATAAGCTAATAAATGGAAATTTTATTATTTGCGATTATTCTTGGTTACCTGCAATTCTGATTTGATCAAAGTGTAGTTACGAACAAATAAGTTCTGTCAAGGTTTCTGATATGGGGTTTAGAGTCCTGCATGAGCATGGACAAATTTCTCCCAAAGCAAAAACAAAAACAAATTTAAAGGTTATTTTTAAGATAAGATTCATCTAAAATTAATATAAGACTTCTTGACTGCATTTTAATTGCTAGAAGTAAACAATTATTTGGTTATTTTCTTTTGTTAAGTTGATAAAAAAGAGAGAAGAGATAATTAAAAATATGTGCTTGAAAGAGAGCCGATTTAAAAATTTGTAATAACGTCATGCATTTTGTCAAAAAAAAGTACGTTCCCTGATTTTGCTAGTGGTCAAAGTAATTTTTTGCAAGCTGAGAAGAAATGTTGGTTATAGTTTCTTTTTTATATGTTAATATGTGGCCAAGAAATTCCTACAGACGTAGGTTATGGGCGAATGGCCATAGTATCCTTTACTTGTCTGAAAAGCAAAGAAGAAGATTTTCCCCGATTATTACATATTAAACGTTAATAAGTCGGTTGGTAAAGCGTTAGACCTGCCAACTCAACTTACCGGAGGTTGTGGGTTCGATTCTCACCGGGTATCTTGGGTGTTGTAATCGTTAAATAAAAATTTGTTTATAAGTTATAACTTGGTTGTAACCTGGCCGAATTTCCTTATGAAGCGGTCGCCAAATAAAACGTAATTTAAAAAAAACGTTGCTAATTAACAGTGACAATTTCATTACACTGTGTTGAACAAAAATATCATGTTATCTTGAGAATATTAATTCAATGTTCGCTGCTGCTTAAAGTTTTAATTTCACTTTTAAGGGTAACATTATTTAAAAAATATTGTAATTTACAATCTATTTACCTGTTGTATCTTTTCTCGGAATTCATTAAAGCTTTTCGAAATAATTCTGGGGGAGAAAACAAATCAATGTTTTCGACCCACAGTGATGGATTTTTCACAACACCTGAAATTAAGCTATATAAAAAATGTAACTTGTAAAAATTAGAATCAAACTTAACTTAAAAAAGTTCGTTTGATTTGTAATTATCGCCCTGGTTTACCGACTCGTCACGATTTTCGTTCATCAATCTATGTTCGGTGATATATAATAATGATTGTTAATAATCTGTGATCCCGTGTTTCGTCTATAATCCGTGCTTTCATTTTTCAAAAACATCGCAACAATCGTGGTGGTTAACAAAGAAATAAGTTTGCAATATGTCGATGCGCCCGGATGATTACGGAAGAAAATTGGACCGCGAGGAATGCGAGAAACTGTCCGAAGAGCGCAAAAGGGCCGAGAAGGATTTAAAGGAAGAGTCCGAAAACAAGAAAAAAGGGACCAATCCCCATTCAACCATAGTGGGTGAGGATGTGTACATGCAATACATAACGAGCAAGGAGGAAGACAACAAGCCGGAAGATGATGGGATCGACAAACTCAAAGGTAATAAATGTTTAATCTTTGTACAAGTCACGAGTGTCCAATATTTCACCAGGCATGCTGGGCAAAACCATGTTCAAGTGTCGCACGTGCAGCGGGGACCACTGGACTTCAAAATGTCCATGGAAAGACACCATGGTCGCTGGAGGTAAAATACCAGATGACAAGAAGCCAGCCGCTACTATGTGCGCTGGCGAGGCGGCTAAAGCAGGCTCCAAGTATGTGCCTCCCAGTTTAAGGGAAGGGGCTTCGAAAAGAACAGATTCAACTATGGGTAGACGTGCCGTTATTCGCATAGCAAACTTAAGTGGATCAACCACGGAAACGGATCTGCAAGAGCTGGTTAAACTATTTGGGCCTATTCACAAGTTCTTTATGGCTAAAGATAAAGTGACTGGTGTCTGTAAAGGGTTCGCTTATATTCACTTTAAGTTCAGGAATGATGCAGCCCTTGCTATAAACAGTCTAGATGGCCGCAGTTACGATCATCGTATCCTCAATGTGAATTGGTCCAGGCCACAGAATAACTAATTTTTTTGATTTTAATTCCATCTTAATAAGCTAATAAATGGAAATTTTATTATTTGCGATTATTCTTGGTTACCTGCAATTCTGATTTGATCAAAGTGTAGTTACGAACAAATAAGTTCTGTCAAGGTTTCTGATATGGGGTTTAGAGTCCTGCATGAGCATGGACAAATTTCTCCCAAAGCAAAAACAAAAACAAATTTAAAGGTTATTTTTAAGATAAGATTCATCTAAAATTAATATAAGACTTCTTGACTGCATTTTAATTGCTAGAAGTAAACAATTATTTGGTTATTTTCTTTTGTTAAGTTGATAAAAAAAAGAGAAGAGATAATTAAAAATATGTGCTTGAAAGAGAGCCGATTTAAAAATTTGTAATAACGTCATGCATTTTGTCAAAAAAAAGTACGTTCCCTGATTTTGCTAGTGGTCAAAGTAATTTTTTGCAAGCTGAGAAGAAATGTTGGTTATAGTTTCTTTTTTATATGTTAATATGTGGCCAAGAAATTCCTACAGACGTAGGTTATGGGCGAATGGCCATAGTATCCTTTACTTGTCTGAAAAGCAAAGAAGAAGATTTTCCCCGATTATTACATATTAAACGTTAATAAGTCGGTTGGTAAAGCGTTAGACCTGCCAACTCAACTTACCGGAGGTTGTGGGTTCGATTCTCACCGGGTATCTTGGGTGTTGTAATCGTTAAATAAAAATTTGTTTATAAGTTATAACTTGGTTGTAACCTGGCCGAATTTCCTTATGAAGCGGTCGCCAAATAAAACGTAATTTAAAAAAAACGTTGCTAATTAACAGTGACAATTTCATTACACTGTGTTGAACAAAAATATCATGTTATCTTGAGAATATTAATTCAATGTTCGCTGCTGCTTAAAGTTTTAATTTCATTTTTAAGGGTAACATTATTTAAAAAATATTGTAATTTACAATCTATTTACCTGTTGTATCTTTTCTCGGAATTCATTAAAGCTTTTCGAAATAATTCTGGGGGAGAAAACAAATCAATGTTTTCGACCCACAGTGATGGATTTTTCACAACACCCGAAATTAAGCTATATAAAAAATGTAACTTGTAAAAATTAGAATCAAACTTAACTTAAAAAAGTTCGTTTGATTTGTAATTATCGACCTGGTTTACCGACTCGTCACGATTTTCGTTCATCAATCTATGTTCGGTGATATATAATAATGATTGTTAATAATCTGTGATCCCATGTTTCGTCTATAATCCGTGCTTTCATTTTTCAAAAACATCACAACAATCGTGGTGGTTAACAAAGAAATAAGTTTGAATATGTCGATGCGCCCGGATGATCACAGAAGAAAATGGAATCGCGAGGAATACGAGAAACTGGCCGAAGAGCGCAAAAGGGCCGAGAAGGATTTAAAAGAAGAGTCCGAAAACAAGAAAAAAGGGCCGCCAGTAAAGAGAGAGCTGCTGAAAACTCGAGAATACAAAGTGGATTTGGATTCCAAGCTTGGGAAGAGCATCGTTATAAACAAAAATACGCCGACCTCGCAATCTGGCGGTTATTATTGCAATGTTTGTGACTGTGTCGTTAAAGATTCTATCAATTTTTTGGATCACATCAATGGAAAGAAACATCAGAGGAATCTTGGCATGTCGATGAAAATAGAACGTAGCTCATTGGACGCAGTTAAAAAACGATTTGAACTGAACAAAAAGAAAATGGAAGAGAAGAAAAAGGAATATGATCTGCATTCGCGCCTAGGTGAGATTGCGGAAGAAGAGGAACGGCTGAAGGAATATAGGAAAGAGAAACGGAAGGAAAAGAGAAAAATTGAAGAAAGTTTAGAGGAGCCCTCAGATGTACCTGACGAACTGGCGAGTATTATGGGCTTTTCGGGTTTTGGCACTTCCAAAAAGAAAAAGTAACCATTTGGTGCCTAATATTATTAGATTTTGTTTTATTATTGAATGGTAGTGAAAGTAAAATACAAAGATATATATGTATAATTGCATTGTTTTATTAGGTAATCATGAAATGCGAATAATAAAGCTGGTAACCTAATTTTAATTATTGATTTAATTTTATAAAAAATTGGTTATTTTTTATTTTACCTTTAATATATGACAAAATATAGGATACCTGACACAGTGAAAGTTACAAATTGCATAAAATTAAATTCTTCCTGGCTCGAACATCCCTAAAAAGAAAATGGAGAGGGTAATGTTTTTTAGATCTGGTCATTGTTAGGGTTGCCACATTTGCTTAATCTGCACTAAAAAAAATAGTTTTCGGTTATTAAAAAGCGTCTGGGCTACCCGTGATCTCGCTCCCTGATTTTTCTTAGTTTTTGGTACTTTGGGTTTTGATGTACCTGTTAAAGACAGTTGTCTGTGAGTACTGATTAAGGATATCACTTTAGGAGCCAAGGTCACGAGCTAATTGTGTTTATTACGATAAAACGATAGAGAAAGTAATAATTCCAAATGCAAAGCTCATGCATGAACCACAGTGATTTGGCACAGACTACTAAATTGTATTCTGTGTTTTTGGTCCGTCAAAACTGACCGCAAAGTTTTCTCAATATTTAAAAAAAAAAAAAATCGATCCTACCGTATTTTTAGTGAGTTGTTTCATATATTTCTCGGGCATGGCATCTCTAACGGTGGGATTAGATTTTACATTGCACTTTACCGTTAAAACGCAATCGATCGTATCGACCATAATTTCCTTTAAGGTTTTTGCGGCGCTTATCCCGCATACCTTGGCGGTTTTTACGAAATAACAATCGGTTATGGATTTATATTGCCTGAAACGATCAGAGTTCAATCGAAAAACTTTTTAGATGGTGCACGTCATACTTGCACACTCGATTTTTATCTTCGTCTTCATTCCAGTCGGCTGGACCGTCGCACGAATCGTAATCTCTGTTTAGATCGTGGAAGCACGCGTAAAAAGTGTCGAATTCTGAATACCATATTCTGTGATTATTATAGGTTTCGTGTTCTATGATTATTACGTACTTCTATAAAATTTCAAGTTTTTGCATAACTTCTCGTCCATAGAACGAAGTCCGTATATAAGGTTTAAATACAACCCGACCGGCAACGAACAATTTTTTAGATACCTGTCGACTCTCCTCAAGTTATTCTCGATAGTTCTATAAGGAGCAGTTCCCGTGAATCGTAAATTTCGACGTACTTTTTTTCCACTGTCTACGTTAATATTACCTGCACGCCGAATCGAAGTCGTTTATCGCAATTCCCACTATACTTTCGGGATTTGTGATTTGAAAGTCGGCCAGATACGTTACGAGGACGTTGTCGTCGCACTGCGGCTTCTTGGAACTTTCCCGGGTGTCCCTGACGTGCCTCACTTCGTCTTCCAAGAAATATTGGGGCCGATAAAACTTTTCGCCCTCTGAAACCCATTTAGTGCATATTGAAGTCCAAATTTTCCAAAGTTGTACCACTTATCGACGCAATGACAAAGATAAATATGTATGGCGATTTAAGCATGGGGAAAGAAAAGATTTGACTTTGATTTGACACGGATAAGTATGATGACAATTGGACTGTTCATTAAATAACACGCCAATTTATTTGCCACATGAAATGTCTTTAATTGTTTAAATTGTTATAGTTCGCCGAAAGATGTATATATATAGATATTTAACTTTGTTAAATTTTTATGCAGGTCTAAACGTAGACCAACCTTGCTTGGGTTTCTCTTTCTAACCCTCAATAAATAGATTTGCAATTCCACAATGACGTTCGAGAATCGTTCTTCAGTACTTCGGCTTTGTGTAGAGTTTCATCGGCGAGATTCCTCGATTATTATTATTAAAATGTTTATTATAAATATAAATGAAGGAGTAAATTTAGCTATAAAACAATGTTAGAATATTTACAAAAAAAAAAGTTATTCTACATCAAAATAATCACTATGGTCACTGGACTCGTCCCCCACATTAATGATTTATTCTGGCACTAGTCGACTTCTGTATACATTTTTTTCTTTGATGGTTCTACACATTTTTTCTAACTAGAAGCAGATATTTTTTCTACTTTACTTTTAATTAATTCATATCCCGTCTCAAGAACTTCCAATAAGCACTTCTTTGTGTAAAAATTTTCAAAATACATATTTCCAAGCAAAAAATGACTTCTTCATTCGATGATGAATTCGTTTTTTCTTTTACCGGTAGAAATAACATAGCTTTTGTGCTCCCTTTCAGCGTTGGTCTTGCTTAATCGATGTTATACAGGTTTCGGGGGCAAATTCTTGGTGGATGGATGATGGTAACTCCGATATGTTCCTCTAACAGCGCGATATCAAAGTCGATCGATATATTGCGAAAAATTCCTACTGGCAATGGTGGTATCCGCCCGCGGCGTTGCCAGACGATCTTCGACGGCAACGTCGACTCTTGCCCCCCAACTAAATGGATTCGCTGAAACTTTTGCGTTACGTCCCAACGCGTTTACACAAAAATAACACTTTAAAATCTCCACGGGCGAAATCGGCGCAGACAAACATCATTTCATCCGAAAAAGCTACGTACTCGCGGCAACGTCACAAAAAAATCAAATAGACCGCAGCGCCTCTCGCGACGATACGCCGAGCTAGTTTATTAATTGGAAAGAGCTTCTTGTATCATGTCGGAAGCGAATCAGTGAAAACTTTTCCGGAAAACTCGCGAACCTTGCAATTGCGGACCGATTCCCGGGCATCGACGATCCCCGCGGGCTTCGCCCTGGCGGTTTCTCTCTCGGCTTTGTTCGTACGATGAAACTCGTCAAATTCGTTGGCCTGTAACAATAGGCAATCCGTGTCTGGTCCATGGCAAACCGAGATTGCAAAGAAATGAATAACAATCTTCGATAAAGTGCACGGCAAGGATACGTTGAACATTAGGAAGATGTGATTACAAGTTCCCGTTACCGTTTGTGCGATTCGTGTGCCACCCGACCGTTAAACGCCGGGTTTAAGTTTCGGGTTTGTGGTGTGTTAAATGGCCGCTGACATGTATGTAAACAAAACGGGGATTCCGTCCGTGCTATTGCATTAACGTGAACGTTGATATTTCGCGTCCAGTGATGGAACCGGTGCTGCAGAGGCTCGGGGATGTCACCATTCAGAGACTTGAGAAACCCAAAGAGCCAAACAAGACGCCCCAGAGCACTGTTGAGAAACAAAGAGAGGAGAAAGAGGAAGAATCTCCAGACTACCACGAAGACGAGAGTGGCGAAGAGGACGAGTCCCCTCCTCCGGTAGATTTGAAACGGGGCTTATACGATATCGGCCGTGCCTCTTTCAAAAGGTTCAAACATGATCCCGCGGCGGGGGCGGAGAAAGCGCCGGGCTCGAACGAACATCGTTTCAGCGAAACCGAAATGTCAGATTACGATTCGGAATCGGAAATCGACTCCGAAGGGGAGCTAAACGATTTGGGTTTGGACGTGGCGGCGGCGGAGGGCCCCAAACCGAAAGACGTGGGAACGAACGGCGAGGAGGCGGCGGATAAGAGCGCCGGAGGGGGTTCGTTTTTCGAAAAATTGGTCGAGCAGGCGGCGGAAACCGGCCCTACTGTGCCGCTAGTTCCCAAGACGGAGCCAGTGGACGAGGATTACGATATCGATATTAAGGAGAAGCTCAAGGAAATGGGGGAGATTACTTTCGGAACGGTGAAGAAGGGCGACAAACTCAAAAAGACTGACACGGCGGAAAACGAAGTCGTCATTACTCCCGCGAAGAAACCAGGTTGGTGGGATTTTATTTTCTTTAAATATTAAAATCACGTAAAGTCACCTTATTCCGATCAAAATTCGGTCTCGGTTGTGGGCACTTAATTGAAACCAGGCGAAAACAGGAACACCAAATGACGTTTAGGGGAATTCTGCAGTTAGTAGGCGGGGAAATTTAAACTGTGGTCACCAAATGACATCCAGCTGCGCGGTGTTGCCAAACTTATATTTATTCAATTTAACTAGGAAATTATATAAAATATCAAAACTATTGTTAAATAAAACTGCCATTTCCAATCCAAAAAAATGATTTTAAAATATGCAGTAATAAAATTCACATCTTTGTTTTTCTTTGAACTTAGCGAGATACTCTGCCAAAACAATGTGTTTATTTTAGGTACAGCAGTTGTTGCCGTTTCAAAATTATCATGAAACCAGTATCGCTTGTGACAGTAGTACAAACAGTATGAGCAGATATTCTAATGTGACAGCTAAATGAAAATCAAATTCTTAAAGTGAATGGAGAGATTGAGGAAAAGGTTCCTCTAACTCAAAAGGGAATGATGGTGGCAGCCCTGTATGACTCCCTAGCTATGACCGCTATTTTTGTTGTTTTATACGGCTTTTCTTTAATGTCGCCCTAATAAGAAAAAGCCTACTGACGTCAGGTTAGGTGATCTGACTCACATTAGTGGGCCATTGGTGACTATCGAGTTTTCGCCTGTTTTTTTTTTTCACGTTTATCAAATGTTTTTATTTTAAATTGACTAATGAAAACTGATATCAAAACCTATTATACCTATTGAAAAAAGACAGGAGTGTTTCCTACTTACTTGGATTTACTTGTAGAATACAAAAATGGAAAAATATGACTGTTTTAAAGCTGAGACAAATTCAAATTCAAAATTGTTGGGGGCTGGATTCCAAAACTTAAGCAAAATGGATTTTAATAAATTTGGAGTCAATACAAGGGCTTTTCCTAGATTATCAAACGCGCGATGAAAGAGATGCTAACCTAAAATTTGAATAAAAGAATTTAAAACTCATACTCGGTTTTTAAGACGTCCTTGTCCCTTAAAGCATTCTTGGAATGAATTACATTTAAAGGACGGTTTAAGCAACAAGGAACCACTATAAATTTGACCCTCAAGTCTGTTATTAAAAATAATTAATAATTATTATAAAAATACCGCTACAAAACATTGCTAAAAAGAAACATTTGAAATAAATATTATTTTTTAAGTAAATATTCCTGCACAAGCAGTAAAATGTTCAAATCTCCCTTTCTTCTGCTCTCTTATCGAGATTTTCAGTTGACTTTGGTATCGAGTAATAATATATTTAATTGCTGAAATCGAAGGTATAGTTGTAGCAGTAAAATACCACTTAATTATGGTTATTTTTTCTTCCATCGAGTAACCCGTATTTAGCTTTAATTAAAGCGCGTTTAATAACGTATAACAAATAAAAATATTGTTATTCTCACGAATTTTCGTATTGTCATTGTCAAAATATAATTTACTGGTGTTTGATTTATTATGTATTATAACATTTTTCTAATTTTGCCATCACATTTAATTCAATGACTGAAGATTGGTTGATTAAAATTTATTCAAACGTACCGTGCGTTCAATTTATCTTATACGTCACATGGAAAAAAAAACTTGGCTACTAACGCTACTTTTTCTTTTTTTTTGTTCACCTTGAAATCTCTAAAAACAAAATAGTTACATTCCAATTAAAATGTTTTCCAGATGAATTCAACAGCAATAGTTGGGCATCTAAAATTTTACATGGAAACCTACTTTTATGTGCACTATACCTTTTTTTTTTCGCTAACGAATCCGCAGCCGAGTGTTTTTTCGCAACACCCTGTACGAGTTCGATTAACCACGATTTTTTTTTGTTTAAATCAAACTTATACAGGTAGCGTCGAGGAAGAGGTGACCTTGACTGGGGGCAAGGGCAACCTGCGGCGCAACATCCGCGAGGTGATGGACGAGACGAAACTCGACGAGTCGACGCTGGCAGCGCAGCGCCAAGAGGCGGAGCGTCTGAGACGCGTGCAGGAACAGCAGCGGATCCTGCGCGAGTTCCAACGGCAGGCGCAGCAGGAGAAGATGCAGCAACGGGTCTTGTCGTTGTTGCAGGGCAACAATTTCTCGAAAGCGGGCACGTCGAATCAGACTAGGATCGGCAACACCGTTCTCGTGAAGTTGCCGAACGGTCAGACTAAACCGATGACGAAACTGCCGAAACGTCCGCCGTACGAGATGATGCGCGCCCCCAGACCGGACATGATCATCGGACAGCCTTACCCGCCGCTGATGGGCGCGCCGAGGGGGCACCCGAGGGGCTTCGCGCCCCACCGGAAACCCGGCCCTCAGCTGACGCCCTCCGTGAGCATCGCGCCTGTCGCCAAGAGGCCCCCCTTCGCAATGCCGAGACCCCAGAGCGACAGCGACAGCGACGGCGACGACACCAAACCGATGTCGTCATCGTCTTCACCTCCACCGTCCAGGCCCAAAGGTAGGACAAAGGCAGTCGAAGGTTAGCATACTCGCACGCTCCTGATTTGTCATTCTATTTTATCTCAAAAACTTGGCAGCACAACTTGTTGTATAAATTTTTTTTTATAGAAACAGTTGTATTAAGTATCAAATAAAAGATTTTTGTAAATTGTAAATGGCGCTATATCCGTCTTAAAAAGGGAACAACAATATTTTCTAACAAGATAACTGCTCTAATAATAAATTAATTTCAACTTTAAAAAAATCAGTAAAATTAGTTATGTTCGGAAATAAGATAAGTATAAAAAATTTCGTAGCAAGGCTATAATACAAAGAATCTATAAGTTATTTATATCTCTATTACCGAAAAGAATATTTTCATCTAACAAAGTAAACTAACCAAAACTATCAATAATTTCTCAGGATATTCAAGACAATACCGTTGCCTAATAAATATATTTGTAAATGATGCAAGTCTCCCTTTCGATACGGCGATCAATTTCTCCTTTGACGTACGCCACTTGGCGAAGGCTGGTCGCTAACTATTAAAAAAGTGCCAGTATTCACTGAAATTTTGTTTGGATATAAGACAATCCACAATTTAGTAAAAAAAACTCTAGCTAGGGAAAAAGATTTAAAAAGAAAGGTTGCATTAAGCATAAAATAAAAGATTTTTGTAAAGAGGGAATTAATTATATCGCTATTAAAAAAGAAACAAGAATATTTTCTAACGAATTTCGCAGATCATTAAAAGAAACTACTCTAATAGTGAATGAATTTTAACTTTAAAAAACAATAAAATTAAGTATGCTCTGAAATAAGTATTGAAAATTTCGTAGCAATGATATATGATGATATATAAGAAGAAAAAGTTAATCCAGTAAATATCAACATATAGGATCAATTTCTCAGGATATTCAAGCAAATATTCACCCCAATATTTATAAAAGTGAAATATAATGATAACATAAACATACAGTAACATTTTTTGTGAAAATTTATATCTGCATATTAAAAAAATACATTCTTACAAAAAAGATTTACTACTAGTGAGAAGAGAGATTTCGTAACAATGCTCTCATAAAAAGACTTAATCTATTATATCGCTATATGTGTAAAAAAATCCGATAATATTTTCTTCTGTTACAGGAAAACTCAAAAATTTCACAGAACATTACATAAATAAAACTCCACAATAAAGATATCCATAAAAAAGCAAGCTAATTATAACTTAACTTTAGGAAAACGCCTACAAACATATTCTTTTAAAAAATCAGTAGTATTAAAAATCAATAAAATAATTCTAATTTAAAATGAATCAAGTTAATAATAAAAAAGTAAAGGAATTCATTACATCTCTATTAATCTTTTCTCTCTCAAAGTTGACCTCCAAAAATTTCCCAGGATATTAAAAAAAACTTACTTAAGATCAATCAATAGCGGCAAGGAGGCCCACTTCAAAAATTAACCAATTTTTTTTTGTTATTATGATTATAAATTTTGGTTTGTTAGGGTAAAATGGACCGCTTAAAAATTCGTTAAAACGCTATTGCATATTATTTTAACCCTATCATAATTAATTTATTGAAAGTGTTATTTTTTTGGATAATTCTATAGATTTAGCCTAAAGCCAAAACTCTTGAGAATCTTATTAACACCTATAACAAATTTTTTAATCTAGAGAAACATAGTTACTAAGTAGTAACGTTTTTTTTTTAATAAATACTTTTTTGAGATAACGCGCGGTGTTTGTTGATTGGAATTGAATAAATTAAATAAACGTTGAACCGCGCAGGCAAAGAAGCCCCGCCCACTCAGACGATCGACATATCGTCCGACGACGATTGCATCGTGGTATCGGAGTCGGAGGGCGACCAGGGCGGCGACGACGACGACCAAGACGACCCGAGCAACTCGGGCATGCACACCAACGACGAGTTCAATCAGCCCGACGAACGGGGTCGGGTGCTCGTCAACGTGGGACACGCGGAGGATGAGCCCGACGTTTTCGTGGCGCCTCAAATCGCGAGGATCATCAAACCTCATCAGATAGGCGGCGTCCGCTTCCTCTACGATAATCTGGTGGAGAGTATCAACAGGTAGGCGGAGCGCTTTGTAAAGTTGCCCATTGCCACTGTTCCGTTTTATGCGGCAGATTCGACAGTTCGACGGGTTTCGGTTGCATCCTCGCGCATTCGATGGGTCTCGGCAAAACGCTCCAGATCGTCACCTTCTCCGACGTGTTCCTGCGTTACACGCCCGCCAAAACGATCCTGTGCATCATGCCGATCAACACGCTGCAAAACTGGCTCGCCGAGTTCAACATGTGGACGCCGACCGAGGAGGTGGCGCCCTCTAGCCCGCTGAACGCTCACGGCGAAGTCAGGCCGCGCAACTTCAACCTGCACGTGCTCAACGACAGCCACAAGACGTTGCTCGCCCGCTCGAAGGTCATCCACGTGTGGAAGGAGCAAGGGGGCGTGTTGCTCATCGGCTACGAGCAGTTCCGCTTGCTGAGCATGCGCAAGCATCCACGCACGAAACGGAAATCGCTGCTGATGGAGCAGCAGCGCGACAACGATAAGAACAAGATTCTGTTCGACGGTAGGCGTGGTCGGCGGGCGGGGCTAGGCGGGACGCGCGTAACCGTTTGGTGGTTTGTAGAGATCTACACGTCGCTGGTGAACCCGGGGCCGGATCTGGTGATATGCGACGAGGGGCACCGCATCAAGAACTCGCACGCTTCGATATCGTCTGCGTTGAAGCAGCTCCGCACCAAGCGGCGTGTCGTCTTGACCGGCTACCCGTTGCAGAACAACCTCACCGAGTACTGGTGCATGGTGGACTTCGTCCGGCCTAATTACTTGGGTGGGTTTCGAATACCTCGCCTATTTATATATCCTTTTTATGCGTTACTTATACAGAGGGTGGGATTGCTTGGTTAATAATTACTGTCGAGCACGAACGTAGTCGGTCAATGTTCTACCTTTGTGGCTGCCCAGTGAGCGGATTAATTTACGCAGGAAATGGTCTAAAATGCGAGGTGTTAAAAATTACACAACAAACTTGCTGTTTACTGTAGATATATATTTTTTTTTTAATAAAAATGTAGATGATATAAGGCACGATGATACTGCAGGAGTGTCTGTTTGGAAGACAGTTACCAAAAAAAAAAAAAAATGGATCAGTTGCGTAACACATACAGAAAATGTAATAAAATAATACTGAGCAAAAGAGAATACAATATAATTTTTATATATTAGGATACCACCATTCGTTGCTTTCGAAAAATCGATGAAATCGAGATCTCGGTAATGGTGGAGGGCCGCCGTTGGTACAGAAATGATAAGCGTCGAAAAAATAAAACGGAACATTTTATATAAATATTTAAGAACCACATTTAATGTTTCAAATAATCGGTCATTTTCTTTTTTAGTATGCCAATATGCATCTTGTACTTTGGCTTGCATTTTCACCATTTTGAGAAGGGCATCTTCCTCATGATACATAAAAAAATTCTCTACTAGCTTGTTGAATAGTTGGTGGTGGTCCCAGATCAACTTCTTCATCTTCTTCTTCCTCTTGGTGCTCTTCCTCACCCTTTCTTGCTTCTTGTTATATGGCTTCCTCTGTCAAATCTGCTGTTGTAGGCAAATCCTGATCTATCACCATGAAATCTTGCAACTCCTCACTTGTAAACGTAATTGTTGTTTGATACTGCTTTATCCATTCACTTAGTGGCTGATTATCTTCCAAGTAATGTTTGCATTCCGTCTCGGTAATAAGTCCTGCATGACGATGGGAGTGTTGAATTGTTTCTGCTGTCACGTCTTTCCAAGCTTTACTAATAAAGTTGACTGCATCTAGCATATTAATGGAAAATTTGTCTTCGGACTCGATCATTTCCATTAAAATGTTTTTCCTGTATCGACTCTTAAGACTTTTTATTGCGCTCTGGTCCATCGGGTGTAATACACTTGTTGTTTTGGCTGGAAGAGATGCCATTTCAATATTCCGTAGATTTGGTATGTGGGGATGTGCAGGGCAGTTATTTAAGAAAAATAATATTTTCCTCCCCTTTAATTCTGCATCCCATTTCCATATTTCCTCTTCAAAAATTTGAGATGTCATCCATGCAGACTTGTTTGCATTGTAAGTGACACGGTTATAAGTTCTTAGAAGGTTTTCCACCCACACACTTGTCGCTTCGAAATTTAAGAGTTTTCTCTGGCGTCATTTTGTAAAAAGTGCCAGTTTCGTCAGCATTAAAAATGTCGACTTTTCTGCTAGTTTTTAGAACGCTTTCTCCAGCCAATCGTTAGTGATGTTTCTGTGGACATCATGGGCTTCGCCACTTATCTGGCCATAGTTTCCACTATGCCTCTGTTTGAACTTCCCCAATCATCCTTCCGAAGCCTTGAAATCGATAATGCTAAGCTATTCAGCAAACTTAGGTCCAGAGAGTGGTATATCTTTCAAGACGTTGCTGTTGAAGCCACTGCAACATTGGCCGATCCAAATCTTTAAATTTTGTTTTTTCACTAAAACTGCCTGCCGCTTCAGCCTGAATGATTTTTTCTTTGCACTTGTAAGTCCGTATTGACGTCCCACATCACTTTTCTTTTCTCCCCGTTCTATCTCCTCCTCGTCCTCCTTCTAAAATTATAGCAACTCTATCATCTAGAGATAAAATTTTTCGCTTGCTCGCCATGCTCAAAGATGGTTTGCCGCCTATACAGCAACATACGAGCCCAAAGGGTTAAACCCTGTATCTCAAAAGTTAAGACAATTGAAAAACACCCTTTATTACTTGTTGACGAACGAGATTGATGATTTGCGTCCATCCCCAACTAAAGGTACCAAAACAGAGTTCCTCAACATGTTCGAGCGGCCGATCATGAACGGACAGTGCATCGACTCGACGGAGGCGGACATCAAACTGATGCGTTACCGCGCCCACGTGCTCCACTCCCTGCTGGTGGGGTTCGTGCAGCGACGCTCCCACCTCGTCCTGCAGTCCGCGCTGCCGCAGAAAGAGGAGTACGTCCTGCTGGTGCGCATGACGCAGTTCCAACGGAAACTGTACGACACGTTCATGAACGAGGTGGTACGGAAACAGGCGGTGCCCAATCCTCTCAAAGCGTTCGCGGTGTGCTGCAAAATATGGAACCATCCGGACGTGCTGTACAATTTCCTGACGAAACGGGCTCGCGGAGAGGCGGTCGATTTGGACCTCGAGGAGGTCGCCAGCACCGTCAGCGGTAAGTGTACAGGGTTATTCATTATATTCTGACACCCACCGGCAGGGTTAAAGTTGAAAGATAGAAAAAAAAGTGTAAATTCAAAAGCTCGAGGATTTTTGCTCTATTGTCTTATGCAAATGGCAGAAAAAACAAACGACGATCGCAAGCTGTCAAAATGACAGCAGTATATTTTTTTAAATCGTAGATCTTTCTTTCCTGGCTTATTGATATTTGGTTTACCCGTTTTTGAGATATTTCAGTTTAACAATAATTATGATTCGATTTCTGGACAATAGCAATATTGTTTAAAAATTTTCAAGTCTGCCTTGATAGCAACCATATTATCTATGTTTGCAATTGTTTTAACAATGTTCTACGGTTGACGACTAATCAAAAAATTATATTATTCAAACGGAGATAATGTTGTCATACACAACAGCTCAAATCACCCTTATACACACAAAATGGCTGCATTTCACTCTTTTATACACAGACTTCTTAATACGCCACTCACAACAGAAAATTACAACAAAGAACTTAATATCATTAAACAAATTGCACTGAACAACGGCTACAATCCGTCCATTATCGATAAAATTACAAATAAAAACAACAGTAAACTCTATTTATCCGAAACCTAATACAGAACACGAACAATTTAAAACAATTACATACATAGGAGAACCCAGTGAAAAAGTTTCAAAAAATTCGTCAAAATGTGGTTTAAAAATAGCTTTCAGAACTAACAACACGATAGGAAAATTTTTAAAAAACAATAAAACGAAGTGTCCAAAATCTCAAAAATCGGGTGTCTACAGGTTGAAATGCGGATCATGTCCTAAAATTTATATTGGACAAACAGGTCTATCCTTCAATTTTGATATTTTACATACAGCCACAAAAAGCAGAAAATTAAATTTATTGGAAGCCATGGAGATTAACAAAATGAGACATTCAAATGTATTGCTTAACGTTCAATTTGATTTGAAATATCTCAAAAACTATATGTTTTTGAAATCTGGGAAAGAAAATCTACAATTGAAGCTAATATATAAGGCATTCCATTAAAAAAAAATGATGTCGATGTCATTTTGACAGCTTGCGATCGTCGTTTGTTTTTTCTGACATTTGCATAAGATAATAGAGTAAAAATCTTGAAACTTATATATTTACACTTTTTTTCCTATCTTTCAAAATTAACCGTGCAGGTGGGTGTCAAAATATAATGAATAACACAGTACAGACTACTTCTCGACTAACATTTTTTCTTTTATAATGGTAACGGTTACGTATTAAATTAATTTATAGATTAATTAAAATTTAAAATTATTTGTTTATTATTAAAATCTAAACTATAAATATAAAAAAAATGTGTATTAGAAAATTATTTACTTTTTTACTTTAAAGTTAAAAATGGAGTTTTTATTTCGCAATTACTTATAGCCATCTAGTCAAAAAGTGCTGATAATTCGGATAGCTTCAGTTTTAGGCTTTTTTTGTTCTGTTGGTTATTTACGAATGTTAGAAAAATATACAGGGTGTTCCATTTAGAAATTGTATATTTTCCTAAACCATACAGTCAATGGTTTTTCTGTTTTCACCGTCGTAATTGAATGCGAAAGTAACCGACTTTATAATAAAGTTACCAATGATAAACACTTAATTTAGTTTGTATTTAATTTTTTTACAAATTTTTAGCCTCTTGCATTTAAGAAAACAAATACTAAAAATTATAACCTCAAAAGATATTGCGGCCTTCTACATGAAAAGTTAGTTTTATTTATTTATTTATTCACAACCAAGCAGCAGCAAGCAGTTAACGCGATGAGGCTGACGAATAAAATTTACAATGTCTAATGTTCTGTGTATACAAATTATATATGAAAAAAATAATCCTTGTTAAAAAAAAGTATTAAATATATGTATATCTTCAATGATATCACAAAAGAGAAAAAGCAAGAAAAAGGAGTTATTGATTATAATGAGTATCTACTCTCATTAGATTAGTACTTGTTGCTGAGCATAAGTTTATTGCTTTTCTTAGGTTTTACAATATTTGGTGGGTTACAATTTGTAGGGGTTTTAATCGGTAAGCTGTAAAAGAGTAAAAGTTTTATGAGACCTTATAAATAACGGAAACATTTTGGATGCAACAAACTGTTTTTCTATTTATTATATTACGAAACTTGTAATACCAATGGTTTTCTTATAAAACTTATAAATATCCTTATAATAAAATCTTCATCTGCGAAAAATGTTAGTTGGGTACGAGGCGGAGGCGGGGCTTATCGACGTCCGTTTTTTTCTTGCCTCAGGGGTGTCTAGTATCGACGCGAAACCGAAACGCGCCGCTCCCCGACCCCGCAAGACCCCCGTCAAAGGCAGGAACGGCAAACCGGCTGCCTCCGTCACCCCGTACAGCAGCAATTCGGAACAGCAGATGATGCAGCCGCCCCTGTCGAGCTCGGTACCGGTCAACCCTCAGGCGACGACGAAAGAATCTCAATTCGGTGCCGGCGGTTTCAATCAGCCGCGCACCAGTTTCGAGGGTATCTCGCAACTGTTCGAGGATAACGCCCCGCCCCCCGCTCAGACCTACTACGACCAGCAGCAGTTCCCCGCGAACGCGCCTCAGTTCTCCGAGTCCGCGTTTCCCGGTCCGGAGAGTAGTTTCCAGGAGACGAATGACTCGATGGGCTCGAGCCAGACGAGCCTACTGAACCTCGACAACCAGACGGTAACGACTACCAAAACGGGCGGCGTGAATATCCCGGGATTCGCCGGATTGCCGTCCGGCATCAGTCTGAGACCGGCCGCGAGTACTGCCACCTCGGGAACGGCGCAGACCGCGGGTCGTACCAGTCAGCAAACTGTTCCCAGTTTCGCCAACCTACCGTCGGGGATATCTCTGACGCCGGTCGGCGCTAATAGGGGCGGGACCGGGTTCGCGAAAGGGGCGGACCCGGTGCCCTCGGCTTACGGGCCCGCACAACGCAATGACTACGAGCCGCCACCGGCACCGCCTCAAAACAATATGAGGTGAGGTTTTTTTTATTACTGATGACGCCCGGTGAACGGACCATCTTAAAATGTCGAAGGTTCAATGTTCAATGTTCAAATGTCAAATAAAAAAACGATAAATATTATATAGATGTTTCGTCGTTTGCTTTTCGTGATTTTTACATCGAATTAGGGAGACTAGATACAGTGGAAACTCCCATAACCGGACACTCACGGTTTCTCTAGTTTTGTCCGCTTAGTACAGGTGTCCGCCCAGTAGAACTTCAAAAAGTGCCAAGAAGGGTCAAATACCTAATGCCATTTTAAAATATATGTTGTTATTTAACATATATTGCTGGCTTCTATTAAAGCAACAAAATGTAAAATCCTTTGTAATCCCTGAACAAATCAGAACTTTATGCCTATATTTGATGAACGCTAGGTTCGACAATTTGGCTAATATCACCAATCAATGTAAATATCCACTTGATTGCTCCTAGAACTCAAATCTACTAGTTCTACAAGAATCTTCGATCGCCTGTCTACCTCTGCATCAAGGTACATACGCCTGCTGCATTTTGAAAATTACGTTAACATAATCGAAATATCATAATACCTATATGGTTTCAGTGATGGAGTATAATGTACATTTTACTAATAATTTTTTAACCTTGTCACAAGTCTTTCGGTCTCTTTTCTCTTGTACATGCTTCCCTCAATCAACTCTTAAAATTCCCATTTTATATTTGGTCCTCAAAGTCTGGTTGTGTTGTCCTTTCCTTAAAATGAATACACCATTATCTTTAACCACACATGGAAAATGATGTTTTTGAGCTACTATAAAATATTAAATCAATTTTACCTAGTCTCGTTACACCTTTTCAGTGTATAATACATAAAGCCGTCCTGGAAAATTATTTTTTGAGGGGCTTTGTTCGTGTTCTGCATTTTAACCCGCCTACCCTACGAATTTACGACGTAAAAAATTAACTGATTTCCCACTTAAAAAAGTAATAAAATGTTATAACCCAAAAAAATCTGGTTATTTATCACCCTATTACGTATAATTTTGTCTGTACGTCACGTCTCAGCTGTGATCTCACATGTACTTTTCGACATTGTGAACATTCGACACTTTGCTACCATCTCACGATGAACACGTGGTTTTTGTCCAGCGGCTACAACACTATAGACGCTAACGCTTACCCGGACAACTACCAGCGCCCGAATTATTGGGAGCAGCCCCAACAAACCGCCCCTCAGCAGCAGCAACAACAGCAGCAGGGGAGTAGCTTCTTCAACGAGTTCACGCCCAGTCCCCAGTTCAATCCCAGCGTAAACAACACAAACGCGAACCATCCGTGGATCAAACGGGATGAGGGAGGTTCGGTTCCGAAAATGAGCCCGATTAAAAGCGAAACCAGCAACGATTCGAAACCCAAGATCAACATCATCAGCGACATCAAACTGCCTCCCGTCTTCAGCCCGTTCGCGGAGAAAAAGATCAATATCATCAGCGACATCAAGATCGAGCCGAAGAAAGAGGAGGGCGACGACAAGTACGGCGTGAAGAAGGAGCTGGAGAAGATCAAGAACGATCTGAAGAACGAGCTGAAGATAGAGGAGGATTCGGTGAAGGCGCCGGTCGTCGAGTCCCCCCTGACGAAGCTGTCGCCGCCCCTCACGCCGGTCAAGGACTCCAAGGAGGACGGCGGCATCCCCTACGATTGGGTGAGTACAGGTTGTAATTTGGTTCGTTAGCTCGCTTGCTAAATACCACCTCGTCATATTAGATTTTGGTTAAAAATATTAAAAAAAAAATTACTAGTCAAAATTTGACAGGGTCTTAAAGAATATGTTGTTGATGTATCACAAAAAATGAATTTGGACCCCTTTATTTTTATATTAAGTTATAAAAATTAGGCAAAAATAATTTATTCAAAATTTCTTGTTGAATGGCTGGTCCATTATGGGCAGCTGTATAGCCTACGTTGAACCATTGGGTTAGGTATATACTAAATTAATGGTTCCCAAAGCGGTCCAGATGGACCCCCATGAATCTCCAGGAGACTCGATGTCTCGATGGCCGTAGAACTAACGAAACATACTACTTTCACTGTCATTGGCCTTGAAAAAAGGATGAGTTTTCCTCCCCAGTGAGAATTTAAGATATTTATAAATAATAATTAATGATTTGCATCCTGACAGCTTTAAATGAGTTTAAAAAAAGGAGTATCGAGGAAAATGGAGGACATTTGTAGTATTTAACGTTTATATATTTTTATGTAATATAATCGCTAGCCCTATTTGCATTTTTGTCACCATAAAAGGACCTTTCTTTTTTTCAAAGAAACTTCTATAGCCTACTACTGATACTAGTTACTGACTAATACTGACTTACTGACGTTTCGTCAATCATACTGTTGGGTTCTTCAGAACTTAAGTGAAACTGGCTCAGTACCTGCAATTCTTTTAAGCAACCAAACAATCTGAAGTCTTTATCTGTCACCGATATGGGAATCAGGCATCCGAGACAATGTTCACGCCCTTCCTTTAGCTCCGTTTGCTCAGTTAAGCTCTTATACAGTGTTTTCAGTTTTAAAAAATATATATTTTTTTCTATATGATCCTTTTTTGCCACATGTTTTATGTGTGTAATATTAAATCTGTACATTAAACTCTTCAACTTTTGTTTTATTTTATTTTGATAAAATGCAAAATAAAAAAATCATAAGGAGGCTATAATATTTATAATAAAAACGTACGTTCTGTGATTATTACAAATTACGGGTTGCTAATTGGGATTGTCATTTTCACTATACAGCGTTGGAGAAAAATATCAAATTGTTATTTAGAATCTTTGTCGGGGCATTATCTTAAAGGTTTCGAAATAACTTTCGACAAGCCGGCAATCTGATGTTTTTGATTGACGTTGATAGATCTTTCACATGGCCTTAAATAAAATTTCTGTTTATACATCTTTTGGATTCTTCTTGCGTCAGTTGCTTATAAATCAAACTTGTTGTCATTCTACGCTGTATCTGCTTATATATTGTTTGAGGGGGCGGAGCTAAAGGACGGGCATATTGGTGAAAGGTAAAGACCGGTTAAGTTTGTTTGATTGCTTAAAGATGTTGAGAGATTTTTTGACAATGGACACCAGTGCCTTTGAAAGGTTGTGATGAAGTGCATTTTGTCATGGAACGCTTTATATTTCTAATGTAGAAATTATCAGAAAGAAAAGCAGATGTAAGATGTGTTAATTCTAGGTTCAGTGACTCGCATTCTACACTGTATCTGTTTATATATTGTTTGAGGGGGCGGAGCTAAAGGAGGGGCATGAACATTGCCTCTGATGACTGATTCCCATATTAGTGATAGGCAAAGCCCTGAGTCATGGTTAAGATTGTTTCGTTGCTTATAGATTCCTATAGATTCTCGGATTTTGATTTGAAAAATTTATATAAAATTATATAAAAAATGAATTAGCATCAGACGTTCGTTTTTTTTTTTTTGATATAGCAATAGCAAAGATAACCATAAGTGACGTCATTACAAAAGGGAATAATTCCGACTATAACGCCGGGTCGTCTTTTTTTTTCCGTTCCAGGCGATCGAACTGTTGAAAGATTACGTGCCCGGTCGGGTCGAGAACTCGGCCAAGTTCCAGATCCTCTTCTGCATAATCAGAGAGAGTATCGCTTTGGGCGATCGGCTACTAGTGTTCAGCCAATCGCTGATCACCTTGGACCTGATCGAGCAGTTCTTGCAGTCGAGCGAGGTGCCTGGGGAGGGCGGGCCCAAGTGGGCGCGAAACGTCAGCTACTATCGACTAGACGGCTCGACGACCGCTCTCGAACGCGAGAAACTCATCAACGAGTTCAACTCGAACCCGAAGATTTACGTGTTCTTGGTGTCGACCAGGGCGGGATCGCTCGGTATCAATCTGATTGGCGCGAATCGGGTGGTCGTGCTGGACGCGTCGTGGAACCCCTGCCACGACACGCAAGCGGTATGCCGCGTCTACAGGTACGGCCAGCGGAAGCCCTGTTTCGTCTACAGGCTAGTCGTCGACAACTGCCTGGAAAAGAAGATTTACGATCGCCAGGTCAGCAAGCAAGGTACGATAATAGTTGAACTGAGGTGGCTTTTACTTGATGTAAATCCATTTAACAAAATAAATAAGAACTAAAAAATTTAATTTGTTTTGCGTTTTCGTAATATTTAAGTCTAAAAAATAAAGTTATCCTGTTCAATCTTTATAGTCAATTTTATTGATTATACCATAGAAAACTTTTACTTAAATAATGTTCTAGTACGATATTTTCTAAATTATCCATTAAAATCTCGGCTATGAAAGGACTAAGTGGGTTTCTCATAATCAAACCTTCCTTAGGGATGTAAATCTATTCATTAAATTCAAAATAATTTTGGTCTAAAAATGCTATTAAGCAATCTAATAAATCTTGTTTCGGGTTAACCTGTTTCCGAGTTAGGGTGAAATCTGGTAAATCTATCACATCCATAGATGAAATACTGGGAAATAAGTTTTGTACATAAAAAGTTAGAAGGGATTTGATTGGTTAATTCAGAAGAATCTTTTTTCTTCTTTTGAATTAATCAACCAAATTAAAGATATCACAAGCCATGGAGATTAACAAAATGACACATTCAAATTGTCACAACAACATTAATTAAGGTGTTATTGTCATTTTTCGGCATATGTAGCAGCAGGTAGTTTGTCAATATTACATTTGATACGGTGTTGTCGAAACAATTGTCATGTGAAAATATATAATTTACGTTTATGCACCTATTTTTATTAAATAGTTTAAAAGATATTTGTATATAATAAGTAAATGAAATAAGTAAATAAGTAAGTTGGTATAAAATAATATTAATTTTGAATTTGTTCTTACCTATATCAGTATCTGATAAGTAACCTAAATTTGCAACTCTTGACAAGTAAAGTAAAACAAATGAAAAATAACAGACCACTGATCGGCAACCATCTGTTAAGTCACCTACTTCTGCCAATTGGACTTAACTAAACAATTAAACACGGACTAGTTATACATAAAAAAATTACATTACGTGATATCTCATTGCTGCGAAAAATGGGCTTCCACCACTTTCAAAATAAACAGTCCATATTTTGCTAGAGAATATGCTGAAGAACCAATGGTGCCGACAATAGGTCGAAGGTGTAATCCTGGGAATGTTAGACGAGGAATTTCAGAGGCATAAGGAGTGATAGGGGTGAAGTAAAGAAGCCTTAAACCTTAAGACCAAGGCACATAACGAAACCTGTCTTATTCTTTTATTCTTATTCGATAAAAGTAAAATTCTTATACCAACGAAAAATTCGAGAATCGATAGAAATCCATTACCAACCAAACGATCTTAAAGGCGACTCAGGTCTTTACCCTTCACCAATATGGGAATCAGTCATCCGATGCGATGAACAACTATTAAGGATAGTTAGATAGATCAGAACATTAACTAATAATAATTATATTCCCGTATAATTAAAAAAAAAAATCGAAAATTCAGGTATGTCGGATCGCGTGGTCGACGAATGCAACCCTGACGCTCATCTGACCATCAAAGACGTGAGCACGCTGTGTTTCGACGACAAGTACGAGGAGGGAGAGCTAAAAGACTGGTCCTCGTTCAAAGACAACTACATCGACGTGGTGCTGCAAAAAGTGCTCGACGCGCACGGCACCACCCTCAACAAGGAACCGTTCCAGCACGAGTCGCTGCTGGTCGACCGGAAGGAGAAGCAACTGTCGCAGCAGGAGAAACGTCTCGCGAAAAAGGGCTACGAAAGAGAGAAGCAGGCGGCCAGACAACCGTCTTACATGACGGGTCCTGGGCGCGGTCACAGGCCGGTCGCGTCGGTCAGACCGATGCAGCAGGGCGAACGCCCGTCCAGGTGGATCCCCGCGGAACACTGGCAACGTCAGGGCATGACCGCGCAAGAGATGACCCTGCCCTTGGACGTGGTCATACCTACGAACCAACCGGAGAAAGGGAACATCGTGCTCAAGGCCGGCCAGAAGGTGCTGGTGCTCAAGTCGCCTAAGGGCGTCTACATGCAGCTGGAGAGCGGCAAGATCGTCGCTATCAAGACCGCCATCAAGGTAAAGGGCAAGGCGGACGATCAGCAGCAGCAGCAGCTGATGCCTCATGATCCCGCCGTCAAACCTTTACCGCCCCAGATGAAGAACAACCCTTCGTTGTCGGTGGTGCCGCAGAAACGCACGGTCAAACCTTTCGTGCCGGGCGTGGCCAAGTTCAACATGCGCAGCGTCAAACAGAGCGTGCCCAATCTGGCGTCGAGGATACAAAGCGTCACGAAGAAGGTGCAGCTGGCGAAGACCAAACCCTACAACGTGGGCAGCGAGATCGTCAGATCGTTGCAACGGGTGAGTGCGTCCGTTCAGACCGTTTATAAGGGGGCGTGGTTCAGGCGAAATTCCCTCGGAAGGGATGGGAAATAATTGCAAATCCATTGCATTGCGTGCAGGATGTTTCGACACAAATTCGGGCAAGATTTCATGTTTGAAATAAAGGGTATATATATATATATATATATATATATATATATATATATATATATATATATATATATATATATATATATATATAGCAGGGTAATTTTCTGCTAGTTTTGGCCACGTCTTCTCCAGTCAATCGTTAGTGACGTTGTTCCATCAGAAGTTGTTCAAAAAATAGTAAGCTATTTGGAAGATATTTTTTTATATATACAGGATGTCCTACGCTTAGTACAATTCTATAATGTTTCTTGTATAATATACCTAAGTCCAATAGTTTTTAAAATATATATATCTCGAAAACTATTGGATTTGGGTGTAGGACATGTTATATAAGAAATTTGCAGAATTTTAATTGGATATATAAAAATATATCTTGCAAATAGATTAGTATTGACTTTTTTTTCGCAGACGTTTAAATAAAAAAGGAATTGGGTATGCATATTAAATAGAAATAAAAACCGACACAGTCCAAACCATAATAATATATTTTTGCTTCAGGACGGGGAGGCGCGACCCAGCAGTAGCAGCGAGGACGAACACCTGGCGGCTCCTGCGGATAAACCGAGTCAGCCCGCGCAGCAGGAAACCGCCGACGAGCTGGAGAAACGCATCTCTATGCTAAAGAAAAACATATCCATCCAGAGGGTGAGCACGCAGGCGGCGAAGCAGCCGACGCCGCCGCAGCAGCAGCCGCAGCAACAGCAACAGCAGCAGTTAAAGCCCGTCCCTAACGCTCAGAGATCGCCCGCGAAAGCTGCGCAGTCTTCCGCGGAAAAGCCTCCGTCGACCGGGAAGACTAACCTCGAGCGGCTCGAGAAGACGATGCTGGAAAACACGCCTTTCCAGGTGAGACCAAATTCCGGCTCGTCGTCTTTGTACCCGATCTGCGCGGTACATTCGAACTACCCGCGACACCGCGCATCACGGCGGTACGACTCTGTGTTAAATGGCGGACATTGGGCAAAAAGTTAAAGTTCAAAATTATTTGGAAATAGTTGCGCTTCATTTCGTTTTCAAATTTTAACACGGAGAAAAACGAATGGCAGATTTCAGTTGGTGCCAAACATGTTCAATGGGATTAAATATACAGTGGTAATGTGGAAGCCTTAAAACTGTATGCCCTAGATTTTTTGCATAATTTTCACAGACGTATTCCTTTTGTAGGTTCAAGCTTTGTAGAACCTCAATTAATTGCAGTAGTTTTGGATTGTTGCTTTTGTGCCACATGAGGAAGGGGTTTTAGTCAACTGTCTAGTGTGATAACTTGTATTGTTCATTACAATGACGCTATTAGGAGGAATGTTTGGAACTAGTTTGTTTTTAAACCAACTTTCAAATAAATCAGCAGTGGTGTCTTCATGGTAATCCAGAGAAGAATCTTTAATATTTTTCGCAGACAGAGAAAGTCCATTTGGAATCCAACCATCTTTAGAGCAAGCATGTAAAATAGTTATTCTTTTACCTCTTTTTGATGGCGCGTTGGTTTTACACTTATGAGTTGAGTCAACCCAACCCTTTTCCGGGTTTCTTCCAAGTAAATAATTGGCCTTTGTTATTCTCTGTAAATCCTAATTTGTTTTAAATATTCCAGTCGCCATTTACGAATTCTAAAAGATTCCATTAAAACTTGCCCATGTGTTGAATTCACTTCCATAAGGTAGTTCTGCCACACTTAACACCGGTTTTATCTTTTTCAAGCCTCCTAATTAAGATATCTAATGTAGGCACGCTTTGTTCGTCGTATAACTGGTAAATTTTACGCCGTATTATATCTTGACCACTTTCATCTACACTCGAGAAAATGTCAGCATCGCTTCTTTTTTCCCTCGCTGAAATGGGATTATTCATAATTTTCCATACAGTTGATGTTGGAATTTTCGTCAATGTGTCAGTTTCTTCTAAAGATGCTTGCTTGCTGGCACCACGTTCAATGCAATACAATACATTGCAGAAAAAATATCAACTAGGCTCAAAGAACTTGAAGGAACCTGAAAACTACGACAAATTGGCAATTGTACACAATTACGAAACCGGGCATCAAATTTTATTCAACAACATTAAAATACTTGCACTTAATCAATTCTTCTACCAACGAAAAATCCGAGAATCTATAGAAATCCATAAGGTACCAAACACTCTTAACTGCGACTCAGGTCTTTACTTTTCACTAACATGGGATTCAATCAAGTGAAACAATATATAAGTGGGTGCAGAGTGGAAGCAATAAAGTACCTAATAAATATAAAAAAAAAAACTAACAAAAACAGTCATAACCGTTGTTCTTTTGTGAAATTCCGCACACGCTGGCAACACAGCAAGCCGCGCCTATGCGAGGTAGTCAGAAAGTGGGAATTAGAAGTAAAGATAATATATAACACTTCTCTTTCGTGCAGGAAACTCTGGAAAGTATCACGGCCAATTTCAAAAATCCGAACCGCCTCGGTCGTATGGACGATGACGACGACGACGACGAAGAGGAGGAGGAGGAGCCTGAACTGGACGACGACGAGGAAGAGGAGGAGGAGGAAGGTATCTCTGGCCTGTCGGATTCGTCGCTGATGGATCACACGGCCAAAACCGGCAACGAGCACCTAGAAGGCAGCAGCGACCAGAGCGACGAGGTGACGTACGTGTCGGAGCACGCGCCGGAGCCGAGCCCTGCCCCCCAACAGTACCACCATCATCACCAAGCCAAAACCGACCCGTCGGCCGAGTACGGTGCCCAAAACTACAACTACTACAACTACAACGTGCCACCGTATCAGGCGGCGCCGCCTCCTCAGACCTACGGGTACCCGCCGCCGCCGCAGCAGCACCCGCCCCCCTACGACATGATGGGCGGGTATCCGCCGCAGCCGCAGCCCGCCCAACCGCCCTACAGTTACGGGTACCAGACTTACCCGCCTCCGCCGCCTCCGCAGCATCACTACCCTCCGCCCCCACCGCAACCGGGCTATGACTACCAAAACGCGTACAGCGGCGGCTACAACCCATACCCGCCACAGCAGTACGCGCCGCCGCCGCCGCAGGCGATTTATCCACCGCCTCCCGGAGGCGGAGCGGCGACGCCAGCTCCGACGTCGTATCCGGACTATTCGCAATATTCCGGGCAACCGCAGCAGCAACAGGCGACATCATCGGGTTCCGGGTATTACGGCAACTCCTAAGTGTTGCGAGGACGCTTGATTTAGTGCAATTCGTGTTGGGGCGACGCGCGCCCTCTGTCTGGAATTCTGTAAGTTCCGCGTGCCGCGCAGGACGGTCGAGGACGGACGTAGCGTTTAGTATGCTTTTCTCTCCGTGTTTGGTGTATAATTTTTTTTCTATACCGGGTGTTCCTAAACGACGTGTCAATATCGAAGGGGGCACAATGGGACGACGGATGGTAGAACTGGGTTGATGTGCAAATATTTTTATGTTTAACTGATATTACCCAAAAGCTCTGTGATTATTACTGTCCGAGATATTTATTTATATATATCGAACTTATGTTCACAAGGAATTTCTAAATTAAATACTGCTTATTAACTCAGATATAGAACGTCTCCCTTATCTTTTGTAAAGTTGCCTTTGTCAATCTAGCTTGGTTTATTTGACCTCTGTACGTCAGTATCGTCCTAAATTTCTATGCTTTAAGGATACGGTGCTGTTTTGATATGCCAAACAGCTGATCGAGATCTGATTAGATAAAAATTAATTCCAGTGAACCCCTTGTATTTTTGAAGCGAAGTAGTTCATGAAGCCTCCTTCAGTATTGCCATGACATTTAGCACCGACGTGTACATTTCGTTAATTTATTTCGCCATTGCGGCGAGTTACGGGGAGGTATTTAGCGACGGACCGGCCCATAGTGATTTTTTCGTACAAGGTAGGCTCCATTTTTTTTTTCGCTGGCGAATACAGTTAATTTATACGCGACTTTTTTTAAGAAAAAATTATAGTTGATTGTTAAGCATTTATATATCAATTAAGTGTAACAGTCGTAGCGATTGTTAGCGGTAAGCATTAAAATAATTGAATTGGAAATCAGCGAGATCGTTTTATTTTCGGCGTCGGTTTCGGTCGGTTTTAATGTTCTTGGTTTATGTCGCGCCGGAATAAGAAATGAAGAAAAAGGACGTTTGAACTACTGCGCAGCGCCTATGACGGAATAAAAATAAGTTGAAGTCACTTTTGAACTACAAGGCAAAATATGTGTTTCGACATTACCCTGGGGTATTTTGGGTATACCGGCCGGAAAATCAAGCGACGGGATATTTGAACTACTGACAGGTATTTGCGGCGCACGGTTCTCTGGTGGTATTTTGGGCGTGCCGGCGATGGATTCGGACGTTTGCGCTACTGGGGGGATATTCGGCAAAAAGTAAGCTTTGATAGACCCCGGAGGTATTTCGAGCGCCGTCGAGACAAGTTTTCTTGAAATTGGGTCATGTGAACTACTGGAGGTTGGAAAACTGCCTAGTAAAGACGTTAGAAAAAAAATTAAGAGGGAGGCATATAAGTCGAATTTGTGCTAAAATAGGTGATAAAAAAAACGTTACGTTTTAAGATCAGGATTGCGATATGATTTTGCGTTTTTATTCGTATTTACAAGAATTACATTTATTTCCGTTCTCGGTGACAAAGGAGTGTCCATTCAGCTCTTCTGTTTTGTGGTTCCTAAAACCGAATAATGTAATTCATTATTAGTAGTGTAATAAAAACCTATAAATAGGTATGTGATAAAATTGATGGCATAAAATATTACCTGTTTGACTCTTACATTTTCTTTTCATCTGGAGTAACCGAGTGATGGTGTCGTCCATAAATTCGTCTACCTCGTTGGCGGGCAAATCTCTAATTTCCGAACACACATACTGGCCGAAGTAGGAGATCTTATCGGGTTTGACGCCGTTTCCACTGACGTCTTCAATCGATGCGCTTATTTTGTTCAAAATTTCCAAAAACGGATCGGCACGGTTGTGTTTTCTCTTGCCCGTGGCCATTACGGGACTACTCGCTCCCGAAGATGTGGGGCTGGCAGGGCATATAGACTTCCTTCGGCGGTTCTGGTTCGATCGACATTCTGACTCGATTTCGTCAAAAGCATTTTCAACGTGCGAGCCTGGTCCTATCCTAAAGGCCAAAACTGGTCCAGATTAAGTATTATTATTGCTCCATGAAAACTTACTGACGCGGCGGGATTTTATCAAACATGGAATAGAAATAATGCATAAGAGGCCATTCGCTAATGTCGCCGTCGTCGAGACCGAATTTGCTGCGCGTATCGGCTTTATTCTTCTCCCTGTGGTATTTTTCCCTAAGCGATTTCCATTTCTTCTTGCAAAACAATACTGGAATATGTGATGGTTGTTTCGTAATATGCAAATTGTTAAGAAATATATTTACCGCTGCTGTCCATCGACGTAGCAATAGTTTGAAATGCCTTTTCTCTAATTAGTCGACTAGAATTCGCCTTATTGGAGGAGTCGTAAATACACGGATAATCGCATATCATTTTCAGAAATTTTTCTTCGTTGAAAGCATCATCGCTTTGTATGATCTCGAAAACATGATCGTCGCCGTCAATCTCCAACTCGGAACAATCCATTTTTAAATATAAAAAAAACGTTATCCCCAAAGATGTTTATTTTTTTGCACGCAAACTATTTGGCTTCAAAGTTAACAATTCGTCCGCTTGACATATTGTGCCGCTGCGTTACCATTTATAACAGCATAAATCCAAGGAATAAACTGAACTTTTTTTTTGTACTGTGATTGAGTTTTATTCGAATTTCTTGTATTTTTACTGTGCACGATAATATAACTAGTCTGTGTCCATTGTAAAAAAATGTGCAATAAAAAAATATTTTTAAAATGAGGTTATATTATATACATCAATTATTGTTTATATTTTTATAACCTTTCAATTCCAAAAATTAAAACTCAGCTTTAAATAACTAAATATGTCGCCCGATATAGTTTTTACGCTATTTTACATTCTAATAAGTTTCGGATTAATTTATCCGCCTAGCGAATTTCTTAGTGCTGGATTTACGGTCCAACAGTGGTTCGGTAACTTGTTAGGATCGGAACCTGAGCACTTTGTCCGATATCACATAAGAAACTCGATTTTGAATTTGTTCGTCTACTCCTGCTTGCCCGTCCTGTACGTTATTTTGCTATTCGTTTTAGGCTTCGTCGACGAGGTAACTGTGTTTCTGGACCCCGTCCGTCCTTTGCAATGTCTATTTTCCAGGTTTCGGAACTTTTCATTGGCAATACCATACTATGGAGCGTGTTCGCGTCGACGAGTATTATTTTGCCGCTAATGGCGCTCCTTCAGATCCAATTTTGGAGAGAAAACAATTTCGAAAAGCACCCCATTGTGATGAATTTAAAGAAATTTTGCAACAACAACACACACTGGGAAACGGTGGCTTCAGAGATAAATAACGAGTACCGGAGGTACGTGAGTCAGTGTCATGTTTTAATACAGCACCGGGGCCCGTTTCTAGATTAGAAAAGGTTTGTGTCAGTACCAGCCCCTGGGCGAAAGTTATAGTCACGGAAAATTGGGTTTTAAAAGTGACCCCATTGACGATGTTCGTTGCCCACCAAAGCGACGCTAGTTTGGTCGTTAAGGAAGCCAGTAACTACCAGGTGTCACACATGAGCCCCAGCGAAACCCAATTCCTTAACATTGAAGTAAAATCAGGCCGAACGGATCCTTTTATCATTCGGATCAACGCAACTAGTTTTAAAGATTTAGAGAACCGCTTAGCAAGAACCATTAACATACTCCCAAACGTTAAGTTTCATAAGTCGGTCGTTGAGCAGTTTGTAGATGTTTTCAAAGAGGCCATCAGAAATAATCCGCGTTATGTCGTAAATATGGTCTGTATCATCAGTTTGTATACCCACAGAGGGCTGTAAGGATGATTTAAATCGTAATTAAGGTTAATTAATCCTAATTATTCCATGACATTTAGAATAAAAGCATTTATCTCATTCTTATAGCCCAAATATTTTTATTTTATTAGTTTCCTTCTTGTTTATTGTATGGACACCATCTAATTTGGTCATGCCAAACAAGTAGATCCTATGCTTTCACATATTTGAGTCAGTGGCTTCGTACACTTTTTTGCCAGAGGTATTTATAGTTAATTTTTCGAAAATATGACCTAGTGCTGCTGCATGATGTTCTGGGCTTAAATCCTTTTTAAAATCCTTATTAGGTTATGATTGTGATTCCGGACAAGTGCTTTCCTGCATCTCAAAACTTCCCTAAACACACGATAAATACTACTTTCATCCTCAAAAGAAATCCAGAATTAATTTAAGCTTTCAACATAACCTCAACAAAGAACGTGAGAAACTAAAAATGTTGAATTTAAAATAAAACGTAAGAAAAACTAGATCAAAAATAATAACCAATAAAACTCCCTAATATCTGTAAAATTTAGCGTCTTTCGTACATGACATCACAGATGCGTTGCCCATAAAGCAACCGTGTTATGCCTTTCGTCAGTTTTGCGTGGAGTTTGTTCTATGGATTTTGTCATGGTAATATGCCTATGTCCCAACTTCCGCCAAGGTTTTCGGGCACTTTAAACAGTACATACCTTGTTTCTCAATATAATTAGCTATAAAAAATAATTCCTAATCACTTATCTGCTTAGGATGTAGAGTTGATCATGCTTGTTGCCCAACCATAATTGGAAAAAGTGCACGGAACTTTCAGATTGCCGTCTTGTGGGGCGAGCGTAATATTATATGGGGCTATTGCAGGAACTAGAACAATGCATAGGGTGTTTGCAGTCCCAGTCCGAAATCAAACTGAACAAGCTCTGCGATGACGTTGGCGGACAGCAGGATAACTGCACCGCTTGTTTCTGCAGGCCCATGTGGTGCGTAGACTGCATCGCGAAATGGTTTGTGTCCAGGCAAGACCCCGAACAGAGGGGCCAGTGGCTCTCGTCGAAGTGCACTTGCCCCATGTGCAGGGCGACATTTTGTCTTCTAGACGTGTCGTTGCTGGTAGACGTCGAAATATAGCAGTATGCAAGTTATACGAGTTTCGAGTCATTAAGAAACCTAACCTAAAACCGTAATTTCATTTAAAAAACTGGTGATATTCTTTGGGCTGCAACAGTTGTAAAGTAACTTGCTTACTTGCCTACGCGACATACATGAAATAGGTCTACAGATCTGAGGATATTAAAGTTAGATTCCTAACTCAGTGACTAAGGAATTAGAATTTAGTTTCATCGATCAGCGACAGATGGCGGCACAGACCAAAGAAGTACAGATTCCTAACTCGCTAAACTAAGAATTTAGTGATTCAGTGATGCGCATGGCTTGTACGATGAGGAGAAACCAGACTGTAAACAAACAGTGAGTCATCACGAAAAGGGATCATAAATGCTCATCGTTTATCTAAATATCGAAGCTAGTGGCTGTATTTAATAATTATAAAGCCTTATGTTTCGTGTGTCGCTATTCTTTTTCGATTTAATTATCGTTAATACTTGCTATGTTCGGAACTGTAAGAGGAATTATCAAAATGGGCCAAAAGTGACGTTTTGTCATTCTCACTAAAAAAAATTGGTTCAACCAATAAAAAAAGAAGATGCGTCTAAAATGGTTTTCAGATCGGCTAGTAAATTAGAAATTTTCTCATTTTATTAAGTCACGCGAGTTTTACTTTGAACTAACAAAATTGAAAATTACAGCCTGCACTGTTGTTGTTTATTTGTTTTTTTTTAAATCAGTGCTAATAATATATATATGCTGCAGTAACAGAGATAATTTTTCAGTACAAAGTACAAAATTAGAACTTAAGGGCCTAGAAAACAGGCAATAGCCAAGTCTTCAAACTTAGTCCGCTTGTACAGAGAAAATATCTTTTACTAATTTTCAGGAAGCATTTGAGAAAGTAAGTAATTTTAACTAATGGCGAGCAATGAAAGGTTACAGAAAAGCCACTTAGATTGTCAAAACTACCTGTTCCAATAAATCAGCCATAAAGAAATCACGGAAATGTCTAGATTTTTAAATTTAAACCCGAAAAATACAACACCAGAACTATACAATTGCCTGAAAAAAAAAACATACACTACCATTCTAAAAGAGCATATCATTTTGTTAAAAGTTACGAGCAAAACTAATTTAGAATATCCTGGGAAACATTTTCGTTCCTCAGTATATTATTTTCATTTCTTCCCCATGCCCAAGGGTTTTTTAGAATCTCTGAAAATTTGATCACACAAAATATCTAATATAGTGTTTTTGACTCTCATTGTGGGTATACGAACAGCTGGTCAATATTCACAAAAATCATGAAAATATTCGTAGAAATTAAGACAATCATAATTATTGTAGTAGATTTGGCAATAATCTACTGAAAGCCCAACTAAAATTAAAAATTTTAATAAGAAAATTAAAGAGAATTTACTGACTAATTGCTGTTAAACTGTACGGGATGGCCAATATAACGTAACCTTATACCTTATCTCAGAATATACAGGGTGTACGAAAAAATTTTAAACACAAAAACCATCTGGTTTTTGCATGTACAGGGCACTGTGTTGCTTGGGTAAACACAACTTTATTTTTTTTAATGGATATTATTACATTTTTGTGTAATGGTTTTTGACATATTTAAGTTTTTATCTCAAATATGTCATTTGCAGGCCCCAATAAAAATACGATTTTTTCCCAAAAGGAAATCTTTATTTTTTAATTTGGGTTGAATACCTTGTCGACAAGAACCTACTTTAATACAATTTCTATAATATTTTGATAACTAATAATACAGGGTATTCTGAAAGTATGATTAAATACTAAATTACGAAAAATATTTTTTTTTAATGGAAACCCGCAAATTTCATAATTTTATCTTATTTACCATTAAAAATAAAAGTAAGTTTGCATAAGGTGCTGAGAATGTTTATCATTCGAAAGATTAACTAATTAATATTCTTATACGACGATTTTGCCGCGGGTTTCAAGCTTTGTTATAGCTATTCCTCTATGGCTATGACATCGTTTAAGGAGTATATAAGAAATAATTTGAAATATTACGCGTCAAGCGAACAACGCGAAAAACTCTTCCGGTGCTTTGGGCAAAATGGCGTTGGGATTCTCGTATCCGTTGGTCGGATCGCGCACGGCATCGTACAGTTGCTTGTAAATGGCGAGGATAACGTCGAACGCGCGTTTTTGTACCGCCTTTTTGTGTTTCGACGACAGCAACAGGCTTATCTGCGGCAGGAGCAGGCGATCCGGATCGTCGGAGAGCTCTTCCAGCTGCGCGACGAATTTCTTCAGGTTCCCGGGTTCCATTCCTTCATACGACGAACGCCGTAAGTATTTGTAAACTTGCGTGCATAGAAATCGGTCCATTGTGAACTATTGACTTCAATTTATTTATTTATTTATCAACGGGCCAACCGCCCAATATAAAATAGGATTCACATAAACAAAATAATAAACAACAAAATAAAATAAAATAAAACAAAATTAAAATGAAATATATAGATGAAGACCTTACCCTAATATGACAAACACTGGTTTTCCAAAATATTAAATATTGGTGGTATATATATATATATATATATATATATATATATATATATATATATATATATAGCAAGTAAAAAAACAAATTAACCAAAAATAAAATAATGCCTAAATTGTATCCTGTTAATTTATTCTGGCACGCCATTTTCAGTGTTGGTGAACCGCAACAAAAAATAGGCAAAAACCATAGATCGATTCCAAACAATGAAGGTGGGTTGAGCAAAATAGTTCAAATGTACCGCGCGAGTTACCCCCTCCTTACCCGGTACGTCCGACAGCGCGGCCTGCGCGTGATCCTGCAAGATCGTGTAGACGGGGCCCAGGTTCAGGTTGGCCACTAGCGAACTGGCCTGTTCAGACGTCAGGGTGTCGATTTGGGCGTCGGACTGTGCCTGCACGTGATCGCGTGAGGATCACGGCCGCGTAAAATCGAAATAATTTACCTGCAAACGTTCCAAACGTTCGTCCATGAACTCGTACAAGGACAAACACGTGTACATCGAATATATACAGTTGAGTAGGTAGACGGCCATGTCGGTGGGCGGTAACCTCGAAGCCTGCTCGTTCACCGCTCTGAGAAGCGGTTCCAACACTGTGTTGGTGATTTTTACCATGTCCACTCCTCTACCTGAGGAGGTGTCACGTGTTAAAAACATAGCAGGAGTTACGTAGCGTCGCGTACGAACGATATCGTACAGGGTGAATAAACGATAGAGTAAAATTAGTTATTACACAGGGTGGACGGATAAAACACGGAAACATAAACTATTTTTAAATGTCGTTACGCACGTTTTTTTTGTTCAATATATTAATTTTTCTAAAAACAATATTAGTTTTCATATTCGCAAAAAAATTACAGGTTGTTGAAAATAAGCAAATATTTTTCTCGAAGTCGATTTATTTTAACTTTTTTTATTTTAACTCAAAGACTATTGCTATAAATTGCTGTAAATATTACGCAACATTATTACATAAACTGCGAGACTGCATACGTGTAAAACGTCGAGGAAAACTGACCAGGGGAGTGCGTTTTTTGCGTGATAATGCATGCATACTGCTGGTGTTGCACAAGCTGCCATTTTAGAGTGTGGGTTCCTCCCTATAGTCCAGATATGGCCCCCATTGACTATTATTTGTTTGGATTTTTGAAAAAGGACTTGCGTGGACGGCGGTTTAACGATGAAGTTGAGTCAAAAGAGGCCTTTTTAGCTCATTTTGCAGACAAACCAAAAGAATATATTTTTAAAGGGATCGAGTTGTTAACTGGTCAATACTACGCAGACTTATTGCAACGTTTGAAGCTTCGATTGTTGTCGATGTCCAAAATCCACGAATTGAAGTTTGAATTGATGCCGCAAACTCATTACTCTCCAGATTTGGACTATTACCTGTTTCCTAACCTCAAAAAATGGCCTGGCGGTAAAACATTTAAGAGCAACCATGAAGTTGACGAATGAAATAAGAAAGAAAGAAAAATTGTATTTTTCTTGAAAGTGTTCTTTATATTAAAGAAAAAATATAAAATACGTCATCTAAGATGAAAATAAAAAATCATCCATTTAAGGGATAAATTATATTATATTGTGGATATCTTAAAAGGCCAACATCTATATGAAGATGTGGGCATCAGTTTCTTTATGTTATTGGGAACAGCATTATACCATTTATCGTAAGAAAACTGACTTTCAAACCAGGCTTTATGATATGGGGGAACTAAGATTTCTATAACGAACAGTCAAAGTGTGGATATCAGTTCGGAATATCTTTCCAAATGACGAAATGGAGTTATGCACATCAGTTTAAAACACATAGACTAGAAAAAGACAGGAACATTATAAGTATATTGTAAATGCCAATTTACAACATCTTATGGATGTGAGAAAGAAAAAATCTTTAAGATGTCTTTTATTGGTCTGCCTTCGTGAAGACCTTGTATAAGCATTACCCTCGCTCATGTTCGCCGTGGATAGCATATCCCTCAAAATGGCCAAGAGGTGAGTGACGGCGGAGGTGGGCGACAGATCGCGGGGCGGGGCTTCCACTTTCACCAGCACCCCGTTGACCTGCTGCTGGAGCGCCGTCAGGAACACGTTCTCGCTGTTTCGCTGCAGCTCGTCCAAGGTCTCCTCTAGCAGACCCTCGTTCACCAGTTTATTGACGCATTTTTTGTAATACCTGAAAGATGGCGCGCAAAGCTATCGATCGAAAGTTTAATAACCCTCCCACCTCAACAGATTAACTACCGCGTACAAAACGGACGCTTGGGTGGGCGTGTTCAGGATTTTTTCCACACGCAGCTTGAGCGGCTGGCATATGCCCTCGCAGATAGCGGCCAGGGCGCAACTCACGATCCCGTCGAGCTCCTCGAACTCGCACAGCTTCACCAGCGACAGCAAGTTTTGCCTTTCCACCGGGATAAACTTGTTAATCCACACGAGCATGTCCGTAATGTAGATTTGAGGATCGTGGGCGCGCGTCTCTATGGGGGCGGGGTTACCGGACGGACCGCCCCTCGTCAGCGCGTTTAGGAATTCGTCGGCCAGGTAGCTTCTGCGCGCGACGCAGTACTCGTCTATTACGTATTTGAACAGGACCGGCCTCTCTTGTAATTTGGACATGGCCCTGGCCAAAATGTCGGCCATGTCCGGATTTGTCACGTTGCGGCACTGCGACTGCGTCCATCTGTATATCGTTTCCATGGCGCCTGCGTAAACGCGGAAATTCCGATTGAAGGCTTGTGCGTTTAGCGCTGCGCTGACGTCACATGGACCACGCTTACGATTGTAATGAAATTTAGGCTTTTAATGCCGCGAATTGCATATCAAACATATCACAAGTCAACAATTATAGGCCCATCAGTATGCTGAGCTGTATTCCAAAAGTGATCGAAAGTTTAGTCTGCTGGCCTGAAAGGTTGCTTTATCGACCAACAAACTAGCTCAACTTGCTTACATTTACAGATTTCCTGCTGGAACCGTGTCATGCCATTTACACAGACTTTTCAAAGGCATTTGTTAGAGTAAATCATCAAATCTTAATCAAAAAATTGCAAAACATTGGAACCCAGGGAAACTTTTGGAATGGTTAACATCGTACCTTACTGAAAGAGTTCAGATTGTGCGCGTCCAGAGCGTCCAACCCACCGAAATTACAGTGCCTTCTAGTGTTCCGCAAGGATCACACCTGGGACCCCGACTCTTCAATGACTATGTGAATGGTATTGCCTCATGTTTTCATCATGCGTTTTTACTATTATATGTTGACATTCTGTTTTATATTTACTTTATTTTATTTTGTTTTTTACTATTTTGTTTATTTCATATTAAGCGGTTGGCCCGTTAAGAAATAAATAAATAAATAAGTTCTTGTACTAACGAAAAATCCAAGAATCCATAACTACCAAATAATCCCTTGCTTTAGCTCCGCCCCCCTCAGAAAATATATAAGCAGGAACAGAGTTAAATGCGAGCCAGTTTTAGTTTGATTCATCGACAACCGACATAGGAAGAATGCAGAATTTTGAATTAAAAAAAAATAAATTTGCTTTTATTTCATTATAATTGAAACGTAACCTTTTAAATAATTTTATTTCGCTAGTCAATATCTAATTTCATTGTACCTCTAAATATTTAATGCAAAAACTGAAAATGTTGAATTCAAAATAACGTCAGAAAAAGTACGTTATAAATTGTAAATAACCGTTAAATCGATTTAGTGGGTGGCATTGCGTGTGACATGTCGATTCTTGTCAGCTGCGTACAGAATACGATTTTTTCAGTATTGAAATGTTATTTTCATGAATGATTGCGATTAATAAGTGACGTTTGATGTATTACCGCGCTGGTTTTCTTATTTCTACAAAGTGATAGTAAATAGGTTGGTAGGTCAGCAACAGAAATCGTTAACACTACTTGTTTAAAATCCGAATTGCCTTGTGTAGTAATGGTCAAAAAAAGCGCAAATGAAAAAAAAAAAAGAACCAATAAAGTGATATGGTACAATTAAATAAGATGTGCAAAAGGTCTCTATTAATTAATTAATAATCTTTGCTTACCATAGATGGTGATACAGGGAAATAGAGACACGCGCGTCAATAAATATAAAATATGAATTCCTTATGTCAAATGTCAAACCTAACGTAATTTTTTCTCAAATTTAAACCAATTTTGTTTCAAAAATTGCAGTCAGGTGACTTTTACTTGATGAAAATCCATTTAACAAAATAAATAAAAACTAAAAGTTCAGATTTTCACGAAATTATATATATTCACATGACAATTGTTTCGACAACACCGTGTCTTTATCACATTTGATAAAGACACGGTGTTGTCAAAACAATTGTCATGTGAATATATATATATATATATATATATATATATATATATATATATATATATATATATATATATATATATATATATATATATATATATATAATTTTGTCAATTTCATTGCTTTTAAAAATAAGTGCGTTAAATATTAAAAATTCTTTGGATCTTGACCCGAAAAATACTCAAATTTTATAACCCTAGTAGTAATCAGTATTATGATGCAGCTACCTTCTTGGTGAAGCGTCATCTGTTCCATAATATCCAGCGCCAAAGGCTGCAGGCCGGCTTGCATTAGCACTTTACAATTTTCATGGATTTCATGCACTCTATCTAGAGCTTTGAAAGTAGCAGGGGTTAGTGAGATAATTCTTTTCGTTTTGTCTCCGTGCAAAGCCACAATTTCATCCTGCCGCAGCTGGAAAGTTTCTAAAAAGGCCGACGCTATATCCTGTTGCTGTGTGTTTGTTGCTTTTTCCTCCTGAAAATTGACGCAATTATATGGGGCACCCCCTTAGGGACAAAAATATAATACCCACTTGCAAAATGCTAGTCTTTTGTAGCAAATCTTTGGTTTGGGTTTTGGTGTTTTGCAATCGCAGCTTCATCTCTCGCATAGATTGACTCATATCCGATATGTCTTTGTAAACATGGTCGAACGATTCCTTTACCTGCTTAAACGAATTTAAAAACTCGAGGTTTATGTCCAAACTGCGTTTCTCGATTTGACTTCGTAAAATCCTGCGAGCGTGCAGGGTGTTTTCCTTGTAAAAAGTAGAAAGTTCCCTGAGCGCTTCTATTGTTTCCGGACTGTTTTCTATTCTTGATTCTTGGATTTTATGAAATCTTTTTGACAAGACGTGTTCTTTATCCGTTTCCTTCACCATAGTGGTGTTTATTTCAAAAGTAAAATTCAAAATTTTTGTTATTTTTTAACATTGGCAATACCTTTAATTCTTGTAGGTTAGGAAATCGAACATAGTTAAGAAATATTACCATTTCGTCGATGGATAATTGTACACTACGTCATGAGAAATGAAGAAGAAGAATAAGAATAGATCCTCACCGTTGTAAATAATAATAAACCAATGATATGGCAAATAGTCACGAACATTTGACGAAAAACCTAGAGGTTTTAGTTAATAATGCCAAAATCGGTAAACATGTAATCTAAAAAAAATGGAATTGCCCTAAAAAACATGTTTGTTTCAGGGTTTTTGCAAAGCAATGCGAATGATATGCAGAGTGTACCGTCGAACCCCTACGAGGCCTTGATGGGTTTTGAAAAGTACCATTTCGCAATTCACGTACCGTACTGCGGACGAAAACTAAACTGGGAAATAATTTTCGATCCTGAAAATTTGTCCGAACTGCCAGATTTTAATTTTAATGATCCCTCGTTCCTGGCAGAGCCCGACATAAACTATATCGCCCAACACATACCCAGTTGGGATCACTGGAACCTGGCCAATTCCCACGCCATTTTGAACATACTGAATGAATTTTTGGCGCTTTTTAAGAAACTTCAAGTAGCTCATACATTTTTAATATTGGGAAATGTTGACTTATACCTTTGTAGATAGAAAAACTGTGTAAACAAAACATGTACGCAAATTTCCGGATGGAATACGAAAATTTACTGAAAATCAATGGAATGCGTGAGGAATATGTAGAAGTTTATATAGAGAATAAAGGTGGCTCTGAATTTGATAATGATTGCAGTTTTATAAATCTCCAGATCTATTTGCCAATAGATTTCAGCGAACTACCTGAATATTATCAAGAAGAGTCGGTACCTGTGTTAATTATATCAGAAAGAGGTTATGAATATTTTTTCAGATTTGAGGAAGACGAATTGCTAAATCCTGGTGAAGATTTTGCCCGTTTGCATTTTGAAATAAGAAAACCCGATAATGCACAAACCAAACTCATCTTCCAGCTATCGCCAAGGGTCGAACAGGTGTTGGGTAAATCGAAGCTAGTGAAACAGAAAAAAGACCTCACCATCACTCAACAGGTTAAATGGCTTCAGAATACTATTAAAGAGCACATTCAAATTATCGCGGAACAATACCACAAGAAAAATTTGTTTGCGTCCACAGTGGTCAACACTTTTTCAAGTAGTATTGTGGAATACAATAATCGACTCTTTAATAAAATCGTTTTCATCTACGAGGATTATGAAGAATATGACTGTTTGGTGACTATAAGTCTGGGTGAGTATTTTTTGAATAGGAACGAGGGAAGAAGAGCAATGGCTAGCGTTTTAGGCCTCAAATTTCCCCAGGACAAGCCCAAAATTCTATTGTCTTCGCTTTATTGTCAGGTGGGCAAGACTTGCAATCACCCATTAGTTTTCGACTATAATTCTGGGGACAGCGTGGAAGCTATGCTCCAAAATATTCAGGAAGCCTTAAAAGAACAAGTGAAAATATTTCTAAATCACAAGCATTGTTAATTTTTAGTTGTTAAGAGGCCGATGCTAATAAAAAGTATAAAAATGTCGGTTGTTTTTAAATTGCCAGTAAAATAAAGAAATCCCTATGGAAGCAGGAATAGAATGACTTTGAATCATGACTCGACATTGGAATCCCCAGGTTGACAGATAAAACAGTTTGGTTAATTTTGGTTGGTTTCAAGTAAGATTTAAAAAAAATATACTTAAAAAAAGAACAAATATATTCCAAAACTATAAAAAGCCCTACTTGCAACCACAGACAATTATGCGGGTGATTTGGGCCTTATTTTTTCATACATAACCTTCTGCAGCTTATTTTTCAAAGTGTTCTTCTTGGCAAAATGGAAATGGTCAACGGCGAAGTCATAGAATTCATTTTCCATCTGCCATATCGCGCTCTGCTTGATTTTTTTAACGGTTTCATCGGAAGGCGAGTCCTTTTGCACGGTCTGCCTCAAATGCGACTTATTACTGTTTAGATAGTGATTCGTTGCTCCCTTAAATAATCTCGGCAGGGACTGTTCGAGGACCCCGATAAAATCTTCGAGCTCTTCGGTGACACCAACCAAAAAATAATTATTTACGAGATTCTTCTTAGCTTCGGTGAGCGCCCACTTGTTACCCGGTTTCCAGCAATTTGAGGCGTGGCCGCAAAAAAAGGGGACCTGCAGCCACATAAGATTGGGGTCGCAGTCGGGCAAGTCCCGTTCCACACATTCGTCGAATGTTATGGTATCACCATGCTTCCTTCTTATTAAGTAGGGTCGAAAATTATCGCCGTACCTTACGAAATAGTAATAGGATATAAATCGGTCTAAAGGTCTCCTAATTATGTTGATATACAAGGGCTTTGGAAATCCGAACTTGGAAAAATCGATAAATGCGAAATGACCGTGGTACAGGGCGGGTTTCATTGACTTCCAATTCGTCACGTTATTTACGAAACTTATTTGATTGTTTAACGACAATATGTGACTGTTTGCGGTTATGTTCACGTGAAGCACATGATATGCGTTCCTCTTGCACAGCTCGTACGCGATCCCCACGAAACTCGTCGAACCCGTCTTCGGTACGCGGTTGTATAACACTAGGACATCCTCTTCGTCGGTGAAATCGACACCTCTTTCAACTTCCGACGGTCTAGGAATGTACCTCTGAGCATTTACTAAATTATCTAATCTCTCTTGTAATCTACTCAACTGGATCTGATAGAACGTCGCAACAATACTTATAAATATTAACGTAATAAAATAGCCGAGTTTTTGATTTACCATAACGGCCGATTTTAAGCACCATCATTTACTAACCAGCACAGTTGGAATTGCTCATTTCACCTTTTCATATTGCCGCTTTGAGTTTCTTGTTGCGCGACGCTCTAAAATGATGCGTAGGTTCCCTGTAGCGAAATTCACCCACCTTGCCGTGTTGCTTTTTGATTTATTTTGTGTTTATTTATTTGTCAAACGTTTTGGAATATCCAAGACGGAAATTGGTTAGTTGGGTGTACTGGCGACTAATTGTGTTCTGTGCCATATTAACAAAATAATCGTCTGTGGTCTCGAATCAATCAAACCAAGTTTAACTGATAAAACAATCTAATTAATAACCCCATATTTTCCATTGGGTAAATAAATTATCAGTTGAGTAACAGTGATCGTTTTCTCAATCCGACGTTCTATTAAAATAAATTTCTGTGATATTCCCAAACGCACCTAATTTTCCTAGGTTGGTAATTGCGCAGACCGCGAAAGCGCAGGTACGAAGTCCACGCAGATGTCAGCCAGAAAAGCAACCGCTCGTTATTTCGCGAGGGCCGTCAGTTGATCGAATTGTCGTAAACCGAAAACATGTTATTGTGTTTTTACCAAATCGTACATAATATTAAATGTCAAGTGTTGTGCGTAAATTCGAAAAGTACTCTGAACTGTTTACCGTCTTGATCAAGTGTTAAATTAGCAATATTATTTAGTCAATTTGCCAATTATTTTTGACCATGCCTAAGGGGAAAAAGAAAGGAAAATCTGGTGAGTTTTCAAGAACGTTTCGAGGTGTTGCGCAAGAGGAAAAAAAACGCGTGGATGCGTCCTTCCCCATGCAAAATCGATGGGTTTCCCCCCCGATAACTGTGCCGTTGTAGAAATGCGTTTTTTTTTTCTGTCACCATTTTTATCTTGGCAACGTCAAATTGCTATTTCGGGTGTTTTCCACGAGGGCCAGATGTTTTTGTTCCGCGTTTCGATTGTTCGATTCGGGGAAATAGATAAGCCCACGATCGTCAAATCATTTCTAATTGTTTGTGCACGAGCAGTTTACAAGCGAGTCGTTTCTCATAAAAAAGTGGTATTTTATGATATTTTCATAAATTGTTTCAATATTGATGATTCACGGGGACGTACCTATAGCACGATGTGCATTGCAATTTGTCTCACCATATTGCTGCAGTTGTCTGGTTGTGCGGTAATTTTTATTAGCACGAAATTCAAAACTTATTTTTAACTAATTTGTCGTTTATCTTTATCCGTATAAGCATTTTCATGACAAATTTTGCCTATGTCGGAAATTCCGGCGCAATTTGCATATGTTGCGCAAGTTGGCAATATATGCGAATATATATATATATATATATATATATATATATATATATATATATATATATATATATATATATATATATATATATATATATATATATATATATATATATATATATATATATATATATATATATATATATATATATATATATATATATATATATATATATATATATATATATATATATATATATATATATATATATATATATATATATATATATATATATATATATATATATATATATATATATATATATATATATATATATATATATATATATATATATATATATATATATATATATATATATATATATATATATATATATATATATATATATATAATATATATATATATATATATATATATATATATATATATTATATATATATATATATATATATATATATATATATATATATATATATATATATATATATATATATATATATATATATATATATATATATATATATATATATATATATATATATATATATATATATATATATATATATATATATATATATATATATATATATATATATATATATATATATATATATATATATATAATCATCATTTGCGGCAAAGAAGAAAATTAAAAGAAATGGATCGCCTCTTTTATAGTCGCAGGTGATACGGAAGCTAAATTCCTTGTGGTTTATTTGGATGCAGGCTTAATCTTGCAAAACCACATTGTCAAATTTTCAAAAAACAACTTGCCATAACAATTTTCGCTGTCACTTATGTTATTCTCGGTGTGAATTTCTGACATCTTGTTAAGGCATTTGGACGAAAAAGAAAATTTGTTCGTATTAGTTGGTTACAATGGAGGACTGTCGGCAGTCCTTTGTTGTGTTTTTGAGGTGCATTGAAATTTCTTGTCCCGGGGTTATACTTCGACCAGAATTATAGTACTTTTACAACCGACCCCGTCGTTAACTTTGCCTACTGTTTATTACTCCAAAACGGGATCCCCTTAAAGAACACCCGTGCAGACCCTTAACCATAACCATTCCAGGACCGTCCTAGGCATTTATCTACCTACACTAACAAGCGGTATATAAGTACGTTTTACATAAAAAAATTAGTACAAAGTAACAACTTATTAGGTTTTACTTCCGCATAGTATGATTAATTAACGTACAAAATATTAAATATAATAATAATAAAGTATCAGCCACTTAACAATCGTCACTATCGCTACTGTCGTCGCCTAGTTCAATGATCAGCTCCGCCACTGATCGTTCTCAATAAATATTTTCTTCTTTTATTACTCGTTTTTCACAGTTGGACCAGCTTTGTACTGATATTTTAGCTAAAGTCTGTTCATAGATATAAGAAAGTGACTAACTGATACGAATTAAGGAAAGACCCGGGCAAGGTGTAAGAATGAAACATGGCCGAACATGTCCGTACTTTGCTTAGAATTTAATTATTTGGGGTGTGTTAGGGAAGATACTAAACAATATTTATTTATGTATGTATTTATGTTTAAATCTAAAATAAAATTACAAATTATTTTTATTACCTACTTAAATTACTTAAAATTATTCACATAATATATCAGTATCACTATCGCTGTCATCGCCTGTTCTGTTACGACGAATGGCAGATTTCAGTTGGTGCCAAACATGTTCAATGGGATTAAATATACAATGGTAGGTGGAAGCCTTAAAACTGTATGCCCTAGATTTTTTGCATAATTATCAGATACGTATTCCTTTTGTAGGTTCAAGCATTGTAGAACCTCAATTAATTGCTTTTTGGTATAATCTTCGTGAAAATAAATGTGGTTATTATACATGTAGTTTTGGATTGTTGCTTTTGTGTCACATGAGGAAGGGGTTTTAGTCAACTGTCTACTGCGATAACTTGCATTGTCCATTACAATGACGCTATTAGGAGGAATGTTTGGAACTAGTTTGCTTTTAAACCAACTTTCAAATAAATCAGCGGTGGTGTCTTCATGGTAATCCAGAGAAAAATCTTTAATATTTTTCGCAGACAGAGAAAGTCCATTTGGAATCCAACCATCTTTAGAGCCAGCATGCAAAATAGTTATTCTTTTACCTCTTTTTGATGGCGCGTTTGTTTTACACTTATCAGTTGAGTCAACCCAACCCTTTTCCGGGGTATCATAAGTCATAACCAGGTTTCATCCAAGTAAATAATTGGTCTTTGTTGTTCTCTGTAAATCCTATTTCTTTTCTAGATATTCCAGTCGCCATTTCCGAATTCTATAAGGTTCCGTTATAACTTGCCATTTGTCAATTTTTTTAAATCTAAAACCTACGTGTTGAATACACTTCCATAAGGTAGTTCTGCCACATTTAACACCGGTTTCATCTTTTTCAAGCCTCCTAATAACCCCTTTCAAAAGCAATTGGTCACTTTCTTATATCTATGAACAGACCATACCGGGTATTTACTCACTGTGTGTTGCTCAGACCGGTCTCGCGTCGACGGCTCGCTCCAAACGTCGGACGACGATTCCTTCGAGAACGCGAGCGTCATGAGCAATTACTCGGAAAATCACAGCGTCGACGAGAACAACGACGGCGCCGACGACTACGTCCCGGACCAGCAGCACGAGGACAAACTGAACGACATCGTTGACGGACTGATGCAAAAGTCGTCCCAGGGCCGAACCAATTGCTATACCATGCTGCGGAACGCGCTTATCAAGAAGCACGCGCCCGCGTTCGTCAAAGATCGCCTGTTTACATTGTGCGACTGCGTCGAGAAGAGCCTGAAGAAGGGCATCGCCGCGGAGGTGACGGAAGCGGCCGAATTGGCGACCGTTATGGCCGTCCAATTGGGCGTCGACGAATCGGCCGACGGCGTCTGGCAATCGTTGCGACCGATCCTCTTGGCGATCGCCTGCGACAAGGCGGCCACGCCCCTCGTTCGCGCCAAGTGCTGCGCTACGCTCGGCAACATCGCCTTCTTGACCGACGTCGAGGTGGGCGAAATACTGACGCTGATGCAGCAGTTGGAGGCGATATTCGCCGGCAGTTACCTGAAAGGCGACGGCATCGCCCCCAACGTGACGACGGAGGTGGCGCAGCTCCACGCCGCCGCGCTGAGCAGCTGGTCGCTGCTGTTTACGCTGATGGCACCCGGCAACATCGCCACCATGATGAATAATTCCAAGGTTTTGCCGTAAGTCCGAGGAAACTTCCACAGGCTACTGTAATCTCTCTGCTCCCTCCCTGTCCATCCCGTCCTTCCTCCGTCGATTCTTTTAGGTAAAAAAGGGTAGATCGAATTTAGCAATATTTGTTTTATCACACAAATTGTTATTTGGAAGGATTGGGGTTATTTTTGTCAGTTATTATTGGTTTTTATTTTTTACTTTATCGGTTAGGATGTTTCTGGGTTAGTTTTATCGTAATGTGGCCATTTGTGCAAAAGAAGAAGAAACTCTTAGGATACTGTGGAGTCTGCGGCCGTGTCGGTAAAAGTATAGAAGAAGAAACTGGGGTACTGGCACCCGCCATTTTTGTTCGCTCTCTGTGTTTAAATGGTGGTTGCGTGAACGTTTTTGTGCGAGAATGTGCGCGTTTCCCGTTACTTTTTTTTAGCGGTTTGTTTCGCAGGACCCTGGAGCACTTGTCGGAACTGCTCGAGTCGAGCCACCTGGAGTTGAGATTGTCGGCGGGCGAGGCGCTCGTGCTAGTCTTCGAGCTCGGTCGCGAAGAGGACAAAGACTTCGCCGAGGACTTTGCACTGGACATCGCGGAAACGTTGAGGCAGCTCGCGACCGATTCGCACAAGTACCGCGCGAAAAAGGATCGAAAGCAGCAGAGGGCCACTTTCAGGGAGGTGTTGCAGTATATCGAGGTGATTATCATTCTAAAAGAAAAATTACTGCGATTGAAAATCAAACTCACTGTGATTAAGTCGTTCCTTGTGAAAAGAGATTGGTTTACGTAAGACATGCGCGGAAGTAGGTCAAATGTATTTCGAACAACATAAGCATGGTTATAACAAATCCATGAGAAAAACTAAAAAAAAATTACAAAAAATTTCTACGGCAAATTCTGTAGATGCAATAATTCGTTCTTATATTATTTTTAAACTTATTACAGTTTAAATTTAGCAGTTTATTACGTATTGAATTATAATATTTTATGGCATTATATGAAAAGCTCCTCTCTGATAATGAGGTATTGTTAAAAATTCCCTAGTCCTAACATTCCTGTTATGTATTTGGCGCCTAAACACTATTCGTTTCCGAAACGAGGACGGAATATCCTGATCATTTATTAAAAAAGTACAGAAATGTAGTGTTCTACGAGATTTCAAGCTGTTTATAAAAATTAGAAATGTGATTACATTTTCTTAAGCCCATATACAAAGCGCACACATCGGTTTGGATTTTTTTGAATTCTACACTCGTTTTGATTATCTAAACCCATATAAAAAATTACAATAGTTAAAATTTGATAATTCAAGGGTACAAATTGTTCCTGACGTTTTGACCTGGATTTTGTCTTTTACTGTATAATACTTTTAATGTCGTATAAGCCGTTTGAAACATCTAAACAAATGTCCAAGTTCTTAGTATTATTAACGAAGTTAAGCACCGTGCCATCAATTAAAATATTTAAAGAATCCTACTTATCTTAATTTTATTACGAAAAACTAATAATGAAGATTTTGTAGGGTTTCACTTAAATTAACTCCAAACGATCATCATCATCAAAACAATAAATTTTTGTAGCGTCGGCAAACCCTTGAACTTTACAGGACGTTAATGATTAAAATCCATTACATTTTAGCTTTGATACTAGAAATTGGTGATTGATTGTATCGAAAGCCTTTGAGAAATCTAACAGCACCAAAACGGTACTCATTTTCTTATCATTGCTCGAACAATATCATCATTAAGCAATGCTATTTTTGCACCAGACTTCTCTTTATAACGACATTGCGTAAGGGAAACAATATTGTTTACAATAAAAAAATCGTACATTTGTATGAATTTGTCACTTAAAATTGCCTTCCATTTTTTTTTCTCAAGTTTGACAGATTATTGTCAAGGTTTTGTTGTACTTAAGAAGTGTTAAAAACGCATGAGCGTCTATGGAAGTAGTTCGAATGTCCCAAAGTCTGAAATTCAATTGGCCGAATGTATCTAATACGCAGTAGGTCAAATGTCCTTATTCAGACTTAATTTAGAATCCGTCGTTTTTGCTGGTAGAATGACACGGCTTCGGACGTGCAGATAAAGATCGGCAGGAGGGTGTTGCCTCTAAATTCGTGGGTCAAACGGAAACACTACGACACGCTGTGCAACATCTTGGGACCGAGTATCAATATCCACCTGTTAGAGAACGACCTATTGAAGGATATCTTGGAAATCGAGCCGGTCGAGGAAAGCAGGATCCTGGCCCACACGCAAAACCAAATCGATAGGGCCAAGCGAGTAAGTTGTTACATTGCGGCCGCGCCGTAATCGCGGTGAGCGAGGTTTCCGTTTCATTTTTCAGAAGGTGCTGAACGCGGCCAACTTCAAAGCGAGGACAATTTCGAGGGCTAAAAACCGAGACAAACGGTCGGATTTTTAAATTAATTTATTTGTTACATGCGTGTCAGATAGTAAAATTTTTAGTTAATAGCGCGTTTTGTTGTCGATCATTTTAATTTAGGCATTAAGTTATGTAACAAATTTCGCAGTTAATAAATTCTAAGGAGAAGGGACACTTGTTTTATTCGACCAACTCCAAAGCGCTGCAGTCTCGATTTTTCTCTTAAAAAATGTTCAAAATTGCTCAAACCATAAATTATATTCTGTGCTACCATCTGTGAATGAGGTGCAAAAATAAATTCGAATCCTTTGATTAGAAATCTGTAATTCTTTGATCTGTGCTGCCATCTGTAAATAAGTGGCAAAACTTTTCGGTTGGTAATCTGTATTTTGTACTGCCATCTGCAGATGTGCGGCGATACTTCGGCTAGGAACGTATTTATTGCGCTTTCATCTGCGGATGAGTGGCGAAAATTCGAATTACCTGAATCAGCTGCTATCTGTAGAATAAGAATTATTTGATTCAAAATTTAAAACTCGCTGATCTGTGCTGTGAGCTGTATACGTGCAGCCAAACTAAATTCGTATTATTGTAAGAAACTTCCACAGGCATCCAGAATATTTGTAATTAGTAAATTAGGATTACTTGATAAAAAAATATATAATTCTTTGACATGTGCTGCCATCTGTGGACAAGTAGAGAAACTAAATTCCAGTTATTTGATTATAAATTAGTTATTCTTTGACCAGTCCTGCCATCTGCAGATAAGTTGAAACTTCGATTGGAAATTTTTATGTTGTGCTGCTAACTGTTAATAGGAATCTTTGACTAATTTGCAATCTGCAATTTTGAGAAGGACGTATATTGTGCTGCTATCTTTAGCTGAGCAGCAAAACTTTGGCGAGGAACCTATTTATCGCGTTGCCATCGGTAGACGAGTGACGAACTTAAATTCAAATTACTGGACTGAGCTGCCCCTTTAGATGAGTCTCGAAACAAAATTAGGATTATTTGATTACAAATTTACAATTTTTTGATTTGTGCAGCCCTCTGTAGATGAGTAGCGAAAGTTATTTCGTTAGTCTTGTGCTATCATCTGCGTAGGTTGTTGATAATACGAGCCAGTTCTAGTTAATTTTTCAAAGAACCTTCCACAGGCTACTGTAATACTTTTTATAAAACTTCTGGATTCCTCCTGCGTCGGTTTTTGGTGAGTCGAGAATTAAAACACATTACCTCTGCTCTGCTCTCTAATAATTTCCAGATTAAAAATATTAAACGTTCCATCCAAAAAAAACCCTTCACGACAACCTTCCAACAACAATGAGGCCCAAACCAATCCTACAATTGCCACAGTGGTACTTCCTTACATTCAAAACATCACTGACCACATATCAAAAGTTCTAAAGAAGTATAACGTCAAAACCAGATTTACCACTTGTCCAAAAATCTCGGAACATCTTCGGTCCGTCAAAGACAAAATTCCATTTGAGATGCCAGGAGTTTACAGCATTCCATGCATACATAACGACTAAAACAAATAAACTCATCCGCTGTTGCCGAACACACTCATGAAAAATTTTATTCGATAAAACTAAAATTCTTGCACGTAATCAGTTCTTCTACCAACGAACAATCCGAGAGTCTATAGAAATCTATAAATAACCCAACAATCTTAACCGCGACTCAGGTCTCTACCTGTCATCATTTTGGGAATCAGTCATCTCAGACGATGTTTATACCCCTAAAAATGAACTTAACAGCATTCTCATAACCGTTTGAGTTTTTAGGACAGACTCGGACCCGCCAGTAGAAAATAGTGGAGTATATAATGTTGGTAACATATCTACTATTATTGAGTAATAAACGAAACTTGTTTTTTTTTTAGCAGATACAGAGTAAAATATGAGCCAGTTTCAGTCAAGCTATGAAGAAGCCAACAGGATGATTGGCGACACGTCAGCAATTGTGCTGCCCTCTATGGATGAAAGGACAAACGAAATTCTAACTATTTGATTAGAAACTTATAAATCTTTGACCTGCCCCGCCATCTGTACATGAAGGGCAAAACTGGTTGGAAATTTGGTTGCTGTGCTGCCATTTGTTGATGAGTGGCGCAACCAAATTAAAAACCTGTTATTTCTTTTGCTAGTTGGCAATCTGCAATTTTGATATATCAAAGTCGCCCTCGGAGGACTCATACAGATATTGATATAATAAATTCCGTCATTTCTCCAGGTGCAACCAGAACCAGATATAATTAAAGTCGTTTATTGAATATACACCGGTCCAAGAATAGTGCCTCGAGGCACCCCGCAAAACGTGGTCGCGCGAATTGAAACAACGCGTCAGGCATAAATTAATGTTATATTCTTGGAAATTTACATACTCAACTAGGAAACGAAATAAAACCGTGGGGACAATAAACGTAAAAAATATTAACAACGTCGAACGGTGAGGCGGACCTGCGTGCGTCGCGGCGTCAGATCACGTCAGTATTGTGTCGTCCAAGTCCTCTTCCTTGCCTTCCGGTTGGGCGAGCATTTTCCTCAGCACTTTGCTGACGACGTCGCCCAGCGATTCCCTCGCTCCCACGTCCAACACGCCCAAGCACCTCTGAAACATAGCGTCGCCGTCTTTCAGTCGCAACACCGCCATCAAGGCGATTTCCGAGTTCGCCTTCACGTAAACGTTCTTCTCTTTCGTGCCGTTCACCAGCGTCGGTAGCAGCAGTCTTAAAATATCCGCAGACATCTTCTCATCGGGTGTCACCTTGCCCAAATGGAAGCACACTCGCGCCAACAGCTGCTTCACCTCGTTGTTCGCGTTGTTCATGGTCTGAAATGGATATCTAAATGCTCGCCCCACCCCTTCTGCGACGACGTTTCTTACCCTTACGAAGGGCGTCAGCAGGTTGCTAGGTATCGGTTCTTCTGCCATCAGCAGGTACTGCAGGAGGTAGCCGCAAGACCTAATGCCGATCTGCGTTAGGGCCACGACTGGGGATTGCAGCTCTCCCAGCAGAGTTTGGATTAGTTTGGTTCTGTATTGGTCGTCCCATAGACGCTCGGGTGCTTCTTTTAACGCGACCGTCAGCGCTGAAGCCCTACCCTCGCGGATCGTCGTGTTTTGGGAACTATCATCGTCTGCGCGCAAAAAAAGCACACTGGAATCTTGGGGGGCCGCAATGCAGTTGCACAGGTAGCGAGGTCTAGCAGCGCTACGCCACCCCACCACCGATACAATGTAGTGGAATATTCAAAATTGTACAAAAAAACTAACAAATATAAATATCAGCCTCTGTTCAAAGGAGGATCAAGGTAAAAATTTTAAATATATCGAGGATTTCGATTATCCTTATCTATGGACTGAGAGAATTGAACGTCAAAATTGTAATCGAAATTATAAAGATGTTCATACGGTTCCCGTAGTTTTTCATAACATGACCGACTATGATACACATTTTATTTTCGAAGCACCGGCTACGTTAAAAGAGTTACTTTTTCGTATACCTAAAAATGAAGTTAACCGCACTGTCATAACCGTTTTAGTTTTTAGGACAGACATTTTGGGACCCGCCCTCGTACCTCCGTTATCCTTAAACTAGCGAGAAGATAAAACTTTCTCATAGATTTTTTATTACAGTAGAATTTAGCGGAGTAGATTAATGTTGGTTACATGTTTTCTATTAATGAGTAATAAACGAAACTTGTTTTTTTCCCTATATTTAAAGACTATATATATAAATTTATAACAATTTCCTAAAATTCAACAAACAAATATAAATGTCAAATAAGCAGTAGTATCTTATATCTCTTATATATATCTCTCTCCTAATCTAATTTCCACAACTTTCAATTGTTTATTATTGTTCTTCATGACCGACCATAACTATTTGCGTGTTTCTGAGAAAAAGTGCATAATATAACAAATGCAAGTTTGGCTTATTACTCAAATATTCTAAATATGCAAAAAAGAGGTATCCACGGACAGGAATCTTTAAGAACTTTTGTTTGCGATATACGAGCGAATGTGCTCAAAATAGGACACCCTATACATTCTAATATTAATGGTATTTATCTGATACTCTATTAATAAAGATAACGCTATAATAATAAAATGCGTATTTTTATAGTCGTTCAAGTTATGAAAAAAAAAACACAGGCAACGTATCAACATATTAATAAATTAACTTCAATATCGTTTTCAGAACAAGGCTTTTGCCATAGCACTTAAAATAAGACAACCTGTACATTCCAATTTTATTGGCAATATTTTTAAGGATAAAATGCGTATCATAGCCGCTTAAGTTATGAAACAAAAAACAGGAATCGCATCCACATCTTTGTGAATTATAATTTGGACTTGCAACTCTACCAATTCCTGACTAATGTATTCAATAACATTTACAACACTCTTATGAGTCACATATGTTCCTTAAATTCATCGACTATCAAAAAGCATTCGACAAAATAAAGAAAAGATGATGGAGGTTTTGAGAAACGCGGAAATGGATGATAACGATCTGAGAATTATTAATACTCTTCGTGGAGTTAGGCAGGGGTCATCCCTTCACCACACATTCTCAATCTAAATGGAGATTGAACAACATTAGATATGCAGATGATATTTACCGATAGCAAGAACAAGAAGCAATCAATAAAATAACAGACATCAGCATAAGTAAAACCAATTTCATGGTAATCATTAAAGGTACTACCTTATGATTAACAACACACATATAGAAAGGGTTTCACAGTTCACTACTGGGAAACCATAATAATTGAGGATTAGAATCACTGACAGGAAATTAGAATTAAAATAGAGAAAGCAAGGGCCGCCTTCAATCAAACGGTTCATGGGAATATCATGGATCAAAAACTTAACAAGGTCGCTATAGCTAGGCTGATCGCCAACATTCGGAACGAATAGGTACCTGTAGAAGAAGACGTTCCAATTTTATGGCCAATATCTTTATCTGACCCACTATTAACGCAGATAGTGCTTTAATAATAAATCATAACCGCTCAAGTTATGATGATGATGATGATGTAAAACCTTAATATCGTTTTCGGAAAAGACTTTTCCACAGTGCTCAAAATAAGCACTGCAAAAGTGCATTTTTAAATGTCAGACATTTTTCATCTTTATTCGATAGTTTCACAGTAAAATAATTTAGACGTCGATAATAGACGCGGGTCGAACTTTCTGTTACTTACTGAGAATGTGATCTGAAAGTAGGGCGTCCAACTGGTCTGGTGGTAGATACTTGCATAAAGCGCCGAGACAGCCGGCAGCGCATTTCCTCAGCGTATCTTCCGGGTGACCGAGATAAGTCAGGAGCGTGGCCATGATCTGCTTTTTCACCGGTTCCGACATTTTGTCGCCAGCAGGGGTGACTATACATCTCAGAGCGTGCAAAGTCGTTTCCCTGCAAAGAACATCGGGCGTCTTTGGTTCTTAGCGTGAAATTAGGTTGAGTTTTAGCACCATCGGTACGAGATAAGGAGGTTCTGCCAGACGCGTCAGATTCTACTTTAGTCGTCGAAGCAAATGGGAAACAGTTAAGGACATAATGTAAGATTTCCTCTTCAATATCTGGATTATTTATTATTATTATAATTATTATAAACGGACCCAAAATGCCACTGCGGTTGTAACAAACAACAAATAAGGTCGGTTTAAAGATTAAAAGCTTATTTGGGATGAACAAAAAATGGAAAAAGTTTTCTCGGCAATACAAAAAAGCAAATTTGAAATGTGAAAACCTGTATTTTTGAAAGCTGTTGATAAATTTTCGACAATGTGACGTCTAGCCAATCAGTTTATTTGTCATAAGACTCTTTCATGTTCTTTGATATTTTTCGTTCTATCTCTCCAATGTATTCTTTGCCACATATACATGGTGTTAGTGGATTTTTGGAAGCGGTAAATCTGGTAAGGTGTTTTAATTCTGGGTTCTGTGAACAAGAGAGTCAATAACCGATGATTTTTGGGCCGGATGGCGATGTGCATTACGGTATTCGGCATGCGTGGGTTTTCTAAAAACAGAATCACCCAATATTAGAATGGTAGTTTTAATGGCTAAGAAAATCTCGAAGGGATTCTTGACCACGAGGTCAGATAATAAAAGTATCATCGACGTAACGTTTCCATAATTTTGGTATTAGGAGACTTCCATGAATATATTCGAAATGACTGGTGATGATGGTGAACGAACCTGTAACTGTTCCCAAGGTTTGTTCAAAAATTTGACCGTTATAAGAAACTAATTTAAATAATCAGAAACTCTTATGCTTAGATATTTTTATTAGTAGAATATCAGACTTAACATTTTTTAGAAAACCTACGCACACAAACTTAATGCATTGTCACATTACCATCAAGCCTAAAAATATCTTGTTTTCGCACCTGCCCTCCTCTGTAAAAATTTCCACATTGGAAACATTTACAAAATACACTTCACCACAACCTTCGAAAGACAATGAGTCCGAAAGTAATCCCACACTTACCACTGTCGTCCTTCCTTACTTTCAAAACCTCACTGGCCACACATTAAAAGGTTTTTAAGAAATATAACGTCGAAACCAGTTTTACCACTCATCAAAAAATCTCGCCACATCTTCGATCCGTCAAAGACAAAATTTCATTGAATATACCAAGAGTTTAAAAAGCATTCCATGAATATCAACAAGGCTCAAAGAACATGAAAGAGCCTTAAGACTATGACAAATAAACTCATAAACATTCTTTTCGATAAAATTAAAATTTTTACATGCAATCAATTCTCCTACAAACCAAAAATCCGAGAATCTATAGAAATCTATAAGTAACCAAACAATCTTAACCGCGATTCACCAATATGGGTGCGGACAATGTTCACGCCCCTTCTTTGGCTCCGTCCCCCTCATACAATATATAAGCGGGTACAGATTAAAATGCGAGCGAGTTTCAGTCAAGCTCTGAAGAAGCTAACAGTTTGGCGAAACGCAGCAACTTTGCCACCACATTACCCCGTGGAAGTTTATAGAAGAAATTATCTTCCATCTTCCATCAAAGTCTCCCGACGATCATATTTTTTCGATCGGACAGATTCTTATGGGATTTTAGGACAACAAGAGAAAAATAGCCGCCTATCTCTATACCACGCGTCAAGAGTTGATCGACAGAGTTAGATTTTTGTAAAGCTTTGAATTTTACTTGTTTCTGTGAAACGTGACGTAAGAAACTGGTCCCTTGAAGCGTACTCACTTGACCGCGACGTCTTCGACGTTCTTGATCATGTTGTGCAGCTCCATGAATAACGGGTCCGCCCTCTGGTGGATGACGATCAAACGACTCAGCGCGGCGGCCGACTTGAGCCGCACCACTCGGTTCTGATCGTTCAGGGACTTGACGAAAGTCGTCTGCAATTGAGGCAGGAACTGTTTGAGCATCGGCCCGACCTTGGCCAACAAAATGGCGAGCGTTTCGAGCACGGCCGTCTTGACGTTGGCGCTGAACCGATCGCCCAGGATCCTGATGAGAGGTCCGGTGATGGTGACGACGCTCGGCTGGAGGGCGGAGGCGCTCGTCACCCTGATCACCTCGCCGAGACCAAGCGCGGCGGCCTCTTTCTCGTCCCCGTCGCCGTTCAAGATGGCCTCCCGGAATATGGGCAGTATGGGAGCGATACCTTTGGGTAGCGAGAAGCCGGGCAACACGTCAGAGTTGTTTTTGATGTCGGACATCGCGAAACGAACCGCCTGCCTCACGTCCGACACGTACGTCGCTTGTTGTTTCGGCTCCAACGACTACGGCGGGGGGAAAAAAGAAACGACGGTGATTTAGGATAACCGCGAGGAAACGCTGAAGTTGAACTTGTTTTACTTAAGAATACTGGCGGAATCAAATTGACAGACGAGGCTCCAAGAAGAAGCAGCAATAAGGAAAATTTATTCAGGGACGCGGGAGGTTTTATTATCCAAACCATCGACTGTTTGCTTTTGCCTTTATTTTAAATGACATCTCCACGTTTCGGTTTGCATGTATCTCAAGCGAAACTAATAACAAAATTCTTAAAACCGCGGGTTTAAATCTAGCTTGTTTGCTTCAACTGATAGAATGCCGAAAGCCTCTATGCTTCCTCGAATAAAAACTTCCAGTTGAGGTAAACAATGGTATGGATATTGCCAGTTACAGGTAGCAAACACAGGGCACTTTTGCCGTTCGTATCATATTCACAAAATTTACGTACAGATATAAAGAGTCTGCACAAGATATGTGAAAAATTGCGAGATTTGAAAATAAAAATATTATTTTTTAGTTCTACACTCAAATGGCACCGTGAAAGTCACAATATTTCTTTTCAACTCACCCCGTACATAATACAGCGCGCGTTTCATTTTTTATCAGTAACTTAATGGACGGATTCAACTAAGCTCGATCCGGTTTAAATTGCTACAACCATTCGCATCAACTTTGACGATTTTTTTTTAAATCAAGTGTTTTATGATAACTTCAATTAAACATATCCAGTCCAATTCATCTAAGTAATCCGTTCATGTTTCTTAAAATCGCGATACATCTGAAAAAGTGAGGCTCGAAAAACGTTAAAAAAATCAATTTTCCATCATTCTCAAGTATAAGAAACAACTTTTTCCAAGAAGTTTCTTAGATATTTACAAAAATATTTTTATATTTTTTTGAAAAATGTCAATCTTGTTGCCCTTTTTTGTAATTGAATTCAAAAGAAATATCATTTTCTAACAAATATTTCTTCAATTATCCACTCTTAGTAATATCCCTCTTTTAAAGCTTTAGTGTTTAATAAGTCTCCTACTGATTAAAGTTTCATATACATTTCTCACAACCTGTTACTGAACACTAGCACAAATGGTCAACACTCCAGAAATATGTCAGAAAGGAAGAAATACGAGGGCAGCGCCAAATTTTCCAGATCTGAATATGAAAGAAATATAGTAGAGTAACAATTTTTTATTTTTCAATATAATCCCCCTTAACTTCAATACACTTATTACATCTCTTTATTAACAACTCCATCCCTTTAAAACTCTATTCTTTTGGTTTGTCTGCAAAATGAGCTAAAACAGCCTCTTTTAACTCAACTTCGTCGTTAAACCGCCCTCTACGTAAGTCATTTTTCAAATATCCAAACAAATAATAGTTGCTGGAGGTCATATCTGGACTATACGGAGGATGATCTATCTGTCGAGACCCACACTTCTATCAAAAGAATTCCTCCACAATCCCAAAAGATCGTGGCCATCACCTTTTTTGTTGACTGGCAGACTCTGAATTTTCTTGGAGGTGCTTCACCGTTACAGAGAGTCAGAATAGAGAACCATAGTTTCATCACCCATCACAATAGTTTCTATCATGGGCTTCGGTTCCAAAAAAGACCGCGCACACTCGCCACGGCGTTGTTTTTGAATATTCGAAATGTTTTTAGGAACCCATCTTGCACTAACCTTATGCATACTTAAATGATCATGCAGGATTCGACGAACACTTGTATCAGAAAGCTTAGTAGTTTCTGGGATTTCCTTGACCTCGACCAAATGACCTCCACTGGTCGAACAGGTCATCAAGGGACTCCTGCCCCATTCGAAAACGTTTTGCCCATTCTTTTACCACAGAATACGAAGGAGAACTTTGGCCGTACACACCATCCAGCCTTTCTTTAATAATTTTATGTGCTAATCCTTCTTTTGTCAAAAACTTTATGACTGCCCTATACTCAATTTGCGTTATTTGTTGTTAATAAAAAAATATTTGACGCAAGACTTCAATTTTTTTTCGCAGCCTACTAAGATATATATTTAAAAGAAGACAAAGTTTTATCGTGATACTGGAGCTGCATCTACGTCAGGCCGGGAAATTTTGGCGCTAACCTCGTATATATGGTCCACCACGAACACGACACGATTAAGATTGAGACAGATTATACATACCTTGGTGACGGCGTTAAGCGCCTCCCACGACATCTGTAGCACGTCTTTATCGCTGTCGGTGCAGAGGTGGATAAGACCGCGCAACAGTTGCGGCACGTGTGCCGTGTACTGCGCCTTCGAGTTTGCGCAAAAGCCGCAGAGGAGGGTGGCGGCCGCGCGTCTCTGGTCGGCGTTGTCGCTCCTCGTGTTCTCCAACATCGTGTCGATGATAGTGCGGATGCCCACCTCGTCGGTCACCGACAGTACAACCGCTTGGCAGTACTCCAATTGCTGTAACGTTAACATCTGGGTCATGATTTTACAACAAATTTGTTGGTTAAGGGGTTTATACCTGTAGAAAAAAAATTAACCTACATCTTGGAAGAAAAAACATATTTTAAAACATATAAACAGTTTTTTTATAACAGATATATTGTCAAGAAAAGCATTTTCGATTACTTCAACTTGAAGTAAATACGTGTTCAGCCATTCTGAAATTATTAACGTTTGTTTCCGCGTCACTTAAGAGATCAAAAACTATTCTACGAGAAAGAATGATTTTTCTGAAACGGTACAATTACGCCCTCTAACGGACGTTTTGGAAATTTAAAACTAATTGGCAGTTGTAGTCATAAGTTTTTTCACTTCAAGTCTTTACGACAATTAATTTTCGAGACAAGGCCCAGTGTCCTTGTTAATTGGGCAGCAGGTACAAAGGAACTAAAATCTGTTCACAGATATAAGAAAGTGACTAACTGATACGAATTAAGGAAAGTCCCGTTCAAGCTGTAAGAATGCAATATGGCAGAACAGGGTCGTACTTTGTTTAGAATTTAATTATTTGGGGTTTTGTTAGGAAAGATAATAAACAATATTTATTTATTTATGTATATATTTATGTTTAAATCTAAAATAAAATTACAAATTATTTTTATGACCTACTTAAATTACTTAAAATTATTCACAAAATACATCAGTATCACTGTCGCTATCATCGCCTGTTCTAATGATTATTTGTTCTATATTATTTGCAATATGGATATACGATTGTTCTGCTTTTTCTATATGTTTAACAGAATTTCCCCAACTTTGTGGAGGGAATGTTAAAAACTTCGGTTTCTATTAATTCTATAAATTTGAGGGGAAAAACATTGTTACGAAGAATGGCAGATTTCAGTTGGTGCCAAACATGTTCAATGGGATTAAATATACAGTGGTAAACTCTATGCCCTAGATTTTTTGCATAATTATCACAGACGTATTCCTTTTGTAGGTTCAATCATTGTAGAACCTCAATTAATTGCTTTTTGGTATAATCTTCGTGAAAATAAATGTCTTTATTATACATGTAGTTTTGCATTGTTGCTTTTGTGTCACATGAGGAATGGGTTTTAGTCAACTGTCTACTGTGGTAACTTGCGTTGTCCATTACAATGATGCTATTAGGAGGAATGTTTGGAACTAGTTTGTTTTTAAACCAATTTTGAAATAAATCAGGGGTGGTGTCTTCATGGTAATCCAGAGAAGAATCTTTAATAGTTTTCGTAGACAGAGAAAGTCCATTTGGAATCCAACCATCTTTAGAGCCAGCATGCAAAATAGTTATTCTTTTACCTCTTTTTGATGGCACGTTTGTTTTCCACTTATCAGTTGAGTCAACCCCACCCTTTTCCGGTGTATCATAAGTGTCGAACCAGGTTTCATCCAAGTAAATAATTGGCCTTTGTTGTTCTCTGTCAATCCTAATTTTTTCTACATATTCCAGTCGACATTTCCGAATTCTAAAAGATACCATGAAAACTTGCCTTTTTTCAATTTTTTTTTAAATCTAAAACCCATGTGTTGAATACACTTCCATAAGGTAGTTCTGCCATATTTAACACCGGTTTCATCTTTTTCAAGCCTCCTAATTAAGATATCTAATAACTGGTAAATTTTACGCCGTATTATATCTAGATCACTATCATCTACACTGGAGAAAATGTCAGCATCGCTCCTTTTTTCCTCGCTGAAATGGGATTATTCACAATTTTCCATACAGTTGATGTTGGAATTTTCGTCAATGTGGGCGTTTCTTCTAAAGGTGCTTGCCTGCTGGCACCACGTTCAATGAGAGTTAATTAAACATTGTTTATAACTTCCTTAGTCTCAGTGTTTTTTACATTTGGGCGGGAGCATCTCCTGAGATACACTAGACTCGCACATATTTTGCATAATTCCCACACAATTCAACACACACACGAAATAAAAATGATTACTAATAAACTTAAACTAAGTAGTAAATCCAACCAAAGAATATTAAACACAGGTAGGTATAAAATTATTTTCTATTACCGACCACAAATTCCGAAACTTTAGGTAATAATCTATAGTAATCTTAGTAATAAGCAATTGGTCACTTTCTTATATCTATGAACAGACCATACCCACCTGAACTTCTTCCGCCGTGCCTTTCGAGTTGGCCAGCGCGAGCTGTAACGCGGGCAGTATTCTCGGCAAGTACTTGTTGAGTGCCTCTCCAGCTACCGACGCCAGTATCGACAGCGCCTTGGTGTTGGTGGGCGGGGCCGTGAGTTGCGGCACCAAGTACGGCAAAACGACCCGCGATTTTATCGCCATCACCTGCCTGAGCCCATCCAATGTGCACTCGACGACATCCGGATCGCTGTCGTTCTACAAACCAGTCGAGAATACGTAGATCATATCACGTGATACAAAAAACACACGAAATCCGAGTGAGTTCAAGTTATAACGAAAAAAATTGAGTAATACTTGATGAAAAAAAAAAGAGCAAATTAAGTAAGGTAAGTGCAGCACATGGCTGTTAAAATCGTATTACTTTGGTATAAGTGCCGCCATCTATTATTTCATACGACATCTCTAAAATAATACAAAGCTAATATATTTGGTGGAATCACATGTGTCTTGTAACTTCTAGAACAAGGTATCAGCATTTTATATTAATTGAATCCTCCCAGGTTTTCATTGAATTTTCTACGTGTAAATAAAGTAGGTGCAGTAGTTTAGTTCACTTGAAAACACTGTAATCGAACTTAGGGTCCAGAACGACGTGTGTTATTCATTTTACTATACTTAAGCTGCCACCTCAGATCAGCCGTATACTGCAACCCTTGGCTTTGTGCGTCTTTAAGTCACTCAAGATTCGTTGGGATGCCAAAATTGTTGAATTCTAAATAAAAAAATTTGGGGGTTGCTGTAACGAAGAGTTTGATTTCCACGATGATAGGGGAGATGTAGACAGTTAAATAGGAAAGTTTTTCAACAAGATTCATTTGATCCAGAAGTTTTTCAACGTTCAAATTCAAGCTCAAAAGAAAATATTCGAATAACATGCCCAGAACACGACACGATCCCGATTGTCTATTTCTGAATCCAGAAGTTTTGTCAATAGTAAAAAAAAAGTTTCTAAGCGAGAGATACCTGGAAACAGTTCTAACGATGATAGTAATTTTTGGTCCAGTGATTGGGGTGAAGGAAGAATGGTCCAATTTGACGATTTAAGTGCAAGTGATTTAGACGAACCTACGTTTACCAAAATGCAAAAAAAGTTTGCTTGGTAAAACAACTTCTTAATGGCGATGAAGCAGAAGTAATGGTTTAAAAGGGCTCACAAATAAGTGCCATTTAATTTTAAAGCCCAACGATGTCGGACATAGAGAAAAAGCCTGTCCCAAAAATATTAAAAACGGTTGATCACGAAAAGCATATTTTTGAGACTCCCCCTAACGGGTTCAAAGTGTAAGAAAATATATTTTTTATAATTATTCTTTATTTCGATCAACATTATTCTTTTATTTTGGTTCGTTTACTGTCTTTCCACTTACACCTAAAATATATTTTGTAGTTTTACCCACCAGTGGGAAAACTCATGTACTTCAAGAAAATATATGTACGCAAAATTAGCAAATACTCTATTTTGAATAAATAAAAATTACTTATATGTAAATGAATGATCACAGTATTACGACAAACAAACTAAAACTGAGAATATTATCTGAGAATCTGGGATAAACTTAACGAAAGAGATTTAATTATTGAAAAAATTAAGTTATATCGAAAATACAATCATATAAGAATATTTCCTATTGACAAAGCTTACGCAACGTAAAACACAACAAACTAAAAAGACAAACAGAAACACACGTGAATAAACTCTCCTGAAATATAGCACAATTAAAACAAAAAATATCTACGTAATTAATATAAACATATTATGAAACGCCTTTTCTAGCAGAACACTTCTAATTTCTTCTCTGAAGAATTTAAATTTAGAAATTATTTTTCTCAGAACAACTTTTGTTACCTTTGTTACATGCTTCATTTGGCAAGTAATAATAATTGTTAAATTGCAGAGAATCTCAATATTTTTGGCATATTTCAGATAATTAAATAATACAAATTCATTTACGGTGAGCTTCGTTGTGAGTTTTAAGGGTAGTGATGTTAATCTAGATCTGTGGGATTCGGTTGGGGTGTGGTCTTACCAACTGATTGAGCAACGCTGGCAGGATATCGTCGAGGGCGCGCGATCCAACGGTCGAATGCAAACTGTCAAATGTTTTCGCGGCCGCCTGTCGCACTTCGGGCAACGGATCGCAAAGAGCCTTACGCACGGTCGGCACCAAAGAGTTGACGAACGTCAACACCATGTCCCTCGAGGTAGACGCCATGATTTCCGACAGGCCGATGCACACGCCCTGTCGCTGGTCCGGTTGTGGGGACTGCAGGCCCCGCTCCAGAATGGGGATGATTTCGGGCAGCACCCTCTCGCCGAGCTTCCTGACGAGGTCGCCCAGGGTCCTCGCCGCGACTTGCCTGCGGACAATTCACGAAATCCCGATTTCCTCTAAGAATAGAACCTAGTGCTGCCATCTGTTGACACGTAGCGTAACTTTTGTTTAGTTAGGAATCTGTAATTTCTTTTACAAGCGTTCAAATGTCGCCCTTTCCTAGAGGTAGAACGACGAAGAGATACGAACATGAAAGGGAAGTCCTTACCACTCGTTCAAAATAACGAAATTATGAAGAAAAATTCCCCTCAGATCAATTAATGAGAAAAATTAAGTGATGAAGAAAATGGGTTACACTGAATGAAAAAAAATTAATTATTAAGAAAAATTCAGTTAGAACGAGGAATTTGGATGATACTTGATTAATTATCGACAAAAAAATATCGAAAAAATTGGGTTATACTTGATGAAAAAAATTTATTTATTGAGAAAAATTAAGTTTTAACGACGAATTTGGGCGATACTTGGAGAAGACAGTTTAATTATTGAGAATAAACTTAATTTAAACAAAGAAATTGGATTACGCTTGAAGATAAAAGCTACTGAGAAAAATGAAGTTATACATTTGAAGTACAGTAGAACACATCGTAAGTAAAGGCTTGAGAAATCTTGGTTTTGCATTATGTAACAATAAAGGCTTCGGCAGCCACAAGTGTGAGGTCGCTTGAAACACGCTGATGTAATTTTTCTTTATAAAATTGTGAACAATCTTATTCATTCTTATTGAGTCACCTTAGTATTATCTTTTAATGCTAGTCCTAATTAGTGCACACTAGGTCAACTTTTTATTTAGTTTGATCTAAATTTCAAACTTTCTGCTTATTACATGTACTAGTATGTATAAGTGTGCTTTTCTAAGCAGCGAGGATATGGATTTATTCCACTTAAGCCTAAATTTGTTTACAAAATTTTGTAACAATCTTACAATGCTGTCTATTAGTTTTGGAAATATGTAGTTAAGTTTTTTTTTTAATTAGGATGACTTTTGGGTTTGTAAATAAAGAAATAAATGACGAGGAAATATTAACGAATTGACTTTTTGTGCTTAGTGTGCGTAGATTAGCAATTTCCAACACTGGGTGACGGTGGACGTTGAAGTTAGGTATGACTACTACTGCGAAACAATATCAATCCTTGGAGATCGAAGGTCGAAGAAAAACAACTACGAAAAGAAAGTTTTTACCCCTTTGTTTAAAGGTGGCAGACAATGATTCGGTAAAAATACTAACTCCCATTTATTTTTATTTATTTACTAACAAACAAAGCAAAAACAAATACGATAGAGAAGTTCTGTAGTGTAATTGAAAATTATTTAAAGACAATCTCTTGGCGTTTGTCTTACCTCTTGTCGAAGCTGTCGCTGGCGAGACAACCTAGAAGCAGGCTGAAGAGGGTAGGCAAGATCTCGCGCAGTGTTCGCGGTGTGTTCGTCACCACCACCTTCCATACGTGGAGGGCGGCCTGACGTACCATCAGGGCGACGTCTGACCGGCCCATGTAGAGGCCGGCCAGTACCCTGTTGCGGCGTTCCGCCCCCAAGGCTTTGATGATGGCCATGTGCGACTGTTCGGTGCCGAAGTTGTCGTCCTCGCTGGCCGTTTCGGTACTCATCTTACCGGTTACGCCGGATATGCGGTATAGCAGGTCGCCCAACAGTTGCACCGAGCTGGAAATGGCAGAGATTATTGAAAAAAAAGTAAATTATTGAGAAAATTCAAATTACATCGAAAGAATTTGGTTATAATTGACAAAAAACGAATTATAAGAGAAAAATGTAGAATGGGATTGATAGAAAAAAACATTAGACATTATCAAGAAAAACATTAAATAATTAATTAAAAACGAAGAAATTGGGTTACACTTTATACACTATAAAAGAAAATTAAGAAAATAAGTAATAACCCAAAATAAAAAAATTGATTATTGAGAAAATGAAGAACGACATTGGTTAACCTTATGGAAAAACTTTTCATAATTGAGAAAATTAAGTTATAACCACAAAATTTTAAATTTCAAAAATTATGTTTTAACTCTCTAGAAAAATTAAGTTGTAACGAAAAAATTGGGACAAAAAAAGTTAGTTATAGTTTTTGCACTTGTTCACTCATTTTTCGGATTTTCGGTATTTAATTATTGAGAAAATAATAAAATAAATTAGTTAAATTGTTTCTTTATTGAAAAAATTGGGACATATATATAAAAAATATTTTCTCAGACAGGATATGCGTATGCACCGAGCTATAAATGGTTTCGGTAAAGGTGTAATTACTTTAAAAACCCAAATAATAATAAGAAAAAACTGCACAAAAGTAATGCATTTGGATGCCATCGGTAAATTATTGAGAAACAACAAATTACGGTAATAGAATTGGGTTTCACATGACGAAACAAAGGCAAAAATTAAGTTATAACGATGAAATTGGGTTATACTCGATGAAAAAATTATATTGACAAAATTAAGGAAGGAATTGGATAAACTCAATGAACAATTTTTCATTATTGAGAAAATTAAGTCATAACGAAGAAATTGGACAAATTTCATTTGTTTTTACTTTTTCACCTAGATTTTCAATTTACAAAAGTTACAAAATTATAAGGAAAAACCTAGTAACGCAAAAATAAACGCTTTGAGAAATGTCGGTTACACAAATGATCGAGAAAGTTTGAAAATCTTGTTACAAAAGCTAAATAATAACGTCAAAATTCTAATAATAAATTACTGAGAAACCTTGATTCTATATTATTGTCATTAAAGTTCAAATTAAATTGACCAAGTCGAAAGGCACGGGCTAAAAAATGATCGATTATTGAGAAAATTTGATGCATTAGACATATGTTTGAATCAAAGAAAAAACAAAAAAAAAATATTAGCGGTAGTTCAAACGCACTTACCTGTATCTAATCCTCCAGTTTTCATCGAACAGCCCCTTCTCCAGTTCGGGCAGCAGCAACAAAATGGCGGAGTCCGCATATAGATTGACGATCCTCTGGCCGGCTTTCAGTGCCGTATCGCGGACATATTCGTTTTCGTCCGCCAGCGCTTTCAAAATCGGGTTGATAATCTGGCCGATGTAGGGCGTGAAATCGTTGGTGAACACCACCGGCATGTAGATAAACATCATGATGTAGCCGTCCTTCACGTGGGGCGCGATGTCCGTCCTTTCGGCCGTGCTTATGATTTCTGGCATCAGTTTGTGCAATTTTTCCACACCTAGAAGAAGAAGAAAACGCGGCTTTCTTATTATTTCTAAAAGGTTAAATAAACAGCTACAAGATAAAAAAAATATCAGGACGAAAAAAGAAAACTTGAGGAATTATTAGAATATTTTAATTAGCAAAATGGATTTAATAATAGTAACATTAACGTAAGACAGGTTTCAAAATATAATATAATACATATAATTGAAAAAGTTCACACTAATAATAGCCAAAACAAACGTAAAATTTTTTAACTAAATTTTAAATGATACACAAACATTTTAAAAGTGTTGAATTATTGAAAAACTTCTGAATATATCATTCTATTATTTTAAACGGTAATAATTAATAATAATTTCAAAAGTTAGGACATGATGGTTAGCAATTAACAGATTATTGAAAAACCTTGTCAATAAAAAACTTAAGATATACTTTAAATTAAATTACTGACAAACTTAATTATTTTGATAAATTTTGATTTTTTTGTGTATAGATCAAAAGGTCAAATTATAAGCAGAAAGTTGAGATATAATAGTAAAAATGTTTTATAATAAAAAATTATTGAGAAACCTAAATTACTTTGAGTCTTGATCTAGAGCTCAAATTATAACGCAAAGGTAAGACATAAGTTCGGGTATCAAAAAATATATAATTATGGAGAAATTATTACAACACTAAGATTATTTTGAGCATTGAGCTAAATACTAAATTATAACAAAGTTTGGATACATTTGTTAAAATAAAATAAACTATTCAGGAACCTTTCATTATTATGCATATTGATTTAAAAACTAAATTGTATTATATAAATAAAGCCTTTATAATTTTCAGTATCGATATAAAAGCTAAATTATTATGAGAAAGTTCGGATACAGTGAGTGAAATATTATATAATTATTGAAAAACTATTGAGAAACCTTGAATATATTCAGTATCGATATAAACGAGAAAGTTAGGATACAGTGGGTAAAATATTAGGTATCATTGAGAAATTATTTTAGGATCCAATTAAAATGTAATATATTTTTAAATAATTAATAAATTATCTTTAATTATTTTGGGTATTGATCCAAAGGACAAATTATAATTATAATTATGGTGGTCAAAATATTACGTAATTATTGAAAAGCCTTAAATGATTCTTAGCAATGATCTAGAGGTTAAATTTAAAAATTAATAAAGTATTGAAAAACTTTGATTATGTGATCTGAATTATTGAGAAACGTTTTATTATTTTGGGTAGTGATTTAAAATTGAAACTATAATAGAAAATAATTTATTGAGAAACCGGGATTATTTGGAGCGTTGATTTTAATTTTATAATTGTAATGGTTGTGATAGTGATAATACATAAAGGAAGTAAATTTCAGGTTTTCATATGAAGAAGCGTCCGCCGTCTTACCCAATCCGCCGACCACCTCGGACAAGCCCTGGGCCGCGCCCGACCTATCGACGGAGCTCGACTCCGACGTTAAGGTCTGCATCAGCCACGGCAGCAAATCTTCGAAGGTCGCCTCCCCCATACCCCGTACCATGGCACCTAGCGCCCTCGCGCTCACCGATCGCACTTCCGGTACCGGATCCAGCAGCGAGGTTTTAAGTCCGGGTATGATGGTGGGCAGATAAGGCATCAGGTCCTTCTGGTCGGTCAGCGAGTACATGTTGCCTATAATCTGGGCGGCCATTTTCCTCGTTTCCGTCGAACGGTCCATGAAAGCGCGCTGCACCACCGGCATGATGAGCGCGAGGGAGGGGGCGTCGATGAAATGGACGAACTGGGTGTCGAGCAGCGTCTGCAGGCATACGGACGTCTTGTTCGACGGATCTTGGAGCGCTTTCAGTAGCACCGGCACGATAGCTAACGAAGAAAACGACAGGGCGGATAATACCTTTTAAAAAGACGATCTATACGAGAAATCTAATGATTTGCCTTGGATTATATTGATAAAAAAAAATGTTGTAGAACTTGTAGAACAGAGATGTTGCTCTGAAGGAAAAAGAATCGCCTTTTTGAAAATCATAAACAGAAGCATCGAGTCCAGAGAAGATTTCTCTGTTTATTCACAAAACAAAAATTTTATTGAAAATCTGTATGGTATTAGAAGTCAAACGAATTTCGGGCTAAATGTTCCTTACAGTAAACGTAACTTCAATCAAAGTTATTTATTTGGCTCCAACATTTTCTAATTGCCCTCCTGTACAATTAAGAACGTCAAAATTAAAAATGCTATTGCCTCATGCCGCAGATGTCATTCAAAAATCTATACTTTGTCTTTACTGCACACACAAGTGCTCCAATGCACCTAGGCGCACTAGTCTGGGTCGCTAGATTGTCAACTACACTGTTGTAGTATGTAATTTGTAATATTGTAATATAATATTTTCACAGTCACGAGGATTTTGAAGATATAAACAACAAACGTTTCAAGATTTTCATTTTTCTTGCACTTTTTCTGCAAGAGCTTTACAGCGAAACATTTGGTACATCCGAATTGGGCTTCAAATTTAAATATTCCTCATGGTACACACAATAGATTTTTGTTTCAGAAGACTTGTAAATAGCCTGTGGCTTCTTTGAAGAAAAAAAATCATTACTTTGATAAATATAGTTTCAAATTTGTTTTCCGCCACGCGCAGACCCATCCCATCGCGTCAAACCGCCCGGACACGCCCACATTTGGCGCAAACGTCAAAATCGAACCTTGAATCTCGGGGTTGCGGATGACGGAGCCGATAACCTTCAACGCGGCCGCGCCCGCCTCCTGCACCTTCATGTGGGAGTCGCTCAGCACCTCGATCAGCTTCGGCACGATGCTGGGCAGACACGAAGACAGCTGTTTAGGAGCGCAGTAGGCCATCGCGCCCAGCAACTCGACCGAACCGGTCTTGGTACGCCACGAATCTTCCTCGAGGGCGTTGAGTAAAGAAGGCAGCACCAGTTTCACCCCGTGACCGGACAACTTGCTCATCACCACTTTGGCCGTGTCGTCTGCCGCCGCCCTCACGTACTGGCTCGTGTCGCCGAAGCACTGAAGCAGGTGGGGTAGCACGTGGACGATGTAGGGCTCGAACAGCTTGCCCAGCATTTGAAAGAGCATCTCGAACGCGAACAGGGCCCCTGCAGGGCTCATAACAAATTAACTTTTAGTCACTGTCACTATTGTGTCGTTCATTACATTATAAAGACCGATATAAATGTTTGACTCTCCGTTAATTTGTAATAGTAACCGCAAAATCATTGTCGCTTCAATTGGTTTCATATCATTTGAGGGTTGACGCCACTGGATTTCTACTTTGACTATTTCAAATAAAAATTCCTTAATATATATTATTAACTCAAGGTATTTCGTAACTGGCATAAAACTAAAAGTAAATGAAAAATTTCAGATGGTTAACAATTCGCAAATTATCGAAAAAGCTTGATTATTTTGAATATTGAATTAAATGCGAAGTAAAGATAAGAATATTAATATATACTTTGAAACCTAATAAATTAATGAGACACTTTGATTAGTTTCGGCATCGATCTAAAGGTCAACTTATAATGAGAAAGTTCGGATACAGTGAGTACAGCATATAATTATTGAAAAACCTTGGTTACTTTGAATAAAAATAAAGAGAAAGTAAGGATAACTTTTTTTCCGATTAATAAAGTATTGCGCAATGATTTGAAATATACCTAATTGAAAATATGAATAAAGTGATCAAGATATCATATATTTATTGAGAAATAATTGAAAAACTTTAATTATTTTAAGCATTGGTCTAGATGTCAAAAATAACGAGCACTTTGGGATACACAAAATTTCTAATTAATAAAATTTTGAAAAACTTGGATTACTTTGAAGATCTAAAGGCCACATTGCTAACAAAGCATAAAATTTAAAAGTGTAGTTAGTGTAGCAACTTTGGATGCGTAGTTAAAACATAATAGATTATTGAAAAACCTTGATTATTTTGAGTATTAAACTAGAGGACGAGTTATAATGAGAACGTTCAGATGCACTAAAAAATTTTATCTATTATTGAGAAACTTATTGATTAGTTTCAGCATCGGTCGTGAGGCCAAATTACAATGAGAAATCCTGTTGGCTTCTTCAGAGCTTGACTAAAATTTTATAGTTTTGGTTTGTTAGCACACATTACATTATTGAAAAACCTCGATTATTTTGAGTGTTATTATAAATGACAAGTAATAATGAGAAAGGTAAGCTGTACTTTAAAACTCAATAAATTATTGAGAAACTTTGATTATTTTCAACATCGGTCTAGAGGCCACATTATAATGAGAAAGTTCAGATACAGTGATTAAATTATTATATAATTATTGAAAAACCTTGATTATTTTGAGTCTTGCCCTAGAGATTAAAAATAAAGAGGAAGTTAGGATGCACATTTTTTAAAAATTAATAAGGATCTAAACTTTAGATTATTTTGCGTATTGATTTAAAATTGAAAATATAATGCAAAGGTTGAATACAGTGATCAAAATATTATACAATTATTGAGAAATAATTGAAAAACATTAATAATTTTGAGCATTGGTCTAAACATAAAAAATAATGAGAAATTTGGACTATATAGATTTTTAATTAATAAATTATAACAAATTATTAATTAGAAGTCAAATTAGAATAGAAAGTTCAGATACAGCAGTTAAAACATAATACATTATTGAAAAACCTTGATTATTTTGAGTATTATTATAAATGACAAGTAATAATGAGAAAGGTAAGATGTACTTTAAAACTAAAAAACCACAAAATTTGTTATAAAAGGTAAGGTTTCTTACAAACCTTCTTATAAAGATCCGTTTCCTTGAACATAAAGTTGCCAAAAATGTGGTTAAATGTTTTATTACCTTCCCGATGCTTGTAGTTCTTCTTCTCCTGGATGGCGTCGGTCAGTTTCGTCATGATATCGAACTGTTTCAGCGCCAAGATGCCCATACCTTTGACGAGACCCGCCAAACCGTAAGCCGCCCCCTTGCGTTCCCCATACTTGTCCGCTTTGAGCAGTTGATGGAGCAGTTTGTTGATGTAACCGGGCGCTTCTTCCTTCACGGCAGGAACCAAGGGGGGTAGACAGTTCGCGACGGCTTCCTGAACCTGAAACAGTCGGTCCTCAGACCAGATGACGGCGACGTCGCGAGGCCCTGGTACGTACGGTCTGAGAGGGCGTGGAGAGAGCCTGGATCAGCCGCGACACGATCGGTTTGATCCTGGGATCGTCTTTCTCGAGGTGCCGCGCTAGAGAACCCATCAGCACCACCACCGCTTGTTTCACAGCATCATAGTGGGCCGATTTCGACGTGCTACTCATGAAGTTGTCGAACACCGGCCACAGGATACCGACCGTTTCCTTAAAGTGAGGTTAGGTTTCTCGAAATCAACTTCGCACCGTTCCACGGAGAATAATTTCGACTAAATCACGGCCAAAAATTAAAAACCACATAATTATAACAACAATAACGCGTTTTACCACAAACCGAAACTCAATTTTACGAACTCGACGGGCGTTTCGTCAACCAAGTTGACATTTTAATCTTCTCCTTCTACGTTTTACCTGGGCGTTGCCCAAACCTTAACACTATTGAAAATTTCTGGAAAGAAATATAGACCGTATTAGGACCCAAATGTTTCCAAATAAAGAATCCTTGATTTGAATACAATTTCTTTCTCTACTTTTCCCGCCCTCATTATCATCAATTTTTATAATGATCATTATTAACCACCCATTGTGGCCATTTTTTACAATCTTCGCATTATATGAAAACGTATTATTATTATTCATGCATTTTTGGCCGAGATTTCGTCCACATCCGCTTAGATGGGTTGGCTTACCTTCCCGTGAATGTTAACGACCTTGAGCGCTGCGTTGAGCATCTCTTTCTGCACCGTGTCGTTCCTGTCGCTTAGAGAAGTGAAGACGAAAAACTGCATCAGCTCGCCGACATATTCGGGACGGATCAGGGGCGCGAGCTCGCCGATAGCGAGGGCCACGCCCCTTCGCGGGAACCACGTGTCGGTGGCCTTCTCGATCTCGCGTCCGAACTCGTCCAGCTTGGCGGGAATCATCTGAGGACCACGCCCCCCTCAATCGACGAGTCATCACGAGTCACGTACCACTTACTTTGAGGCGGTCCCGATAGAGTTTGAGCAATATTTGCGCGGTGGGCTCGACTTGGTCGCGATCTTTTCGCAAAACGGCCGCCAGGGCTTCGGCCGCGGCCGCCTGCACACAATCGACAGGATGTTCGACGTCATTGATAAGTTCCGGGTTCAAGTCGGAAGGCGTCTCCATTCGAGCAGCGTTCCATAAATTTTCGGCTAGAATTCTAGAAACGCGGAATTTTACGATTTTGACACATACAAGGTGTTTCAAAGAAGACACGCGCCATGACTCAAGTTGAGATTACTCACAAAAAAATTAAACTTTTTGCAATTCCGCTTCGTTTCGTAGCCTCGTGTAGCTTTCCTTCTTTCCTTAATTTCCTAGATCTAAGCTCATACACATGACACTGCTCAAGTTGTCTACATTCTTTTTGTAGTAAAATATGTATATAAGAGTCTTATTTCTAAGTGACGAATCTCCTATTCTGAGGTGGAACACCCTGTACGAGGTTAGCGCCAAAATTTCCCGGTCTGACATAGATGCAGCTCCAGTATCACGATAAAACTTTGTCTCCTTTTACATATATATCTTAGTAGGCGGCGAAAACAATGAAGTCTTGCGTCAATTTGTTTTTTATTGACAGCATTTTAAACAAAACGTGTCCGAAAAAATGTCGCAAATGAAAGGGCAAAACGTTTTCGAATGGGACAGGAGTCCCTTGAAGATGATTCAAGAACTAGGCGACCAGTGTAGGTCATAACGGAAGATATTGAGTGATCGACGTTTAAAGATTAAAATTACTAAGCTTTTTGATACAAGTGTTCGTCGAATCCTGCATGATCATTTAGGTATGCATAAGGTTAGTGCAAGATGGGTTCCTAAAAACCTTTTGGCTATTCAAAAATAACGGCGTGTCGAGTGTGCGCGGTCTTTTTTGGAACTCTGTGGGTCGGAACCGAAGCCTGTGATAGAAACTATTGTGACGGGAGATGAAACTATGGTTCTCTATCGAAAAAAGAATGAATGGAGTGGCGTCGTAAGGGTGAAGCACCTCCAAGAAAATTCAGAGTCTGCCAGTCAACAAAAAAGGTGATGGGCACGATCTTTTGGGATTGTGAAGGAATTCTTTTGATAGATTTTAAAGAAACTAATACCACTGTCAATGGTAAATATTAAGCAACATTATTACATAAATTGCGAAACTGCTGATGTTGCACAAACTGTCATTTTAGAGTATGGGTTCCAACAGATAGATCATCCTCCCTCTAGTCCAGATATTGCCCCCAACGACTATTATTTGATTGGATATTTGAAAAAGGACTTACGTGAACGGTGGTTTAACGACCAAGTTGAGTTAAAAGAGGCTGTTTTGGATCATTTTGCAGACAAACTAAAAGAATATTTTTTTAAAGGGATTGAGTTGTTAATAAAGAGATGTATTAAGTGTATTGAAGTTAAGGGGGATTATATTGAAAAATAATAAAAAAATGTTACCCTTCTTGCCGGGAAATTTTGGCGCTGCCCTCGCATATCGTAAAATGGCTCGGCTTTTGAAATAAAAAATCTTGTAATTTGTTTTCGAACAATTTCAATTCCGAATTTTTTGAAGACTTATTTTTAGTATTTTTTAGAATATTCAGCCATTGTGTTTTCTCGTTTTTATTTTTTATTTTTGGTTGTTGGAAAAACGTGAAAGAACAAAACAAGTTTGTATGATTTTGTTTTGAAAATCGACACATTTGTGAAAAATAGAAAAAAACACATTTTTCTCTAATACAATTTTTCAAAAGTAACTAATCCTTTAATAGTTTTGATGGAAAATGTCAATTTTGACAGGTAAGGTAAATTGAATTATTTATTAGTTTTTATTCACAAAATAAGGCGTATGATGCGAAGATACTTTTCTGACTCCGTTAGTGCTAAAGATTAAGAATTTATGTAAAAGTCGATTTAGTTTTTGACAGTAACGTTTCTCTTTGTACCGAATTATTTTATTACATACTTATTATGATTTAAAGGTATGCTGTATGGAGAATTAAACAATTTTGTTAGGTTTATTTTGAATGTTCAAGTTTGCTTGATCACTACCACTAACATTTGCACACATAAGTTTGTATGAATGAAAAATAAAACTAGGTGGAATAAATGCGGCTCTTGAGATTTGCACCGGCTGCCGTTGTCTAAAATATTTTCCAAGACATCCGCAATTTCCTTATAGAACACCAAAAATACAATTTACACTGTGTTTACTTTTTGGAACCCAAAAAAAGTAAGGTTGGAAATTTATTGAGGTTGACTACGTAAGTATCGACCTCAGTCTTGAATTATGCATACCGAGAGGCGGTACTAAATTATTAAAATCAATCATACGTAATTATGAAACTGCGAGGGTAACCAATCGCAACAGACAACGTAATATCCGATGTTCTAACGAGAAAAAATCAATTCGGAGCGACGCAGCTCACCTATTTTCCTCGTTTTCGTCAAACCTCGCGATCCACACGCGTTTGTACAGCTTCAGCGCGTACTCGTAGTCCCGTTCGAGGTTCGGTAGGCACGACCTCACCGCCAGTAGACCTCTCAACGCCGCGTCTCGAACCACGGCCGTGTGACTCTGCAGCGCGGCCAGCAGGATGTCGATCTCGTCCAGAGTGGCTTCTGCGCAGCCGGGCTCGCCGCTTACGCAGCCGGCCACCTCCAAGAAACAGGCCTCGCACTGCGACTGTACCCTGCCCGAGGTACTACCTGCATCGACGACCAATGGGACCATTTTTTGCACACCAGATTTATATATATATATATTTATATATATATATATATATATATATATATATATATATATATATATATATATATATATATATATATATATATATATATATATATATATATATATATATATATATATATATATATATATATATATATATATATATATATATATATATATATATATATATATATATATATATATATATATATATATATATATATATATATATATATATATATATATATATATATATATATATATATATATATATATATATATATATATATATATATATATATATAGAGAAAAATAATCTAAAAGTTACATTTAAGGAGATCAGTCTATCAGATAGGATAAATCTTACCTAGACAGTTGGAGTCAACGTGAGGGAGCACCATATTACTTTCCAATTATTAAAATGATTGGTCACGTACCTAGAATTTTGTTTTTTTTCCTCATTTCTCTTCTTATATATAACAACTCACTATCGAAAAATACTACAATAAACACAAAGGGGTGTAGAAACCCATCGAATTCAAATAAATAAGTTGTTCTTTTTTGTTTTTTTTTTTTTTATTATATTATAACTTTTTTTTCCTCTTTCGACTGGGACGACGCACCGCGAAATGTTTCCAAGGTTGCGCGTTCCGTTTCGCATTAAACGATATAAAATGGTGCGATATGCGAAATATTTGGATGCACTGAGGACGTATTCGGTGCAATTAAAAAACAAATAACGCGATTATGATTTTCGCCTTGTTTACCTATCCTGGAAGCGGAGGTAATCCGAACTCACTTATTATATCGACCAGCAAAATGAACATCTGTTTGATGGGCAAATATTTCGGATGGTAAACGTCGGTCACGCCGTTGTTCTCCTTCCCTCTCAGCTTCGCGTGTTCGGTGATCACGTGCAAACCTTGGTGCACCAGCTCGTCGTGATTCTTCGCGTAGTTCGACGTCAGACCGTGGTTGAGTAACGGGAAGATGTAGCTGAAAGGCGCGCGAGGAGTTGAAAAAATAGTAACGGCAATAGTTTTTGTTAGGAAAGATACTAAACAATATTTATTTATGTATATGTTCAATTCTAAAATAAAATTACAAATTATTTTTATTACCTACTTAAATTACTTAAAATTATTCACATAATATATCAGCATCACTATCGCTATCATCGCTTGTTCTAATTATTATTTGTTCTATATTATTTACAATATGGATATACGATTGTTCTGCTTTTTCTAAATGTTTAACAGAATTTGCCCAACTTTGTGGAGGGATGTTAAAAACTTCGGTTTCTATAAGTTTGAGGACATTGGAGTTAACAATGGCAGATTTCAGTTGGTGCCAAACATGTTCCATAACGTAGTTCTGCCACATTTAAAACCGGTTTCATCTCTTTCAAGCCTCCTAATTAAGATATCTAATGTTTGTTCCTCGTATAACTGGTAAATTTTACGCCGTATTGTATCTTGATCACTTTTATCTACACTCGAGAAAATGTCAGCATCGTTTCTTTTTTTTCTCACTGAAATGAATTTAAATTCCGAAACTTTAGGTAATAATCTTGTTGCATTGTATGTTAATGACCACCCTTGGATAATCCCATTCAAAAGCAATTGGTCACTTTCTTATATCTATGAACAGACCATACCTCCATTAATCGAACTCTAATAAATCCTATCAAAAACCTTTATGATAACCCCACTTCAAAAATAAAAACAAAGGGACTTCGCCAGGGGTGCTGTATATCAGCAATGCTTTTTAAAATTCATGTTAAAGAAGAATTACCCCTAACAGACAGAATGGTATTTAGCCAACAGTTTGCAGACGATCAGACAGTAACAGCAGGAGATAAAGAAGACCTAGAATATATGGCATGTAAACTAAAAGAAACCTATGAAGATTGGGAACTGACTATGAATGTTGAAAAAACGAAATATCTATGCATAGGAAGGGAAAGTGGTAACACCTACAATTGGAAAACTCAGAAGAAATAGAAGCCCGTGGAAGACTACAAATGCCTAGGGGTTACACTGGACAAAACGGGTTCAGATGACAAAGAAATAAGAACAAAAGTGATACAGGCACGATAAGCAATTAAGTGTCTGAACAGGAAATACAATATATATAATACTCTAATTAAAATTACCTTAATGTATGGTTCAGAAACTTGGAGAATGACAAAACAACATATAATAATAATTGAATCAACCCAACTGGGTGCACTCAGAACCGAAAGAGTTAGAAATGAAAGTATTCGGGAACAAATGGGACCTCAAAACATAATCATAACTGACATCGAAAGAAACGACAGGACATTAAAGAAATGGGACGGCGATATCAAGGCAGATGAAACCTTACGTGATACAAATAAAAAAAAACAATTTTCAAAATAAAACATCTGTCAAACAGTTTAATTTTGTAGACCAATATTTGGATATTGGTTTCATCTTTTTCTGAGTATTGCTCAGAAACTTGTGCAGGGTATTCTGATATTCTGAATACAGTTTCCTACTTTTTCACTATTGTTCACCACATATTCTTCTTTCATAGAATAATGCACTGTTTTTTTTTGCGTCTAAGGAGAAGTGCTTTCAACCTCGCATAATCAAAAAATTAGTGATATACTCACGTGAAGCTTTTTATGTAACCGCAAGGTAGAACAACACTGCCACTGATATCAGTTGACATGTGATTGACATCTACCTGACTTGGGTTAACGCAGTAATAATAGGTAAACCAAGACGCTACACTTTGAGACACACCATACCATACTCAAAACTGGGGGAGACTGAAACACTTAGACTTCAATACTTTGCGGGGAATGAGGGTGATGAGAGACTGAGCACTTGGGACCGTTTTATTCAACACTGCTACTGATATCAGTTGACCTGTGATTGACATCTACCTAACTTGGGTTAACACATTAACAATAGGTAAGCCAAAACGCTATACTTTGAGACACTCAAAACTGGGGGGCACTGAAACACAAAACTTTACGGGGAATGAGGGTGATGGGAGGCTGGATACTTGGGAATATGCCGCAATAGAATCATACATTCTAAATTTTAATATCACCTGAACGCAGGCGCGGAAAACCTCGACGCTTTGGTGTAACCGGCGTCGTCGTCCTCATCCTCATCGGACCTCTTCGGCATGGTGCGCGCGTGAATGAGGTCCACCGTCCTCGCCATGGCCCGGTTCAAGTTTTCCACTTCCCAGTTCGCGTCGAGATCGCACTTGGGTTTGCACAGTCTCAGTATGACGTAAGCGATTAGTTCGCCGACGCGGTCCATGTCCCTCGGGAAGACGCCGCTCCTCAGTTCCAGGAACAGTTTCGACAAGTACGGCGCCGCAAGCGGTGACTGCAGGTTCTGCAGCACGAGAGGCACCAGGTCTTTGTAGCACAGGGAGAATTTCCGCGAGTTCCCCTTCGAAGCGGCGCTTATGATCGACACGGTAGCGCGTATCGTCTCGTTCAGCTTGAACAATGTAGAGGGCGCTCACTCAAAATCAAATAAATTGATTGCGTCTAAGAAAAAGGTACATTTTCTATAACAAGAGGTCCCTTTCTACTAAAGAAAAAAAAAGCTACAATAATGTCTCAAAAAAAAAAAACGAAAAGACTTAAAAGGTTTGAGTGGAACACCACGCGCTCCATAAAATTCAAGCTTGCTCAAGAGAATGTGATGAAAAACACAGTCGAAAGCCTTTGAGAGGTCGCACTGTGAAATCATTAAGTGTTCTACCCTTTCCAGGCCCCCGACTATGTCCTTCACCATCCTCATAAAAGCTCTAGTTGTCGAGAACTTGCTTCTGAAACCAAACTGGGCAGAGTCAAGTAATTCATTTACTTCAACAAATTTGTATAGCCTCTCTTTTAACAGAATATCAAAAACTTTAGAGAAAACAACAATGATAGAGATAGGACGATAATTATCGACCATCTGAGGGTCTCCGTTTTTAAATATTGGCGTTACTTTAGCAATTTTAAAAATGCTTGGGAATATTTCTTCAGTAAAACAAAGATTTATCAAACTAGTCAAAGGTTCCACCAAAATAATCGGGGTCTCCTTGAGTATTCTGCTATTCAAGTCAAATGCATCAAGCGCTGATGAATTCTTTAAGTTCATTATTGTTGAAAAAACTTCTTCAGGGGTCGTAGGAAACAAGTAAAAAAGAACAATCTGGTGCCCTCAAACCCTTTAAAAAACTTACTGTTACTGTCGTAGATTTTTGTTCATAGTTGTGAGCACCGGACTATATCATTTAAAACCATCGACCAATGCATAAACATTATCCACATGAAAACTGCAGAAACGCAAAACCACGTAACAAAAACGTTAGCCGTCACATTATGGGCGAGCCACGCCCACCGACACACCTTACGACTTACCTCTGTTACTCGTCTCCTGATTTCCTGCTCCTTGAGCCTTTGATTTTTTATCGCCTCCAACTGTTTGGCGGTGTATTGAGGCGGCTTCACTTTGCCTTCCCGTTTCTTTTTCTCTTCGAGTTCGCGACGAAGCTGCAGCTCTTCGAGCTGCTCCTTGTAGCTGTACGCCTTGCTCTCGCGTTTCAGGTTCATTTCGGCGTTGGTCTCGTCGCCGGGCACGACGCTCTTGTCGTACAGCTCGCCCTCTGGGGTCAGGTAAATGAAGTAGTCGTCAGTCGACACCTGGCACAGTCTCGGGTCTTCGAGGTTCGATCTGATCTTCTCGATGAGAGGCGGTAAAATGGTTTCGGCGTTCAACGCCGCCAATGTGGATATTATATTCTCGTACGTCTGTAATTAGGGGGTCCAGTTTAATGTTAAAACCGATATTCCCGTGCTTCAATGTGCTTAAAAATTTTATCAGACCTATGATGCAACAAAAGCTACATTTGCAAAACCAGTCAATATCTACATAATAAAAATATTAAAAAAAAATACACATTATAATTTAAGACCAGACATTTGAAAAAAAAAAACAAGATACTTTTTTTAGTAACTAATTAATAAACTTTACCACGATAGTTTCGTTTCCTACGAATCCCAGCCACTTCGGACATTTGCGGGATTTTACCGCACGGATTTGGAAGCAATCGGATGTTTTCGGAAATATTTCCCACGTTTTGAATTTTGATCTTTGTCAATTCTGACGATCATGTCAATGAATGTATTTTTGTTGTTTTGCGAAAATGTACCCAAAAAGTAAGGGTCGTAGAAAAATTATAGTATGCAACACGTTCGGTAAACTTTTTAACTCACTCGTTTGTTAAAAACTCGCTCCGCTGCGCTCCGCTCGTGTCAAATGAACTCGTGAGTCAAATGCCGTTTACCGCACTTGTTGCATAATATACTATTACATAATTATTATGTGCGTATAATAATATCAATATAATTATCAATATATTAAAAAATATATATCAAGAACTAAAACATCTTTTAAAAATAAAAATTTTTAAACAAAAACTGATGTTTAATAAACTTAAAAAAAATAGTTTATACAGGGTGTCCAAATAGTGTGTGAAAGTAACATTTCTCGTTTGTTATTTCTGTTAGAGAAAAATGTTGGATACAAAAGTTATAGATCAGATTATTCAGTCATCTTAATGTAGAGTTGTTATGGTCTATACTGAGAGTTTTCGGATCTACGGCCATATTTTTGACGCCGTTTCCGACATCTGTAATTTTATTATTTCAACAATTTTATAAAGTAGTACGGTCATTTATACAGTACAGTCTTGAAGTAACTTCAAATCAAGCTATATAGGGTGAGTAAAAATTAAAAATATTAATTATCGTGAAAAAAATCAAATTGAACACCCTGTATATTATGCTTCCACTAAGTACTCCTATTAATACTCTTTCAGCTATAACTCCGAAAACACTCGGTATAGACCATAACAACCACACATCTATAACTTTTGTATTTAACATTTTTTTCTAAATAATAAATGGGATATATTATTTTACACACTATTTTCACATCTTGTATAATTATTATGTCAGTATATCAATAATATCCACATAATTCACATGTTAACGTTTAAGTTTTAGTTAATATAAGAAAAAAAAAACGATTTTTCAGGAACCAAAATATTTTTTTAAAAAACAGGCCAATAAATGTCAAAAATCTTCGACAAACCAATAATTATTATATAACTATATTTATTTAGATCATTAATGTATGTAAACATATATATCATCAAATATAATTTTTAAAAATATAAAAAATTGACTTTTCGAAAAATAAAATATATATTTTTTTTAAATCATAAATCACGTATATTTATTAAACAAAAAAATATATAAGGGACTAATAAAAAAAATCTTTCCAGATTCAATTAAGTTTACACAATTTTTATGTATGTATATGAAAAAAAAAACAATATAAAATACTACTTAAGCGAAACAAATTAGGGCTAAAAAACTAGACTTCAAAAACCAATTAATTATGACTTAATGTCTAAAAAAATAGTTCATCATATTTAATCGAAAAAAAAGTATAATACTAAATACGGAAAATTCAAATTTTAAATGATAATGATAATAATTATAAAACAACCAGAGAGCAAAAATTTGCTAAATCCAAAACCAATACTTTTCAGCAAAAAAAATAAGAAAAAAATATTTTGGATTATCTTAGTACAAATTGAAAAATACTGTCATTGACAAATGATGACCTTCATTTGAAGGTAAAGTTAAGTAGGTATGTCAAATAGGACCCTCCTCGACAAATAAATTTTAACGGGGATAACTTTCATCAAACTCGGAAACTCACCTGAGAAACTTTATAGTCTTCGACGAAGCGCCTTTTCAGCTTCTCCGCGCACGCGCGTATCAAATCCTTGCACGCGACATCGAACCTTCTAATTATTTTAACCCACAGTCCCGGTGCGGACGAGACGATTTGGGCGTGATGGGTGGGTACCAAACACTCGACGGCTACCGCGTGTAATGACTCCACCGACCGCTCCCCACCCAAACACGCGGTCTTGACGCATTCTACGACAGCCTGAGGAGTCGAACTGCTACCCTCCGCATTCTCCTTGCCAAAATTGATCATATTCGATTCCAACATCTCCCCCAACTCTTTCAGCAGCCCCACCGCCAGAACGGAACCGTCGGGGGTCCGCACGGCGCTTTCCACTATCGCCAGGCAATTCCTCCTAACCTCAATCGAAGAATACAAGACGCAGTGTACGATAGTTTTGTACAAGGGCTGCCGCTTGCCCTTGAGTTTGTCCGTGTGCTTGACGAGCAACGTTTCGCACAGCTGCACGATGAAGATGAAACCTGCGAACGCGGCGCGAGTCAGATAAGCCGACCACGCCTCCTTCGCGCATTACTCACTCGACTCGCTGACGGTGGACAAGTACTTGTCGGTGTAGAAGAGCTGCTTGTCCGTGTCGAAAATGGCGGACAGATTGTAGTCTTTGTTCAAGCAGTCCGGGGGTATTTTCAATACCATTAGGGAGGCGTACAACCCTTCGGTGAGGGCGAGGGATTGCGCGGGTTGAGAGATCGCTTTCTCGACCGATTTCTCTAGTATGGGAACTAAGGGCACTGACTGGGACACCGTCGCGTCGTTGAAAATGACTAGCATGCATTGAAGGTACGCGATCCTCACCAGCGGGGTGGACGTTTTTAGATTTATACCATTCTAGAACGCAATACAAGGCATTCATTATACTTTAAATGAAATAATAATATCTTTATTGTTAGCGCTAGGCTAGTATAAAATTAGGTTTGCTTTCCATGGCATAACCATTTTATGTAACTCGAAAACTGAGTCATTTTGCCTGCTCATTGTATTCTTTTTAAATCATTATAAAATTTTGACTAATTTTCCACAAAAATTGTTCCTAGTCCTCGTGTCACAAGTGTGCATACGCAATTATTAAGAAGATTTTTGGGTAACGAAAACATTTTTTTATATAAATACCATTGTGTTTGTCTTCCACTTAACATATTTGTACTTCTTAACGAATGAGCTATGTATATTTATTACATGCTAAGATTATTCATAGGACTTTATTTTGCTTTTTTTAATAAATCATCAATTTGAGAATTATTATCTGTTTGTATACCCAATATTCGAATTTCATTATTCTTATGTCTAATAATCATCGTTTTTGTGTTATCTACAAGTTTGAGGGTGTTGGTTTTAGCACTTGAGATAAATTATTTAGTTCTTCATTCAATGTCCCTATGATATTGTCTAAATCAAAGCCTGCAAAGTAAATTACAGTATCATTAATATACAATATAAACAATACAGGGTCTAACAGGGTTCCCTGAGGTACACCATGTTCAGTTTTTTCTGGAGATGTATTTCAATCTTTAGTCACTTGGATACTCATTGAGTTGCAGCGTAACATATTATCAGCGTGGCTGTTACTCAAGCAAAAGAAGACAGGATTTCAATTAATTTTTTTCTTTCAGAAAATCACTAGTAAATAAAATATGATCATATTTCTTCTAGAGTTAGATTGGTTATACAAATTGGGGATACAGCATACCAGACAACCAAATATATGATATGACAAACTTAATAAAGATCAAGACTTTTTTTTAAATACTCTGTATTTTGACGACGTTTGGCCAATCATCATGTTGCCTTCTTCAGAGCTACTGAAACTGTCTCCCATTCTACTCTGTGCCTGCTTATATATAGTTTGAAGAGGGCGGAGCTATAGGAGGGGCCTAAAAATTGTCTCGAATGACTGGTTCCCATATTGGTAAAAGGTGAGTAATAGTTAAGATTGTTTGGTTGCTTATAGATTTCTACAGATTCACGACTTTTTCTTTGACTTTATCAAATTTAGTAAAAAAAATTCTTATTATCTAGTAGAAAATAGTAGATTTTAGTTTGAATTTTGAAAACTTCAAGAAAATCAATACAAAAATTGATTGAAAGTGGACAAGGTTTTTACATCTTACAAAGAAAAGTCAAGCAACTGTGTATAGCGCGTCTGAAAATATCTCTTCTTGGCTTTAGATGGGCCTTAACCCAAAAAAGTAATTGTGACGTTAATACCATTGCTACTGAGTAAACTAACCCAACATTCACTTTATATTATTAGATTATTCTTAGTTGCCAATACGATTATTTGCTGTGTCACCTTCCATTAATTTATTTGTAAAATATAATTTAAAAACAGGAAATTTGACAAAAATGGAGATTTAATTAAGACAATTCTTAGTAATTCTAGTAAAAATTGGTACTAATGTGATTTTATAACGCCTAAATAAACATAATAATAATAAACACTTTAAAGGCCCCTCTCTGATGCTCTGTCCCACAGAACTGACTGGTGTTTTTATTGCAGTGGGCAGATTATTTCTATAATTGACATCAAAAGCCACAAATACCACACTTAATATACAATCATTAATCTGACTAATTAAAAATTTTCACTATAGAAAAATCATACCAACTAATGGAGGATCAATTCTTCAACATAAAAAAAATCCAACCCAGAAAGTCTCACCTTGAGAGCATCCATTAAAGTTTTTGGTATCGCGCCTGTCAATTTGGAACCCCACAAACCCAGCACGTCGAGGGCAGAACATAAAGATTTTTCGTGCACCTCCGATTCTAGTACTTTGACCAAATGACAGACCGCCGACTGGATTAAACTGGGAAGGTCGGCCTCCTTAACTTTGTTATAGCTTAAATTGCCCACGCCCTGAAAGAATTTTTACCAAAACCTTTGCCGAAGGATGAAATATTCTTTTGCAATACCAGAAGCACGCTAATTTTATGCTCCACGACTGTTAACTTTCCATCGGAGCCGTGGAACACGTTGAACGTTTTTTGGAGCAGTTCCTCTATAGTTTTAGCATCGCTAATTCGCTCCGCCAAGACTTTACAGCACATGACGGCGTCGCTACGCACCTTGTCTTCCTTAGAATGTAAATTGGCTAGAAAATCGATGGGTATAAACAACCAGTATGGTTCGCAAAGTTGATATCTGGGTTACTTATTATGTTGCTGCCCACGTCCAGAGCGCAGCTGCTTAAATCACTCTTAATCCCCTCCAAAACAATTGCAACAGTGCCCAGCACGATTTCAGGATTTCTGAGTACCGATTTCTGCATGGATGGGATGATTATCTTCTTCAATTGAACCTCATTTGCCGCCGCCAACAGCGGATAGCACGCTTTCACTATAGAAGGCAGCGGCGGCACTTTGGAATTGATAAAGTTTTTAACTAACGCTTCCAAAAATACTTCCTGCAATTACGAGGGAGGTTGCTAAGATTTTAATGATAATCTTCGGACATACCAAATAGTCTTTTAGAACATCCCCATTCCCGGAACTTCTGTTGACCAAAGCGGCAGCCAATATGACTGTGTACTGACTCTGTTCCAATGTTTTTAAGGTGGTGAAATACAGAGTTTCCATTTCGGGAATAGAGCCCCACATTTCGTCAAGCTGGAAAGGTGTTACATGCATATTAAAATTCAGAAATTGAAACTAATCTCACCAATCGATAGGCCTTCCTTTTTTGTTTTAATCTACCCGCTGCTATCACAGCTGACAACAAATAAGCCTGCGTGCTGACGATGTCTGATATGTTGCTTTTAATGTCCTCCTGTGCTCCTTTCCAACCAAATTTCAAAATTAGGACCGACCAATTTAGTATATAAAGAGCAGTTCGGCTCGTATTCTCTCTAAAAAGGTTGACAACTCACTTTAAAGCAAACAATTCAACAAAATGTCTTCTTACGTTCCATTTAAAATGCCAACCTGAGCCGTTAAGCCCGAAATTATTTGCGTTATACACTTCACCGATTCCCGCGGATGTTTTTTAACTAGTTCGCTTATCAAACTCCTTAGGATGGACTGGGAGGATTTATCGCTATATCGATGTAAGGTAATCGGTAATAACTTACATACGGCTCTGACGACAGAGTCATTGGTCTCTAAAAACGGGAACAAAATTTCGAACATTCGAGGAGAACTACCACACAATATTTAATTTACCGGGTTCCCGCAAAACATCGATAATATTTTGTATAACCTCTTTACGTTCTTTCGAGCTCGCCGTTTGAACTCTCAAGTGTATATCTTTAAGCGTCATGGAAACCTAAAAAGACGGATTTTAGTAACTGGAAGCTAATATAGATATTTTTATTATATATTTTCATTCAATAATTAGCGAAATATGGATTTAAAAACAGACAAACCCCGTTCTCATTCATTTTCACCATAGAAGAAAAAATTTGACTCCTTACCAACTGTAGCTCTGTGCTCCATATTCTTCTTCGTCTCGGATAATTTTTCATGTTTCGATTGCCAGTGTCAATAATAATTGTTAGAACCTAACCTAGTATGACTGTCAGATTGCGAATAACAGTATCATTGCATTGCAAAATTTTAAAAAATAGGTATATGCGGTGCAATTTAAAATTATGGCTCAAGCAGTAGATGAATTGAGTAAGTTTGATGTCCCTTTTAAATTTATTACTGGTAAAGTAAATGGCGTAGATGATTGTAAGCACCGAACCGGTTATAAATTATTAACACGAATCATTGTTTCAGTGCTTCTGGAAAGGGTGTTTCTGCGACTAGGCGCCGCGGAAACCGATGAACAGCTGCAGAATGTGCTTTGCAAATTCTTGCCACCGGTACTTTTAAAGTTATCTTCGCAACAGGGCGTGCGTAAAAAAGTAATTAATAATTTTTCATAATGGTAAACTGTATCATCCAAGGTTCGTATCCTCTAGGTTATGGAACTGTTGATTCATATAAACAAGCGAGTAAAGACACGACCCCAGGTCCAGCTGCCTGTAGAGGCACTGCTTACCCAATACCAGGATCCTTCGGCCACTTCTTTTGTTACAGTAGGCGCTAAATATAAACTTTTGCCAATCACTATCGCTTCTTTTTCTTTGTAGAATTTCACTATTATATACCTCAAATTGGGTTTCCCGCGCTTGCCAATTGAAAAACAAGCCGAGTTAGTGCCCACGGTGTTGAGCGCCCTAGAAAACAAACCCGTGTCTCACCTGGACAGTCTGCTTTTGCTACTGGTGCCCCTTTTGGGGAAAGTTAAGGTTCCGACGGAGCCCGAAAAAATTTCCACACTGTTCGGTTTGCATGAGAAACCGCATATTTCCAAGCACCTGCTTGAGATTTTGTTGGACATGCTCTTATTGCCTTACAGGTAAAAAATTGTATGGGTTGAGAGTTTTAGAAGTTTCTGGTTGTTTTCAGTGCCGTGTCTTTACAAACTAACGACTCGGCGCCTGGTGTTTCATTGCCTGTACCGGCCGGTATGAGCGAAGCTTCTTATAAGAGGGTTACAGCCAATAACCCAATGAAACCCGAGGATTTGGAAGAAATTAAGCTCGGAATTGTGAAATTCCTGGCTTATGGTGTGTTCAAAAACGAAGACATCTTGATACATTTGGTGGTGGCTGCAGCAGATACTAGATTCGGGGTGGCCAACTTGGCAGATATGGAATTGAAAAAAGTTGTGGGGTATTACAAGCGTTGGTGTTAGCCGCCCAGAGATGCAAAAAGTGGGGTTTTTCTGTTTTTAGATCAGTAGATTGGAGCTTGCCCACCATATCCCAGCCCCTTTTCACACTGTTCTTGGGTACAAAACCCTCCAAACCAGAACAAGTGAAAGTGCCGGCCAACACCAGGATTAGGTTAAAGCTTCTCACTTATTTATGCAAAGTTACTGGCGCGGCTTTCACTTTCCCGGCCAGCATACAAGTGATATTTAATTCTTTGTACGGGGAAAACACCAATACGAGACTTAAAACTCTCGCCTTAAACTTCACCGATAACCTGATAAGATAGTAAGCAGTGCTGTCAAATTATTTGAGGCTGATTTTTTAACTTTCGCGATGTGCTTGCAGTGCGGTTGGCGACTCGGTGGGTAAAGTAGCTCCCGTACTGCTCGCGGGTTTGCAAAAGCTTGTCAAGGAGGGGGAAGAGGTGCACCAAAGTCAGGCTTATATCGTTACCGGGAAGCTTGCTCAGAAGTTCCCGGAAGTAGTGTTCCACGATGTCGGAATACTGGAGCTCTACTTTACCAACCTGGAAACTGCCGCTCAGGAAATGAAGATTCAAATACGCGAAGGTAATTACCGGATATAGTGCTTTCATAGACAAATTGCCTAATGATTGCAATAAAAAAAGGGTCCCACCTGCAGTCGTAAATTTATTTTAAAATTTATATAAAGTGATTATCTGAAAAGAAAGAAAAGTATTATATCAGGAGTTTTTATTTTTTAAAATTTAATCTTAATTTCTCGCGGAAAGTGTACCTTCTTGTTTAATTTATTTATATATTGAGGGACGGACCTGACTATTATTATACACATAATTAAAAAAATTGTTGTTCATTTTTTCAACGGCAAAAATATAAATAAACGTTTTGCAATAATTTTTGTGTCCTTTTTGGAGGCCTGTTTTCGAATTTTTTTTTTTGCAGCAAGGAGACACGTTTAAAAAGAATGTTGTAATTTTTTTTTTCTTTACTGTCACTTCTAAAATTCTTTTTGCGAATGAATTTTAGTAGACTTCTAATAATAATCCACTTATTTTTGTAATCAAATTGAATGTTACAACTAAGCGATGGGAATTATAATTACTTGAAAGTTTAAAATGAGATTTTTGAATTGCGTCACTCTTCTTTCAATGCGAAACTAAATAATAATAATAAATAATCTAATAGAAATAGGAACGTCTTTCTTTTTCGTGTTTAGTAGCTTGTGCTTAGGACATTACCTATAGATAAATTTGGAGTAATGTTTAGTAAGGTAGTTATCGAATTTGTTGATTTGCATTTGTTAAACTTTTAACTCTAAGTTGTTTCATTTCTTTCCGCATTTTGACCCTGCACTACATATTTTACATTGCTCATTTATCTGTGAAAGCACTATACTAACGACATGGTACATTTGAACTACCGAACAAAACCCGGCAACCACGGAATGATGAAATCGTGTGGCGTTTGAACTACCGTGCGCAAAAATGTGCTTTTGACCCATTGAGGAGGTCTGGGACCATTCGAATTTAATTTCCAGGCCTGTTAAGTCTAATCCAGGCGTACAAACACGACATCTTTAGCAAGGAATGCGACAAGGACGGCCGCCTCGACATACTGTTCGCCCTGGTGAAGGTTAAAATGAACTCCCACGAACCCGTGGTGAGGTTCGTCGGCGTGCGAACCCTGGCGACTATTTTCCCCCCAAGCCACGTGCCTTCCAAGTTTCTATTGCTGGTTGCGACCGGCGACAGGTAAGACGGTCGGACGCGAGGTGGTTTTAAGTGGTTGTACTTGCATCCTTTTAGTGCCGGCGACGTGTCTTCGGAGGCCTTCAAGGCGATTTATGGGACGGCGAGAAAGAACGACATAGATTTCGCTAAGGATGGTTCGAAAGGCGTCACGTTATCGTTCGAGGAACTGACGAAGCACGTCGTCAACGAGGCCGACGCGAACATGGCGGACAAATCGAAAGTGGTGAACTTTGGCAACCACGCGTTGCCGTTTGACGTTCGCACGTACGCCGAGGTTAGTGTCCTGTGTGTCCCCTCCCTTTTACGATGCGGATATGGTGTCGCACAATGCCATTCGTTTATTCGTAAATTGAACTGCCTAAAACCGTTTTATTACTGGAAAAAGTGTTCTTCTTTCTTACATTTCACACTGGATTGGGTAAAATTGCTCGTATCATTCGGCTATGACGAGGATTTTGAAAAAGTGTCTATTTAATAATTAAATGCGTCAAAATGGCAAAATTTAAAGCGCTAATTTGGCAACAAATGGATCAAGATTCTTACGGAATAACTCTGGTGTTCGATTAATAAAAATGCCTAGACAGGAAAGATTGTTGTTATTTTTTAATTTGATTGTGGAATTGACATTTGGAGATTAGAGAACTCTGGAAGATTGAGGATAATGCAGTTTCGGTGTTAGATCGAACATATCTATCTATTTATTTCGTGAAATTTAGAGTGAAAAATGCAATTTTCTTTGTAATCTGTTTTTCAAAAAATTCTCATTCATCATTCTTCTTGACTTGTCCAAAAATCTCCCAACATCTACGATCCGTGAAAGTGTTCACAGTATACCTTGCAGCTGTGGTAAAGAATACAGACTAAAAGAACATCACATGTCTGCAGTTTTTGAACGTCATAACCGAACAGAACACCAGATGTTAATCTCATTAAGTCCTTTCTTCTACCCAAAAGAAATTCGAGAATCTGTCGAAATCATCAAACACCCCTAATAACATAAACCGCGATACAGGTCTCTGTCTCTCTGAAGAAGCCGGCAGTATATTTGGCGAAACGTCAGCAAGCTCCACGGTCTTAATTAATTAATTAATTTTAATCGGATCAGGGATCATTTCTGGTTGGTTTAAATCTACCCGGCACGTATAACGCGAACAACAATGACGTATTTAACAGCTAGTTTTGTGTCGCAATAGATTGTGCTCTATTTGCGCCTGTGCTTGATCAATACCCTAGACGTCCCGCTAACTAGGGAGGTTTTGAGGCACCCCTGCCAGTATACGCCGATAATTACCAAACATTTGCGGGACGTTTACGCCGGAAACGGCGAAAGGGCAAACGCCCTAAGCCAATATGGTTCTTTGTTGAGGAAGTTGCTTTTGGCCAATCCAGGTACTATCCCGCCGGTGGTTTTTTCCTTTTCCCCGTAAGATTTGTCTCTTTTTAGCCTTAGAAAGTTTCTGTTCGACGATCGAGTTGGTCGGCAGCGTACCTCAACTACGACTAATGTCAAACGACTTGACGTGGATACGCGACCAGCTGAGTTCGACGAGGGAGGAGCTTAGAGAATGTTGCGCGGTTTTGTACGCGTTGGTACTTCCAGACTCTGATCTGGACATCGCCGTCGGTTCCTTGCTAAATCAGGTGACCTCGAAAAGTTTGGAAGCGCAACAGGGAGCCTTGTTGGCCGTGGGCTCGTGTTTGGAGACGCACCTCTTGAAAAGCAGACGCGACATCTCTAATCAGAAGCGGGATCTGGTCAAAAAGTTTATCTTCGAAACGGGTCAGTTTCGCGTCGCCGCACATTGCGGCATTTTTGATATTAATTTCTGATCGAAATTGCTTTTCAAAACTCCTATTAATTGTTCAAATTTTTTGTGTTTTTTTTTTATCGATATAATTTGATTGTGAATACACCCTGTATAAAGTGTCCTTCACATCTCGTCGAACTTCAAAGTTACGGCACACTTACCCTGTATATAATTCCAACAATGATCGAAATAGAGGATATTGTCCTGGACCGCCTTAGTTTCCTGGTATCCGAATTTTTCCAATCGAGTAAATGGTTTTCAAAAAACTACTTGTATTCTGAAACCATGCAGTACGTGGTAATATTAACTATAACTAAAACACCTTGTATATAATGCAAAAAATGCGTAAAACAAAAGTTATAGGGCCGGGTCTCCCACGTATTACGGATGTAAAATTTTTCCGATCTCGATCCAAAAAAAATATTAAAAATTAAAAAAAATACTTCGCGTTATTTTATTGCTCCCAATTTAAAGAGTGTAAATTCGGGTCCAGACTTCTACTTCTCTCCTAAGTCTAATCGGTAGCTGCAAATTTAGAGTACTTATTATGTTTTTTAATATTGCACGGAATATCGCGAATACCCTGTACAATACTTGAAAACCGCAAATACAAAATTTTAAGCTTTCTATAAGGGCTATATCGTCAGGTAAAAGAAATTTACATCCAAAACACAGATTTGAAATTATTGCCAATTTTCAATAATAGGGGGACCCATTTTTCAGTTTTTTTTGAATTTGCGGCACAACCTGTATATTCTTGAAAAATTGTCGCCAATAAAAGTTTATAGAGCCGTATCTTCTACTTCTTCTGGTTCAAGAATTTTTTTGGTCTCGTAAACAGTTTTTGAAAAATGATGTTTTTTCTAGACCCTTGCACACGCGATTTTTTATTTTTTTAGAATACTTCCCGACCCCCCAGCCCCCCCCCCCATTTTCAATACACGAGGCAAAGCTGCATATATGTGCCAAATATGAAGTCGATTGCTTCAAATTTCGGACACCTATTGTGTTTCATAGCAAGGTCCAAAAAAAAGTCGAAAATCGCGAAAAAAAGATGGATACCGGCGTCGGATCAGGGCTATTTCTTATAAGATTATGTGCCTCGCGGAGTGTTAAAAAGGAAGCAAATTTCTATTTTGTAGCTCCAACGGTTCGAAAGTTATTCGGGCAAAACCAGAACCAGGACGGAGAACGGATAAAAAAAAAATTTTTTTTCGACGGTGATCATTTCTGTACCAACGGCGATCCAGTAGGACTTACCGTTACCGAGATATTAAATTTTTATACGAGCGCAGATTTTATTTTCGAAAATCGATGAACATTCACTTTTCTTCACTCTTTTCTTTGAGTGGAATAGTTATTCCTTTCTCTGCTTCCATTTTCGTAAATTGCTAGACATTGTTAACCATTTCTGTTCCTTGTCTATCAACTATTAATCCTTTCTTGCGTATTTTGTGTGCTCCTCCGTCTTAAATAGAGAGCCAGTTTTTATGTATAAGGCCATCGTGTCGAGTATAAATTATATATTTACACACAAAACCTCTGAATTGATTTCATACTTGCACTAAGTCGTATCTTTAATAATAATCACATAAACAAATGCTTAATAAGGCAGATTAAACAAATATTGCTTACGAGTATTTTTAAAATCCACGGCACACTTGATTTCTTACGTTTTCGGTCAGTCATATATTGTTAATACCTCAGCGTGCGCCGTTTTGTTTCTTTTTTAACCTATTTAGTTTCAGTGCCGTTTTTGAAGCACGCCAATCAGTTTCTGGTTGGTGCTGCCTGCACGACCTTGGGCCTCGTCGCCAGGGTTGCCGGTTTGCCGTTGGACGACGGTAAGCCGGTTAAGGTTGGCAGCCCGGACGCAAAAAAGCCGGCTATAGATGGCGTGACGAAGATCGACATCGTCGAGAGGTTGTTGGATGTCATGAATAATAACAAATTGTCCGCAAAGGTAAGCGTAGGCTTAGACATTTGGCGATATTTCTTATATCATCTTTTGAAACTATAGAAAATATGAATAATGTTTTTTTTTTTGCTTTATTTTTTAACATTTTCAACACTAAATGCATTTCTCATACGGGAGTTACATCTAAACATAGATTCATTAGAACACTGATTTACAGCTTCAATAACTTCTTTGTTCTTCTTACATCTTTTACCGCCAATCCATTTTTTGAGGTTAGGAAACAAGTAATAGTCAATGGGCGCTAAGTCTGGCGAGTAAGGAGGTTGTGGCATTAATTCCACAATTCCACAATACGGTGTTGCGTTATCGTGAAGAAACAACATTTTTTTCTTTGCTAAATGAGGGCATTTAATTTGCACCTCGTGCTTCAAACATTGCGATAACTCTGCGTAGTATTGATAGTCTTACCCTTTTCAAGGTAACCAATGGAGTTGCTTCTTATTTTGCAACCGGCTGTTTTGACTGTTTCTTATTTTCTGGAGTGTAGTGTGTGACAAGTTTGCTTTATAAAAAATCGACGCAGGAGGAATTCAGAAGATTTATTTGATAATTTGACAAAATACATGTTTGTTTTCTGAAAATCAGTTTTTGAGAGGTGCGTGACATTTTGTTTTCCATTCCCCCCCCCTCCAAAACAAAATTAAAACATTTCACATTGCTTGGCGTTAAAAGTTGAAAATGTTTTTAGGTTAGGGAAAGGGCGGCAAAGTCGTTGGGTTTGCTTTGTGTCGGGGAACGGTTTCCCCATACCAGGGAGGTGCTGCAAGGGCTGTTGGATACTGCCAAAGAGGTGAGTTGCTTATATAATTGTTCGAATAAAATATGAAAAACCGAGAATGTACTATTTGATATGCAAACGTAACAAAAATTATACGGTTTATGGAGCAATCTACATTATCTAAAGTCACTCCTCCGACAATGATAGGTCGAGAATTACTATTTAATTTGACAGTTAAAAATATTGCCAATAAAATTCAAATAATATTTCATCAAAACTGTTATAACGCTAATTAATCTTAGATTGATTTTCATTGTTCACAATTCAAACTAAAACACATTTTACGCTCCCACTCCTGCCTGATCTTTAAAAATGACATCTAGCGGACAACCCATAAAGTTAATTCAATATGGTTTTGTCTGTCTCTCGCTCAACTGAAACGTAATCAAGATAATGAGAAATTTCGGCCCATTTTTTAGACCAAAGACGTGGAAGTTCATTTTACCATCGGCGAATCGTTGGTAATGTGCTGTCAGAGTGTGTGGTCGCCCGAGGCGAGGAACGGGTGGGACACGTCACCACAAGACTACGCCCCCGACGACGTCGGTCCCATGCCCGACGACGATCTCGATTGGTTACTAAACGAACTGTTCTCGTTGGCCAAGCAAACGCATCCGAATTCGAAACAGGCGTCTTGCATTTGGCTCCTGGCCTTAATTAAGGGTACCAAGCCTTCTCGTGATTATTTAACGAATAAAGTAAATTGTTTGTAGGTTGCGGGGACAGGGGTCCCATTTCTAAGCAGATACCCGCCCTGCAGAACACCTTCATGGATTTCCTTTCGCAAAATAACGGTAAGCGACGGATTTTTTTTAGTCCGTTTTAGGATTTTTCTTCCAGTTTTAAATTTTTTGGGATAGGATCTGGATTCATAAAATTTGTAGATTAGTTTTCTAATTTTATCAATTGACGTGGTTACCCCAAGTAATCATCTATCAAAAACCCAAACAACTAATACGCTAATAAAATTGCCACCTCCACTAACATTTTTGACAGCTCAACTCAATCAACTTTTATAGTTTTATGAGAAGACCATTGGTGTTGCAAGTTTTGTAAGACGTCCAATATGTAAATATCGAAGTTTTTCAAAGAAACTTGCACAGGCTATAACAAATCTTCTGGGTTCCTTCTGCGTCGTTGGTTTAGAAATCAAACTAGCCGACTTCTCGGCAATCTTCCTGATGGCTTCTTCAGAATTTAACTTATATATTGTTTGAGGAGGGCGGAGCTAAAGGAGGGGGAACATTGTATCTAATGATTTTATGCATGTCCGGTCATGAAAAGCTCTTCTTTTTAATTAAGTTGACGATATGGTTTACCAATGTGGGAATCAGTCATCCAAGACAATGTTCATGCCCCTTATAATATATAAGCAGTTTCAGTTAAACTCTGAAGAAATTAAAATGATGATTGGCGAAACGTCAGCAAGATTTGTAAATGGTACTGCTAGTTTTATAATATTTCATTCAAAAGTTTTCAAATTTTGGGCAATATTCATTTTGACGGGCTGCTCTATCTCTTTTTACTTCACTTGAAACCACGTCACTCTCCCAAGAGAGTGAACACAAACGGAATTACATCCGTATCATCAGCAATAGACGTTTCATCAGTTGTATACCGACGAGTAGTGAGAATTGCTGACTTTTGCATCCCTCGTTCTTCGCGGAGACTTTCTGCTGCCATCTGTGTATGAGCGGCAGAACTTTGGTTAGTAGTTAGTAGACGAAGGACGCCGAAGTAACCAATACCTACTACTTAGAGGGTTTCCTTTATACACGCTGTGATTGCCATTAAAAAAAGATTAAAATTTGCCCTCTAGACATAGTGCAGGACGCCGCTTCCAAGGGCCTGTGCGTCCTCTACGACACATACAAGTCTCAAGACTTGCTAACCGCCCTCGTGAAGCAACTTACCTCGGGCACTAGGAACGTCTCTCAAGTAACCAGCGATACGAAATTATTCGAGGAGGGCCAATTGGGAACCGCCCCCACAGGGTGAGCTATGTTCTAAGATATAGGTATAACAAGATTGCTTTCGAAAAATCGTCGCTGGGTGAGGCAAGTTTGTAGCCCGAAGAAGGCGCGTCGCGGTTTCTTGTCCTGCAGGGACACATTGTTTTTCTATAGTGCTCCTGCGGACCACTATGGAACTTTCGCAAAATCGATGTAATTTTATTAAGCATACACCCTGTATAAAGCATCTTTTTAGTCTCGCCGAACTTCAAAGTGACGGCAAACTTTGATAAATGTTGTAATTTGTACAAATAACAGGTATTTGTAATGTTTTTTTTTTTAATATCTCGCGCACCCTGTATGATAGACGAATAATGTACCCACGAAAACGGCAATTTTCAGGGTTTTTTTCGATTTTTTGTCCATAATCGACACACCCTGTACATAATTGAAAAAACGCTGCAAATAGAGGTTTTAGCACTGGATCTCAAACATTTCCCAGTCCAACAATTTTTTCCATGGAGTAAATGGTTTTCGAGAAAATAATTTCTTTCCGAAACTATGCAGTCCGCCGTAATATTAAATGACGTCATCGCGTCTAGATTGAGGGCGAGAATCGGCGATTTTCATAGGGATTTTTTCAAATATCCCGAGCAGCGCATGTGATAGACGAAAATCGCAAATACAAAAATTGTGACTCTTCATGCGGTCTATAACCCTGTTTGATCCGATTGGCCATATTTTGTTACGAATTATGATTTGCGCTTAATAATTTATTCCCAAAAAGTACAATTTTCACGTACTTTTAGATTTTTGTCCACAATTGAAAAACCCTGTATATAATCGAAAAAATGCCTAAAATAAAAGTCATAGCCGCGGATCTCCTACACTTTCTGGCTCTAAAATTTTGCCGATCGGATGAATAGTTTTTGAGAAAATCATGTTTTTCTGGACGACAAAATAATCAAAGAAAATTTTTCAGATTTAAAAAATATGTATATATTTTGTGACATTTTGCTACGCTGAATATGTACTGTTTAGATGTGCGTACGGACTTTTACTTCCTTGCCAAATTTGAAGTCGATGATTACATATTTGAGACACCTATGACGTTTTAGAATATAGCACAGAATATTCCGAACACCCTGGACAATATGTGAAAACTTCAAATACCAAAGTTTTAGCTGTCCATACGGGCTATATAGAAATGAAAATGAAACTGACAACGGAATCACAGCCTTCTAGTTATGGTCAGTTATCTATATAAAGGGACCTCAATTTTCAGTTTTTTGCAAATTACCGACGCACTCTGTACATTTTTAAAAAATCATCAAGAATAAAGGTTTTTGGCCCGGATTTTGCGCGTCGTTTGGTTAAAGAATTTTTTTCATCGCATATACCATCTTGGAGAAATGATTTTTTTCTCGGTACCCTGCAAATGCGGTTTTTAAATTTTTAAAAATACTTCCCGACCCCCCAGCCCCCCCCCAGTTTCAATAGGCTTCGATACGGAGCTAAGCCCTATATATCTGTCAAATTTCAAGTGGATGGCTTCAAATTTCGGACACTTATCGTGTTTCATAGCAATTTCTAAAAAACAGCCCAAAATCTAAAAAGAAGATGGACGCCTTGGTTTGATCAGACTCATTTTTTACTGGCTTGTGGTGCTCGCGCACGGTTTAGAAAGGAGCCAAATTTGAAGGCCATGCTGCAAAACGTTCAAAACATATAGCCAATTAATGCCAGTTCTACAGAGAAACAGAGAACGGATAACGGAGAACAGAAAAAATATTTTTTTTTTCGACGCTGATCATTTCTGTACTAGTGATGGTCCCCTAGGACCTACCGTTGCCGAGATATTAGCTTTGTTGCCAAGCGCCTTTCGAAAAATTGGATTTCATCGATTTTTCAAAAGTAACAAGAAACCAAAACGAATTTTACAGTATTATTCTGAACTAACCAAAACATAAATTTAATTTAAAAAAAGGGTCACATATTTCGTATAAAATGGCATCATCAGACCTATGAAAATATCAAATATAACAACCCACACACATGTCATCTATTTTAATATGTCGCAATCTATTTATTTCTCTGATAGAAATTGTTTTTTTTTGTCACAAGCTACTGTAATACTATTGGTTGGCGTCGGTTGTTGATGAATTGAAGCAGAAAGTTAGAAGATCGCCGACTGAAACTAGTCAGGTTACTCAGTACACTGACTTTTTTATTAAATTATTGCTAGTTTTCTTAAAATACCCCATAATATTAAAACTTGGAGAAATAGACCAAAACAAAGACTATTCTGTATCTGCATCTTAAAATTGCTTCCACCTTGTTCCCATTTGTATTCAGCACAATTCCAAATATGATTCATGAGAAATCTATGTTTATTTTCCACCCAAAATCTAGTCAGCTAGTCGGTACTTGCGTAAATCGGGTCTATGTTTTTGTTTTAGGGGCAACCTGACTACTTACAAGGAGCTGTGCTCGTTAGCATCGGACTTGAACAAGCCGGACCTGATATATCAGTTTATGCACTTAGCTAATCACAACGCTATTTGGAATTCGAAAAAGGGGGCGGCGTTCGGCTTCTCGAGCATAGCCGAGAAATGCGGGGAAGATTTGAAAGCGCACATGGCCGCCATAATTCCGAAACTATATCGTTACCAATACGACCCGACGCCCGGTATACAGGCCTCGATGCAGAACATATGGCGGGTGCTCGTGTCCGAGCCACAGAAAATGGTAAATATGGGTTTCCCACGCTATTGTCTTACTTGAACTGACGTAATATTTCGGAATAAATAAGAAAATTCTACTATATAATGTCCGGGGTGCCACAGGGATCGCACTTTGGGCCTCTCCTGTTTATAAACTTTATAAATGTCTTTGCTTGTTTTTGCTATCAACCTGAAATTAAGCCTTACTATTAATGATAAAAAAAAACTATGTCTACAAAATTGGTCAAAGTTGGTCTAATCATATTGATAATACTGTTAATATACTTTTGGTTAGTTAGTTGGTAGTATTATCTTCTTCCTCTGGTCAAGCATAAAATTTTTAAAACCCAAATAGCTTACAGATTATGCTGAATATGGAGCCGATATCAGTGCGTCATAGGATGCGAGACCTCATAAACTTTTATAAACTTCTCTATGGAAAATCTGCTGCCCTGCTGTTAGGGTCGTGTTCACTGTCTAGTTCAATATTTTCGTTTCTAGAACTGTTAGACTAGCTACTTAACACTGTGCACCAATGCGCAGCACAAGTTAATAGTATTGTATTTTTGTCTTGACTCGAAAGTTTAACGCATATTGTAAAATATGGTGAAAAGCACGAAAGATGACATATAAATCATAAATTGTATGAACTAATAAATGGACGTACTTCGGTGATAAGGTGAGTAAGGTCGTGAGGTTATGTTATGACCGATGACGACGGAGACTAGTAGGTAATGTTAGGTTAAGGTTTATTTTGATTATAATAATTTTTAGCTGCATAAAATACCTAATTACACACCGATCTAGCGTGCGGGAAGCGTCACTTTACCACGTCAGTTTCGTTTCCCACGGATCCGAGCCACTTCGGACATTTCCGGGACTTGAATTTTGACGTTTGTCAGTTATGACGGTTATTTTAGTGAATGTATTCGTGTTGTTTGGCGAAAATGTACCCAAAAAGTAAGGGTCGTAGAAAAATTATAGTATGCAACATGTTCGGTAAACTTTTTAAGTCACTCGTTTATTAAAAACTCGCTCCGCTGCGCTCCGCTCGTGTCAAATAAACTCGTGAGTCGAATGCCGTTTACCGCACTTGTTGCATAATATACTATTAATGAATTTAAATTACTTTTGGGCTGAAAATCTTTATTATTATTATTAATATTATTATCCAAGATTTGTAAGTTATTTATTACAGATTCATAGTTATGATGGAATATTTTTGGACATTTTTAATCAGTAAAAATTTGCTGATCTTAGAATTAGTTTTTGTGAGATACAGAAGAGAGATAGTTGAATAAGAACACAAATAAATTATATAAAAATCAAAATAAAAATAAATAAGAACTTAAAGTTCAGATTTTCACGAAATTATATATTATGACATGACAATTGTTTCGACAACACCGTATCTTTATCAAAAAAAAATAAATAAATAAATAAATAAAAATTATATATATTTTTTAATTTTTTTTCTTTTTTTTTTTATAAAGACCCGGTGTTGTCGAAACAATTGTCATGTCATAATATATAATTTCGTGAAAATCTGAACTTTTAATTCTTATTTATTTTTATAAATGGATTTTCATCAAGTAAAAGCCACCTCAGTTCAAAATCAAAATATATTATGCGGTAAGTTTTCTTCATTTTACATGGGAATACCACATTACTTTTAGTTATTAGGTACCCCATTAATTGATTCGTTCTTTCAATTTTTTCATTAAAGCTCAGTCACTAAGTTCACTTTCAGTATCACTTCCTGAATCCAGTGAAATTATTTTGGGCTATATTTAAAAATGGTTTTGTTAAACCACTCTAAAATAGTTTTATTAGTTTGTTCCACACAATGCTTGCCAAACCTTGGGTGTAACTTGTAACAGAGCCTGACTTAACATAGTTTAAACATTTTCATCACTATGACCGATATGTCTATCATAATATTGTTTAGCATGGGACCATATTAATTCAATCGAATTGAATACAAACTCTTATGGAGGGCTACGAAGTACTTCATGACCATGACTTCTGATGATTTAATTTATCACATAATTCTGGTTTTGTTAATGTTGGTTGAAATTCAGTTTTGTATTTAACCAATCAGTCGCTAATCTCTTATTTACAAGAACTTGTACTATACTGATAAAATAGCGGAGCATCATCCAACATCAACTCTTTTTTCACTGCCTGCATGAGCGACAATAACTGGCTTCCCTTGAAAGGCCAGTGGCCCACCCGCTGAAAAATTAGAAGGAATTACTAATCAAATGATATCTGCGATTTCATTAGCTGTACAAACCTCTTGGAGAGCGAACAGTGGTAGTAAAGATCCTTTATTACCTTTTTCTTGTTGAAAATAATTTAGTGAAGATACCGCTAGACTCTGCGATTGAGAGTTAAGGGTTTTACCTTTCAGAACAAAAATTCTTTTAACTACAAGTTAAAAATAACGGCCGGTTTAAAACCAGGCTTTTACATGCCTATCTTTTAAATATTTATTAATTATTTATTATAAATATTGTATCAATCCTTCTATACATCTCAAAATACTAAAGAAAATACATTAAAATTTATATGGTGTCATAAAATGTCACAGAAAGACAAGTATCGGGGATTAAATGTTAATATTTAGACAATAAAAGGGATTTTTTTGGGGTCGATTCGTCGATATTTATATTTTCATGTATTTTTCAGATATTAAACTTTCTAAATGTTTAAACATTTTCATGTATTTTTCAGATATTAAACTTTCTAAATGTTTTAACATTTAGAAAAGAAAAACCTTAAATATTATGCTGACAAGGAATTTTTGTTTTTAAAAAAAACAGATTTAAATGATAAATAGCAAAACTAAATATGAACACAAACTTTTCACTTTCTAGCTTTCAAAACATGTAATCTCTGAAATTCACGGGACGCGACATAGCAAATTCGTTCATCTCTTAAAACAACGATATTATATATTGCCTTTTTTCAATAAATAAAAAATTTTGATTCTATTGTTTTTACTAGAAAATAATATGTTATAATAATAATAAAAGATGGACATACTTGGACTAATCGCAGATTGAGACTTAGCTTGACTTCTTGAGTGAGGCAACAAGAACAAACTCAACAAAGTATCAACATTAAATCTTATCAAACTAAAACTGCGCACGCACCAGTACCAAATGACCTAATTCTCACTTTTTTTTAATTAATAGGTAAACTGTTTGTTTTAGCTCGACGAGTATTACAACGAAATACTCAAAGACCTCCTAGATAACCTCAATTCCTCCCAATACAGGGTCCGTCAGTCGTGCTGTCTCGCTTTGCAAGACTTCCTCAAGGGTTCGGCGAATAGGTCTATCCACGACGCGGTCGATTCCATGGACGAAATATGGACCAAGTTGTTCAGGGTGATGGACGATCACCACGAAGCCACCAGGTTGGCCGCCACCAAGACCACTAGAGTTTTGAGCAAGGTGACGCGTTGTTCATAGACATCAGCAAGTGATCATTTGCTTTTGAATGGGATTATTCAAGGCTGGTCATTAACATTCTGTTAAACATATAGAAAAAGCTGAACAATCGTATATCCATATTGCAAATATAGCGATAGTGGTACTGATATATTATGTGAATCATTTTAAATAATTTAAGTAGGTAATAAAAATAATTTGTAATTTTATTTTAGATTTAAACATAAATACATACATAAATACCAAATAATTAAATTCTAAGCAAAGTATCTAAGTGTTCGTATCAGTTAGTCACTTTCTTATATCTATGAGCAGAGTTCACCGTTTAAGCGAGTAGTGACTTTTGCAAAGGTCGTTTGATTTCAGTTGTGCATAAGGGGTTGCGACATAAGTCAGGGCAAGGCCGGCGTTAAAATGGTGGAAGCGATTTTGCCGTCGTTGCTGAACGTGGGAATCACCCATACCGTGACGGAAATTCGTCTAATTAGGTCAGTAGCGTCGCAGCGCTGAACGACCAACCCTCTCTAGATGCGAGTGTCTCTTTTAGCCTCAGTACGGTATCTGAGCTGGTAAATTCTGCGGGAAAGCAACTCAAACCATTCCTGGCCAAGCTTATTCCGGCCCTGCTTCAGGCGACGGGGGAGCTCGAGTCCGTGAAGCTGTCCTACTTGAGCACGATGATGGGTAATCAGACGCACATGCAGGAGGCGATAGACAACGCGAGGGCCTCGATGGCCAAATCGCATTTTACCATGGATACAGTCTCAAAGGTGAAAAATTCAAAATTATAGTAATCATAATAATATAATATTCCAGATCTAGCACAAACTACTCTCAATAATATAACAGATTTTAAAGTAGCCTTAAGGACCAAACTTAAAAGTATAGATAGATAAACATCTGCCTTAGAAGTGTTAATAGTGTCCCCGGACAACATTATATGCATTAAGCATATTAATAACTAATAAATGATTGAAAATATTCCACTGACCGCAGTAAAACAAAAGACTCCTCCTTGGTTAATTTCGATTTGTAAACACTTTTTGTGGAAAACGTTTTCTCATCGATTACGGAAAACAACCTACGATGCAAATTATCACATTGTAATAGTCTCATAAAATTCCAACCAAGATGAATTTTGTTATTTGTTTTTAATCATATCACCTCAGTGTAAAAAAATAATTTGCATTTGGACTCCGGGGCAATTTTAACGTCGGAATCAAAAGGATTTAGAAAAAAAAAACTTTTTTCCGTCGATGATGATTCTTTTTATTAATGGCATTTTATTGTTTTTATTCAATCCGCGAGTAAAAACTCAACACCTCAAAAGTATCTCGCTGATCCACGCTAGAGAAAACCTCTCAAGATGTGCATAAACCATTGAACGGAATGGACTAGGCACAACCTGACCTTTCTCGAACCCAGGAGGCAGTTACATCTAATGCCATCTGTTAGCGGGTAGCTGACGTAGATAATACACTAGATATACAAATTGAAATACTTTGCTTTTTTGCTTAGGTCGCGCACTCTGCGACTAGTCTTTAGTTAACGGCAGAAAAATTAAAGCTGATTTGGCGCTTTTAACGTATTGAAGGAATCATTAAGTCGTAAGGAGGAGCAAAAGAACTTTAATAACTTTGGAATTTTTTTCCTTTTAGAAACAAGAGGGTTGCGCATTATATCGACCACCAACAATGAATTTTATGCAATTGTTAAAAAGAACAGTTATTATTCTTTAGACAAAAATTGGTGCCTTTAAAATGTGCGCAACTCAATTTTTTTCATTTCAAACTTTAAACGTCCAACGCGCGCATGCGCGAGAATAAAAATCTCGATTTTAAGCAATGACCTTGGGACATACTTGGACAAAATTTCCCGGCCTGACATAGATGTAGCTCCAGTATCGGCGGTTTATCGACAAAGTTGACTTAAAAGAGGTTGTTTTAGCTCATTTTGCAGACAAACCAAAAGAATATTTTTTTAAAGGGATTGAGTTGTTAATAAAGAGATGTAATAAGTGTATTGAAGTTAAGGGGGATTAATTAATAAAAAAATTGTTACTCTACTTTGTTTCTTTCATATTCAGGCCGGGAAATCTTTGCGCTGCCCTCGTACCTGTATGGCGTCAGCTAAGAATCGTACCATGGGCCATGGACAGGCTGGCTGGCGATGCGATTAACCTACAAAAGTTGTAGAGTTTAACATGTAGATTTAATATCACATATTTGTATACATTTTACGCTGATTTCAAAAAAAAAAAGGTTGTAGTAATTTTTACATCAAATCCAGAATTCGCCAAACATAAAATCGTCAATTAGTTGGCCGTGCATTATCGTGGCGTCACGCCAGCTTCTAGTCTTTTGTTTTATTTTGACGCTTGGATGGATAAAATAGTAATGTTTTCAATTGTCATTATTTCGTCACGTGAAAACACTAACCTTTTATCGAATTTTGAACGATAATTCGTGGTAATTAACCAAAGACCGTTGGTGTGACGCCATGATGACGCCCGGTCATCTAAATGACGATTTTATTGTTGGCTAATTCTGGCCTTAACCATGGCTTGCTATACATTTTTGAAATCAGCGTAAACCGGCCTTTCTATGACATTATTATACAGGGCGTTGAATTTAAAAAATATAACTTTGATGTGCTTGTGTTATATGCAGAGTTTGCAATATGCTGATAATTCCATTCTGGAAGAATTGGTGCCCAAGACGATCGACCTTATGAAAGGATCGGTGGGCTTGGGGACGCGAATCGCGTGCGCTCATTTCATCACGATGCTGGTGGTACAGTTGGGCAAGGACGTGCAGCCCTACGCCGGTAAGTACTCGGGGCCCCGCCCCCATTCCGCCATTTTTGAAGCGTCACCGACCTTTCAGGCAAGTTCCTCGCTGCACTGGTTAACGGTCTGACCGATAGGAATGCAGCGGTAAGGAAGCACTACGCTTCCGCCATTGGTCACCTGGTGGGTTCCGCCAGGGAGTCCAGTTTGGAGAAACTGTTCGATAAACTGCGAGATTGGTACCTGGAGAGAGAAGGTGCGCGTGGGGCTTCGTCCCAACGGTGGTTTCATTAATTTTTTTGGGATCCAGATGACACGATCCGATCCGCCTGCGCCCAGACGGTCCAATCGATAGGCATTCACAACCAGGAGGTGTTGAAGGCGCATTCGGAAGTGATCCTGCCGCTGGTGTTCTTCGCGATGCACGCGGAGAAAACGTCAGAGACCGAGAACACTTTGGACACGTGGACCGAGATCTGGTCGGAACATAGTCCCGGGACCGAGGCCGGGATCAGGCAGCACATCGGCAGGATATGCGAGGTGCTGAGGAACGGGCTGGAATCTGCGTCGTGGACGACCAAAGCTCAGGTTCGTTTTATTTTCCAAAAACGAGTTCCGTTCAAAATGGCGCTTACATTTATTGCGCCATAATTATAACTAAAAACAAGATTACTATGACACCACACCATGCATTAATTGTTTAATTCCCCTTAGTTTTTATTTCGTTTATTTGTCTAGGATTATTTAAAGATCAATATCGCGTATTTTGTCTATTACAACCCTTTCTTGTAGTGAACGAACTTTCATCAGTCCATAAAATATTTTTCAAAAAAAAACTGCATCCTCTTTTGACATTGAGTGGATTGATCCCCGAGAAAAACCTGTCCCTTCGTATAGTCTAGTAATAGAGGAACCTGGATGTGCCTCATAGAGTCCTAATATGTTTGCCTTATTTTCTTCATTTAAAACATTATGGTTCCGGCATACCTTTTTACATAGATATTTTAAAGTCCGAGAATCTATAACCAAACCTTCTCACCTTAGTTGAAAAATGCTTGTCGGGAACATATTTTTCTTATAACGGTCAAATTTTTGAACAAACGTATATATATATATATAAATATGACGTAGGTTTATATGTTAGAAAACTGATACGTCACTTGGAAAGAAAACTTCGCTACTAACCCTACATTTTGTTTTTCTGTTTACCTTGATATTTTTAAAAACAAAAAGTTATGGAGTGGTATATTTTTTAATCTCTTGTCTACTTCATTCGTGCACATACTATATGCGCTAAAGCAGACAAACCAAGGAAATCTTTGTGATATTAGAGACTAAGGAAAAAATGGTTCATTTAGGCTGCGAACGCGGTCGCTACGGTGGCAAACAAGTTGGGTACCGGCATGGAATCGGAGCACCGCAACGCCCTCTTGAAAATACTGCTGACCGGACTGTCAGGCCGCACGTGGAGCGGTAAAGATAAGCTGCTGAAGGCGCTGACTAGTATTTGCTCGAATTGCAAGTGAGTTTCCTTCGATAGGCACCAACATCGGTGATAGGTTTAAAATTAGGGGTTATCAAACGCATACCAAGTTTTTTCAAGAGTCGTCGAATAGTAATTTTCTCTCTTGTGGTTTCATTTCACATCGCGGACGTCGTTCATTTTTGCGTTTTACTGTAAATTAAATAATTAGATTTAGCTCTTAAATGGTTTTTATAGGTTTTATCCCCAACTAATATTTTTCGCAGCTTGAGGTTTTAGAAGAAAACCGTTGCAAGTTCTGTAACATCTCCGTTACTTTATTTATAAGATCGTTGGTGTTAGTTATAATTTGCTCTGTAAAACCCTTGTAATAATGGACTCCGATCCGCTTGAAATGGCCGTCAAAGACGGGGCGGAGTTGTTTTTCAAATTTTTGCACAATTTAAAAAAAAACATGTTTTGTTTAATTCTTATCTTTATCTATTAATTAATTAATCAATAGATAAATAAAATAAATGATGCAGGGACGCGATAAAAGCGGACAACGAGGTGAACCCGTCGGAGATAGTGGACGCCATATTGAAGGAGAGCAAGAAGGACGAGATTCTGTATAAGAAAAGCGCCCTCGAATGTCTGGGCGAGGTGTTGACCTCGTTCGAAATGGACGCGTTCGAACGGGTCTACCATATCATCCAGCCGGTGCTGAGCAGGGTGGACGTTAAACCGGAAGAAGACGACCCGGGGGCAGAAGAAACGTCCAAGTACCGCGAGAACTTTATCAGACTGAAGGAAACCAGTTACGAAACGTTGGGCAAGGCGTGGCCCGCGAACGGGACCGACACCCAGGAGAAATATGGCGGCATGTTCGCGGACCATATCAGGGACACCTTGCCTTGCGTCACCAGGACCGTGCAAGTCAGTATGATGTCCGCGTTGTACGGTTTCGTCGACAAGTTGATACTGCTGAAGAAAGATGGCGGTCTAACGAGCGGCGAGACGAAACGTCTGGCCGACATCGAGGACGCCATTTTGGAAGCGGTGAAGTATTCGTTGAGTAAGTTGTCGGTTACGGTTTTCTTGCGAATTTGGCGGGCTTTAGCTATATACAGGGTATCCAAAGAGAGTGTCAAAAAAATGCAACAACCAGAACAGATAAATCTGAAAGAAATAGTTTGAGATTATTTTGAAATATACAGGGTGTTTTGTAAATGAATGTCAATGAGAGGGAGATTTTCGGGTCCATTTTAAAAAGAACACTTCATATAAACATACGTCTTAAACGTCTTAAATTTTGACGTACAGGGTGGTAAAGTGTCTAAAAATAAAATATATTTTGTTAACAGCATACATGGTCATAATAACATCGTTAATATGACCATGTAGAGAAATTAGTTACTTTTCAGTGTAAACCGTGTGGCTATATCTTTTGAACGGTTTGCAGCACGATCTTTAAATCTGGCTCCTTTTAAGCCGTGCACGAGGTTCACAAATCAGTAAAAAATGAGTCTGATCAAACCAAGGCGTCCATCTTTTTTTTTTAGATTTTCGACTGTTTTTTGGACATTGCTATGAAACACGATAAGTGTCCGAAATTTGAAGCCATCCACTTAAAATTTGACAGATGCATAGAGCTTAGCTCCGTAATGAAGCCTATTGAAACTTGGGGGGGCTGGGGGGTCCGGAAGTATTTTTAAAAATTTAAGAACGCACTTGCCGGGTATCGAGAAAAAAATAATTTTTCCAAGACTTTATACAGGGTGTATGTGCAATAAAATTATATCGATTTTGCGAAAGTTCCATAGTGGTCCGCAGGATCACGATAGAAAAACAATATCGCCCTCTATTCAAAATACAATGCTGCTTCGCTTTAAGCGCTACGAACTTGCGCGTCCCAGTGACGATTTTTCGAAAGCAATCGTGTTACTTTAACAGTTTTAATGAAATAACATAACATCCTAACAAAAAGATAAATAATAAACTATTCTTATTAAAAAAAAAACACACTACCTATTATTAATAATTTTTAACAAAATTGTCTAACACACAATAACGCGTTTTACCGCAAACCGAAACTCAATTTTACGTACTTTTTTTTTAATCTTCTCCTGAAGATGCCAACTGAGTTGGCGAAACGCGCGTCGAGTACGTAACATTGAGTTTCGGTTTGTGGTAAAACGCGTTATTGTGTGTTAGTGGAGTGACGAAGGTTCCAGTCAAGAGTTTGACAAAATTGTCTGTTAATAAATTAATAACAACTTTTTTGAAAAAAAAAATTAATAGTATAGAGTCGATTTTTCTCTGTCTTGTTAGCAATAGGTTTTATTCCTGCTTCTGAAATATTATAAAATTTTATTTAAAATTTAAAAAATACATAATATTGAAAAAAGTGACCTAATGTGGGCAGCGTTAAATTCAACGAGAATTTATACGGGTGTTATCTTAAACCTCGAATAACTCAAAAAGTAAGTAAAATTTAAATATAAGATTAATTACAAACTTACCTTATTTTTTGTCGTAAAATTGATATCTGAATAAAAATATAGGGTTGAAAATCTTGACATTTTCTCAATTGAATTCGCCAAAACGGCACCACCTATTTGGAACACCCTGTATAAGCTGTCATCTGTCAAACTGATTGAGAAATGGATCATTTCCTTTATCTGTGGTTAAATTTTCGTTGCAATACCTGTATCAGTAGCGTCACAACACAATTTTATGTGGGGCATTCAAAAATATGAAAAAAAAACCACTTAACCTATCCTCTGCCTAAAAAAGGCAAAATTCGAATAGGAATGTCTTAAGAAATTGAAATATACAGGGTGTTCCATTTAAAATACTAGGTCAGTTGATGTCGAGAGGACAAAGTTTCATTTTGGTTTTTTGCTTCTGAAAAATTATGCTTTTTGCGGTTCGTTCACTGTTCTGCCGGAGCAGCGATATAATCTAAACTGACACAATTAAAAATGTCAATAAAGTTCAAACTCTAATTAATAATAGATTACTTTTCACGGTTTATCATAAAAAAAACGACATGACCCTTGCGACATCTAGCGGACAACCCATAAAGTTAATTTTTAAGCGGTTTTGTTGAGAAACAAAGCGTTTTTTTTTCTCCATATATGATATTTCAGGCATCTCGAAGCACACGAAAATGAAGAAGGAGGCGCTGAACGTCGTGTTCTGTCTGTGCACGAGGTTGAAGGACAAACGGCTAGACGTCGAACTCGGTCGTTTGAGGGAGACGTTCGACGCGGCGTTGCCGGATTTGGAAAACGACAGGCAGCCGGAAATCAGGTCCCGCGTTACCGATATCAAGAAATTGCTGAACTGAGACGTTTCGTTTGTCGCAAATGGAAGTTTTTTTTAAAGTATTTTTCTTATTTTCGATACGATTGTGATTTTACGTGGCGCCGCGACGCGTCCGACGCCCGAACGGGTTTTATCGAAATAAATATCGTTTTCGCTCGGTCTTCGCGTTTTCATCTTAACCGGCGTTTAATCGCAAATCTTTTACTAGGTCAGTAACTTCGGTGTCTACGGAACGGTCGTACATCGACACCCCGTTGGTATCTTCTATCGTGCCTGTATCCTGCAAAATGCATTTTTTTTGTCTGTTTCGTAAAAAGCATGCATTTTTCCAAAAAAAAAAAATTGGTTGCTGTCCGGCCCTGGCAAGTGGTTATTAATTTATTATAATACGACCAAAAATATAGTGCATCTATTGCTTTGACGTTTCAAGTATCAGTACCTTAGCCGCAGACCTTCGCAGGACCTTGGTAAAACCCATCCCAACAGCATTAAGTAGGTCCTGCCTGAGATGAACCGTAACGAATATTTGTGGAAATTTAACGCCGTTATAAATTTGATTAAGCGTTGATGCTGCGGGTTATTTTCGAATAAGTAGAAGCGTTCTTAAGAGTTTCATCTAAATTGCAATATACGCTATTACTGAGGTATATGACTGTAATCATTCCAGTAAGTATGTATTTAGGTACCTGATTCTCGAGCTTTGACTCTGCGAGGCTGTTTTCACGAGATAGTTCAAAGGGTAAGGGCAAATAAAGTCTGTTCATAGATATAAGAAAGTGACTAACTGATACGAACACTTTGATACTTTGCTTAGAATTAAATTATTTGGTATTTATGGATGTATTTATGTTTAAATCTAAAATAAAATTACAAATTATTTTTATTATCTACTTAAATTACTTAAAATTATTCACATATATCAGTATCACTGTTTGTTGAGTTCAAAATTATGTAAATTTCTTTTTAATTTTGTGTATCTTAAACATGCCGGACATTTCAGTCAATGTGACAACAGGGCGTTGTACGCCAAACCGACAAGGTCTACGTTTCTGCTAGGCTAGTAACAATTTTGTAGCGTTACGGGGTAGACGTTCACGGCATGGGTCGCGACGTCGCCGCAAAGTGAGATACAGACCATTTATAGAAAAGAAAAATTCAATAAATATTGAGTGATTGAGGAAACACTTATATTATTGAAGAAACACTGTTGTAATTATTATTTACAATATGGATTTTCGATTGTTCTGCTTTTTCTATATGGTTAACAGAATTTGCCCAACTTTGTGGAGGGATGTTAAAAACTTCGGTTTCTATAAGTTTGAGGACATTAGAATTAACACGGGGAAAAACATTGTTACGACGAATGGCAGATTTCAGTTGGTGCCAAACATCTTCAATGGGATTAAATATACAGTGGTAAGGTGGAAGCCTTCAAACTGTATGACCTAGATTTTTTGCATAATTATTCCTTTTGTAGGTTCAAGCTTTGTAGAACCCCAATTAATTGCTTTTTGGTATAATCTTCGTGAAAATAAATGTCGTTATTATACATGTAGTTTTGGATTGTTGCTTTTGTGTCACATGAGGAAGGGGTTTCAGTCAACTGTCTACTGTGATAACTTGCATTGTTTGTTTGCATGGTTTGTTGTTGAACCAACTTTCAAATAACTCAGCGGTGGTGTCTTCATGGTAATCCAGAGAAGAATCTTTAATATTTTTCGCAGGCAGAGAAAGTCGTTTTGGAATCCAACCATCTTTAGAGCCAGCATGCAAAATAGTTATTCTTTTACCTCTTTTTGATGGCGCGTTTGTTCTACACTTAGTAATGAGTATCATAAGTGACGAACCAGGTTTTATCCAAGTAAATAATTGGTCTTTGTTGTTCTCTGTAAATCCTAATTTTTTCTAGATATGCCAGTCGCCATTTCCGAATTTTAAGAGATTTCATTAAAACTTGCCCATGTGTTGAATACACTTCCATAAGGTAGTTTTGACACATTTAACACCGGTTTCATCTTTTTCAAGCCTCTTAATTAAGGTCAGATCAGAATTAGAAAGGAGATTTCAGGGCTTTAGAAAAATGAAACCAGAGTTTAGTAATACTGTAATACTCTCCTGAAACAAACTTTTCATACAGTACTGTTACTAGAATTTTATAAAAATTCAAGTGCAGATAATTTCCCAAATTTAATTACTAATGCAGTGAAGATAATGACAATGTTCAGCTCATCTTATATATGCGAACAAATCATTTCAACAATGAAGCTTAGGAAAACTTCTTTAAGAAACAGAATTACATATGAGCACCTTTCATCAGTTTTAAGAATTTTTGCTTCTCAAATGTAACTAGACTATGTTGAAATTTTGATAAAACAGTCTTAATTTCATTTTTCTCATGCACCATCAACCAGTAATGACGCCAGAAAATAAAGTGATAATACTTCACATCAAGAACTACACTAAATTCATTTTATATTTTGTGCTCATAATTTTCTTACCTTTTGCTTTTTTACTATTAAAATATAAGTGTATATAATAATTTGAAACTGAGCTGTAACTTTCATCAGGTTCTGGAGCAGAACATTATTTTAGCTCATAAATATATTTTTTCACGTCCATTTAGTGGCAGTATCTCTCTAGGTCGAAGTTTTATTTCTAAAAATAACGCGGGTACCTAATGCATTATGACACCAACGAATTAATTTAAATAGTAACGAGACGCGCTCTCGGTCTCTCACCTACTTACATCTCTTTGACGATAAATTTCGAGCCGGGAGAAAACGCTCGAAACGTTTCCCACAATAATTGCGACATTACTATTTTGTTAATTGTCCCGCGTCTAATTGGCGTGACTTATATTTCGGTTAATTGTTAAAAAATTCCACTTTTGGCACCGATCGAGTCGTGCTATAAGCTAGATAAGATTTTGAAATCGAACACCCTGTATTTCGTAAGTCGCAGATCCAAGGCCAGACGAAATGGATGAAGGAAGAACGAAGACACGAGTACGGAAGACGGGATACAAACAACATTTATGTAAAGGTAATACATTCTGAATCGTGTCATAGATGTAATCCCCTAAAATTTGACACATTTGATTATAGAGTTCGAACAGACATTTCATCTAACGTTAATAAAAAGTTTCTTGGACAAAACCTAAAGTTAGACAACTTAATTTCTAATACAAAAATATCTAACAGCAAGCCAGTTATTACAAAGTATACCGACCATCAATTTTACAACAGGTTCATAAACTTAACAGACACAACATTTAGATGATAGATTTAGTAGATTTCACCCTAACTCGGAAACAGGTCAACCGATTGGTGAAACAAGATTTATTAGATTGCTTAATAGTATCTTTAAACTAAGATTATTTTAAATTTAATGGACAGATTTATATTTCTAAGGAAAGTTTGATTATGGGAAACCCACTTAGTCCTTTGTTAGTCGAGATTTTTATGGAAATCATACTAGAACATTCTTTAAGTAAAAGTTTTCTATGGTGGTATAGATACGTCGATGATGTATTTGCTTGCTTTGTCGGAACGGACAGACAATTGAAATATTTTTTAAATTACATTAACTCATTACATAATGGTATAAAATTCACTATCGAGATTGAACAGGATAACTCTGTTAATTTTTTAGACTTAACTATTCCAAAAACACAAAACAAATTAGATTTTTTTATTTATTATAAGTCTTTACACACGGACACAGTCATATATAACAGCTCAAATCATCCTTATACACACAAAATGATTGCATTTCACACTTTTGTACACAGACTTCTTGAGAGACATTCAAATGTATTGCTTAACGATCAATTAGATTTAAATACCTCTCCTTTAATGAACTTAAATTCTCACAACATTAATTAAGGCTTTATGGTCATTTTTCGGTATATATAGTAGCAGGTAGTTTGTAAATATTACATTTGATAAAGACACGATGTTATCAAAACAATTGTCATGTAAAAATATATAATTTCGTGAAAATCTGCACTGTTAGTTATTATTTATTTTGATAAATGGATTTTCATCAAGTAAAAGCCACCTCAGGTCAATTAATAACTTGGATGGACAAAAAAATGACCATCGCGGTTTGGTAAATATGAAAGCAACTAGGTTGCCATGCAGTGCAGTGTTCAATGGCCGTGCAACAATCGCAGGATGTTCTGTGTCGTGTTCCGTCAACATTGGACATACAACGCCTGAAATAAAACACCGAAACACACTTCGCCGATTAGCATTAGCGGTTTGTTCACCCCGCTATAATTCCTCGCATCTTCTCGACCTTCTTCGGTATTAATAATCGTGCCGTCGTTCCGAATTTGCGGTTAATTGCCGCGTTACCAGATGTACCTAATAAAAATAATTTTAAGGCTGTAAAACGTATCATTTCGAAGTGGAAAACTAGGATAATCGCGGAAGTTTCTAGTAATATAATTCCACTTTGCTGCGGAATGAATCACGCACGCAGAGTGTCCGAGGAAAATGCAGAATTAAGTATCCGAAATTAGAAATTTTCTAGCAAAAATGCAACTTGCTGATGACGCAATATCGAATGTTTATAAAATTAACTGTCACACCATGGTATATAAATACGTGGTTTAACGTTCTCGCTTCTTCGATGTCGTCACTAGATGGCGCGACTTACACCATTTTAAAAATTAATCGACATACGCGGGCATGTTGTATGAAAAGAGAACAAGCCTTATTGTGTACAACATTGTATAAAATAGATCTAGCAGACCTTCCAGAATCTGTCTTCTATCACGCGCCCAGCTGTATCGTACCAACTATATTTAATGTTGATATTCGTAAATCATTGTCGGTCAATTTCGTGAAAGAAACACTTTTTTATTTAAATTGCTTAATGCTCATAACATATATCATGAAGGTGGGAGCATTGTTTACATTTTAAGGTTATGACTTATTGCAAATTGCAAAACGTAAAAGCTTAGAGCGATAACATAAAGAATTGATTTATTCATATAATAGCAAACTGTTCTTTTTCAATTATAAAAACAATTAAGAACTCAATTTTACTCAAAATTTCCCAGAAGAAACTCGTGTCTTTTATCTGTAAACATATGTTTAACACTGTCTTCATCATGTTGGCTCCCCAATAGAACTTTAACGATGTTATTACCTATTATTATTTCGTAAACTTATTAACAAAAAAAATATTCTTGAGTGACGAGGCAGGGGTGGGCCAGGTATATTTCTTTCTTTCTGATTTATTTCTTCGAGTGTTGACCATTTGTGGCAGTGTTGAATAATTGTTTTTGCAGTGCGTTGCGAAAAAGTAATTTTACGAGAATCTAACAATGTCGCGTGGAAATCATTCGTCGCTTGATGCAAAACAGGTCGTGAAAAATGTGTATGAAACTTTAATCAGTAGAGGACTTATTAAAGAAGAAGCTTCAAAACAAACCTATCTACTCATAAAAACGCCAATATCGTTGATCACGGATACTATTAATAAACAGCCGTGCCACCTTCCGTACAGTTAGTTAAAGAAATGAGATTTAAGTAAGGTTAAGTGAGGTTTAAGTATGCACTCGGAGATTTAATTACCTTATTCCAAACTGCTTGCTGTGGTCTGCAAAGAAAATTAAGGATTCTTGCTTGGATTATCATTAGGATCCAAGTGCCGCACTTTTTGGAAATTGGTTTCGAAACAATCTTCTAAAAAAATATTCCCAATAACACTGTTATTGTCTTGGATAACGCAAGCTACCACGGCCGCCTACTACGCAAAGCACTAGCCTCATCAAGTTAAAAAACTGAAATATTTGTTGGAAAATGATGGCATGGGAGTCCTAAATTCATTTGCAATTATTTGGCTGAACAGGCTGTTTTACTTTTTCCTCCATGTCATTTGTATGTTTAACCCCAAATAGCATTTGTAGAAGAATATACAGCTCTACAAATAAAGATTTTTTTTTTGTTGCCCTGGATATCTGTGAAAATTTTTATGTTTTCAAGTGTCCAGATTACGTAAATGTTTATGAAAGCACTGAATGTGCTCTTATTTTTATGATTTTCACAAATCTTTTAATTTGAACAATAATCAGCTTCTGCACAACTTTTTGGCGTATACAAACATCACGTGATCCCTACTCTAAGCGACCCCCACCCCTTGCTCCGCAGAACAGCTGCGATCTCTTTATAACTTCCTTAGTCTCAATAGAAGAGTGTTTTCTACATTTGGGCGGGAGCATCTCCTGAGATACACTAGACTCGCACATATTTTGCATAATTCGCACACGATTCAACACGCGCTGTGTTACACACGAAATAATAATGATTACTAATAAACTTAAACTAAGTAGTATACCAAACCAAACACAGGTAGGTATAAAATTATTTTCTATTACGGACCACTATTTAACCTGAATTTAAATTCCGAAATTTTAATAAAAATTCTGGTGACATTGTATGTTAGTGACCACCCTTTGATAATCCCATTCAAAAGCAGTTGGCTTCCTTATACGGAGTGTCCAAATAGTGTCTACTGTGTAGGAAACTATTTAATATTATTTTCTAATATTCTCATTCACCCGATGTACGAATGTTATAATCTATACTGAGTGTCTCCGGATTTATGGGCATGTTTTCGTCATGCCCCGTGTAATTTTATGGAGTCGGTTGAAAAAGCACTACATTTCTGGTCTAGGTATACAGCCATAAGTTTGGTTTTTTGATGTTAGGTTGACAACCGTAACCGTACTTGATCTAGGAGTTTTTGAAATCTGCCAGTGGAACAGAATCATCTGCATATCTTAAATTGTTTATTATTACCCCATTTATTTTCATTCCTTCTTCGATATTTTCTAAAGCTTCTTGGAATATTGTCACCGAGTATAAATCGAAAATCAATGGCAATACCATTAATGAATCTCATAGTTAATGCGTCATTTTTGAACTGTTCTACAAAACGCCCAGCGTCCGACGTCACCCGTGACGTCACCGTCCTCGAGTTCTTTGGTACCGTCGACGTAGCGATGACCCAATTTACGTTTCCGCGTCTGTGGTTCCGACGTGGACGGTTCCGCGAGGCGACGAAACAATAGCGAGATTCCGATAACGGTACCACCTCCGCGGTACCACCGCGGTGCCCGTTGCGAGAATGCAAAGAGACCGTTCCCCCGGTACCACAGTAACCGTTTGACTTTTCGCGAAGGTACCCGCGACCGCGAGAACCCGAAATTAGTACCGTGTCGGTGGTACCGCGGAACCCGGGGGCGTGTTTGGTGAAATTGGTGTCGTTGTTTTGGTTCGACGTTTTTGGGATATACTTACATATATATCTACATAAGTTGAAAAAAAGTGAGTGGTCGGTTATACCGGGTGATTCCGTTATCGGAGCCGTTATAATACAGACTAAATCGTTATTAATCGGGATATATTTCGAGCAGGGGTTTTCCAAGAAGAACAATGGCGATTTGAAAGTTGAAACAAAACTCTGGCATCCATTAAATAACTTTTTCGCACGTTGGTCTCCTTAACTCACGTTTTAGTAAAAAAATTTAATGCAAAAGTTGTACGGTTTAGTATACAGGGTCAGCCAACGAGAGAGTATCTACCTAATTGGTTTCGAAGGTTATGAGAAAATGGTAAATACAAAACTAGTATAGATCGTTACGATGTGCAATTTAAAATTATTTTAGAGTATACAGGGTGGCTTAAAAAAGCGAAAACCCTATTTTTAAATTTTGTTTTGGATTGCTTTTATAATTCTTCAGCTTTCTTTTTTTAATTTTTCCGATATTTTAATCAAAAATATATAAATTTTCATTTCAAACTTTGTTATTGTTATTTATAAGATTTTGCGACAGCTCTGACTTTATGATTCGGTTATATTAATATAAAATATTTTTTTATAGAACTTTTAAGAGGTCCATTATACCTCTGGTATTACGCAAAGGGCTAAAAATGTACAAATAACCAGAATTTATAACCATAATAACGAAAAAAAAAATTATTTAATTTTTGAGGTGGGCCCCCTTGCCCCAACCTCACCTATAACGCTATTATTTTTAATGGTAGGTCACTCGTATTTTATATTAGCGTTATTCCAAGATGATGTAAAAGACATATGCAACGGAATTTGAACAGGGTGTTCAAAATAAACGAATATATTTGGATCATTTTAAATTGGAAAATCTCGATTTTCTTGAATGACACACCATATACAGTGTGTCCCGTTTAAGAAATGTACACCCTTGCCAAATCTTTGTTTATGGTTCGATTTTGATGATTTATTCGCTTATCGCTTCAACTCAAAGTCATAGCCAACTGTAACTATTTAAAGAAAGAGACAGAAGAGAAAGGATTAGATATGAACCCAACAGACTTTCCAACGCTTTATTTTTTTAATTAAAAATTAAATTATTTATGAAATTTGTACAATTAAAATTTGTAAGATCTTAAAATCACATACAAAATATTCGTTATTAACAAGGTTTACAATATTTATTTTTTTAAAACATTAAAATGTTTGGTCATCGGTCTAGTTATTTTTAGGTAGTCCTGAATACGAATCTGTTGTCATTTTCAATTTTAAAAAATCTCTGCAAGTACTTCTCGATTTTCCGCATCAAAAAATTGTGTCAGATCTATCCAGCAGGTTTGATGTAGTCCTTATTATTAAACAAATGATTCATAGCCCTTCTCGATATTTGACATAAAAAATTAGTCAAAGTTGGCCATGACTTGGCTCGCCACGATGTATACAGGGTGGGCACTTCATTAGCGGGTATAAAACGCATATTTCCCAAATTATAGGTATTTTGCCCCGCTTTGAGAAAAAATATCAAAAACATTGGTGCCCCATTAAAAGAAAATTGAATACTGCAAGTTCAAATAAAAAAAAAAGTCCTTTAATTTGAGACACCCTGTATAATTTCAAAATACCTCTAGTTATCGCATATCGTTAGAAGACCATATTTACTAAGAACATAATTTTGAATAAAAAATATATATTCTCAATTTCTGTCTACACAAAATTCGAATAAGCAGTTTACATAAAAGTTACCTTTATTTTTGGCAAAAATTCTAAAAATATGAAAATATATAGGGTGTTACATTTAAAATTTTAAAACTAATGTCGGTCCAGCACTTATCGTACACCCTGTATATATAAAAATAGTTTTTAAATTTAATTTAAACAATCAAACTTTTGTATAAACTTTTTTGTTTTTTAAAATCAGTGGTTCCTGAGAAGAGGTACAGGCCCCTAATAAAGTGCCCACCCTGTACATGTGTACCAAATTTCATTAAACTAGAACTTTTCCAATGTATCAAAGACGATCCTACCGAGTTATATCAAAGACAAGTCAGGGAATTACTAACTCCACACTATTTAGTGACAAAGACAAGTATTTTTTAACAATTATGACCAGTCGTTTCTTATGTAATGGTTCCAGCAGTTAAACTCTCAACAAAATTAGTAAATATTTTAAACCAAAATTTGCGATAAAAAATTCTTGTGAATTTTTTATTGCAAACAACAACTAACTCAACACTATTGTCTTTTGATGTACAAAACTTATTTCCCAGTATTCCACCTACGGATGCGATAGATTTAGCAGATTTCACCCTCACTCGAAAACAGGTTGACCCATTGGTGAAACAAGATTTATTAGATTGCTCAATAGTATCTTTAGACCAAAATTATTTTGAATTTAATAATACGCCACTCTCAACAGAAAATTACAATAAAGAACTTGATATCATTATACAAATTGCACTGAACAACGGCTACAATCCGTCCATTATCGATAAAATTATTAATGAAAAACAAATCTAGTAATCTCTATTTATCCGAAACCTAATACAGAACTAACAACACAATAGGAAAATGTTTAAAAGACAATAAAACGATATGTCCAAAATCTCAAAAATCAGGTGTCTACAGGTTGAAATGGGGATCTTGTCCTAAAATTTATATTGGACAAACAGGTAGATCCTTCAAGAAACGCATTAACGAACATAAAAGACATAAAATCAATAGTCTAAATTCAAATTATGCAAAGAAAAACACATTTTGACGACAATTTTGATATTTTACATACAGCCACAAAAAGTAGAAATTTAAATTTATTGGAAGCCATGGAGATTAACAAAATGAGACATTCCAATGTATTGCTTAACGTTCAACTAGATTTAAATATCTCTCCATTATTAAACTTAAATTCTCACAACTTTAATTAAGGTTTTATTATCATTTCTCGTTATTTTTAGTCGCTGGTAGTTTGTAAATATTACATTTGATCAATACACGGTGTTGTCGAAACAATTGTAATGTAAAAACATATAATTTCGTCAAAATCTTATTTATTTATTTATTTTTTAAAAATATCCAGTTAATGATGATATTAATATAATGTTAAAAGAAAACCCGTATACGCAAATCGTATCGGACAACCCGTATATTAGATTTGCGTCTCATTTGTCTCTATTCGCAGAGGAAATGTACGGTCTACTTTACGGATGTTTCGGACCATAAAGTTGTGAAATCCGTGCGGAAGTTGGCACACACTTCATACATTGTTTAATTGCCGTTTTTTGTTAAACAATACACCTGCGGACCGGTGAATTGCAGACTTGAGCCATCCTGTCGGTCCGCTCGTTGGGTTTCGACAAAGGCACTTTGGTTAGTGGTTGGCAAACCGGTGACGTCTTTCCTTTCGGTAGTGAAACAAGCAAAATTATTAAATTAAAATAATGACGGCTTTATTTTCATCCACACTAATAATACACAGATGCATTTGAGCGTGTTTTGTAAACTAAACCAAACTAACCAAAACTCATTCTTTGATGTTTGGATTAGTTCCGTCGATACAAAGATAAAGAGTTTATTATAAATTTTATATTTATTTGTAATGATAATATTTTCTGTGATTTAAAATGTTAAATAAAAAAAATCACAATTGTGTGCTTGTGAGAGGGCAATATAGATGCTATTCAATCACACCATTGGTCCAATGATCACGCTTATGTCATTTATTATGAAATAAATGGAGACATGAAGCAATGAAAATTTTGTTGAGAGCATTTTTGAAAACTAAATTTGCTGCCGATAAAATTGAAAAAATCAAATATTTTTCCGATGGAGCAGCTTCACGATATAAAAATAAATATAATTTTGCGAATTTAGTTAATCATAAAAATGATTTTGGTGTTGATGCTGATTGGACTTTATTCGCTACATCTCATGGCAAAGGAGCGCGCACATAACAACCCCACTTTCGTTTTTTCAGTGGGCCCAAAGTTCTTTTAAAAATATTAAATTTGCTATTAAAAATCATGAGCAACATGAAAGAAAATACCAAACCACGATTCGAACGCTTAACTACAATAAAAAATACTCGCCAATTTCATTATTACAAACCATTGGAAAATTTTTCACTAGAATGCGGGCTCGTTTCAGAGGATGAAAAAGTATTTATTAACAAAGTTAAAAAAAAAGAATAAAAATAACTTGACGACAAATTTACAACTACAACAGCTATTCAGTATGTTATGATTGTATTCTTTACAATATTGTTAAAAAGAATCTTATTAATAATAATTATAATAAAATAACAATAATAATAATAAAATTTGTTTTATAATAATATTTTGTATTATTATTATTATAAATTATTACTGATAAAACCTTCAGTGCAGTTCGAGACGCTCGGCATTAAAAGTGCTCAAAATTTTTATTATAAAAAAATATAAATATATTAAATGTTTATGATCAAGTGGTAAATGAAGGGTCCAATTTTGGTGGAAATAAATGTTTGTAATCCGCTCTTTCTTTTTGAATAACCCTGTATAATAAAATACGGAGTATTTAAAAAAAAATCTCGATCTTTATTAAGTTCGTTCTGTGTAGTAATTCATAGGTTTGGTCGGTTGCTATGCGGTACCGCCTCCTAACCCCGCAAATTTTCGAAAATGTCCCGGAACGACGCGCGTCAAACTTCGATTGGGATTAACACACTGACACGAAAAAAGCGTCCACGTTGACACCGTTTCCGGTAAAACACAATCGACAACCTGTCGATCGGTCTCGAGAGTCTCGGCAGAACCGTAGCGTACTTATTTTTCGAACGGCAAGGCGCAAACGATGGCGGCGCGATTCCCAAGTGAAATCGACCATTAGCGGCGAATTTAATTAGGCGATTTCCATTCGTTCGTGTTTTTGCATAAGGCGTTACGCTGCCGCCGCCGCCGCGCGTTGGGTCAAACTGAGGATCCAGTGAGGCAAAACTAAAGCAACACCCGTCAACATGATTTAGTTTTATCTCACACTGAAAACACCGAAAAAAAATTGTTTAGAATTGAAGTTTGCTTTTCCAGGGGCTGTATGCTTTTTTTATAATTTTATATTGAGTTATGGCAAGAAACGATGTCAGGGACTTTTTTTGTTCAAAATGTTTAATTAACAATAGCATTAAATGTAAAATAATAAGAAATAAGTGTCTAAAAATAAATATTTTCCCATTTCGTTTGTGACCTTCTATCAGCTTTCTAGGATTAAACCCCAAATGTAATCTCCCATCATATTCACGTTGACAATGCCGTTCAAGGTCCATCACATCTTTGTGAAAACGTCCTCCTTGTT